TWTCYCCMTTTYCTTTTCTTTTCTTTYCTTTYYTTTTTTTTTTTTTTTTTTTTTTTTTTTTTTTTTTTTTTTTTTTTYTTTCTTTCTTTCTCTCTTATTTTTTCTTCGCTCAGATGCCAGGGCAAGACAAGAGTTGAGGAGTTCAAAGATCAACCTGCAGCGGCGGAAAATATCCCGAATAAACCCCTGCCTGGCCTCCCTCCTGCTCCGATGTTTCTGCAGAATGGATATGAAGATCAGATAACTAATATCCGGCCTGAACGTCGTCCCCACGTATGGACTACATATTTCCGCACTCCTCCGGGCAGACATGATATCTGGTCTATTTATACGGAGTACGGAGTAAACGAGTGTGTAGAGCGATTGTGAATCTTGCAATCCTGGAAATTCATCATGTCCGGGAGCCTTTCCTTGCCGAAAGCTCCGCGCGTGGGCTGTGGGCCGTTTCTCGGAAACCGAGTGGACTGACTAGCTTAGCTGTTGTTGTATTCATCATTGTTCAATAGTAGTTATTGGAATGTTTTATTATTCATCGATGTCCCACGGTTGTAGTGCAGGATTCAGGAATAGTAGGATACTACGTATCTCCGTATATTATATATTAATATGCATGCGGAGTACAACGTTGGATTATACTCATGATGCCTTGAGGGGGGGGGCCACGGAGCTGGGTGCTGCATCCAGTAGGAAATATGTACATCATGCCGCGACGGTGAACGACATCCTGCAGGCTGAAGGGCTGAGGGCAGTGCTATAAAACCCTATAACATACCAGCGGACGAGACTAATTGGGTCACCTTCTCCGAACCAACTGCCAGGGGTCATGGGTTGAGGTTGAGTCAAGGAACGAGATCTGAGCTCACTCTGCTTGGTACGTTTACTACCATACTAATTTAGGATGATTGAGTTCGGAATATCCGTAGAATGGGTCCGGAGTCAGCGTTCCGACCTCGGATCGTTTGATTTATATAAATTTATATTCGACCACGTAGGGTACGGAAGTAGGTACGTAGCCGAGCGAGCCGTGTGCGGGTATTTGGCCTTGTTTAATGCTCGCCTCTTCATCCACTAGCAAGTAGTACGTACATTAGCACCATCATGATACATGTCAGGTGGCCTCGTGGCCTTGTACCTATCCTACTCACCGCCCGTTTCACATAGACAGTACCTTACAGTGGGAACTCCGACCAAACTTGGCTTACCGAAAAAGTGGAGGGGTATGATTGATTGATAAGAAAACAAGGAAAAAAAAAAGAAATGGCTCGGTAACGAGCCGTGCTCTTCCGACATTCTATTGGACTCGATCTCCCGTCACAATCCCTGCTGGCGCGATGGAGCGGAGGACAAGCCAGCTTCCCAACTTTCCTTTCTGTACAAATTAAATTGATTATTATTATTATAATAAGAAAGGATCCCGTGGAAGCACTACATCGATCGGCAGGCCAGAGCCCGAGCCATTGGCCAATGTGGTCGACAACGCCAAGCTAGCTAATTTGCAGTGCTACTACCGTACAAGCATGCGATCCAAGTTACACCAGATCTAGATGGGGTTAAGTTTCGAGACTGCCTCGTACGCGCAAATCCCGAGTCTGGTAATTTGTCCCTATGTGGTTTAACTCTGGGCTAGCTTGATACAGGCATAGTCCCCGCCGGAATTTATCGTCCATTTTTTCGGCTCGCCTTCCCTCGTCGCCTTTTCAAAGGGGCATAGCGGCCTGCCTGCTTCTGAGATGCGCCTCGTGGTTCCTGGCGCGGAGCCGATGCCCAACGCCCCAGCAGGGGTTTGGTGTGTTCTTTTTGTTTTTTTTTTTAACCCATACCACGCTGTGTATACAAAGTAGACGACCTGTCTTCCGTGGTAGGTCAGGAACAGTAGAATTGGCACGTTGTGTACTCCGTGTTTGTGCTGTCAAGTTTCAACAGCAAAAATCTTTCCTTGCCATAAGATCTGCCACGCCGTTAAGACTCCACTCGGTTCCAACATCTCGGAGCTATCTCTGCCGAAAGGCAATCATGATAGATTATTGGTTTGGATGTTACTCCGCCGTACGGTACTGTATATACCGTACCGTGCAGTACGTGTACGCCGATCCTTATGACATCAGCGTCTCTTCAACCTTCCTGATTGGCCCAGTCAGCCAATCGTCGGCATTTGTTGCCTCAACCTTGTATAGTTACAGGCTTGATGTTGATGTACAGCATCATGCAATTCTATCTCTGCATTGACTTGCGCGAGTACGGGGCACCTAGGTAAGCACACACTACATTCTAGGACTAGGGCGAAGGATCGTTTTCTATTGTGATCCATCACCTTAATGCATGCAAGTCATATACATGCTCGCTGAGATCATCTACTTCCTAGTAGTTTTGGGGTTAGCTATGCTCAGGCCTCCCTGTGCCTAGGTAGGCACCATGCGGCAGGTATTACCATGGATTCTTCTAGCTATAATACGGTGTACTTGGCTGTACGCGGTCTAGCCTCGAGTCCGAGGATTCATCGCATAAATAAGCATCCTTACTACGTACCTGCTATTAATTTACAACGTTTGTTCAGTCGCATGACCAAGAACTCGCCTTCGATGCATCCCCGGGGGCGTTTGTGGCAAAAAGGCAGCATGCCCCGTCGTACTTTTCCTCACTTAATGGGTTTAATCGAATCGCCTTCCTCCATGGGGCTGTTATCTAGGCACTTGGCCGAGGTCTAGTTGGTATGATTGCGGCTGAACTCATATTCGCTTAACTGGTATTTGGGGTCGTTTAAAACACGGCCTGGATACGCAAGGCGTAGAAAGTGTGGAAGGTTGGCCCCCAAATGTCTAGACAGCGGTAGGCTGTAAGACTCTGATTTAGCTGAATGGATAGTAACATACCCTTTTGTAAATGGGCGGCTGACTTGCAAACTGTGCCCCCATATTTCACTGGATGGATAGTACATCCATGGATATAGAGACTACTATATTGTCATTGCATATACCGTCGGGCAGACAAAGTCATTCGCCCAGTGACCTCGGCTACAGTGCATTAATGATGTTCAGGTGGCGCAATGCTTGCTGGCTCTCTCTACCCAAGAATTGCAAGGGAATAAAAAGTCAAATTCTTTTCTGTGCTGTATACCAACGTGATACCGGGATTGTTGTTGTCCAGAATCTTAGTGAAAACAAGGAGACAAACGACCAGCAAAACCGGTACTAAGCGAGAGTTCTGTACAGCAGCTGGCCACTCGAGGCTGTCCATGGTTCCCTTGACTTTATTCCTCTTTTCGATATCCATATGTGCCTGGAAATATTTCCTTTCTGTGTGGATAGATTTTTATGAGACCAATCGGAATGGATGCTATTGCGAACAACGCAGGCCACTTTCTCGAGATATCTAGATACTTATTATTGATGACATATGCCAGACAATACAACTTATTAGGTCTTTTTGGTAGTCCAGCAACAACCCTCTCAGTCGAAAGAGGACAAACCGTATCGTAAAGATGTCTAGGTTAAAAGCATTGCTAATTGGGATAAAAAAGAAGCTCGGCTCGTCGATAGGCGTAAATAGATACTAAACCCTGTGTCACGCTCACAAAGGAAGTGTCCTAGAAGTGACGGGGAAGAGGAGAACAAAATGCCAATAGCGGCTTCGTTGCAATGTGAAATTATGAAAGTAGATTGTAGGATAACGACATGCCTTGGGCGCTCTCGTCTCAGGCCAGCGCCTCGGCGGTGCCTGTTTTCCGTCTTCTTGAATATTCACTTGAGATAGCATCAATCGACCACCTTTTGGCGTTCATATATTTCCTTCCGATCATGTGATATGTCATACCAGCTCGCTGCAGAAAGCACCAGTCATCGATATCTTTGAACATAAGATCACCGTCTCTGCACTTCTCCCTTTCGTGGAGGCATCTTGGTGATGGGAGTTAGCTTCCAAGGAGAGGGGATGCTTTTCTCTCGTCGTTTGCCCCGCTGCATGTAAAATGCAGTGTTTTAGGGAGATACACAAGGCATACAAAAAGGTAAGAGAAACCTATTTCTATGCATTGGAACAATGGGTTGCCTAACAACGGTAACCCCAGGGACATGAGCCAAGTCTTGATGCCGTCTGATTCTTTCAGACTCTTCTACGAAGAGGACGCAACCCGTCACCCTTTCCAGCGTTGAGTTGCCCACGATTGTAGGTTTGAACCTTCAGAGTGCGTCGATTGTAATTCTTGTAATTCAAAGCGAAGTGTTGGTGGACAATAGAAGGAAGTGAAGATTTTTCCGCTTGTTTGCCAGAAATAGCGCCGTCGACAAGTCCTGGAGAAAACGCAAGAACGGGAAAACTATCTGTCTCCAGGTAGCTATCGGTGTTGGTGCTGGGGAAAACAATATCAGCGAGTCGGCTTTAAGCACGAGTTCTCTTTCTCTTTCGATGCCTGTCTAGAGAATAGCTTTGGCTGTAAATCAGAGGAGAACGAATTGTACTGCATAAGATGCCTAGGTAAAAGCATTGCTTATCTAATTAGCATAAAAAAGAACCTCGGCTGTCGATAAGCCTAAACAAAACTCCGGTACATTAAGCCCCCTTCAAGTGTTTCGGCATTCGTCCCACCGTTGCAGCCATGGCTCTTGTTTTTATTTCTCCTCGCCTATTGTAAGACATATGTAGCGTTCTTAGTGTTGCTTTGAGATTACAAGAGAATGTCGTCGACCAGAGTCACCATCTTCGAGCCGCCGCCACTCGATCCCAGCAAAGCTGCGATCGAAAATGTTCTCGAGCTAACTCCCATCAGCGACATCGGCCCTGTACGTCCTTGCGATGGTCATTATACGCTATTAACCCAAGCGTTGACGATATCTAGGATGTCTTCACAAATACCCGGCCGCTGTGGCATCCGCCCGGCGCGCGTGGTATCTACGGCGGCGCCGTCATAGCGCAATGCCTCTCTGCCGCGCAGCTCACTGTGCCCGACAACTTCTTCGTGCACAGCATGCACTGCTATTTTGTGCTTGCTGGTGACTCCGAGATCCCCATTGTCTATCATGTTGAGCGCGTCCGCACCGGCAGAAGCTACGCTACCAGAACGGTGCAGGCGCGACAGCGCGGACGCCCCATTTTCACCACCACGCTGAGTTTCAATGCCGCGAATAGTGGCGGAAAGAGAAAAGTCGAACATGACTCCAAGATGCCTGATGCACCGCCTCCAAAGGAACTACCAACTCCGCCGGAAGCGCGGAGTCCCTTTGAATCACAGAGACTGGATGACAGTCCTCTCTTGATCTGTATGTCCACGTCTTTGCTGCACAGGGAAAAGGGGACGAGTAACTAAGATTCATCCTCTTTCAACTTCATATAGCAGATGACACAAATATCGAGGACAGGAAGCTGCGCCAATGGATACGTACCCGGGGCAAAATTTCCCAAGCAGGCGGTCACCAGGCCCATCTATCAGCATTTGCATACATGTCGGACAGTTATTTCATCGGCACAGTTGCCCGATTACACCAAATCCCACGGTTTTCCTCTCCAGCAGCCCTGCAACGCGCTCTCAAGGCACTCAAGAATCCCTCCGATCTTGACAGTGAAGCCCTATCGCGCTATTTCAAAGAACTTGCGGATGAGGAAGCGGCAGAAATCCGCGCTGGAACGTTGAATGGCACTTTAACGGCGAATAGGCTGTCGTCAATCATGAAGAGAAATGATAGTAGGGAAATTGGCATGATAGTTAGTCTAGACCATACTATTTATTTTCATAATCCGCAGGCACTTAGGGCAGATGACTGGTTACTTGTCAGTATGGACAGCCCCTGGGCGGGCGAAGGCAGGGGTTTGGTCACGCAAAAGGTGTGGTCAAGAGAAGGCGTGCATGTGGCGACGTGTATTCAAGAGGTATTTTCCATCTTTGACTTCTATCTTTGATTGATGAGCTAATTTAGGCCATTCGAAGGGGGTTGTTCGACTAAAACAGGATGAAGACCCAGCGCCTCAACCGAAACTCTAAGAAGCCCCATGGCCCAAGTTTATATATATCTATACATACCTAATCACTCGATCTGGACAGAGAGAGAAGTATTGAAACTTAGGAGATTAAGGAGAAGCTATTCCTTTGTATCACATTTGTATAACGATCTTTTGCCTTCATGGATGTATCTAAATTGCTATAGAAAGCCACAGAACTAGGACATAAGCACAAGATTTCAGAAAGGCTAAGAACTAGTCAAAATACTTTGTATGTTCGTTGATCGACCAGACGGGCAGAAGACGACTTCAAACCCTGCCCCTTGTTGGATAGTGAAAGTGGATGTTTTGTCGTCATAAGCTATTATCGCTTGTCAGTGGCTACGATCATTGTTTTATAGAAGAAGAACCTACCATAGCTATACGCATCTGGACAGACCTTCTTCGCAGCCTTACTATACATATTCGGCCCGCATTTGTTCGGCTTGTCGTATTTCCCACTGCAGCAATAACTCGCTTTCCCATACATCGAACACATCGACAAGCAAGGATCAAAATCAGGACGCGGGATTCCGTCATCAGGGTATGGATAGACTCCATCACCGGGCTTTTTAGGTGGCTGGATTTGAAGAGGCCAGGGACACCACCGCGAGACTGCATGCGTCCCCAGCGTTAATTCTAGCGGGGTCGAGTAAGTGATACTGCCAATGGTCGAATTGACTGGCACAGTAGTCGTGTTGAGTTCATTCAAAGTTTCCCAGAAATTCGGACTCCCAATACAGACAGGATTTGTGGTATTTGATGGCATGGCTCTGAGATCGGCATCACTCGACTCGTTATGCAACGAAATGATTCCCAACGGCAGGTTATAACCGTCAACCAGAGAGATGTCGTAGTAAGACAAATTAACGTCTGATGACATCGTGAATTCAGCGAGCGTAGCGGGCTTGCCCTAAATTATATAGCAACATTTTGAACTTTGAGTAAGCTTCACTTAACATTGACCGGTATGGGGTATCATCATACAGTTCCCTGGCAATTCAGCACCCCACCGCAATCGCCTGTTAGACACGCTTCGCCCGTTCCATTCAACCCACCCGAGACCTCTGGTGCCGTCCCATCTGCATTAAACGTGCAATTTGTGCGTGCCCATATCCGGCCCTGCCAGTCCGCACTGACTTCGAAGCTGGTGGTGTTCCCGGGTGTAGCTTGGTAGCCGCCAAAGGCTGGCCCAGTTCCTGCCTGGGTTTGTATTGCTGGATAGATATCAACGGGGCAATAGTTGGTTATCTTGAAGGCACGCTGGGATGCGTCGGTAGCTTGTAGGGTCACAGGCGACCGCTTCATGTGATGGACTGCTTGGGCATCGTGAACAGCATAGGCGAGAAATGCAAGCTGCTTTAATAACAATGTTGACTTCGATATCACCATTTTCCCCCCCGGAATAGCGTCATACAAAAAGAAAACTTTTGCGAGAAGGGTTATTGACATTCAAAAGATTCTTAAAATACTCCAGTTGACCTTTGTATTCGAAATGCCAACCGCACAAGACAGACGGCAGGATAGAAATAGAAGGAGGCATTTTTGCCAGAATAAAGAAGACAAGATGCAAAACAGGCACAGGCCACTTGCGGTGGCAATCAGTAGTGACTCTGACGGTGCTTGTGTCGAGTTGAAAGGCTTTTTGGCGACGACTGGACGAGAGCGACTGATCTTTCTGCTGTTGTTGTCGCGCGAGTGTTTGAGGAAGGCGCCGGATGACGTTGGTTTCGGCAGGGAAGGAGCCAGCCTAACCGCTTGGGAAGTAGCCCAGCCAAACGGACGTCTTGCCGGACTGTCAACCCAGCAACATCCCTGCACAATTCAGTCCAATCAATCAATCAATCTTGCATTTGCTAAGTATCTGAACTCATCAACTACTTTGGACGAAGTACATTCATGGCAGTGCCAATCCATCAATAAACGCTTATAAACCATCGCTTTTGTGCAGGGGTTTCAAATGATATTCAGACAGCCACCCAAACTTTTGTTGTCGTCAACGGGCATCACGCAAACAGCAGGAACTTTACGAATAATCAAGGGGTGAAGCGACAGAAAGAGAAAAAAGCATCGACGAGGACAGTGAACACCTTTAGCACTCGTCGTAATGCAAATTCGCGTGTGACGGGGGAATAAAAAGCCAAAAAAAACAAATGGGGCACGATAGTTGTCATATCACAGTCATGCAGGGACAATACCCCGTTGAATGCAGTAGTCCAATACACGTTGGCCCCAAACATCGCGCCCCTTATACTTGGCCATGTCATCAGGCCAGCTTCGGATTTCAGTGGCCAGAGCCTGCAGCTGATCAACTGGGAGGTCTTTGAGCGTTTCCAGTGTTGTCTTGACGCTGAAAACTAGAGCTCCAGTACGTGGTAACCGCCGGAAGGTCTGCCGTTCACGACGAAGGAGGACCTCATCAATAGACGGGCCGGGTTTCTGCTCGTTTAATCCATCGGGCCGAAATAGAGTGTTGCTCAAGCCTTCGTCTGGCTCTGTGGTCTCTAAGAAATAGTTGGACCGTTCCATCGGCGACTCCGGAGTGAGTCGGCAAAAAAATCTAGGATGGTTAGACATAGCCCACCTGCAAGTCTGCTTTGTCATTGTCACTTACTTGTTAACTGAATGCCCAACCTTGTTGTGCCACTCCGGTACAGGTGCATGAATCTGAGAGACGGTCCATCCAATGCGGTTCTGAACCGACCACCCAACGGGAAACAGGGTAGCACTCGCAGCACTACCAAGAACTATCAGCATTAGAAATTAGGAACAGCGTCACTTGGCCCCATACAGGTAGTATTCTCCGTCCGCATTCTTCATGAGGACACTCAAATCCTCCATAGCCAGCCGCACTGCAATTTCAAGAGGCTCCGTTGTGCTATTTGCACCGCCAATGACGAATTTTTCACCCGTTTTGATATTGTGGATTCTTTTCATGGCACCATGGTCTTCCATAAGAAACATGCTTGGGTATCTCTCACACAGGAATTGTGCCACCACTTCCAAAACTTCTGCACAGGCAGCTTTAGATTCAGGAAGGCATTGGAACACGTTTTCCCTCTGGTTTCGAAGCAGAGAATCCCGAATGTCATGCTCCTTCAAATAGTTTTTATCGACAGTAAGCCAGTTCCACTCATCCAACTTTCGCAAACCCATGGTAATGCGGAATTTCTGGTTGCCTTTGATTGCATTGCATGGATATGGCGCCCTGAGAGTCACATCCTGGTTGTTCGTATTCTCATGAACCTTTTTCTGTGAAGAATGAAACCATCTCAGCAGCCATTGAAAGAAGACGCCGAATACCGTGAAAACTGCCAATGAGAGGGAATACACCATGCTGCAACGAATTGAAGCAATTGGTATTGTTGCAGGGATATCTCAAAATGATCCGGCTTGTTTTCAACGCCAATGCAGGAGCAATTGTCACCGAACTGGAGGGAACTGGAATACTATCGACAAAGAAAAAAGAAAGAACAGAAAAGGAAAGAGAGAGAGGGATAAATTTTTTACAACTATGATCAATGCTATGGAGAACGCAAAAGACGAGACGGGCAAAATATATAGTAAAAGCATTTAGCCTCATAGTTAATGAATGGCTGTGCTTACGTACCTGAAAGTTCTTCATTGCAGCAATCACACGTGCCCTCAGCTGGGACATGGCACGTCTAGTTCATGGCTACGGAGCCGGACAAGCTCCCCACAAAATGCAACAGCAGCCACATGATCGATCGCATTTTGCTGTCGCAGGAGGTCGATCCGCCCAGTGTCGCAAATTGGGATGGCAGACGCAAGCTGGTAAACAAGGCATCCTATGGCTAGAGGCTGGGCATGCCTTTAAGCGGTCCGTGAATCTGAGTTATGAGCAGTAATAGGTTTTCATTGTCCTTCTGGAGTTACTCTCTTACTAATACCACTAGTTGGTGCGGTGAATCAGATATCGCGCCGGCGTTGGGTTTTGTGGATTTTATGCCCAGACTTAGCAATGTTCGCAATGCTTGCTACTCAAAGGATTGGAATTTGGGATTCATTCGTTTTTTTTGCTCGCGCGTGATGATGTCCGTGCATCATCTCTAGAGTCTGCATCCATTCAACAAACCCACTAACTACGGAGAAGTTATTGGCTAGAACCAGCAAAGATCAACTTTTCGAATGACCGAATATACATCATCCTGCTTAACCCCCTTTTTGATTGCTCTTAATCGTTCACCACCATGCACCGGAGGAGAGTCAATATTGATGCAGCGATATTGCAGTCCTACATGGCATCTAAACTTCCGTCTTTGCCGTACAGAGTATGCACTCTACGCGGTCCAGCCATAATCCATCCATCTCCGCCTTTTGTTCGGCGGGTCTTTATTTCTCCACACATAACTCGCCCCTCGCCAATGTCACGCGTGAAAACCTGCCTGCCAATGGCCCTTTAATCCCCTGTAGGGACCTCGGGGCGTATCCAGTAGGGCCGTAGCAAATCTCTGACCGCCTTCGATTATCCACAGCCAAATTGAAGTCATATACTCACTTGCCTAATCTGGAATTTCGAGATTCCCGCGCAAAGCGCGCTTGCCGCTGGGTGATATCTACCGCCCCCTTTTAGATCTAGACCCAAACCAGTGGCTTTTAACGGTTTAACCAAAGAAGGATCATGATGGGTCTGTCATCTTTCTATGGAAGGCTGTCGAAACAGAATGAGGACACACCAGCCTGGTGTTACCGTTCCTTCTCATAACTTGCTGTTGTGATTTCGGAATTGCTAATTCCTGAACCCAGTTTCCGCACCTCCGAGCACTATACCCATGTCCAGCTCGCCTTGTCGGCGAATATTAGCTAGTTGGCTATGTGGCTGTTGGGTAATACATCATCCCAGGTCAGGTGAGTGAGGCTTTGCACGTCTGCAGTCTGAGAGAAAGCCTCCTTTGGCCTTCTATCTTCGGAATAGATCTTAATAACGTACGTACTACGCTAAAAATTGTTTAGTGCTTACACGTCTGGTCAGCCCACCCCGGAAAACGGAGTAGAGTACACGTCGAATGAACCAATGCCAATGATCGGGGCCAATTGGGCGGGGTGCTGCAGTGAGAATGATCGCTCGGAAAATTTATCTCTAGCTCAGTACGAAGTACGTCAAGAGGTCTCGTGCTTGCGATTTGACAACAGACCTCAGCAAGGAAGGAATGAAGTGGCTGTTACGGACCACAAAGCCACAGTTTTCTTGGATGATGGTGCATTTAACGAGGAATGCAAGGATATGAGGTTATTACAAGCCACCAAGACCCTCTCTCCCTAGCGTGAGTCTTGCCTTGGATAGGCAGAAGTGCCTTTCGATTTATGCATTCATACCCCGTAACAGCCACCGATTGGATTATAAAACAGCACAGCTTATGCTAAGTCAAGGACAGCTGAGGCTGAGCAGTTATGGATCGCATTAATTAGTTAACTAGTTATATCATGCCGAGGTCTTTACGTCATCAATGGTCGACACAACTGAGGTCTTCTCAGTCTTAATTCTGGAAGCCCGGAAAATACCTCATACAACTAATTATATTGTCCTGTCACGGCGTTACAAGGCAATTTCGCGCTTCGGCCTCAAGCTCCTGTGAAACACAACAAGGATTCAGGTTGACCGGTTAAAAGAACCGACTGATTAGATTATGGAGTGGGTTTCACCGTTGCTCTGCCGACTAAAGCTGCTTCAACAGCCTTTCATCCGTCCACCTACATGCATTCGAGTATTATCAGCGAGCGGTGGGTACTCAAAAAGTATTATCACTCGATGATATGGACGCACATATATTTCTTTATGAAGATTTGAAAAGGCATTTATGGATCTTAACCGCGCTTTCCGCCATTAAATATTGAAAATGAGTCGGGTTCCATTGTCTTTATCTATCGCTACTACGTCTAGAAGTGCAGAAGAGGATACTATCGTGGTCAATTGCTTGGTATGATTTCAGAAAGGCGGCTTGAAGGCATATTCCCGAGTCGGGAGCCATAATGGATCCAGATTAACTCATTGACTGCCAGTTATGCTTTGTGGACGACACATACATGCAAAGTTTTACAGCAAGTTTCAAAAAAAATATGGCACAATTCGATTTGAGGCTTTTTTTTTTTTGTGGATTTCTGTCACTGACTAGAGGGTCACATACACTTACGCCAAATGAATAGCATTGTCAAAGACCTAAAACCAAGGTCATGCACGTATCCAGGTTAGGCAACCTATCTCACCCAATCTACTTCAACAACGTTGTTAGACGACTTATAGCCTACAACGCGGCCACCGTAATGTAGGTGCTGGCAGGTCAAAGTGATGCTCTCGACCACGTCACCGCTAGGGATTTGTCAACCTTGACATATCAGCCTTGTACCGGCTCTGGCGAAGCGACTCGGCCGTGTAGAGTTCATCGCCAACGTTGCAGCAATAGTTTGATTTAGGAGCGCACTTGCTATGAACAGCCTATGCAGTAATGCTAGATTCCTTGATTGAAAGCTCGCTTTACACATTACCCCCGCAAAATACAGCGACATGAAAAAGCTCGTCATACGGGGACTTGAATGTGGTTCCATCTCATGCATCTGACACGCGAGGGTAGCCTTGAGACATGACGAATAGCATATTCAGTCAAGACAGTCCAAGTTATGATATCTCAAATGTGGATTTTCAAATACAATGCGGAGTTAAGTCTTTCCAATCAAGATGGAAGAGAAATTTTGTTACGTTACTAAAATTGCTGTAGTTAAGCACGAGAAAGCATATTTGCGCGGTCAGACAGAGTTGTCTCGATAGTAATCACCGTAGCATGCTTGCTCTCAAGATTTTTTTCCTCGTCAAGGCTTATGAGTTGATGATCCTACCGCCCAGAACATTCGGAAGTGTACGCACATTCAACTTACCCCAACGTCTGGCACTGTTCTGGTCTTATTCGGAAGCATGCTGCCGTCCAGCTCAGCGTCCTGCATACATTAGCCAGCAGTCAAAAGGTATGATGACCTTAGTTGATGCTCGTGGAGATGTACGCGTTTTCCGTCTCTACAATCGGCCATGTGACGAACACTAGAATGGATACCAGTCTATAAGCGTGTTGACGGTAAACCAGTACCAGTACATAGTATGCTACGCATTTCAAACGTTCTAAATTGCCCTAAGATGCGAGAAACCGATGTTCATATTGACACATCATACTTGAGTACCATGCAGGAAAGCTCAAGACCACTTTTCTCGCAGGGGTAAACAGCAAAATCCTAATTCGTTTTACTACACATATAACATGCACACCTTACCACTCGATTGCACTCCCCAACGCAACCAATCCAAATCATACACATTTCCAACATATTAAGCATCTCAACCCTTCCCAGCAGTACTAACATAACTAGCAGGCATACAACTCATACCACGCAGATCCCCCGCAAAGACCATAGCAGGACGGGCGTTCACTCAATCTCTCATCATTGATACGGCAGATGGACGGACCGAGGGACTATGTACGTCCATACAGGTGCTTTCCCACGTTCATTATGGCCGGATGCACCAAAATTTTCAAATGCACTGAGAACTGGAAATAGCCGGTACATACTAGGCGTAATGTTACCTCAAGATTCGAGTGAGCGTTCGGTTGTGTAGACAGTAGCAGCGGCAGGATGGCTTTGGGCAGTGTTGCGACTGGGGTCTCACGGGAGCACTGATGGGTTTTATCTTTGACAATGAATGGTGGTTATTTCACTTAATTTTATTTTTTTTGTCTCAAAGTGGAGAAATTGGTTTTAAGGTAAGTCTTCTACTTTTTCTTACATTTTTGCCTCCGTGTTGCTGCGCTGCAGAGTTGTGTATAGCACATGTATGAAGAAAAGAGCTCAAAAGTAGATTGTGTAGCTTCTTTTTCGAATATTAAGATACTTGAAATCAAAGAATTTTCTATGGCATTCAAGCGTTGAAGAACCTTGGAATCGTGGCCACCTAAACTTCCGCACTTGGCATGAATGCTTCTGTGTGAAAATAGCCATACATAGTATCCTATGTATCTCTTCTACGTGCTACGCAATACAGTGCACCTATGTATGTATGCAAGTATTTACCTCAAGACAGACGCGTCGTTTACATTCCAGTGACCTGGGTCGTGTCGAGTTAGGGCTGTTTGGTTCCCCTGCTCCTGTCTTTCCCCTTTTTGGCTATTGCTGGTATGTAGGCTTGTTTGCTAACATACCATGATGTGGGAAAAGAAAGAAAAAAAGAGAGAAAAATAAGACAGGATTATGTTGTACCGATCTATCACGTTGAGCAACTATTTTTTGTTTTCCTTCCTTTATTGCTGCAGTAGTCTTATCTATAAGTTGGCTCGTGAAGTCACAGCCAGTGCATCAAGTTATCGAAAAAGAAAAAAAAGTCAATATAAATTCAAGACACATGCTACCTACTTACATTCAGTCCATCTTTTGGAGACCAAAACGAATAGCAAAAAATGGAGAAAAAAGTAAGGGAATGGAAAGGCAAAAAGGTATAAAGTCGAAGCAAGCTCATGATGGCTGGCGATGATGAAAAACGAAAATTGGGAAATGATGAAAGAAAAATAGGAGAAGGGAATTCCATGCGCCAAGATAATAAATAATTAATTTCATGTAAACAAGCAGGTATAGAGGATGATGGAACGATATGAAAAGTTATAATGCAGATGTCCATGCCAATTCATCAGATGATGGTTTGTTTTCAACGCCCAAGATTCGTTCGGATAACCGGTCACTTTGGGTTGGGTCATGTATTCTGGATCTATGAATCAGACAAAGGAAAAAGACATATGGGTGAAAAACGGTAGGTAGATGAGATGTGAGATGTAAGTGATCAGAGGCCATGTTCTGAAATCTTTTGAAGAAGATGGATATAATGTTTCGTGACTCATCATATTAGAAAGAAAAAAGTCGGCGTCAAGTTTGACTACTTGAAACGTGCTGAGCAGCGACCCATGACTTCGCCCTGGCACACTAATTCGGCATTGAACTCAGATCCGTCAAGGGTGAGGTAAATGTCAAAGTATACTCGGTAGAATATACCATTTGGTGTATCCATGCGCTCAAAGTCTTTTTCGAGATTCTTGCGTGAGAGATCAGATGTGAGCGTAACATACTCTTTGATACCTGTGTCGATCATGTTATGTTAATATGCTGTTCGCTGTTTGTTATAGAGAGGAAATGAACTTACGAGGGTCCTTGACATATTCTGGACAGACATCTTCATCGCAAGCGTACAGAATATCTTCGTACATCAAGGTAGCACCAGGAGCGACTTGGCGGAAAAAGCTGACTTTGACAGGCTCGCCAATCTTGACGCGCTCGCCTTTTTGCACAAATATTTGGCGAGTGTACTTGCATCTGTCCTTGCCATCCAGACTGGGAACACGATATTGTTCAGGGTGATAGCCCTCTTTGAAAGGCTGCAACGTAGCCACAAGGTAGTGTCGACGAGCAACACGATGAGTAATGACTCTCTCGGCAATACCTGCTGTAACAGCACCCTTCACTATTGCGGCCACTGAGTCCATTGGGCGTACAACCTTTGATTGGAACTGAGGTGGCACATGTAACTTAATCTGTTGGAAGAGATACTCAGATGCACCAAATCCACCCACGACGAGGACATTCTAGAATAACCAAGAGAATTAGTTTATGAAACCAAAAGGTAACATAGATAAGTGAAGGCCTTCTTACCTGGAGTCTCTTGTTTTGCGCTTGGATAGCAATGATTTGATTGCGCACCAATTCTAAAATACGGTTCACGACGGGTTCAAAACATTGCAATATCTCCTCGTTCGTGAAAGTCATGTAACTATCCTCGATGCCCGCTTCCGGATAATCAGCTTCGATGCCAACGTCAACAGCCCATTTCTGTCCGTTGTTGCGGAAATCGGCCTTGATTCGGTTTTCGAAGTCCATAATACACTTGGCATAAACTCGTCCAGCGGTTCGCGATCCATCTGGAAGATTCATTTTACGGATTCTGGCACGTAAGATGTTGCTGAAATTGCGATTCAAGGCCGTTGAACCGCACGAATCACCGGATCCTGCCGTGCACTCGGCCACTGTAAAAGGACTCTCCTCTTCAACTTCATAAGCAATCAAATCGACAGTACCACCACCACAGTCAACGATCAGAATGGCATCGCCAATCTTCAAGTTCAGGAGGCCAGTCTTGGCGCAGAACATGGCAGCAGCCTCAGGCTCGGTGATCAGGGTCAAACGATTGTCGTGTTCATCACGCAGGTAGCCAGCTTGGATGGCAGCAGCGCGTGTGGCAGCCTTGGCTGCATCATTCCAAATAGCAGGGACGGTCAAGAAGTAGCGAATATTCCGCTCCTCACGATTGAAAACCTCGCCCAGAGTCTTTTGTAGCTGAGCGCGCATTGCTTGTCGAATCTTGAAGAGATAATCGGCCGCTACATCTATTTCTGATTTGCCTGGAGGCAGCGGTGGCAGGTTTATGGGATCGATGTAGGTGTTTCCAGACAGCATCAACTGCAGCTTAAACCATTCGACCTTTTGTACACCAGTTTTTGGGAAACCGGTAGGTGCCAAGGCATCGGCAATATCTGGACCCCATCCAACTACCTTCTGATATGCATCGTAGTAGAGCACCGTTGGAATCTTTTGTTTGGTGTGAGTACCAGCGCCTGGCCACTCGGTGATTATGTCTTCCCGAGCCTCATTGTTGGTAGCAAAGGCATAAGCAACACCGGAGAAGGTCGTCCCAAAATCAATACCCACAATCAATTGCGCCTTGTTCCTGTTGGTGCCGTCCACTTCCGCGGCGGGATTGCGAATGCCCTGCGCGGGGCCCAAAGAGGATTGCATACCGTGCTGATGCAACGGCTGTGGTGCTGGTTGCTGGTAGCCATAGCCAGGAGGGCCTCCGGCGACTGGTTGCGCATACTGCACGGGCTGGACGGCGGTATTGATGGAGGGGTGTTGGGCTACTTGCTGGCCGGCAACCGACATGGGGCTCGCCCTTCCCGTGTATGTATAACTTGGAGGCCGGCCGTTCATGGGGAGACTGGTGGAGGAGGCAGTCGAGGGTGGCGGGGGGCTAGTGGAAACGTTGCTCGCAGGCGGAGGAGGAACGTAGTTAGCCGGGGCCTGAGAGATAGTCGAATTACTGCTGTTCTTGCGCTTCGACGAGAACGGGAAGTTTTTGAAACGCGAAGTCATGGGTGAGGTCGTACGAGAGATGTTCCTTTATGAGAAAGGGCGAGGAATAAGAGAGGAAAAGGTGGGCCGCGGGAATTCAGCCCTGGCTTGGGGCTGTTCTGCTTGTTTATGCTGGAGCGACGTGAGATGAGATGGGCAGTGCTTGAGGCAGAGCGAGACGTGGACTGGGCGAGGCGAGTTTCGATTTGAGACGACGCGTTAGAGCAGGAGAGTGAAAAGTAGAAGAGAGGATGCCCGTCTCATGAGGAATCCAGTCCGTAGTGTTAGCCCCGTTCTTTAGTCGAGGATGGCATCCACCATAAGCGCTATTTCGCAGAGAACCAGACTGAGAGTTGCCCGCTGTGAGTCTGCGTAGTGCTATAGAACGGAAATGAGCGTGCGCGTCAGTGGCCTCGTCATTATCAATCGATTTTCGCTGGGTCTGACTGCCTTACCTGGGGAGGGGGAAGAGTTGGTTGAGGTTCGCTCGAGGAGAGTCAGCCGCGCCAAGACGAGATTGGGGGGCCTTGTGTGCCTCGTCTGGTGTGCCTTGTCCCGGTGGCAGCCAAAGCGGGGTGAATGCGTATGACAAAGAGCGCGACGGACTGCTTGACTATATTGAACACGGGTATGTTTAGTATTTAGGTGTCTGATATTCAATCTGAATGATTGCCGAAATTACTAGGATATTTTGACTATTTCAAAGCGTGTATCTAAAATTAACGAGCGTTGCCTGAGGCTGGGCCAGCTCAGCCGCTGCAACGTGCTAAGGATGTCCATACACTAACTGAGGCTGAGTGCGACTAATACTACCGCAGTTAATAGCATAGAACACGGCTCAATAATTTATTTTGTTGACCACGCACCAGCGACCACGCTATGAAGTAAGTTGCCAGAATATCCGTCAGAATTGAAAGCACCGAAGCTCGGCAACAACAGCTGTGTAACTGGAAACTGTGAAAGGAGTGTGCCTCGCAGTCCAACCCGACTAACGCATTTATTTCTCCCACGACATGTAGTTAGTTTTGATACAATATAAGACATATGAACTGTGAAGGTCCAAGAGCGGTAACTTGTTAGTAAATAAATATAAGAATTAAATATAGAAACTCGGATGTATTTATAGAACGTGCCGTACCGAACTTGAATTTCCCGCGGCGCCCGTGATTGGCCAGTTCGTTTGCCCTACAAATGATGATGATACTAGGATAGCCACAGTTACTCAACATGAGACGGCGTCTTTTGTCTCTGGCAGTGAGCAAGACTGGATTGTGAAAACCAGCGGAGGGCCCTGAGGATGATACCGAGCAGATAAAATGGCTTGCCATAGGCTTTTCGCTAGGTCTCACGGGCAGGATTTATTAAGGTTAGATTTCACCCCATGGTTGACAGGTTGACTGCGCAGATGGCATTGTAGAAGCAAAGCTAGCTCTGTGAAACAATCTGCCGAATAGTTAATAGATAGGGAAAGCCAGTCATACGAAGGCGCCTCCGAACATTAGATGCCCTAACCCTAGCGCTAGTCCGTATCCGGAACTGACACGGAGAATATAGATCAGCCAATCAGAACCTGCGCCAAGTAAGAAGCATTCTTTCTGTTGCCGAATTAAGGCACGCAATTCAGGCGCAAAATTGCTCTCGCTCACATGAAAACGACGTGTCTGTCCGGACTTCGTTGCGACCTGTTGCTGGATATACACCGACTTTTGTTTGGGCGAGCCGGACGCAGAATGCAAATTGATGCTGAAAATGTCATGATTAGTGAGTCATCAGACTAGCCAAATCTCGGAATAGCTACCGATTGATTGCTTGCAAGCTTCAACGAGTCAGCAGGGACAAACTAATTGTTGATCATTGTCGGGATAAACAACGAAACGAACGTTCAGATATGCAAGGCTGACATGGCAGCAGCTGCAAGCGCAGTTCGTGTTAGTTACTTGTCTCCCTGAATGACTTTTGAGGTCCAGCAACTTCTAGAAGATGCCGGCCGATGGCAAGTAAAAATTTTCACCCAAGGCAAAATTTCAGAGGCAATTGCCAAATACTGTAGGTAGTTTCCGAGTCATAGGATAACTATACCTTCCTAAGCTTTCTGGCCCCTTTTTAAATTACACATGAGCTCATATTTCGACGCCGTCTTAGCCGTGTGGGAAAAATGAAAACAAAAATTTGTCTCCGCCGCTCGCAAAGAATCCCGAGATTACCGAATACGGAAAAGCAAAGGAGAAAAGCTTCGCATATGGTCGCGGTCCAGACCAAGAATGCATGGATTTTCATGATGGATTCAGGTTTAAAATCAAAAACACACATGCCTAGACTCGGGAGATGTTCGCCATTTGAAGCATTTTGCCTTTTGCTATACTGTATGCAGTAAGATCAATCCATTTTCAACTCCCAGGCCCACAGTCCCTATGAAGGTTTTTGTCAGCCAAGTTATTTTTTTTTTCCCCTTCATCATTTGGGCAGCATTCGTCAAATCTTTGCAAAGTTTAGTCTGTATATAAGGATCTAGGTAGCTACTGCAACAACGGGGGGTCCTGCGTCATGTTTGAATAGACAGGATTCATGAATATGCTCCCTGTATGATCTATACGATCTCATCAACCTTCACTAGCACATTTCATAACAAATATTTAATGCTTTATCATGTCGACAAACAATCAGACAAGCACAGAGCTGCATGGCTCAGGCTTCATCGCTGAGCTTGAAATCGTTTCTTCACAGAATGGATCCGAGACAACACTGCAGGGCACAGATACCTCCGAGCACGAGGCAGTGCGTAACAATCAATCATCGTATCGCTTTCGTCGACTAGCTTCCAAAACAATTGTATCGTTTGGGCCTGATGATCCGGAAAACCCTCACAACTGGAGCAAGGTCTGTATATGTGTCCTTGGAAGGAAGACAATATCTGACTGATCCAATTAGGGCAAAAAACTGTTTGTTGTCTGTTCCGGCGTGATGCAGGTGCTAAACAGCACCATTACTTCATCTTTACCTAGTAAGGTCTCCTTTCTGACCCAATGCAGGAATTTATTTACTTTCTTTGACGAATCCTCACTTACACACCACAGGCGGTGCCACCGACTACATAGCGAAAGACTTCCACATCACCAACCAGGAGAGACTCGTTCTTCCAATTTCGCTCTTCCTTATTGGTTATGTACTTGGACCTTTGCTATACGGGCCTTTATCAGAGCAGTATGGCCGTCGATACCCGCTACTCATTGGCTATTTCCTATTCAACATATTCGTAATGGCTTGCGCTCTTGCCCCTTCGTTTAACGCCTTGTTGGTATTCAGACTCTTGAATGGAATGGCAGCTAGTGCTCCAATTGCCATTATCACTGGCACTTTCTCGGATGTTTTTGATGATCCAACCCAGCGCGGAAGAACAATGGCTTGGTACATGGCTGTATGCTTTTGTTTTTCTTTCCGTATATCCATTCGACGTGATCTGTTACTAATATTATTATTTTAAACAAACAGAGCACCTCCGTCGGTCCCATTATATCGCCATTCATGTCCGGATTTATATCGACCATTAGCTGGCGCTGGGCGTTCTGGCTCGGCCTCATTATCGTCGGTGCCTCTTGCCCACTCGTTTTATTCTATCCAGAAACCTACGGCCCTGTCTTGCTCCAGCGCCGTGCCAAAATGCTCCGTAAGGAGACGGGTAACACTAGTATTGTGGCTCCTTTGGACTTGACTCCCCATGATCTTCGAGCTACGCTGACGGTGACGCTTGCTCGACCATTTCGTATGATCGTAAAGGAGTACATGGTGTCCTTGACTTGTTTGTACCTGTCTCTGGCATATGCTATCTTTTACCTCTATTTTCAGGCATATCCCCTAATCTTCCAAGGTGCGGCGAATCTTAATTCTCCATTACACAAACCGTACGAGGAGGAAGACTTTTACTGATTTGTTTTGCTGATATAGGAATTTACGGCATGAGCACGGGTATTGCAGGCTTAACCTATCTACCAAGTAAGTACCTATCTCACTCAGGCTTGAATTGTGTAGGAAGAGGACGAGGAGATTAGAAAAGATCTGAACTAACGACTCTCTCAGTCGGAATCGGATGCTTCCTAGCCTGCGCAATTTTCATCTGGTACGACGGCTTCTTAGCTCGCGCCAAAGCTCGAGGAGCCTCATGGGCCAACAACGAAGACTACCGAAGATTACCCCTGGCATGTGTCGGCGGTCCGCTATACGTTGTGGCGCTTTTCTGGCTCGGATGGACCGCATCACCCAATATTCACTGGGCCGTACCCATGTCGTCCGGCATAGCGTTCGGACTCGCCTACGAACTCATCTTCATGGCCATGCTGAATTATCTCTCTGACGCATACCAGATATATGCAGCTAGTGCGCAGTCAGCGGCGAGCTGCTGTCGTAGCATTTTTGGTGCTGTTTTGCCGCTCGCTGCGCAACCCATGTTCTCTGCGGTGGGCATCGACTGGGGGTGCAGTATTATTGCATTTGCCAGTTTGGGCGTATCGATTATCCCGTTTGCGTTCATCTATTTTGGGGATAGGATTAGAAATGGCAGTAAGCTGCAGAGGCATTTGCAACTCCTCAAGGAAGAGGAGGAGCGAGCTTGGGCGCAAGTAGCCGCCTCTGGCAATGGCAATACGACTGTGGAAACTGAGCGTGCAGAGAAGAGAGCGGAGGTAATGATCAAAACCAGTGCAGATACTGATGTTGAGAAACAAGCTGGAAGTGTTTTAACATCATCGAAGTCAGCACATTCACATTCAGCGCATGCATCGAGCTGAATGCGCTCGATGGAAAAGGAGAAGAGAGGAAAGAAGAAGTTGTGAAGAGGGCAAAAAAGGGAAGATGAATTTTTATTGCATTTATCTAATTTGAACATACAGGATACCCATACTCATTTGCATTAGGTAGCGGAGGTGAAACCCATCAGTTGGCATTTTTGAGGGGAACATGGATGTCACGAGAGATGCTTTATGATAATAATGGCTATGCATGGCTGCTCGTGTACTTAGTTTAATATTAATGATTATCTAATTTCGGATTAATAGTACTGCTGCACAAAGTACTAATGGGTTATTTCTCTGCATTATTATTTCTCTTGAATTTCTAAAATCTATTGCTAGCTTCTCAGAAGGCCCATTTTTTTTTAAACTAGCTCAGTGACAAGTCTTACTGGTCACTGCTATTAGCCTGGCCAAGAATAGCGGCCAACGACTCGCTGTTCTGCTCATACTCCCCCTTGTCATTCGTAGGGATCCTCTGCGAGGCAAAAGCCAAAAAGACGGCCTCCCAATGCCCGTCAGCGAACTTGAAGAGCAAGGCGCCATCGTCATAGATTCCATTTTCATATGATGGGGCACTGCCTTGGTTCATGTGGATGTCGTGAATCCCTGAGCCGTAGGATGAGCCGAAAATGTACATGGCAGCTTTCTGGTTGATGGCATCGGTAAGGATGGGCTCCAACTTGTCAAGGATGTCGTTATTGGATCCCTTGGCCTCGGTGGGGAGCACACTGCCTGACTTTATGTCCACAAGCCCTGGAGTGCGAATGAAGTCCAGGCCTTTCAAGGTGGTTGCGGCATCGTTGTTGTGGCGGCTTTCGTGGTGGTGGCTGTGATGGTGGCTGTTATAGCTACGATTTTTGCGATGGGCATACTCGCTGAGAAGATGGAAGCCTTCGTCCAAGTCATCCAGCTGCGAGGTAATGGGGTTGGTGAAGTTTCGAGTGAGCCAGAAGACAAGGCGGTGATCATTGTCGGTGGATCTGACATTGATGGCGGCTTCGGGCTCCTTCGAGCTGGAGGACGAGGGAGAGTCGGTGAAATAGAGGTAGATGTGAGGAGAGGTAGGATCTTGTTGGAGGGTTTGCGCGGTATAGCGAGTGGGCTGCCCAACCCACACGCCGTAGTGTGGGATGCTGCTTCCTGTCAACTTGAACAGATACAGAATGTGTAGGATGGTCAAAGATTGGAATGGCGATCCGGTAAGGTGTAACGAGAAGAATGAAGGACAGGCAGCTTTATAACTCTCTTGCACAAGACGGTTGATCCCACGGCGGGGTAATTAACAGACATGATAGAATTGGATCTCAGAGATCGGACGACTATATAAAGGAATGGTAGAATTCGCCGCTCACACGTGCATTCGTTAAGGCTTAGCAAGATGATCATAGTGCTAGTTAGCGTTGGCCACGCGTCGTTATCACCGCTTCAACTTGGAAGTCTCGAGCCATTGACGTCTTAGCGTCGGAGATCATCCACTTCTGGTGTTGACAAGTTGACAGACGGACCGGGCTTCAGCTGAAGATCCGCGAAGGTGTCGAATAGAGCATCCATGTCAATCTGATGTCGCACTCGATGAGACCCGGGCCATTGGCCGACGGTGTTATTTCCACTCTTTGCTGGTGGATTGCAAAACAGTTATCCTTTATGCTACTGTAGCCTGCCCCCATCTTGCTTTCCACTCGCGTTTTATCGTCTTCTGAATATTTGGGGTAGTTTTCAGGGATCAGTTGTTCCTACTTCCTCTCTCACTCGATTCTTTCTCACAACCAGTCGACGGGTTCTCGGTACTACCAAATAAGTTGAAGCCCGAAATTTAAATTTCAAAGGCGTTTTGTTTTGAAAGCTTTTGTTACGTAAAGGCGCTAAGTGGCGGCCGGGAATCTTTCAGCCAATAGAATGCCGTAAATTATATATCTCTCCGCCTCAACTTACTAGTGGCTTGAAATTGAAATACACCAAATCTATATCAGCGTAACCGACCAGAAATTGGGAAATAACAGCCCTACCAGACAACGCACTGCCTAGTTAGAAAATCAGACAAACTTTCTTCGATTGTAGTAACTATATCTACGTAAATTAGTTCCAATATATTATATCTTTTCGTTAATATATAAAAAGATCTAATTTTGTGGCAGTCTTCAAGTCCCTTGGAATCGCTGATGAATTGTAGACTCAATAATATAGAGAGATGCATGGGTTGATCCGGAGTCCATCCGTAGCTGCGGAAGTTGGAGAGGTAATTTGAGATAGAGCTGGCAAGGCAGTCATTGCCATTCTGGAATACACCATGAAGTTTGCTGCGGCATGAGCTGGTGCGGCCGTTGTCGACATTGCCGTTCACATAGCATTTGCAGGCAATAGTCAGGGCGGAGAGCATGGCAGTAATGGCTATGGCGGTGATGCACGAGAACTGCATGTTGGCAAGGTTTTGTCACCGACTGCATGGAATTTAAGTAGTTTGTTTGTTTAGTATGGAACGTTTGGATGTTGCTGGAGAGCAAAATAGGGACCTTAATGCCTTCTTTTAGATCTGGCGTTCTCGAGCTCGCTCCCAGATCATGTGTCAAGCCATAAACTACCGGTATTCAATGGCCTCATGTCGTGCAGCGGCTGGAAGCTGAATTAAGCAGACCTTGTACATCCCAACTGCTGGAAAAGTCACATCAATATAGTTAGTCGCTCGCCTCGCTCGGTAGCTCATCACTATGTTAATAAGATGTCATTTCCAACCCTATCTTGCAGATGTCTCATCTAACTTGTATATTAGTCAATATACCCCATAGGTAATGCTATATTAGGTGCCTAAATTTCCTTTTGTTCCACATTTGAATTACCAAGTTACACTTGCCCTAACCCTTTGTTGGTTTTTGTATCACAGTTACACCCTTGGGTCCCAGATATGCTTGTTTATTACAATCTTTACAGTATTTACTGTACGAAACAGGTATCTCTCAATGGCTTTCCAATATTAGGAACTCTAATTGGCCTAATCTCGTATCTCGGGTTTCAGGGTGTTTGTGATGGCCCAACTAGGAAAGATTGTATTTAATATTTTTATTCCCATTCTTTTTATTCCCATTCTTTTCAGCTTCATAATCATGGTTACTGCCAATATTGACTAAATTCTTATGGATCTGCGTCTTAGCCTCATATCAGAGGCTTAGAGCCCCAAAACCTACCTCTTAAAATCGTTATAAATAGTAAAAGCCTCTAATTCTTCTTTACTTCTAACTCACGACTCCTTGTAAGCCCTAAAATCTACCGAGTACCTCCCTGTTCCCAAGCAGCACATATCTGAATCAAATATAGTCGACGTACTACTTTCTAGTACACAATTAGTACAAAGTAACCATATTCCTAATTAGGTAACGCTTACTACTTAATATTTCATGTAACCACTCTGAGAAACCAAGACTTGTGTGTCCCACACTAACACGAGATGAGAGCCCACAGCTTCAGCTTATGTCTTACCAGAGCTCTCACCAAGGCGGATCAGTGTAGAGATTCACCCGAACTGGGCCCTGGGTGACTAACAAAGACCTGCCACAATTGAATCTCTGACAGCAAGCTTCTTGCAAATATCGCGCGATACGCCTGTCCTGACAATTCGATTTTGCCTGTCATGTCTGGAGGCATGAGACGGCCAAAAATCCACACTCTATTGAATAAGCCTTTGCTCTTCATCCGCATTGTCTTCATACTATGCGGCTTTCTCTATCTTTCGTCACGTCTCACAGCAACGCGCCACGCAAACGATGATGATACCAGACCTCGATTCCTGAGCCCTTCCTCTTTCCGCAACAAGCCAGACCTGGCATATGAAAAAAGAATATCTACTGCGCTACAGGGCATTGAAAAAGCTGTACTGGCGGAGAATGGCGGGGATACCTTGGCAGAAGAGAGAATCTGGCAGATCGCAAAGAATGAGGCACAACGAGGTTCTGATTCACTGTCTTTGGAGCACCATAACAGCGAATGGGAGTATGCAGTGAGCTTTTATTCTTCCCATTCTTCCCTACTCTCTTCTTGGTTTTAAACTCAGATCTCGAAAATTGACGGGGAGAAAAAAAAAAAAAAAAGTTAGTGACGGACGAGAAAGCTATCAATTTTGTTACCAACGTCCTATCTGCCGTGCCAGAAATTGCAGGGGCGTACATGTCGTATCCTCACTACGTTCTACGTACAGATCTTCTTCGATATCTACTACTCTGGTACTACGGGGGCTTCTATGCGGACATGGATGTCTTCCCAGCGCGGTCAATCAAAACGTGCCCAGATCTCAAGCCTCTTTTTTTCGCTGATGACGACAAACAAAAGCCAACACCAAGAAATGTCTCCCTCATTCTTGGTATCGAGCTCGATGAACCCTATATTTCTACGCGTGGTATGCGTGAATGGCATTGGACTAGGAGATATGGGTTTATGCAGTATACCATGTACGCACCTCGACGGTTCAGTCCTTTGCTTCGAGAGATTATCACCCGAGTTATAGCACATACCAAGCAACACAACGAACGCCTTAGTAGCTATATTGGACGATATAGCCAGAATGCCGTTTTGGGCATGACGGGACCTGATGTGGTTACAGATGCTGTTCTGGATGTACTGTCGGCGACACTCCCGACCACGCATGAACTAGTTGACATATCAATGAAAGCGGATGCAGGGATCGATGGTCTTCCCGTCTCCAAGTCTACTGGCAAGACTCAAAGACGCGTGACATGGGCCCCGTTCCATCGCATACAAAGCCCCCTGTGTATCGATGACGGAGAGGCCAAGTTGGAGAGATCCATGGGCGGTCTCTGTGTGCTTCCAATTAATGCATGGGGTAATGGACAGAGGCACAGTGGCTCGGAAGGGTTCAATGGCTCCAAAGCGTGTATTAATCATCGGTTTAGTGGATCGTGGAAGAAAAGATGGTGGCAGTCAGTATTTGGGTGAAGAATCTATCTATTCCACTGCATAAGTAAGTAATACTACTCTGTACATATCGAAGGCAGCCGTCCGCCTCAATATAAAACATCAATATCTAGTACCAATTACTACATTTTGTTAGTATACACAACCCTAAGGATCATAAATTCATTCCTAAATTCCATAACCCTTGTGTTTGGGGCCGATATTCGTCAGTATAATGAGACCTGTCCAGCAATAGCTTTTTCACAAAGCCTACCCATCTACACCTCGTCCAAGGGAACATGGGCTTTCAACACCGTGACCGCTTCAAGAGTAAGCTGCGCCCTGAGATAAACTTGAGCGCGTTCATGCACGTCCAATACTTCCTTTTCAGGCAACTCACCATCCAATGCCTGCAGCCATGAGTCTCGCCTCGGGTGTGGTACCAGGATGTCGTCCATCCAGCTTGTCACACGAGTGCCGCTGAATTTGTGCACGGCGCCTATAAGAGCAGAGCGCCCAGTGAATTCGAAGCTTTTTACTGCCACCTCCACACCTTCCTGGTCTTGCCAGGCTCGCGCCAATCCCCGCCATCTCGAACGCAGCTTAAACGCTGCATTCAGTACCCATAACCCAAACATAAACACACCGTCCCATCCCTTTTCAGCAGCGGAGAAAGTCATGGCCGCCAGCTGCAACCAGTGTGCGACCTGCATCCATCTCGCAGCTAGCCTCGTGTTGGTCTTGCCGCAAGGGATGGTCACCATGGTCTTGTTTAACAGCCAGTCTACGACGCCACGATCACCGACGAACAACTGCCATTCTGTGGCATTTGCATGGGGCGCAGACAACATAAATGCCGTAGGCGTTGTCTCATTATTGTCCAGGTATCCTGGTGTACGTGAAACTTCAACGTTGTATGCCACAATAAACGAGGTCGCACTACAGGCCAGCACCATGGCGGTGCCATAAGTGCCACATAGGACGAGAAATATAAAGCCTACTATGCAACTCAGTGCCCACAGAGTCTGAACGGGGTTAGGGAGACCACAGGTCAGGATATTTCTTGAGGACTGGCGCGGGGCTCTGCGAGAAATGCGTAATACGTGAAGGGTTTGAGTACGACGAGATTGGGGGCTTCGCAGCTGTGACAACGTTGGGGGAGGAGGAGACGCAAATGAGGATGTTGAGGCCTCTGAAGTATTCTCCCCTTTCGAGGCTATGGAACAACTGTCTTTGGACATTTCGGAAACGTTCTCGGGCATTTGAATAATACATGTATTATCTCGGTATCGAAGCGCCTCACTAACGATTGCAGCACTTGCACTTCCATTCGCGCATGGGAACTCGCTGCCCCAGAGAACGTCCCAGATGATTTGCGTGGAACCTCCCTTGAGGCTTGCCTGGTCAAAGAACTCCTGGCCTCTCCTTAACAGCCGAGACAATCCAGAGAGTGTCCCCAGCTTGGGGAGAAAGTCGATCGATAGTCTCGCGGAGAGCGCAACTTCGCCAGCGATTAGATAGTCATTTCGGTGGCTTGCAAGATGGCTGAAGAGAGGAATGATAGCTGCCCACTCGGAAATGATGTTTGGCAACTGTGGGAGAGCGATAACAATTGGGGGAAGATTCAACGACCCTAATCGGGCTTCATTTGGGGTGAGAAACAGTGCCATGCCGAGTCCTCCGTCAAATCCTGATTTATCGTGCTCGATGTAAATGCAGACAACGGCAACTATGAAGGTTTCTCTTGCAAAATAGCATGTTTGTCTACGGATGAGGCGCGGTTTATGGGCTTGCTGTGGGGTATTTTGCCTAGTTCGTCTGTAGGCATACATTGATGGCGAAGATATCTTGATGCTGCGCCTCGCTTCAAAAGATACGCAGCTGCCCGAAAAGAAATCCAGTATGTATCATCCTTCAAGGCTGACTGCACTCATGCCCAAGACCGCGGCCTCAACTCACAGCCTTGCTTATTCCATCACACCATTTTCTAACTCTTCTCTCTTCTTTTTCTTTACGAGTGCACTATTATAAAACCGATCTAGGTGAGTAGATGCTTGGATATTCTGGAAATCGAAGCTAGGAAAGCCCGAACTCCAATCATTAGCTAGCCATGGAAACCCAGGACCCGGGCGATGCCAATCTTCGCCGAGCCCTCAAAGCCGAATTTGTAGAGGCATCGAAACAAACTTCTCAGAATGATACGATTGTCTGTCGGTGCTTGGCGTTTGGTGAGAGTGGACAACATAGAGTGTTTGAGGCTTTTTACAACGGGCTTAATCATAAGGTCGGAGACGAGCATCCAGACGCCGAGCGTCTGCTCCAAGAACTATCAAAATCAGACCAGAAACTAGTGAAGCTATTCACACTGCAGATTTCAGTCCCCTCGGCAGCGCATCAAGAGGCTGTTGTGACAAGAGCCATGAAGCTCATTAGAAAGACTCTCGGCTTCACGAACCATCTAGGCAAAAGCTCCTGGAGGAATCCGAGAGTCGGTATAGTTTATCCTTTGATTTCCAGACTATCCATTCGCGTGGCTCTAGCCATAGCTATTGCCGAGGAAGAATCCTTACACGTTGCGTCTAGCGTGCGAGACTTGCTCAACTTGCTATTCAAAGTGATGAGCATGGAATCGGATGAGACAATCGACCTATTTGATGACTCTTATCACTATTCCGATGATCTAAATGGCTTTTTACGTGTGACTTGGCAACAAATATTCGGTCTTCTTTTGTGGTATATATTTAGACACCAATTGACGAAGGGATATCAGCACATCTGGCACCAGCTCCTGATCCTGGAAGATAAAAATATCACATTTGTTAAACGCTCCTTGTCGTCGCGTTCTATGAACGTAATTCCTCGTTATATGTGCCACTGGGCCTTCAAGCTCCTCTTCAACAGCAGGGCAGCCATCGGTCTATCATTTAACCACTTTTTGCAACGGTTTAGCGACCTGCATGAGGGTAAAAGTGCTCGATGTATGGGCAATGACCCGTGGAACCCCTGCAACGGCACACATCCTTCTAATTGCGGGAGATTCACGGATATAGACCTAGTCATACCAGAGCAATCCGTCCATACCGATACATGTGACAGCAAATGTCCCAGGCTTGTATGGAATGAGGTCAGCTATGACTCCCTAATAGACTGCCCGAGAGCTGTTTGTGTCTCACGGGGTACGGAGACGTGTCTCTACACAAAGGCTTCGGGCCGCACCGTGGCCATATCACATGTCTGGAGCCATGGGCATGGTGGAAGGCCGAGTACTGGTATGAACCGTTGCCTCCATGATCGGTTTTCCAGGCTTGCGGTTAGTTTTGGCTGTGATTCTTACTGGATCGACACTCTTTGTATTCCAGAAGATCATACAAAAAGAATAGAAGCCATTCGGCACATCAACAAAACTTTTGCAAATGCAAAGCTTGTCTTGGTCATAGACCGAGACCTTATGGATTTGGACATTTCGGAGCCGCGCGAGGCAAACAGCCATCAACCACTCACCCATTATACATCCTCGACAATCCCCATTGAACTTTTGGAATCGGTTCTCGCAACTTTTCTCGTCTGTGACTGGAACGTCCGGGCCTGGACAATGCTAGAAGCCATGAGAGGGGGTCGGAATCTTCACTTTCTCTGCAAGTACGATCAGTGCCTAAGTCTGAACGAATGTCTTAGCAGAATGTGCGATGATGGTAGCATCGAGATCGCATCCATCTTCCTGTCATCACGGCACCTGCTCCCAGTCCCCAAAGGTGTCAAGGAGAACTCGTATAGCCTTGAATCAGCAGGAGCCATCTTGGCCTACCGTCATGCCACGAGACCGGGAGATGATGTAGCTATTTGGGCGCTTATGACGGGCACAGAAGTATGGGGTAATGCGGCAGACTTTTGGAGAAGTCAAGTTGGAAAAGAAGTACCGACTGGATTTCTTAAATCCAGTGTAGAGCGAGCGAAAAATGTGAGATGTTTCTCTTGGGCACCGCAAACACCTTATGTGCGGTGGGAGCCAGGATGGTTACGCCGTAGAGGAGACTTTCTAGAATGGGGACGTAAGCATTACCCATACGACGGTCTGGGGAGCAGAATGGCTGAAATCACCAATGACGGCTTAAAGGCGAGCTGGCTGTTTTATTCTCTAGGACCGGAAGATTGGAGCGACATGTATCCTCGTCTCGGATCGGGGAAAAATGCCGCTTGGGTAGTTGCTACGAGTCTGCATACCTTCATTCCTCACGTTGCTCTGCTCGATGCTCTTTCAGAACAAGACGACAGTCGTTACGAAGATACTACAGTAAAGCTGGATGATAATGCAAAGCAGAGTTTGGTTGTTATTTGGTCTTACAATGGCCTGTGGTGGCACTGGTATGGAGTATATGAATGGGGCCCATGCAGATATGGACCGCCCAGAATGGTACCAGCAGAGATTCTCATGGTTTAGAAAAGTTGATAAGTCATGGAATAGAAGCTTTTGTATAATGGTTTCACTGGAGTTGCAACAATTTTTACAATTACAGCGTCCGCCTCAATATCAAACATCAATATCTGGTATCAATTACTAGTTTTGGTTTGTATACACAGCCTAGGTACCTGAAATATTTTTCTCAATTCATCAATCTTGTGTTTGGGGCGTATGTTATTGTAAAGCTACCACAACGAATCCAAGGCAGAAAGCTTCAAGCGGCCTGCTTGTTTCAGCCTTGCGTCCTGGAGCTTGTCTATAGAACCAGGTGGTTCTCACTACATGGTAGTCCACGTCACAAATTATCGACATACAACCAGAGATTTTTTCGCGTTCTCTTCTGATGTTCCTTCTGTTTCTCTTTCCATGTAAAGTTTATACAGCTTATCGTGTCTTTCAGAGACTTTGTCAAAGTCAAGTTGAGGGGATATCCAACCGTCATTATCTGATTGCAACAGCTCCTGAGTGTAGCCTCTTAGCGTTTGCCAATCTTTGTATTCAGAGAGCTCCAAATTATGTTTTGATAAATCGTCATCTGTAATTATATATGGATAGCTTTCATCGAAACCCCATTTCGCTCCACTTCTCAGAGATCTGAATTAAAGAATCACGAAGTAGAACTATTCCATCCCGAGTCGTGTATTCACAGAATGAGAATAGCTTCCGTACGTCTGAATCGACGCGAGTGGGAGCGCAAGTAGGATGAGAGGTGATTCTTGGCAAGTGCTGCTTCATAACTTTTTGAAAGCAAAGCACGGTTTCGCTCGGTAAGCGCATACGACTTTTCATCAGAGTCCATTGCGTCAAAATTTGGGGGAAGTTCCGGCTTGACCATGCCGATTACATAGTCCTCCGGGGGCGTGATAAAAGAGGCCACTGAGTCTGCATGAATGCCGGCATAATCGATGTAAATTGCCAATCGATTATGTTCATGATGGTTGTGGGGTCTTGTTCAGAGACATATATGTTGCCCAGGTGAAGATCATTATGCCATAGGGTTGGTTTCGAAAACCGTTGCGGTGAAGAGGAGCCCTGTTAATTGTGGGATGATGTTCTTCGCCGTTTCCAATATATGTGTATGCTCGGCGTGAGTACCAAATTGAGGCCGACGAGGAACAAGAGCCGAATGTTGTACGTGGACAAGGCCCCGATTAGCCAACGCAAGACCGAGATCTGAGACAGTCGGCCTTACCGAAAATTAGGAGATCACATTGTTAGCACCAGATTAGTATGCTATAAATCTTCACCAGGACATACATACATGGACCTGCATGTTGCCCTTTGCTCAACTGCGGAAGCCAGGAGTCACTATATGCTGGTCCAACGCAGTACTCATCGTCTACAGGGACGGTGGCGCCTATGTTTTCCGGGGTTAAATGTCGAAAATAAATATTTCCATAAGCGGGAAATTCTAGCTCCGCCAGTTGGGCTTCTAGATCTGCCAGCCTTGAATAAGTTTGAACTGCTGTGGCTGATCCATCTCACCCCACACATCGAGTAGTTGTCTCCCCTCGGCTTTCTCCAGAAGAATGTATTCTGATCCCACCGGATTTGAGGCGTCTGAGCTCCAGGCAACGACTTTGGAAACCGGAACAGAAGTATGAGACCTTACTGTCAAGAGAACCTTAATTAGCTTGCATAACCCCACGGATAAATAATCAACCTTACCATATGCTAAGACGACTGCTTCAGATGCAGTGCTATACTTCGATGGTACAATACTAGGGCATGGTATCTTCGCTATAATTTCTTTCCCATTTTCCGCGGTCATCAGCATCGCCTTGTTGAATCCGCCTTCCATCTTGTCGATCTTGGAAATAGGCGAAGACACGGATGGTAAAGAAGAAACAAGTGAACACAAGGCGTCGACGTCAAATTTAACTGCGGCGCCTATTCAAATATGTCTATATTGTTTGCATTTACACATCTGTGGGAAGAGTCCCAAGGTCATCGACAATATGCGGTGAAATAACAAAGAAAGCCACAGGCAATATTCGCGAAGAATGTACTTAGGCTATCATAATGCAGATCTTCTCTAGAAATACAGCTATCCTAGACCGCTAAGCAAGGCCCCATGAGCAAGGATCTTTGCTTCCCAACGCCTATAAAAAGTAATGCCGGGCCGTTTCTGGTTGATCATCAAGGAAGAAACTTTGAGCTCCGAAGATATCCAGCGGGACTAAATTCTTTGTTATGAACACTGATTGCGTTGTCGGTGGCATGTTCATCGTTTATCTTCAAGCAAGCGAGGCTTAATACCATCAACTGGTCCTTGCCGCTACTTGGCCAAGGTATTACGTTTCTCATTGCCCATGTGCTTGCTGCACATAATATTAGTTGTTCATCATGTTGCCCCAGCGATACCTAGGCGTGTAGCTTAAGCGGCTAAATGTACCCCGGTACCCCAATGCGGCACGGGCCGAGATAACGGGGTTTCAGGGTGGTGAGATCGTTCAATCTGATAACCATGATTTCTAGGGGATATCGTAATCATGCAATCAAAAGTCGTTAGAATTTACTGCTGTCTTCTTCTTAACCTAGCACATCAAGCTGTCCGTCGACCACCAAATATGGCTCTCCACCTTCATTGAGAGTCTAGCTTTACAAGATATAGGCATCCTTCCCCATGACTATAGATGTGTATACCCCCCTAAACAAGGATTCTACAGAAGTAGTAACTTTGCCCTGGACAAGAGCCTCCTCGCTGAACTCTTCCCGGCGACAAGTCGTATTGTCAGCGCCAATCATTTTGGCTCTACTTCCGGGACAGCCACCGCTCGCCTGTCAGTGGAGCATCCGGATGGCGAGGTAGAACTCTACTTCCTAAAATGTGCTGTTAACGAGTCTGGTCGTTGTATGATGGAAGGGGAGTTCAACGCCCTGTCTGAACTCTACAAGACCATGCCAGACTTTACTCCTAAACCGCACGCATGGGGCAAATACCCCATTGGGCAGCCAGAAACATACTTTTTCCTCTCAGACGAAAGAGCGACAGAGTACCTGATCCAAATCAGCTCTGCAGTAAACTTGCCCAGCTTCACCGGAAAAGTGTCTCTCCAACAGGGAAGTATGGCTTCCATGTCACAACTTTCCAGGGAAATACATCTCAGCAAGTCGCATGGGAAAGCAGCTGGACTGTATTCTTTTCTAAGTTGCTTACTCATGTCGTAAATTTGGATGTTGAAGCAAACGGAAAATGGGAACATTTCAGCACTTTGGCCCAAAGAGCTGTTGAAGTCGTAATTCCGCGATTTATTGGGGCGGTTGAGACTCAAGGACGCACAATCAAACCCTGTTTAATTCATGCCGATCTCTGGGAAGGATATACTGGGACGTCTTATGAAATGGGAGATATTTACTTGTTCGATTCGGCCGCTTTCTATGCACACAACGAGATGGAGATAGGCAACTGAAGATGTCACTACAACAAGATTCATAACAAAGTATACACTCGGACTTACTTGCGTTATTTCGCTCCCGGTGAGCCTCGAGAGGAGTGGGATGACAGGAATCGCATGTACTCGGTATATTAAAAAGTGATATACTCAGTCAATCACAAAAGCCAGGGCACGGCTGTTCGTCAGAGGTAAGTGGCCTTCTCTTGACAGTACCATGATAGAGTTACCATGAAAAGAACATCCGTCATATTGCAGAGCATATGACGATCGACAAATACGCACCATTCCAAGATGGCAACGGACCACCACGCCTTACCCAGTCCGAGCGAGCTATTCTTTCAGAAGAAAGAGACCATACAAAAGCATGACGGATTTTGGATTGCTAGCATACCTACATAGGTAAGTAGGTAGATAAATTCCGGATTTATTCTAGATTATTCTCGGCTTTCCCATTTCTTCATGATCGTATCAATGATCTTGGAAAATCCCTCCATTTCTTCTTCAACGGTCGACCCGGTGACGACAGGATCGATGTTGCATCCTACATAAACCGGGATTTTCATTCTGCGGGCCAGGATTCTGGCTGTGCGAGTGGCGTAGTCTATGCTGCCAGGGGATGTGTATAGAACTGTTGAGATGGTAGATTGTGGGTTTGTGCGCTGTTACAGCAGTCAGTATTTATGTCTTTGGCAGTAGCAAGGAAGTTAACACTAGGATAATTGGACAAAATATTTTCTATAGTCTAATCAAGATCAAAAATGGCAGCTTACATCTGGCATGGCGTATATAAGACTACCCATTGGCTTGAGAGTCGAGCCACTATCACCAAGCGTCGTAGTCGATAGGAAGACCATGGTCGAAGTCGCCATGAATGTCAAATGGATGTGGACATTTGTATGTGGCGTCTTTGGCAGTGGGAATGAGATCTCGACAGGCTTCAAAGATGGAAGCGCAGCGGTTGCCATGTCGGCGGTCTGTACCTCAACCAAGGTCTCTTTCCGTCATTCAAGATTTTGAAGAGTCCTGAAGGGGGGGGGGGATGTTGAAACTGCAATATGTCGATTTTATGTTTAGTCCCTGGTTGAAGGAAGTCGAGCGGAGTCCCACAAAAAAAACGGAAGCCGCGTATCAATACGGTATCCCGTATGTATGTAATTTATTTCTTCTCCCCCTCCAATCGATCAACAAATATCAAATCTATTGAATGCATCGCGAGCACGTCTTCATGCCGACGTGAGAGTACAACAGGCCAAAATATATAGCAATAATGCGTTGACGCACAACAAACCACTATATACCTGAGGATTTCCGCGTCATCCAGTGCCAATGTCCGACCCTGATCGTCCTGAGGAAGCCCAGAGCTGGCAGGGCGACTTTGACCCTTTCGCAGACCAAGAGGAACGCCGCGTTCTCTTTGCTGCGTTCGATTCGTTCAGGTGAGTATTGATTGCTCAGCGGAGAACTGAGCATGCATGTTTCCGCCGATGTGAATGTACAATGTTCGTTCGTTTAAGCCAACCGCGATTACTAGACTCTATCGACGGACGGCGCATCTTAATACAACGCACCGTCGCCGCCAGTCATTATATGCATTACCATCAGCGCATTGGCAGATGCTGGCACAGCCGCCTTTCTCTATACTAGACACTTTGAATCAAGTCGACGATGCAATTGATGCCAATGCCGACCTTGCCGACGCAATTCTCACCACGGGCCTCCAATCTTTCGGGCTGGCACCCAATCCAGACCAGAACGACCCTCACGAAGACTGGCATGGAGTCGCCACCAGTGGCGATGTAGGTAAAGCTCACTCTACCATCCGCCAATTCTACCGCGACTGGAGCGAGGAGGGCAAGCGCGAGAGAGAAGTTTGCTATGACCCAGTGCTTGCCGTTCTGGATCAGTCCTTTGGGCATAACCCAAACAGACCCAGGTCTGATTTTCGTGTCTTAGTGCCAGGCGCAGGACTGGGACGCTTGGTTTTTGATATTTGTGCTGCGGGTTATGCCGCCGAAGGCAATGAGATTTCCTATCATCAGCTGCTGGCTAGTAGCTGGATACTGAATCATTCGGAGGGTGCACGGCAACATGCTCTATATCCATTTGTGCTGCATTTCTCCAACATAATTTCTCGGAAACAGCAACTACAGAAAGTCATGATTCCGGACGTTCACCCAGCGTCGGCGATGGCGCTAGCTCAGAATGGAGACGGCACCTCTTCCTTTGGCAGTATGAGCATGTCTGCAGCCGACTTTATCCCTCTGTATAGCCAGGAGTCACAAAAGCACGCGTTTGATGCTGTGGCAACGGTGTTTTTTATCGACACAAGCCCGAATCTGATTCGCTACATTGAAACGATCAGGAACTGTCTCAAGCCGGGTGGTCTATGGATCAACGTTGGTCCTTTACTGTGGCATTTCGAGAATGAGAAGAGACGGACCGCTGCCTCAGAGAATGAACCTGAAAACCCGGAGCAGGCATTACGTCCCTTGGATGATGGGATAGGTGAACCAGGCAACGTGGAGCTGTCGGAAGAAGAGGTATTCCATCTTGTCAGAAGCATGGGATTTACTATTGAGGCGCAGCAAGCTCCTGCAGAAAGGCCTTACTGTGGGTATATACAGGACCCTGAAAGTATGCTACAGAACTTGTATCGACCATCCATATGGGTGGCGCGGAAGATGGACAGAGAATGAAATTATATAACAAGCAGTCGTGGGGGTACCATAATTATTGGTCAATCAGTACGTAGCTGGGTTATTAGTGACGATTTATAGATGGTGAAAAAAAAGATGGTTAGTAAGAAAAATTACAAGATTAAAATCGAAGCAAAAAAAAAAAAGAAAAAAACTGGTAGCTTCTCTTTGATTGAGCGTGTCATCCTTCTATTGAAATAGTTAGTAAGTTGTGTCACGGAGAGCATGGGAGTCGAAACCACGTACAGTGCAGGGGCCATGCTAATCTTCTCTGTATCGTTTCAAATTGACCAAATGCCCGAAGGCACTAGAGTCCCTCCAATAAAGAATTATAAGGGAAGGATGCGGGTAGCTACTCTCCTCTAATTGGATCGCTTGGACCCACGCTAGCGATCGAATTAGTAAGAGTACTACTAACCGAAAAGACACTAGCTTACAAGCGAAGTGGCGGGACACACACAAATTGGGAGGGGCTGCTTCTTGCAGGATTCTTCGCCTTGTTGACAAGAGATCCTGATGGCCATGAAAAGAATCAATTCACTTGCGTTGCTTGCGTTGAAGGTTCCTATGGGGTGGCTGCTGTAGGCAGCATCTGAAATGCAAGGGCAGACTGTATAGTATACATCTTGGTCGGATGTATATAACGTCGCTCTGTATATAGTTGACAACCGCAACGAAGTAGTATGCAGAGGAATGTTTTCAAGGAAGAAAAGATGCATTGGGTCCTTGGGCTTCAATAGAATAATGTATGTATAATTAGAGCACGTGCCCGACGCCTTAGGGCACTATCTATCTTAGTAATCCTTATACAATGGCTCCTTCAAGTGGAGTCTCTCCTGCCCCATTCAGCATGGCTAGCCATATGGCATACGGAGTACACAAGATCCAGATCCAGCGATGCAGGCGATTGGAATATTGCATCTGCGCTAAGTAGCTCCATGATTTGCCGACTGTCGGAAGGCCCAGTTAAACAGCCTCTGCGTATGTGTTTGAGGGCCGCCAGCTATGCTATCAACGTGTGTGTAGGATTGAAGTATGGCAGGGACCGTAGGCTAAGAGGGGGGCGTCTAAATTAATCAATGCAAGCAATGAACACTGACAACCCAGCTCGCACCGCAGAGATATTACTCGCATCGGATCATTTCCACGAAAACATACGGTAGATATTGGCTTGTTTCGTGGATCAGTTGCCTCAAATCTCTAGCGAGAACCTCAGCGGTACAACCGCGTTCATCTTCTTGCCGTGATAGACCCGCCGGACTATAAAGTTGATCTTAGATCATCCCATTGATTCGTCTAAGCTTAGTAGAGACTAACTCGTTACCTTGGTTTGAATGGCAACGTGATTTCAGCAAGGTGGATATTGGACGAACAGCCGAGTGGACGTGAAATCCTCTTTTCGATTGAATACCTAGGTAAACGGTCGTGCTCGGCGGTTTTCCATTTTCCAATGCATACATATTTAGGGTCATGTCTGGTCTATATCGCACCACCAAAATCATACCTAGATAGATAGATAGATAGATATATAATAATTTAACTAGTTCACTAGTTATTTGACAAAGATTGTGGATGACAAATCAAATTCTTACCAAGCCAGCAGCCCCTTGCCGGTTAAATTTGCTGTGTGCATCGTACCATCTTCCGGCGCTGGAAACGCGCGGGTTTCCGGTTGCATCAGGAGTTTCGGTGCATATTTTGGTAGAGATCTTCTTTTAAGTGGTTATTGCGATTCATTTATGGGGGTTTGCTTTACGTATTTCTAGCTAATCAACCCTTGCTTAGTTTACTTCTGCGGGTCTTTTTGAGAACAAACCCGGTGGCCTGCGTGCTTTGAAAACCTGTTTGTGTATAAGCAGGCATCCTTTCCGCTTGTTCTGTTCATATCCTCTGGTAATACCTCTCTCTCTCTCTCTCTCTTTTGGTTATCTTCAGCTAAAACTTCAGCTAAAATCATGGGTAAGAATATTCTCATCACCGGCGCTGCTGGCTACATGTAAGAGATGCACTTCTTGAAACATACTTAAAAAATGTCTGGGCTAATGTTGCTTTCCCAGCGGAGGCTCTGTTCTTGCGGATTTTATTTCTCGCACAAGCGGTCCGATCAAGGCAGCCCGTCTCAGTGCCGCGGTTCGGTCTGATGAACAAGTCCAGAGCTTGTCAAAACTAGGCGTTAATGTGATCCAAGTTGACCTTGGCGATGAGACTGCAGTGAAGGAAGTAGTGATCTCCAACAAGAGTGCGTTGACATATTGAGCAAGAAAAAACTATGAGAGTTAGTCGCTGACGTTGTCTTAGTTGATATCGTTGTCCATACCGCAACCGCGATAGATGGCCATGCTGTCTCTGCCCTTATAAAGGCTCTTGGCCAGCGCCGCCAGTTGAGTGGAGAGGAGACCTATTACATACATGTGAGTATCTGTCAGAGCTATATTTTTTCATAGTAGCTTGTGCTAACTAAATCAAGTCATCGATAGCAAGTGTCTTTGCCGAAGAGAATGGCTGGCCGTACGGGGAGATTAGAGATTCCGATCCGATATATGAAAAAGAGAAGGAGCTTGGAGACGCTCACATTATTCGAAAAGTAAGTCAAGCCAGGTTGCTGTATGCAAAAAGTTGGGTGCTTTTCTAACCATCCCCCAAGGTCAACATCCTTGTCACCGAACTAGCCAGAGAACAGGGTGTTACAAGCATGATTATTCCGGTGCCGCAGGTTTGTAAGTGCATCAAGTTGCATCTGTTCTGAGTGACTACAAACTGATTGTCTTGCAGACGGAAGAGGCACTGGAGAATGGCGGAAACTGTCCGTGAGCATTCCGGCATCTATTAGAGCCAGCATCAAGCACAAAGTCGTCTACCAATTCGACACGGACGGTGTACGTTGTCCTATAGAGTAAAAAGAACGAAACCAAAGAAAAAGGAGAGCAGCAGTATTGGACTAACACTTTGATAGCATCCACCCTCGGTGCATATATCCGACCTAGTAGTATTTTATGCTCTACTCACCGAAAATATCCTGCAGAAAAAGCCGATTCCGAGGGGCGAGAAGGGATACTACTTTGCCATTGGGCATCGGACCCATTGGTGGGAGTTCATGCAGCGACTAGCCGAGTGCCTGCATGCACGGGGACTTGTGCGTAAGCCCAGAGCAGAGACATGGCCCAGCGACGAGGTGGCGGCGGATTATCTGGGATTTCCGCGGCTGTATGTGCGGGCCATGGGGACTTCGAGGTATGTTGTCTCTCTTCTCGTTGCTATGATTGCGAGAGGAGTATTGTGTCTAACAGAAGCTAGTGGGGACCTTGTCCCTGTGAATGCGTATCAACTGGGATGGCAACCAGAATGGGACGAGAAGCGATTTATCGAGAGCGTGGATGACGAGGTTCAGGCGGTGCTGGAACTCGACACGGTGAAGAGTACGCTGTTTGACACGGTGTTGTCCAAGGAATGAGGCCTATGCATTGTTAGTAGCAATGAGATATGTGGAAATTTTTATTCGAAAGAAATATATTATAAAAGAAATTAACGCAAAATAAATATAAAGAAGAAAATCCAAAAAAAAAAAAAGGAAAAAGAAACAAAGAAAAAAACATAATGGCCGCTCAGGCCTTCTTCAGTTTCGTGGTGGGTGGTTGATATCGTACTATCATCAACATTGTATGATTAGCCTGCCTACTTTGCACATAGTTTGTATGTTCATAGATGAGGAGGGACTTACAGCGACCCCTAGGGGCAGGGGAGAGATGGCGGGCTGTCATTAACATTGTATAATCAGCCTTACTCTGCTCATATTTATGCTTGTGTTGCATTCCACAGTTCATATCCGAGGGGCGCCTGGATAATACTTACTGGAGGAGGAGGTGGTGGTGGTGTTGCTGCTGCTGCTGCTGCTGCTTCCGGAGACTGTCCATCTCTTCCAGAAGATATATCTCGCGCTGAACAAAGCCCAATACGGTTCTGACTCTCCGCCTGCCACTCCCGTATCCACTTCCGGTCCCTGAGTTTATCCTTCCCAGAGGAACTTATCCCCAAGGCCTTCTTGAAGGCAATATATGCTAATATCATGAGGCAGACCAACGCCATCAGTGAGCATGAGCATCTTTCGTTCCGGACTGTAGTCGAGGTTAGACTTGTGGTGGATAAAATGAATTCAAATAGGATAGAGAAGGGCATTTTGTTTTGGTTACAGGGTGAGGTGTGTGTGTAGTGTCAGCTTTGCAGACAGACCCTGGACTTTCTTATAGTCATATGGTCTGCAGATCTCACTGTTGCCTCAATTGAATTTGCCTAGAGATCTGCCTTAATAGATATTTGAAAACTAAGATTTAGGTCACCAGACCAGAAAACAGGCCCATTTCATGAGCTGTACTCCATAATTATTGTGTAGAGGACCCTGGCAAGCATCTAGTTTGTAGATGGGCTGTACCTATGGAAATATATTTCGGACAGCCTCAAGATCTAATCATTACCCTACAACTATAGTTTAAAGACATATAATTGTTTAAATCTAGAAGAACTCAAGTTTTAGTCTTGGCGCCCTCACAGGCTTCCAACGTAGGGTACGCAGCGTGTGACTAGGCAATCGACAAGGCAATTCAGGTATTTATATATATATACTTAAATAGTTCCAAGGGACGACCTTGTAAATCCAAGTATTATCATACAAATATGATTTAGTACTTGTTATTCTTTATAGCCCTATTTGCTTGTGAGGACTTGACCTTCAATTTCAAGACCCTTCTAGGCTTCCATCCAGGCTTCCAACGCTGGCACGCAGCGCTTGAGTGGCCAATTGACGTCCAAGAATTGATCGTCAACCTTGCTAGTCACCATGAGTCATTGATCTGTCTTGACCTACTGTATGGACACACATCCAGCTTGAATATTACAAGTATGATGCGCGGAGGTTGTTCTAGAGAAATGCTGTGATTGGAGGGTGTTGTTGAAGCCCTACCCAGGCCATGAATACCGACTATTTACCTTTGGAACACGAAGATTAAATTCAATTTCAAAGTCAATTTCAACAGCTCATTATCTTGTGGCTTTGCTTCCTCTGGTAGGGCAGAAGTAGTCCCGTATAATCAATTAAAGAAGCGTTCCATACCACCAGCCATATCATTTCGAATGTTATCCGCGACGGCCTCAAGCCTATTCGCCACCATGTTCCATGTCCCATCCGCCCCAGTAAATCTACAAAGCGAAAGATGATCCGCGTCCAACCCTCGGACCCTCTCATTCCCCTGACCCATCCGAGCAGAAGCTTCCGGGACAATCTAGAGAGAGAGAGAGAGAGAGACAAATATCAGCAAGTGGAGGAGGATCTCGAGGCAGGGCTGGAGCTACATACAATAACACCATTCGTAGGCCTCTGCTCAAAAAAAGTCGTGATGTTATACCTCGGTGCAATTTCACTAAAGGCTGTAGTCAGTTCAACGAGGGGCGCAGACCACCTTGCGAGCTCATCGACGACTTCTGTGTTTTTCAACAAGATGGCTTTCCCTAGGCCGGATAGGTATGCTGCGACATCGCAGCCCTGGTGCGGGGTTCCGAAGAATAGGATGGCACGGGTTGAGGAGCTGATAGTTCCGTATAAGCTGCGACGTTCGTTCGCGTGACGGAGGGCCTGCTGGCATATTAGGGAGCTGTGATGGGTGAGGATGCGGGATAGGTACGGGACTCACGCTTTTCACCACCAGGCCTCCTAGTGAATGGCCAATAAAGATGATCGGCCGGTTTTTGTCCTATAAGCGTAGATGCGTAAGCATGATGTCGACCTCTGGTGGCGAGGTTTGATATTATTTACTGCCACAACGTCTCCATACATACCGCAATCGAAAAACGTTTGTCCTCAAGATCATTCAATAAAGCTTCCGCGAAGGTGAAGGTTCTTCCGTGGAGGGATAAGGAAAGAGAACGTAGAAAGCTTCTCGCATCGTATCCAAAAGTCATAACACGGGCACTCTGGAACGATGGTAGACGAGGGAGTAGATCTCGGAGCCAGAGAGTATCGTCTACCGTCCAGGTCGAGTGCGAGTCACCCAGGCCGTGAACTGCTACAACACTGAAATATAGTCAGCTGGGATAATATCAGGTTCTTTGTCATGATTGTTTTGCACGCACTCAAATCCAGGGCCCAGGGTTCGTGACGACTTTGGATAAAGTTGATGAAGACCAAGGCGTTCTTCCTGATCAGTTCAGTATACCTCAGTAGAGATAGATAGGCACTTTCGTTAGAGCTGTCCGTCACTTACAGGGGTTGGAAGCTCGTGGCCAAGAATAACGCTTTTTTCCGTTCTCCTAAATACGTCTTTATCATGCTGCGAACGGATCTCATCAATAACGGACCTCCTGTTAGTACCGGGATAGTCTTCCGAGGCAGTCCGACTTAGACTCCTGGAGTTGGTAAACGTGGGCACATAGCTAAGAAGCTCCTTCGCGCATGCTGCGGCATTACCAGCGGCATAAGCGTGCCACGTTTTATTCTTATGCGAGTCCGCATAGTCGCAGATACCCCGAATCACCACGCACGGGAGAAAATTCAAGAGGCCTGCAGCTTCCATTTCGAAGCACAAGATGCCTCCGAATCCTGCACTCAGGTCATCCCGTGTCTTGCCATGTTTGATGACTTGATTCCCAGAAGCAATAGTCCCGTAGTGTAGAACAATATCTTGCCCAGTCCCACGGGGTGGCCGTATAATTTCCATACTCTTTCTGCATCCATCACAATTCGGTCCCGCGGCATGCTCATAATCGGCCTGGAAGAGAACATCCGCTCCTGCATTCTGCCTCTGGAAGGCGGGAAACGGTGTTAGACGCTGTAGATGACTTCCAAGGCTACTCCTCCCCAGAAACCACCTCGACTTTAGCTTGGTGATAGCCGAGAGCAGAATACCCGGCGGCGCATTCACAAACCCCGTGTGGATATGTTTCCCACCAGGTCCAATCTTGCCAAAATCGTATTGAATGACTCCGCCATGACCTGATTGCGGCTGACTTATGACCACATCACCCAGGCGAACGTCCGCGTTAGAGCTCGGCACACCGCCTCCGACACCGACTAAGAGGCCGATTTGGAGGGCTGGGAATTTGAATTTCATTTCCGCCACTGTCGTGGCTGTCGAACTGGTCCCGATTTGGCCGGCCGGTAAGCAGACAAGGACGATATTGTGGCGACCGACTCGCCCTAAGGTGTACAGAGCGGTGTCATCGCTACTCTCGTACTCCTCGTCGAGCATCGTCGTTGCGGCACTGAGCTCTATCGGAAGCGCAGTGATCCAAGCGACATGATACTCGTCGGCTCCCGGTGTGGGTGATCTCATTCCTCTGATCGTCATGGGATACACAAAGGGGGAAAGCTATGATGGTTGTCCTTTGGCCATAGTGGCCTTCAAGCATACCTGGAGAATAGAGAGAATATCAAAACTAGGCTGGGACAACAAGACACGCAGCAAGGCACGTATGCTCACTGTCACCTAATTCGCTATAGACACGTTCTTGTTATTGCAGGGATATTCCGTTACATATCGACCAGGATTCGAAGGATGCCTGGGCAAGCGGCAGCCACGTAATACACACATACCTACGCTACTGCATATGCTATATTGAATTGATTATGATTAAGTCAATGAAAGTGCCTGCTGATCCCATTTGGGCACAAGATACATACGAGTGCGGACTAAATTTGCAGATCTACCTACCCTATGCGGTTTGCAACTGCAGCCGAGAACAGCTCGATTAACTGTCCACAATTAGCAGCGTGCAGGGAACTCGAATTAGAAGCACTCTTACAAGAGAAGCATATCTTTTGTCCACATCGCTTTCAGCTCCCTTGGCGCGTTCCAGCAGCTCATCTAGTTTCTCCTGCGAGCAGAACACCATGTCTTTGATCCCATTGTCTCTTTCAACCTCTTTAAGGAACGCAGTGCCTGCTGCATCAGAGCCAACCTGCGAGAATAGGAAGATCGACTTTCTGTCTGCCTTTGTGTGCCGCTTGTATTCGAGGATTTTGCGTTGAAGAGTGCTCTCCGGTTCCCCGTGAGGCTAACAATGTCAGTATCCATTTCCCAGAATAATACAGTTCAGTTTAATTGGAATAGGGGCAGCTCACCTTTCCATCTGTGATTATTATTGTCATGATTGGCTTCTGGCACTTTGGATTTAAGTGCATTGGCTTGATAACCAGTTTATCCAGCCTGCTGCCTAGTCTTGTGTTGGAAAAATACATGATGCCTCCTTCATTCACCTTCTTCTTGATATCCTGCACGTTTAGATCATTCCACTCGCTGCGGCCATTCAAAAACCGCACTGATGCGCCCGTCCCAGTCAGGTCGGCTGTAATCTCAGCTATTCGGAGGAGGGTTGTCTCGAGCAGATTTTGCCTCCCGTATGTCTCTATCGATCGACTATTGTCTGATAGGATGTCAGCGTGTCTCAATCACATTCAGTCCCTCCCCGCCCTTTTTTTCTTCTTCTCCTTTTTTCTTTTTTATGCCTTACCACAGAGAATTACAATATTGTACCGCGTGAGTTTGAAGAGTGCTGGAATATAACATGAGTTTACATTGTACTCCTGCATGACCACCTTCACCCTCTGCGCAGCAACTTCACAACGACTGAGAGCCTCTTCGTTCCACTTGGGGAAAAAAGGTGGGTTTTGTAAGGAGATACAAGCTTGCATGTGCCACTCCTCGTCATTCTCTGGCTAGTGGGAGGAGGAGGGTAAGTATCAAATATACCAAACCTTGGCCATATGGACTCACAATTGGGGGGATACCAGCTCTCAGTTCGAGAACAACCTGGGCACTGTCTCCCTTTTCTGCTATATGTTTGGCTGTTTGGTCTTGATAGTCTCTCGCCTCCTTATTTGCGCCTGCTCGGAGAAGGATCTTGATTGTCTCATTACTCTCCTTCTCTACTGTTGCTGCATGCAGAGGAGTTCTTCCTTGGTAGTCCTGCAGCTCGAGATTGGCTCCGTACATGATCAGAGTGCGTACCACTTGAGCGTATTTTCCTGACGCGGCCTTATGGAGAGGAGTTTGGCCGCTTCGGTTCCTTGCATTCACCGCATATCCTCCATGATTCAAGAGCACTTGGACTACCTGTATCCCCCCAGTGCCAGCAGCAGCGTGAAGAGGAGTATCACCGTTGGCATCTCGCGCAGTAACATCAGCGTTTCTCTCAATCAGGAACTCAATAATTTCGACGGCACTGTTCTGACATCCTGCAGCTACATGGAGCGGCGTCTTGCCGGACCGATTAGTTTGATTCACTGACCCCCCATAGTCCAACACCAGCTTCACATCATCAAACACGCCCTTAACAGCCACATGCAATGGAAAATCTCCCGAGCTGTCTCTTCCATTTGCATCTGCTCCGAAAGCAAGTAGCAGGTCTGTAGCTCTTGGGCTGCCCTTCTCTAAAGCGAGAGAGAGAAGAGTCTGTCCCTTTTTAGTGCGCATGTCATTGATTTCTGTTCCTCTTTTGTGTAGTTCGGTGGCAAGCAGGGAGGCTACTTGGGGTCGGTTTTCTTGCATTGCAAGATAGAGTGGCGTTCGTCCTTCTGAATCTGCAGTCTCAATGTCCTTTGGCGATTCTTTGAGAAATATCACTACCGCTTTCTTGCTGCCTTCTCTAGCCGCTAGATGAAGAAAAGTCGGGTCGATGCCATTGTCTGGTCCATTTTCCGTTGCACCGATCAATATACTTACTACATTCTCGTGACCGTGCAGGGCGGCAATATACACTGGCTTGAGTCCGTTCGTCTTCTTGTTAGCATCTGCGCGTTTATCGAGTAAAAGGCGGCAAATAGTGTCCTGTCCGTTCTTCGCTGCTAGCGATAAAGCAGTAAAGGTCTCATCGTCTTCTTTATTGACGTCGATGCCGGGTTGCTTCAGGAGCACCTCCACGACTGCCTTGTGTCCGTTCATGATGGCCAGCAGTAGAGGAGTTCGACCGCAATCATCTCTGCTATTGAGATCTTTGCTTGTCTTTAGTTCATCAACTACTATTTCGTGGCCTAGTTCACTTGCGATATGCAGTACACGAAGATCTTTGGAGTTCGGAATTCCTCGAGCTTTTCTTGATTCACAGCAATAGTACGACGCATTCTCGTGAATTGCAAGCTTGCGTACCAAGTCTCCCAAGCCGTCAGGCGCCTCATTTGTATGGGTTGACCAGTATTGCATAGCGTATTTTCCAAACGGCTCCGTGGAGCCTCTATCATCATATGGCGGTTGGGAAGTGAGATATTCAAGACACCTTCTTGCAATTGCGGAGTGAGAAGACTTTTGGACCGCCATTGGCCCACCCTGATTCGATGCGCTTATGATCTTCTCTATCAAATAGTCCCGCGTGGAAGGGGGGTCGACAACGTAGACAAAGTCTCCGTCACAATAGATGAGCTCATGACAGGCTTCGCGGGCCTTGATCTCAAAGTCTCTGAGGATTGGGGAATTGCTTTCGCGCCTACCCAGGTTGACTCCGACTCGTAATTCATCTAGTCTTAAAGGCTCTTTGGCAAACAGAATCCACTGAAATATGGTTCTTCCGAGGCCTTCAACACAGTCCAATGAAACGTGCTTAGTCTCGCTGGGGAACAATAATCTGAGGTTGTCGTGGCGGAACGTGACGAGTACCTTGAAGTTGAATCGATTTGTCTGTGAAGTCGCCTTTCGCAGCAACTCAACGATGCCCGAAACATAACGCTCTGCAGCTTCATGACGAGCGTCGATAATAACATAGGTAGGCTCGCGGCACTCATAGAACAACAGGGAATTCAGAAGCTCTCGCAGGACATTACATGGCCATTCAACCCTCTCATTGGCCCCGTTGCTAAGCTCCTGGTATCTTTCTATGATTTCGAGGTCCTCGATAAACGACTCCCTTCGCTTCAAGGCTGACCGGAGTAAGGTTTGGATAATCTTTGCCTCGTTTTGTTGTTGATCTGGCGTCCACGCGTCAAAAACTATAGCCTGCATATTCCCGTTCAATAGTCGCGGCGCGATGCGTTCAGTGAGAATGCTTTTATTATATCCAAGTTCACCTGAGAGGAGGAATATGCCTGACGGTTGCTGGTGCCACAGCTTGAAATTCCCCTGGGACTGGATCCATTTCCACGTTGTAGCTGCAAGGGCCTCATGGTTGTGATATACGTCTCGAGACTTATATGTTTCTAGCGAGTTAATGCAGTCTTCCCTAAGCTGACTATATCCTAGACCTAATTTGAGGGTTAGTTGGGGCTACTTCTTCGAATCGGCACAGGCGCCGGCCGGATATATCCGAAAGGACCAAACTTACTGGTCTTCAATGAGTTTGCCTTGACAGATCGAATGATATTATGAAGCCTCTTTGAGACTCGTCGATAGTTATCGTCGGTTAGCCTGAACCGACATATGTCCTGGTGACTCGCATTAAGGCTAGCAACTCGCTCCTCTAGGAGTCCCAGGCGCGCAGAACCCTCATGCACAACCTTGCGCAGGAAATTTAGTATTCTATTCCTTCCATAGATAACTGCAATAGTATCATTGACTTGCCTCTTTACCTCCTGTGGCGTAAAACGTCGTGATATCAAGGCGAGAGGCAATGTTGCTAAAGCCTGCTGTCCTCGTGACCAATTCTTGCGACCATGTGCACAGCTCGTCGAGTATTCGACGTTCTATATTAATAACTCCCTCCAATGAATCTATGTAATGAAGCCAGTTCTCGCGGCTCGATCCATGGTGTGGCGTTGCGAAGAAAACTATAGCCCGTGTAGATTCAATGATGTTTTTAAACTGAGACCGGTGGTTATGGGCGTGAGCAAGAGCCTGCAAAGGTAGTTAGTAGCAAGTCAACAACACAAATATCCGTGATCAAAGCCGGATAGAAACTACGAACAGCTTTTATGATAATGCCTCCGAGGCAGTGTCCGATAAAGACGATGGATCTGCGCTTCTCCTGTTTATATAGATTAGCCCTCGAACTTGGAGGATCTCGCAAGGAGCTATACTCAACTCGTTCTCGCATCCTATTATCTGAGAGATCACTTAGCAAGTTCTCTGCAATAGTGAAGATTCTCGATCCCTGCGTCTGGTATCCAAATGCCATGATCCTGGCATTTCTTCCCCATTCAGGGCCACCTGGCTTTGGGTCTCTCAACCACATATCGTTCTCGGGGTGTTTCCATGTATGCTCTACGTGGCCTCCGAGACCGTGAACAGCCACGACACTGATGAATTTGGCAATTTAGCCAGAGTCCGGACTAAAAGTCAAAGTTGCTTCAACTCGAATGGAGAGCTTACTCTACTACTGTCCTTTCCTCGGGGCCTTCGTGAAGGTGGTAGATGCGGATTCCCTCCGGGAAACTCTCGCCCTGCTGAGGTCAGAGTCCTGTCAGCGTGGTCTTATATAAGTATAGATGACCTGTCTCTACAGAGGGTGACTGTCCGCTAGCTTCGTCGCTGCTACCAATTGCATTCTCTTTGAAGCTCGCTGGAACAGTTTTAGAGGTTCTACCTGCAGTATACTCCGAGATGTCGTCAAGTGCACTGGTATCGTGGTGTTTGTCGTCGTTCAGGGAGATGGTTGGGCGTCCCATTTCCAATCCGGGATCCTCTTCCTGGTGACGAACATCAGAAGCTGCAGCGGCTTCTGAACCCGGAGTGACCCTAGGTGCCTCTTCAAGTTCAGCAGTATGGGATCCCTCTTCAACATTGTTGAAAAGACGCAAGTTGTTTCCAGACTCCGGCTCTGTGTTCCCATATTCGTGTGGAGGAGGAATCGATGTTGTGTTTCCCTCTGGAGAAATGTGGATAGTACCATCTGGTGCGTAGTCAATATTGGACGACCCTACACTGACCTCCTCGGTATCAGACGTGGAATTGCTGATATAATGGGTTTTCTGGCTGTCATTACTGGAAGCCAGTTCTTCCTGGTCCTTAGCTGTAGAGGGATCTGGCGATTCACCGGTCATAATTGGTTATAGTTTTACGAGGCCTTATATCTGTAGCAACAGAAAGAAATAATTAGGTTGAAAAAATCAAGCCTAACTGTGATTGCTAGAGCTTATGATTTATTACTACGCTCAAAGAGGGGGTACAGGTGCGCTGAGGGCCAAAGAAAATGACGCCGGCTGAACTGAACTGGGATTAAGGGTTCACCGGAGTCCTCTATATTCCACGATTGGCTGTTCATCTTACAAGGCTCTGGACGCGGACAAACTTTTCGGTCTTCCTTCGCGGCTGCATGTACTACTACTGCATGCAATCTTCAAGATGAGCGCAGAACAATGCGGACACTTTTCATGCAGCCTCGTTTGCTACGCACACCGCCAATCATGAGAGCCATGCAGCTCGATGCCTGAAGAGCCTATAGTATTATTGTTCTCTGGTATTGTTTGCTGCCCAAGGCCATAGGAACTTCTCCCCCTCAGTAGCCCGGCGTCCGGACAGCAGCTCGAAATTATGCATGATTACGTGCCCAGAGGACTTGAAGCCAGCTTTGCCCCTCCAGCTCATTTCAATAGCCTTTGGATACGTGGCGTATGATCAGAGCTCTGTTCGCTTTTTCTCCGAAGTTCCGCCACAGACTAAGTTGACAGACAGAAATTTGCCTAGAGAACAAACACCACGTTCGTTTGACCGTTACCTGCATTTCTTGGTTAATTAATCCCCCAAAAACAAAGTCTCAAGAAGCAAACAAACAATTGCCAATACACCGACCGCTATTGCTGGTGAAGCATCTGAAGTCTTTGGGCAAGCTCGTCTTCGGACGGAATCGCAGTAATGAGAGTATCACTTTCGGGCAGTCCAATACTTTGGGCAAATAGCATCCAGCCTACGATTCACAATCTGCCAGTTCTCGCCGTTCTTAGTGAACCTGCAAATATCTGCATGATTCGCAGGAAGGCCGCGTGTGCGTTCTCTCCCTTGTCCCATCCTCGCACTCCCTTCCGGAACAAGCTGCATCGTGTCCAATCCTGGAGTCTTCAGAATCAACCCTCACCAACCAAGTAATCAATTCTATCACTTCCTACCTAGTATGCAAGATAGTGGCCGCCCGAGGCTCTGTTTGTAGTGGCAAAGCAGTTATACCCCTCCGAGCGAATCTCTATAAAGTGTAAACTTGTATACTTGTATGCAAATAATTATTGGCTTAACCTGACGACTTATGGGGCTATACCTCCTGATAATAACTAATATTTTAACTTTCAGAAAGTTCTCGTAAGCCCTAATATCTGGATAATAAGCAATCTCACAAGCAATCATAAAGAATAGGATTCTGATAGTGCTTATGATTCTAGTACTCTAGCATGGCTCAGTCTGACTGAATATTTCTTCCGGCAGTTAACTATGTAACGTTGCCTCTGGAGCACTGCACAGTATACTACCACGTATTAGTTCACTACATGTATACATTTGATGACTCCGAGTACTCCGGAATAGAAGCAGGCAGAGTCCGGAATGCTAACTTGAAGGTTAAAGGCTGACGGTGGATACGTCTGCAAACTTTGTTGGTTGGTTGCTAAATTAATTTAAGCGTGGCGTGGCATATAAATGGAACATTCGCAATCGAAGACCCCTCAATTGTAATGGAAAAAAAAGAAAAAAACACCACTCAAATATAAAAATTCATCAAGATGAAGGTCACCATCTCTCCAGCCGAGCCCGCCGAAAGCAGAGCAATAATCGAGCTCAATGAGCATGCGTTCCAGTCGACATACGACGTGCTGTTTGATGGGCGCCTCAAGCCAGAGACGCTCGACGCATTAGCTGAGTCGCGTGTCAAGCAACTGTTAAAGGCCAGCGAGGAGGTCAAAGCCCAGACGGGGCCGCTCTCAAAACGGTTTTTTGCATTCAAGGCCGTCGATGATGAGACGGGAGAAATCGTCGGCGAGGCCCGCTGGATGATTTACTACGAGGATGAGACGCTCACCAAGACGATCGAGGAGGAGCAGACGGAGCGCGTCACGCCGCCGACGCCTCAGATGAATGTGGAAGCTAATCGTGCGTTTCAAAAGGTTCTCTCAACAGTGAAGCGTTTGGTTTTGGAGGTGCCGGATGCTCAGCAGCAGAAGGACTCTAAAGAGAGAGACCTGAATGAGGTGAAGAAACTGCGTAAGAGAGTGTATCTGCATGTATTGGCCGTGCATCCCAACCACCAGAAGAAAGGAATTGGACGAAAGTTGCTCCAGTGGGGGCTCGATGAGGCCGACAGACTGGGCCTGATTGCCTATCTTGAAGCGTCAAACGAAGGTCGCCCGCTATATGAACAGTCAGGGTTTGAAGCCGTGAAAAAAGTGTCAATGGACCTGACTCCGCTTGGAAGTACAGGCGAAATTCCACTTACTGTGAGTTTGGCTGTGGAATTTCCTCTTTCTGAATCAAGGCTAACGCTGTCTACGCAGTCTATGATTAGGCAACCTAGGCTGCCAAACTGAGACGTGGTCAGGCTACTGGCGGGGGCTAAGACGAGAGAGTATAAATCCAAGGCTTGCAGAGCATGCTGACTTAGCCCTAAGATCTGCATGGTATATCTAATGAATACCAACATGTACTGTATGTAGACCGGCTTTTCATGCCGTTGAGGATACCCGTATATAGAAAACATTCACAGCTTGTTCCCAGCCAGCAGTCTCCCACCATCCGTCGCTATAGCTTCGCCATTAATATGACTGGACGCGCGACTCGACAAGAACACCACCAAGCCCGCTATGTCCTCTGGTCGACCGAGATGCCCATTTGGCGACGCCTTTGCCAGCGCTTCCTGGCCGCCCGACATCTCCATCAGCCCGTTGGCCATCTTCGAGGGGTAGAAGCCCGGCGCAACGGCGTTTGTCAGGATATGCCGCGGGCCCAGCTCAACGGCCAGAGTCTTGGCCAAACTGATGGCTGCTGCTTTGGATGCGGAATACGCATAGGTGCCGTTTTTGCCTACTGTTCCAATGCCGATGCCGGCGACAGACGCTGTGATAATGACTCGCGATGGGTCTTGTAGTGTAGCTTTTGCCTCTAAGAGGGGTGTGAATCTTTGGTATATGCCATGTCAGCCAAATACTTCGCCCCCCGCGTGGTAGCTAGGAAGAGAGGGCCGAACTTTTGAATCGTGTAGAAAACACCCTTTACATTCAAGTCCATGACCTTACTAAAAGCCTGCTCCGGATACTCATCAAACGGCGCCCCCCAGGTAGCACCTGCATTCGCAAACAGGATGTCGACATGGTCCGTAGTCTTGCCAACCTCTGCAACCAGACGGTCTAGTTCCGCCATCTTGGAGCCATCGGCAGGGACAGCAATGGCCTGAGCGCCGGGCCGCTTATTGGGGAGCGCATTGAGGACAGCCGCTGCTTCATCGCATGCTGTCGCCTTGCGCGACGAAATGTACACCTTAGACGCGCCTGCTTGGAGGAGGCCGCTGGCGACGTGAAGTCCCAGGCCGCGCGAGCCGCCGGTAACGACGGCGACTTTGCCTTCGAGGGAGAAGATGGACTCGAAGTTGTTGAGTTGGACCTGTGCTGCTGCTTCGCTGGCCATTGTGTTTTGTATGAGGTGCGTCTGGTATAGCGAAGGACGGAGATGGGGTGGTGGTTAGCAGTGCAACATTTACTGGGGGAGAGTCTGGCTAGCCGACGCTGTACCTCGGCTGAAGGATGAGAGCGACCGCCAGAGAGCCAGACACGCTACGTTTCCACTGCCAGGCCTCTCGAGCGTCGCCTTGATATCTAGGAGAAACGTCGGAGAATCAGCGCGCGCCAGAGGGAGCATGAAGCTATACTCCTTTTTCTTCTTCTTCTTCTGATTGGCGGGTCGCGGTTGCCGGCACAACGCCGATAAACAACGATGCAACACCAAAACTGTCTTCCATCATGTATAAACACGGGTGTCTGGCATTAACAACCAACTGTCACGCTGTTGTTATCTTCAGCAGAAAGGTAGGTTTGCTCGGCTCGGAATAGGACACCGAAACGACATACTCCTAGGACCGGACCTAGAATACATACTGCTTGCTGCAGAGTCACCATGGACGACCACCCCGAGACAGCGCTTCGTGATACTGAGGATGCAGCCAGCTCGAGTCGCCTGTCGTCGACCTTTGCCACTGCCGAAATCCCGCCGGATATTTCTGACGCGCCGCAACACGAGACTCTCACAAACAACGCCGACGACGCACTGGAGGAAATCACAGAATTGTCGTCGTCTGCTTCCTCCCGGCGTCACTCGGCAACAACGGAGGGCTTCCTAGGCGATGGCCTTGACAACGATGGCCGACCAGGGCCACAGTCGACATCCAGTCGGTCATCGCTTTCTTCGATCCCAGATTCAGTGGTGGTGCACCCGAAGGAACAACAGGCTTCATACGGCAGGGACAGCATTGGCACGGCTTACGGGGAGCAAGAATACGTAAACTACAACAACCCCGCGGTATATCAGAAGATACGCGATCGCAACTCACCCTTCAGACACCCAAGCTCGGTCAAGGCGATACAAATGCAGACCGAAGACGAAGAAGATGAGGACTACAAGTCCCCATCGAGACGGCGGGCCACTGGTTTTCTGGGCTCTCCTGCTTCGGTACGATCACTGGGGTCGCCCCTTGTCAGGCGACATGGCTATCATTCAGCAGGTGCAACGCCGAAGAAGTCGCCCGTCAAGAGAGAGAATCCTCTTGTTCTCCTTCATTGCACAATCCTCCCTCCTACCGTTGTCCTCGCCCCTGGCGTGGGCCTACCAGATAGAAAGATACTGGAGAAGATACTGCCACCTCAGTATTGGCGACGATGGAAATTATTGGAGGAAAAGATCATAGCCTCATCCCTCTTACGTGACCGAGGTTTACTTATACAACACCCGCAAGAAGATTATGGACTGTTGGAGGAACGCGTTCTGGAAAGCTTGGAACTGCAACGGCCGAGGTTGCACAACGGTCATTTCCTTGACCGCGAGACTAGTGATTCAGAGGCCGAAACCGCCGAGGACACCAAGGCATTGGTGTATAAGGATGAGGGACATGAGCGGTCGTGTGCGGATTGCGGGTGTCACGTCAGCCGGCACGATGACCAACAGAAATGGGATGTTAGATTTTATGCGGCAAACGGTCTGATGAAGGAGGGTGCGTGGACAGCTGCCTGGAAAGAGATTGAACGCGTGGATGTACAGGTCAGTTTGTGGTTGCCATACGGGGTAAAAAATGAAGTAGAAAGAAGAATTCAGGAGGAGAATCTTCTTCCAGCGGAGCAGCAGCAGCAGCAGGAAAAGGCTATTCAAGCAGCACAACCCGTGGTGGACGAGCGAGAACGCAGACTGCTATCGCAGGAGCAGATCGACGGCTTACATGATGGCCCGAAACCACAAACATCAAGGCTATCAAGACGGGATATATCAGGGCTTGCGTATCCAGCGCCCGAGACAGCAGAGAATCGCCATGCGCATCAAGACATCGACCTGCACACACTTGTGATCAACTCTCTGCGTGTTCTAGCAAGCGACCGACGAAAAGTCGTCACTGCAGTGAGCATGCTCATCGCCGTTCTGGCAGTTGTATTCGGTGGCCGCTGGAGCAGACGAGCTCACTACGGGTCTGAAGTTGTTCAGTTCGGCCATTTTCCAGCAGTTAGTACTCAGGTCTACTACACCAGTTCTGCATCATGCGTCCTGACCCAAACTTCGACAGAGACCCCTCTTTCTGAGATTGCGAACGGCATGGAGAGGCCTAGTGAGATTCAACGAGTGGCTCAAGGGGTGAAAGAAGAAAAAGAAGAAGAAGTCCCTGCAGATTACATCGCATATGATGAGTCAGTGCAGTCAGCCAGCCAGCAACCAGTAGAACCGACCATTGAAACGGCCGAACCAAAAGTGACTGAAAATCCTTCTTCCGAGGCACAAATCGAGATATCAGAGAGCATAAGCGTTGACCAGACTATTCCTGAGCCAATAGAAGCTCAACCTGTTGAAACTGTTGACCATCAAGCACTCTCGCCTCCCTCCACGTCCTCCGAATCTGATATGGTTGTCGATCATATAACTCTCGACGAGAACGAGCTGGACACGAATCCGTCTGCGGAGATCAATTCCGCTACTACCGCGGAAAATGATGATGTCGAAGCTACATAGGTGGTTTCTTCATCTCTATTCTTATTTGATAATGAACGTCATGATAATGCGGGTTACTTCTCAATCCTATTGGCATGCATGAATGTATACCCGCCGGACCGGGCTATTTACGACTATGATAGCGTTCGATATTTTTTCTTTTTTGTTTTATAAGGCATTTAAGTAGCTAGTTCTAGATTAAGTTATGAGAAATTACGATTGGAGTTTTCAATTCGATATTGTTCATGTCAGATCGAGGATATGTTTCCTAAGATACAGAGTAAGACGAACATACTGTGTTTCAGCATCAAATTGAAGCCAATACCGAGATTTATGCCTTCTTTTCATCTAGTAAGAGTAGATATCACTATTACTAAAATACCAGCGTTGTTAGTCAGTCCCATCTAGAAGATAACTACACGCTGAAGATAATACTCACAAACGACGCCCAAATTTTCTCGTCCCACCGGCTTCTACATTCACCCAAACACTCACACTCATACTCGCAACCGAGAAATCCGCATATCCTTTGGAATTTATATGAACCATCCCCCCTTTTGTCTTCCGTTGCTTGTGACTGCTGGGCCCCCGTTCGCTTTCTACTAGCACATCAGTCCATTTCTCGCCGGCATGTTTCCTACCGACAAACATGCGCAACTTGGTCCCTGCCAGCCCATTGTTGATCACACACGCCATGCCCCAGGGATGTCGCGCGTTGCCATACCGCACAAACCCAATGCAGTTTCTGCGAGTAAAGTAGTCTTGCTGTTCGCCGTAGGCGTATAGTTTCCGAGCGAGAATGAGCTTGGGCAGGATTTGATGGTAGTGGGAGTCTGAGTTAACTGCGTTGGATGGGTGTTTGCGTTGTTCGTTGGAAATGCCGTATAGATCGCCGTAGAATACGCATGGATAGCCGTCTTTGCGTAGGAGGATTAGTGAGTAGGCGAGTGGTTTGAAGGAGGATGGTATTGGGGCCTGGATGAAGGAAAGTACGTTAGATTATGAGCCCTTTTTTTTTCCTCCCTGATCTTTAATAGAAGTGTTAAACTCACCTCTAGTGATTGAGATGGTTGCTTTTGCAAAAGTTAGATATTTTAGTTCAGCTAAAGAGACAGCACAAAGTATTCGAGATCGGAACTTACTGTGTCGTGGTTCATGACAAATGTCTGCTCTGGTGTTCAGTTACTGCCTCTTTGTTGACTCCAGTGGAATTCGACTTACCACTGCATGCTCAGGCTCATGTTTGACCAACGTCTGGTCGAATATCAAACGCAAGTCGGCGCATCGAGCCTGCGATATAGCCGATAGCCTTTGGCATAGCGGTGCATCAAAAAGATGAACTTTGCGATTGATTTGTTTCAAATACTGTTGCAACTCGACAACATTCCCAGACCAAAATTCACTAACGATAAACCAGTCCCTACCGACGGTCTGTCTGATACGGTCGACCAGCACGCTTTGGAACTCTGAAGAATAATGCTTCACTGCATCAAGTCTCATCCCACGAAGCGGTAATTGGCCGCCTATCCACTCAATCCAATTCAGCACATCCTCTCTCACTTCCGGGTGCGAATAGTCCAGATTGGCAAACATGAGGTAGTCATAATTGCCATTTTCGAAGCTCACATCTCTCGCCCAGTCCTTCCCGGGAGCAAAGATCTTGTAGATGGCGTTCTTCTTGGTGGCGTTATTGTAATCTGTTCCGTTGAAATGCTGCCAGTGGTATTTCATTTTACTGTATGCTTCACCGCGGCCGGCAAAATCAAAGCCTACCCATGCTTCGATTTCTTGTGGTTTGGTGAGGTCGATGTTGCGGTCTATCTTGAGATGTCAAATGATGTTCGTTTCCATGAAGAGAAAAAAGAAAATATATATATATATATATATATATATATATGCAATCCCGATCCAATGACTTATCCCTTACCTTTAGGATCAACCGTGACCGCCAGACATTTCTCCGTTCGATCGGCGCCAGCTTTGTGATTCAGCACAGCATCCCAATATATCCCCATCTCAAGCTCTTCGGCGGACTGTGCAAGCCTCTCCAAGTCATCCTTGGTGCCCCATTTAGTTGCCACAGTCCCCTTCTGATCAAACTCGCCGAGGTCGTACAAGTCGTAGATATCGTAGCCATTCCCAGAGGCATTCATGGCTTTGCAGCCTGGCGGTAGAAGGAGATTATCAATCCCAATATCTTTGAGCTCTGGTAGAGCCTGTTGTAGGCGCTGCCAGTGCCGTCCGTCATGCGGCACATACCACTCGAATGCTTCTAGCATGCAGACGTTGTCGTCTGGCGAGTGCCATGATGGCAACTTTTCGATGCTTTTTGCTTCTTCTGTGCATTGTATAAGCAGGTGTCCTTTGATAGCCAGAGGAGAGACGACGAACCTTCTATTTGCTTCCAGTTCTCTTGCTTTCGTCTGGAACAACTCGAAAAACAACTTCGCAAGCACTCCATCTCTGCGATTATGTCCTTGGACTATAGACCATCAAATCACAAAGGTGTCGAGCCCGGGCGTTATATATATGAATTGAATTCTTCTATTCGATGACGAAATCAAAACTCCGCTTTGCTATGTGTATGGTCGAGCAATTCCAAGGGGCTGGTTCCAAGGTGCGTTGTCTCAGATGCGAACCCCTTCGTCCCCTTGCCGTTGATCGTGCAGGGCAACCAACCACCGACTAATAATTCATTGCGTTAGAATCTCGATTGGAAATTATTACTCAATATTTATAAAGCAATATTGGTTGATCTCTCTGCTTCAGTTTAAAACATCTCCAGGAACTGAAAAAAATTTTTTTCCCGAGTCTCGGCTTTGTTCCAAGGTTTATGTAGACAATGTGATGAATCGGAAACTGTACGACCTCAAATGTCTAGGTATAATACCAGGGGATAACGCTTCGAGAGGAGGCTAGTTCAGCCTCAATATTTTTGTCCCTTGATGTCAGTAGTAATATAAAGATATAGTCTGCCAAAACTTTGCATCTTGCTTGAGTGATAGCATCACAGCTTCTACGTCCTTGCTGCTCCGTACACGGCTCACCTACCTAGGTAATTTAGTTGGTGAACAGGATACGTGCTCAGTCATTAATTAAATTAGCTGTGTGCTGCATATTTTTGATAACTTTCAAAGTTCATTTAAAGTACGTTATTTTGTACGTACATGACCTCTATAGAACAGACCAGCCAAAGCGAAGCCCAGCTACAATTGAGAGACCTAGGTGAAACTCAAAGTTGATTCTTGGACCTCAGAATCTCATGACACGATGTCATCAACTACTTTCTTTTTTTAAATGAAAAAAAAAAAAAAAATAATAAATAAAAAAAAATATTATATATATATATATATATATATATGTGGCATCCACGTGTGCGCGTACCTGCGTCCTACCTAGAGCCCTAAAATCTTCTGGCCCGTCAGAGTCGCAGATCCCTCATCAATTAAAGACCAGTGTTTTAATGCTATTGGAAGGTGAATTTTGCATGGACTTCGTTTCCCAACACCCTGGATCTATGTAACATGGCGTCTCGAGTGGCGTCGTATGTTAGGGTTACGGTGGTTCTTAGCTCGAGGCTGCTAACTGTTCAGAAGGTATCCTGACACAGCCACCATGCCAGTTCAAAACCGCCTAGTTGAACCTTCAGTGGAGATCATTCTTTTTTATTTCTTTTACTTAGACAAGTGTCCCCTTTCCGCGGGTGAATAGGGCCTTGATTATACTTGGGTTCTCAGACTATAAGATGTTACATGGGGGCCGCCTCAATCATCGCCGAAACGCGGAATCATATTTTGTAAAATTTTTGTCCAGAGAAATAGAAAGAAGTTCGGTGGTCAATAAAAAAAAGTGTACAAAATTCAATGGTTTGCTATGTATGGCCGAAGCAAGTGCTTGAGTTAGGGTTTGTCATATCGTCATACGCAAGTCCGGCATTGCAAAGTGACTCGCCAGCGGCCAGTCAAACAGATGAATCCAAGCAAATATATTATCGTAGATGATCTGCAACCTGCTACTACATGAGTACTATGATGTGTTTGTTCTATTCTCCGCTTTACCATGAGTTAGTCCCTCTGCTTGGACGTGCAACTACGCATCCTTGGACGAAGCATAGTCTAAAAACTAGCAAAACAACCTTGAAACAAGTAACCCTAAATCAATTCCCGTTTATTGCAGCCAATAAAAAGAGCTATGATTGGCAAACTAAGTACTAATAGGCCCGCTCATGTCAGACGTTAGTACTGACTCTCGCTAGACCAGCCCGTTCTCATCGTTGAGTTACAATTGCCTGCGTAGGGATATGGGTCTATTTTATGTGTTAGAAAACATGAACCGGGCCTGTTTAGGGGCTGCTAAGTACTAGGGAATATAAAGAGGTCGTTCCTTTTCGTCATTTCCTTGGTTGGCTTTGATATAACCATTCATCCACAGACGACATCCTGTCATTCTCTACTTATATTTCCATTCCTTTTTTAAAGTGCTTTCACAACCACCTTCATTCCTAAAGCAATTCAGTATAGAACTATCCATTCATTACAGAGCATCCAAATTCGCCTACTTAAAAATGAAGAGCGCTCAAATCATTGCCGCTGCAGGTCTTCTGCTCGCCTCGACAGTTCATGCCACTGCAAGCTCGGTTTACAGCGGATCTGGTTTTGGAACCTACTATTACGATGTCGTCGAAACGGATGAATGCGGCGATAACTTTGAAGTTGCAAACACCGGCCAGGTTGAGTGCAGCCTTACCCAGGTTTGGACCTTGAACGATGTCAACTCCGACTACCTGGTCGCCATGAACCACTCCCTACTCGTCGGAGATATGAGCGAGTACTGCGGCAAGAAAGTTATTGTATCTGTCAACGGGGTGGCATCTGACCTCCCACTTTTCATTGGCGATGGCTGCGAGCGCTGCTCTGAGGGCTCTGCTACATCCGCAACATGGGACCCATACGGTGCCCCGGGGCTAGATTTTAGCTACACTGTGGCCAATGAGTTGAACTCGCTCGCATGTGACGACGGTCACATTGAGATCACTTGGGAGGTTGTTGATGAGCTGATCTATCAGTTTGATACCACTGGATCCGGAGAGCCCCAAGGCTTCGTTAGCACTTCTTCCTCGTCTGCTGTCGCGCAGGCTACTGCTGCCCCAAAGCGCTTCCATGCTTAATCATTCCCTTGGAACTTGAGAGATATTTCAAGGGCTTTTCTCCTTATGTATGGTAGTGATCTTCATGATCTCTCGTATTTTCCTTCTATTTGTCTTTACACATTGATCTATGTCACAATAATTACTAGGACTCCTGAATATATCAATTTTCTAGAACTTTTTTGTACAATCACTATATAATATCTAGACTTATACATTTTGCTAGTAGTTCTTTAGAATCTGTTTAGTATATTAGACGACATACAGGTACCCTACAGTACGCTACTTGGTCGCGGTTGAGCCGAAGACCTTAAACACGCTCGCGAATACAGACCTCCCTACTTTGGCTGATGAAACAACAACCGCCATTCCTACGAAGTAGGTGCATTAGACAATCTAGGATAGGCGAGTCTACCCTATCATCCACAGCTGAGAGTGGCTAAACTGATTTCGGCCAAATAAACGGCTGTGGCCCACAAAATGTTTCCATATCAGCTGGAGCAAGTGGAGTCTCGACTGTCGTGAGACTTGACTAAACTGCTTCTGGACGAATAGACGGTATAGAACTATGGGAGTACTATACAGTGTCAAGAACAGCTGAAGGGGGGTGGAGTTACTAAAATTGTCTTTGTTGGGTGTTGGTCCTTTGTGGATTGTATCTGAGTAGGCATATAAAGTCTGCATTCGGCTGCATGGGATCAAAATTTGGTTGTCTCAGGCCATTCCTTTCTCAAGATAACGTTATATCAAATATTATTACTTAGTCAAGAACACTGCACACACAATGTCACAGGAATTCCCACCTCTCGCGACAATCCCGCCTCTCACATTGCATGAATCAATCAAGCGAAATGAACTTGATGCATCAAAACCGGTCCATGCTTGGCTGGCATCTCTCTCGAAAACATTAAACGAGGGAAAGTCTGCCGATTTCTCCGTTCTCTTCTTGGAGAAAGACTCTTGGTGGAGAGACTTTGTCGCTCTCACATGGGATATCGAGTGCAGGAATGGTGCTGATGCTATTCACGAGTTCCTCCGCCACTCCAAGGCTGGTCTGACTGGCGTAGCGGTCGGGGAGACACCGGCTTTGCAGCCCCAGTTGGTAGATATGGGAGGATTGCTGTTTATACAGTCTGGGTTTACTTTCAAGACCGACTTTGGTACTGGACGAGGGGTCTTGAGGTTAGCAAACGTCGGATTCAATGAGTGGAAGGCATGGACGGTTTTCACCAGCCTAGAGCGACTGCATGGACAGACGGAGGTTGACATGTCGGTTGTTGGCACCCAAGGAGTCGACGCCATAAGCCATGGAGCAAGTGGAGGATCCATGGCAAACGCAAATGACCATTTACAAGTATTAGTAATTGGAGCAGGTCAGTGGCTATTATCTTTCTTGCTTCATCTGGTGATCTTCTGACGATACCAGGCCATTCTGGGTTGGCGCTCGCTGCGCATCTCAAGCATCTCGGCCTCAGATATCTTGTCGTCGAGCAGGAATCACAGCCAGGCAGCGCATGGCGGGCCAGATACAAGACCCTGAAGTCCCACACTCCGAAATACTCAGACCACTATCCGTTCCTTCAGTATCCGAGTGACTGGCCGACATGGCTCGGCCGGGAACACATCATCAACTGGATGGATCATTATAGCAAAGCCCTAGGTCTAAACATTGAGTACGGAGCTCACGCGCAAAAGGTCAAATACGATGAGGCGGGGAAACAATATTCAGTCGAGTTGGGCGGAAGTGAAGGCAGCCGAACAGTACGATGCAAGCACTTGGTCCTCGCCACTGGTTTAGTTAGCAAAGTTCCCAACTGTCCAGAGTTCTTCGGTCAGAATACTTTTCAGGGTCAAACGTACCACAGCTCCTCACATAAGTCCGCTGGCGAGATTCCAGACGTGAAAGATAAGAAAATAACCATCCTAGGATGCGGAACGAGCGCCCACGACATCGCCCTGGACTTCGTCAACCACGGTGCGAAGAGTGTTACCATGATCCAAAGGCATCCCATCTATGTACTATCCCTCGACTCTTTAGAGAAGTTCCAAGTGCCATTGTGGAATACCCCCGGTGTGAGTACTGAGGATGCTGACCTGCTTGGCAACTCTTTTCCAATCATGCTCTTGAGAACACTTGGTATAGGTATGTCTCAGATGATGGCCGCCAATGATATGGAGATCCTTAAAGGATTGGAGAAAGCCGGCATGGCTGTCAAAAGAGGCGATAAGGGAGACAGCCTGCTTGATCACCAACTCGTCAAACTGGGTCGGCTGTATATCGATCAGGGAGCATCGCGCATGATCATTGATGGTCGTATCAAAGTCATCCAGTGCGAACATGGCGTGCGCGAGTTCTACTCGAATGGTGTCATCTTGGGCAATGGCACAAGTATCGCGTCCGACGTTGTTGTCTTTGCGACGGGGTTTCAGCATAGCAAGAGAACGATCGAAGCCATAATGGGTAAAGACGTGAGCAACAGAGTAGGAAATATGGGGGCGTTGGATGATGTTCAGGAGGTTGTTGGAGTAAGTGTACATAAAGCTGGTAACATCGACACTTGCTAACAAACTGATAGTGGTGGAGGCCTACAGAAATGCCTGGTTTCTGGTACATGACAGGAAACTTCCTCCTAGCAAGACAGCTAGCTCCAGTCTTGGCTCTGCAGATTAATGCCATTGAGTGTGGACTGAACACGGATTATTACAAAGAGGGTTGACTGGTGTCCATAGATACAGCAGAATTTAGATGACTGGATAAAGGTATCAACTTATCATCAGAACCCAGTTTGCTAAGACTATTTAGAGCCTGTTCATGATAGGCAGATACGTTGCTTGTCTTGGCTTAAGGCATCCAATGCGGAGTCTGTCACATCTTAGGGCTGATACGCTTGCTAGATTGTAATCGCACATTTCATAATTTGCTCTTGCCTTTGCAACTAAATGCCTTTCGAGCCTTTCGCATTCAAAGTCTAGACGAACTTGAAAGCGTGGTTCGATACGCCGACCAAAATCCAGGCGTATGCCCTCATCAACCTATTGCCTAATCCGGAAATTTATCGGGATGGCAGATATCACCATGGAACCTCCTTCCCATCGTACTGATTATATACTGATTTATTATTCTCCCATCCTGGAACATGGATGTTGAGGAAGCGTCCGTTCTGCTCCTGGTTGGCACTCTTCACTATTTTGATCACGGCCTCTGCTCCGGTCTCGACAGGGAGATCTGCTGCTGGTCCTCCCAAGTCGGTTTTCAACCACTTGGCAGGTTAGTATAGTGAGAAAAGATAAGACAAATCACAGGAGTATATGTATCAAGGAAGCTTACTCCTGGGGTAAGGACGAAGAAAGTAAAACCGTCTTTGGCATATCCTTGAGCGTATTGAACAGTCATCATGTTCAAGGCAGCCTTGGTTATCTTGTACGCAGGACAAGGATTCAGCTCGTAGACCTTTGATCTGGCAATAGATCCGAGAGTTGTCGAACTATAAGCTTGCTTAGTTTGCGTCCTGCCAATAGTGTTGTATCTTATCTGTGCCAAAGCAGTAAATGGTAAAGGAGCTTACATATTCACGACCACTTTTCGTTCTCCCACTTGGAGAAGCGGAAGAAGAGCCCTAGTCACCAGATGCGCTGTTACGACATTTGTATTAAAGGTGTCTGTAACATTCTCCCTAAGCTTCCAGTTAGAAAACATCATCAGCTTCAGGGGGGTCGGTTGGTCGAGGGCACACTTGCATGTTGGAAATTCCGCCCTGCACAAGTGGTGAGACTCCCACATTGTTTATTAAAAAGTCTAAGCCCTGGCCATCGAGTCGACTTTTCACTGTCTCCACGGCCTTCTGGATGCTATCTGGGTTGCTTGGGTCCATTCGGATGGGTATTATGCGCCCGGGTGATGCCTTAGCTATTTCTCTCAAGCTGGCTGATTCCTGGCCACGCAATGTAGCAAAGACCATTTTCACTTCAGATACGTCAAGGCGAGCGAGCTGGTAGACCAAGGCCAGTCCCAGGCCGCGTGAAGCGCCAGTGATGAGATATGTTGACATCTTCGAGAGGCGTGGGGATTAAGAGATGCCCTTTTGCAGAAGGATTTGAGATATCCAAATGATTTACACATAGAGGGCATGAAATGAAGACTCTAATTTGGTTGTTTTATATCTGAATGTCTAGCGATAGCTTCAGGAATACGAATATGCGGATATGTCGGCTTTATTTTAACTCCGTTGGATGGAAACACCACACGGCGATATCGTTAAAACCAGTTCAACTTCCTGGTCTTCAAGACCAATTTCTGGTCTTTGACTGAGGATAGTGCCGGATTTACGCAATTGTACCCCTGTACTCCGTGCCTTTATTTTCGTGCACCAAAACCTCACGTCAAGTGAGCTGATCAACGATACCATGACGACTCGGGCCGTGCCAGACCTAGCTAGGTAGAGAGACGAGGAACAATGAAGAAGCTACACGGAGCAGAACTGAGAAACAAGAAACCAACCACCAGTTCAAACAAAGATAAACTCGGCCCTTGACCGCATCGTGTAGCGGCGCCTCGTAAAATTCATATAACACCGTCAAGTAGCAACAGAAACTAATCGACAGGCAAGAGTCTGGCAGCGTTCTACGTGCCGATAGGGCCTAGGGTCTGCCCCCAACCTCAGTAGTTTCGATATGGGACAATAGGGAGAGAACGCGACCTCGGTTCTCATGCGGGCAAAGAATCACAGAGTATTCGGCCGGAGCAAAAAGAAACCATATGCTATATGGGTCGACTGGCGCATCAGAGCTCCGTGCGAACCGTAGGCAACTTGCGTATCATCATGTCTCGCTATTATTTCAGACTATCGGCGGCCCATCTGGTTGAATATGGCTCTCTTCCTCCATGTCTTCACAAAATCTTCGTAGGATTCTGTGAAAATTGATTAGTAAGCAGTCCTCTCGCTTTGAATTTTACCGAGTAGCCGTGTTTGATTGCGAACGTGTAGCATCATTGTTTGTTTGACGTTGGCGGAGTTCAGCGATGGGAAAGGATAAGCAAAACTCCGTGGCTGGGTTCACGTGACCCGGCGTCCTGCTCCTTCCCCAAATTGTTACACAACCAAACCAGGCCAGCATCCCTTCGTTTGTCTTCCTTCTGTGTAAATTTCTGTCTTCGTTTTCGCTCATTGCCTCCACGGACACAACGCCTTCTTTTTTTTCTTCTTTGCCTTTTCCTTTTATTTATCTTTCTCGGCGGTTGTCCTTGCTAGTTTCTTTTGTCCTGTTCTCTTCAATACCGCGCGACCACATCCTGTTTCCTAGTTCCCTATCCGAATCGCAGATGGCTGCTCAGGCGGTGCGCCAATGGGGCGTGACGCCTCCGATTTCGATGAGCCTGCCGACTCCTGAAGAACTCAGTGCCAACGATGACTTGATCACGGAATTGAAGGCTCAAAATAACTTCGAAGCCCCTGCCGAGACGGAGCGCCGACAGCAGACCCTTCAACTGCTCCAACGAGTGGTCATAGAATTCGTCAAGGTAGTTGGTCGAAAAAAGGGGCTGTCGCCAGCAGCAGTCGAGGCATCTGGCGGGAAGATATTCACATACGGTAGCTATCGTCTGGGTGTCTACGGTCCTGGTGCGTCCGTCAACTGTTTTTAAAGGAAGAATAATCGATGCAGAATCTAACCAAAGCAGGGTCTGATATCGACACGCTGATTGTCGCTCCAAAGCATGTTCTCATCGACGATTTCTTCTCTGATTTTCCCCCAGTCCTCGAACGCATGTCCCCTGCGGGCGCTATTGAAAAGATGACCCCGGTCCCCGACGCATTCGTACCTATTATCAAACTAGAATTTTCTGGGATCAGTCTCGATCTTATTTTTGCACGCTTAATAATACCGTCTATTCCCCTGAACCTTGACCTAAAAAATAACGACTACTTGCGAGGTTTGGATGATAAGGAAGTGCGGTCCCTCAACGGTACTCGTGTGACCGATCAGATTCTGGAACTTGTACCACAGCAAAAGACCTTCCGGCTTGCTCTGAGGGCTATTAAGCTTTGGGCTCAGCGTACGTCTTAAATCTCGGTGGATATTCCACGAGACTGCTAATGCGATGGGATTCCAGGTCGTGCTATCTATTCGAACATCGTTGGGTTCCCTGGAGGTGTCGCGTGGGCGATGCTGGTTGCACGGGTGTGTCAGCTATATCCTCAAGCGACGGGTTCCGTTATTGTTGGCAAGTTTTTCCGCATCATGACCAAATGGGCCTGGCCCCAGCCGGTGCTACTGAAGCCAATTGAAGATGGCCCTCTGCAGATCAAAGTGTGGAATCCAAAGGTTAGTGTTATTGTGTGGTCCTTCGCTAGCATGTTCTGAAATACGGACATCCGAGTTGATTACTGTACGAAATAGATCTATCACGGTGACCGATTCCATCTGATGCCCATCATTACCCCTGCTTACCCATCGATGTGCGCTACGCACAATATTTCCATGTCGACGAAAGCTGTGATCTTGCGTGAAATGCAGCGGGGAGGGGACATTGTTGATAAGATTTTCAGCAAGCAACTCAGTTGGAACGACCTTTTTACCCGGCATACATTTTTCTCCAAGGATTATAAGTACTACCTTCAAATCACTGCTTCCAGCAAAACAAAAGACGCACAATCTATTTGGTCAGGTCTTGTAGAGTCTAAACTTAGACATTTGGTTGGTGCTTTGGACAGGAAAAACATCATTGCCGTCGCTCATCCCTTTCCTAAAGGATTTGAAAGAATACATGTGGTGAAAGATGACGCAGAAGCAGAGCAAGTCAAAAATGGGTCTACCAAATATCAGGCTCAAGGTACAAAAACCGAAACGACAGATGAGACTAATGATCCAGCACACACTGCAGCCGCTGAAAATGGTGCTCAGGATGCCAAGGTTCCCGAAGCTGAGTCTAATGCGGCAGCAGATAGTCGCACGCTTTACACCACTACGTACTATATTGGCCTAGAGCTGAAGCCACTTGAACCGGGAAGTTCGCGATCTTTGGATATTTCGGTTGATGCAAACATCTTCAAATCAACATGCACTTCGTGGCAAGGATTTCAGGAGGGTATCAACGAGCTGAGTATTACTCATGTCAGGAGGTATTTAACGATCCGAGTCCAATGATTATAATGACTTGCATTTCTAACTAACTACACAAGTTTCGATTTGCCTGGCGATGTCTTCGAAGCTGGAGAGACGCGACCTGTTAGACCGAAAAAGAAGGTTGCGAAGCCAGCACCTACGGCGGCTCCTCAGAAGCGAAGCATTGATACTGTAGACGTAAGTGGCATGGAGCCGGACGACTAAAGCGCTGCTTTGCCAATGCATTTTGGCCTTGGGCTTTCCACCCTTTGAAAAGAGGGCTGTTTGCTGATGATTTCTTAGGGCACCATACAATCGGAAGCGAAGCGACAAGTATCATCGAATGGATTTAGCCATGCAGCGACTCCAGCTTGATTGAAAAGACAGACCTTCGTGTTATATATCCTTGGGTGTTAAACAAAGCATGAAGGAAAATACGCAAGATACTCACACGACACAAACCCCGCCCGGCACGGTTCTCTTCCGGATCACAATTCGCACCTACCACACTACACTCTTGTAGCCAGTTGATTACCATAGGCACGCCCGACTCCTTTGATTCGCTACATGGTCGCTTACTTTTATAGTAACTCCAGTAGTCTGCTTGCCTGCCCGCCTGAAAAATCCCTTTCCAGTGAAGCAATTGATCTCAATTGCTAGGTTTGTGATTATTTCCTTCTTATATATTTTCTCATATCAGATCTTTCTATTCGCCAAAGCAAGAAGACAGCTTCGACAGACACATATCGACAGTCTTTTTGTTATATGACAAAATTTAGCCGCTTTCTTCGTGTCAGCTATATTAAGCAAAAAGACAGAGAACACATAAGAGAAAAAAAAAAGAAAAGAGGTTTGATTTTCTAATGCAAGGAAAGTCGGAGTCAATTAACTCCACGATACGAAAGCGGCTTGTTTTCCATCTATCTGATTTGAAACCATGTCAAATAGATTCAATCGTATTTTAGATAGATACATTAATGAAATCCTCCTGGTCGTAGGTATTCCTTTATATCTGTCTATCAAGAGGTAAATAATACATGTTTATAAATCACAAAAAAAAAAAAAAGCACATTTTCTAAGTGTTTTAATTTTGTTTTCATAAAATACACAGGTAGGTATCAAATGTTGATCGAACATAGAAAGATATTTCTCATCTGTTAACTTGCTTTCTCATGCACTGTCAATCACAATCACCTAGACTGCAGATGCATACATAGAATTAACAGACAAGAGTAGTGCACAGTTAACTATGGGGAGGAAGAATGATAAAAGAGAGAGATAGAGAGAGAAAACAAAAAGGAGAAAATGACAATTCCCGCCCCTTCTTCTCTTTACCCAGACTCCAATTCCATAGTGCCAATCAATCAAAACAATTAATTAAATCAGTCAGACCAGAAGTGTACGCCCTCGCCCTTACCCAAAGAAAATCCGCTCCTTCGCGCTTGATTTTGGTGGTTTGGTTGAAGAGATAATAATGATAATAGATAGTAAAACATGAAGAAATAGGTAGATCAATAAGGGCTGAATCGTGATATTCATCGTCATAGTCATCATTATAAGATTAGATGGAGTAGAAATAACAAGAGAGGAAATGATAAGGTGCTTTGCTTCTTTTTGGGGGGTATTGTTGTTACTGCCGTTCTTGCTGATGATTGCCTTCCGGTGGACTAATCAATGGAGGCCCATAACTACCATGAGATGGATCGCCAAAATAATTGATTACGTCGGGAGGCAAGTACTCTAGATAAGGATTGAAGTCATTGGAAAACGTGAATGGGAACTCAGCCTGGTTATGGAATGCGGCCATGTCGATGTCTTGACTCTCAATCAGCATATCTGACATTTGAGATGCAAATTGTTGGTTGAGCATGGTGGAGTGTTGTTGTTGCAGGTTATTTGAAATCGGTTGTGAAGAGCTGCCCGTTGCTGACTCGAATCCATATGATGATGTTAATTGCGAAGGTGTTAGAGCTGGCCCATACATGGCATGGGACGAACCTGTGCCTGAGGTTGAGTATAGATTATGAGTCACAATGCTGTTGCTGGCATGGTTGTTGTTGGGACCAGAGAACTTTGCGGTCCTAGAGGTACTGATATTCGAAGAGTCGGGAGCAGAACCTGATGGGTATGTCGGGATGGATTGTGTGAAGGGCTGCCCCGACGTATGCGTATCGACGGCTGCAAGTGCCTCTTTACTTGAAATTTGCGTTTCCGAACCTTCACCTATCTGCGACGCGGGTAGTTGGTACAACAGACTAAGGTTTGGCTGTGAGGAATTGATCTCGCCAGTAAGTGCCCACCCAATAGCTGTACAATGACGATTGTTAGTGACTGTCTGGTCGAATGGGTGGCTCTCTTTTTTCTGTTTGTTTGCTTACCTTGACTGGGATCAATCCTCGGGGACGCTGCTTCTAATTGGCCACTCGTCTGCAAGTTATTGCTGGCATTTTCTGATTCTCTTGCAACCAAATCTCCAGTCGCCGATTGAGTCGAAGGCTGCCAATGTGGTGACGCCAATGATTGTGTATATGTGACTTCTGTTGTACTCTCCATCTCTTCGGTGGTGTATAGGAGCGGGTCGCCAATACCCTTTGCTTTCTGATCGAGAACTGTAAGTATGTACTTTGTGCCTTCCCAGTATGTTTGCAATGTTCGAAGAGCACGATAGCATCGTTGATAGTTTTCTTTTGCAGCAGAGGCGAGAAGACTATGTTTTGCGTTTGTCTTGCGTTCACTGCTGTTGGAAGACTCCATGTTCGGAATGGTGAATGCACTTGACTGGTCTGTTACCAGGACAGGTGGGGATCCAGATCGCGAGGAAGGCGATGAATAGTAGGCACTTTCCATTAGAAATGCGCATGCTGCAATGTACATTGGCTGACTGGTGAAGGGATTCCCGATGAAGCTCTTTGCATCAATGAGTTCAGAAAACGACAAGATGTCGGCAATCGTCTTGGCCGAAGACATGGACAGCTCTCGGCTGTTTGGATACAATTGCTGAATCCGCCCTCCAAAGGAGTTGAGTAAAGTCGGCTGATGCAAAAGAACTATCAAAGTATGAAACCAGAAATGTAAGAGGATAAAATTAGTCCCTTCTTGAGCCTTGACATAAGTTTGGAAATTCATCGTGTTGAAATGCAACTTCGGGGAAAGACGTTGGTAGATACTCGTAAGATCGCTCTCCATTCCGGCTAGTCGCTTGAGCGTCTCTGCATCGATATGATTGTCTTCTTGAATCGCATTGATCAAATCCGTGACTCGGCCGTACAGATGAATGATTCGGATGAGAGGCGGGAACGGCGCCGGCCAACCGTTTGCGAGAATGGACTCTGACTGCGGAGGAAAAGCGACTTCAATATCCTCGTCTCGCAAGGTGACAGGTCTTCCAGTCCCAGATGAGATGACACGATCAAGAAAGAAGATGCTCCAGAATGTGTCAACCTGTTCCCGTTCCAACGCTCGCTGGACTTCATCTACCATTTCGCCATTTTCACGTCTTTTTGTTGATATTTGAGGACCCTCAGGTTGTTCCACGTTTAGTTTTCCAGCTTGCCCTGTAATGACGGCCTTTGGTCTCAGACCAATGCGCCCATATGAATAGCTGAGTCCTTCTACTTTTTGCATGCCAAGATCTTGTGCCATCCGAATAGCTATACCCAAATACATCCAGAGGCCGCTATCATGATTTGACCCAAATTCCTCGTATGCTAGCAACAAGCAAGCCTGAACAACGGACAACGTGGGACACGACAGAGCATTAACGACCGCCGTCATGGCTCGATGAGCAAATGGTTGGCCATAATCTGACCGTTTAGCATTTGGCTGTAAATATTCCCCATCAATGGAACGAGCTTGAGGGGGGCTAAGTAGTGGATGCGGGGAGAACCTGGCAGCCAGGGCGCAGACAGCGTCTACTAGTATCGTATCGACCTTCTTCTCTTTCAAATCATTCATAAAACGGTCGCGCTGTAGAAATGGAAAGCTACAGCCAAGGTGGGCAAAGAACAGATCGCATAAATGTGTGACTAGGTTGCTCGGCGGCAAACTGTCTTCTCGATCGTAAAAAGGAATGCTGTTTGACTCGCCTTCCGCTAACGTAGTAAGCAATGATGCTCTTGGGACGTCAACTGGCGGGCTTTTAATTGACCGTATTGAATCTACAAGGACCCGAATTAATATTCTCTTGCAGCTACCAACACTTGAATGGGAACAAACAGCTCACCAGATGACTGTGAAAGGTTTCCTTTTTTCCCATCCCGTACGCGCACAACCTATTGAGGATATAAGCATTTGCATGTAATTCGAACTGAATTTAGCGTGACCCACCATTTGCTTGAACCCAGGGACAATAGCCGTGGGGCCAAAATATCTAAAATATGGAACATGGGTCCGATGGCTCGAGCTAAGAGATGTGCGGCCTAGTTCCAGTGTAACTAATTAGCATACAAATACTTGCCACAAGGCTCTTTCAAGTGGTTGCACGAGACATACTGCTCTCGGGACTGGCGCCAGGGCCAAGCTTTTCGTGCTCCTTTGTTGCCTTGGAGAGGGTGTCTCTCGTCAAAGGAAGGGGCACTTCGAGCTTGAGCGCCTTCGGTGGGGACTTGGAAGTGTCGGGCGCTGCTGTCGATAAGCGTGGGGTGGTCGGAGATAGAGGAACCGCAGGGTCCTCATCCTCGTCCTCAGCATACGTCGTGTGTTCAATTTTCGTATTTGTTTGGAGAGTCGCCTTTTCGGGTTTCTCGGGGTCATTATAGCCTAGACACTTGTGGCCGTAATCACTGCACGTCTTACATACTGCTAAGCGGTCAGACACGTGTCCACTCGAATTGATAGCTTGAATTGTAGGGGGGTGGGAAGCGATATTCCACGAACCGGGTTGTTCGCCTGAGCATCGGATTTTCCGTTTGCGACAAGTACGGCATCTTAAGAGACAATTAGATTAGAGTAACGCCTCAACATGATAAACGGAGGGGAAAGTAGATTGCACGACATAAGAAGAGAAGAGAACAGAAGAGAAAGAAAAAGAAAACATACGCTGCAGTAACTCGTCGGCGCTTGGTCTGAGGCTGACCATCTGACGAAACAAAGCGGATTTGACGTGGTTGCTGAGGCGTGTGTGTATTTGCATTCTTGCTGATACTGGTGGGAGCCCGGGTACTGCTAGCGCCTGTCTTCTTCTTGGGAGAAGGATTGCTCATGGCGAGCGAGGCGCTGGGTGGATGAGAAGACAGCTAGTTGCGTACAGCATCTGCCTCGGGTCTGCTGTATGCGGTGTGGTGTACGAAAAGAAACAGACAATTGAATTATTTCCGAGAACCGCGGCGGAACAAGCCAGCTACGGCGCGACCAATGCGAGATGGGATCTCTTCAAGAAAAGCAAATTGATCTCCATGGGCGAAAGTCCGTCGTCCAATTCATGTTCCGCCTAACAGCTGCAAGGCCGCCGCTGTGGTTGCGCTGCTGTTTTCAACTTGTGGCCTCCTCTTTGGGTCGCGAGAGGAGCAGTCGACGGACACAGGATCATTTAGCTATGAGGACAGGCTGCGGTGTCGGGCAGTGAGCGATGCGATTGTTGTCGAGTCAGTCCGCGTTGGAGAGTCACTGAGGGAGAGTCGGAAGCGGCGTTGGCTCCTCCCGCCATTTTTCTGCTGGTCACTTGACCACATCGTGGCTCAGCTAGTGAATAGTAACTATTATGACTACGGCCAGCCACGCTGCGGCTTTTGTTCTGTTTGCTTGCTCATTCTATGAATATTAAATATTACATGATGTCTTCAGTCAGGTAACCAGTAGCCAACTTTGTGTGGGTTATCTGTGCTGATGGTATATAAGGGTTAGGGTTGTTGGTGCCTCAGGCATCAATATGAATAGTAAGTGCCCCGGGGGGGCGCTGTATGATACATGCAATTCCCTACAGAAATCGCTCCTTCATCCACGCAGCGTATACCTTCTCAGACTCGCAGGTACCGGGCAATCTCAACAGCTTGTTCATCGCCATCTGTTCATGGCACTCTCCCTGAAATCTGTGAACCGTAGTGCGTGTTGGATTGGTTGCCTATACAGCTTATGAGTGCTTGCCAAAACATCATTGAAAAGGGTTAAATAAGGGTCACCTTGATTGTTTCGCATAGAATGGCTGTGTCATCTCGCAGAATCTCGTCCTCTCCATACAATAACAGCATTTCATCGACCTTCACATCCCCCCACCAGGCCGCTGGAGCTATCAGAGGTGTATTCCACGGATCAGGGGCACGGCCACCCAGAAAATTTCGTCCCCAATACGCGATGGCCGAGGGTGCAAGAACGTCCTTATCAGCATTGGCTTTCATTGCAGCAGCGGATACCTCCATGGTACACCAGGGCGAGATTACAGCTGCTGCGGCTAGCTGCTCGTTATTTTGTAGATGGAGAGGTGGAAGATCTGGGTTAGGATGCGAGAGATGCAGTAGCAGGCCAAGGAGAAGATTGCTGCCGGCAGAATTCCCAATAAGAGTAATGCTAGAAGGCGGGAAGTTCTCGGTGTTGAGGACGTGGTCTAGTAATGAAATAGCCTGACGGAGTTGAGTAGGATATGGATTCGCATGATCAGACGCGAGGCCTGCACAACACGTGAGTATATCTCTAATCCAGGATAATGGCGCTTGAGGAGGGTCGACGCACTATAAGCTAGAAGGTAGACAATCACGTCCTCTCCCCACCGAGGCTTTTTTTCAAGCCCATATAAGAGATGGAGGTGCTGCGGCAAGACGGGGGCGGCGTAACCTCCGCCATGAAAATACACGATAACTCTCTTTGCGTTTCGTTTTGCGTCTTCTGCCTCCTTTATTCTGCGGGAGCTGTTCCAGAATGGGATATAATCGCTACACGATTTCGCGGAAGATGACGATCCACCGAGCAAATGTGCAATGGTACCATCTGGAAGAGTCACTTTAGCATGGGGCAGGTTGAGACTTTGCGCAAATATTTGGCATGTCGTTGATGATGAAAAAAGGATTGACTGTTTTTCGACTGCTGTGAGACCGCACTGGAAGTCTATCAGACCCTGATACGCGATGTAGGAATGGAAGGATCTCTTTTTCTCCAGTAAACTGGCCACATGTGTTGATCTACTGCTTATGGAGTAGCAAACAGATTTGCATACGAGGCCGGCGACTACATATCATCGAGATACGCTGGCATTAGGCACGACGTTTGCATGAAATGGGATTGAAGCCAGTTCCGTTCATTCTGAGAGAATGCCCGGTTTGACTCACTCTCAGATCCTGGGAGTAAACATACATATTTTCCCGATTTTGGCGAGGAGCACGGCCCATCCCCACGGGGTCAGCGAGGGAGAAGAAGACGGCACTGGTGCTCCAGCCATTTGGTGTCACGAATAGAGTCTTCTGTGCAGTGGCAGACTGTACGGAGAGAGACGGTCGAAAAGTTCTGGAGCAGCAGCGGTAATTACAATACGGACTGCCCGCTAATATTTCGGCGACTTGCGCACCCCGTCCTGCCTGGGCTGTAAATACAGAATACGGTATGGTACTAACTGGACTGGGTACTAGACTGGCTTAGACTTGAGTTTTACTTTTGACATCCCACAGTTGAAACTTAACTAACAGTTCTAGTTAACACTAGCTAGAGCTTACGATACCACGGACTATAAGCACTAGGAATGTCTTGCGAATCTATCTTCTCTCATGGATGTCGGACCTTGGCTAGGTATAACTCTTCGCTGATATCAACTGCCGGGCGACAGAGCACAGAGCACAATTATTTCTGCGAAGCTGATAATTAACTGCATAGTCAACATTATTATCCATGTAATGCACTCACCTACACAACTATCATATGTTCCACAGGCTAGGTCTCGTATATTTTTGTGCGGGTCGTGCTCAGTCTGATGTCCCTGCGATTGGCTCGCTTCCCTGCTCAGGGACTCTTTTAAGATTTACTAGCAGGGGGCTTTTACATGCTGTCATACGTAAACCGCAAAGTCTCGACTGTGTCAAAGCCGTGAGGAGCTACGAGAGATAGATTGCCGCTAAGTTAGTTCTAGCTGCCACCCCCTGTTACCCGACTACCGCGCTTCCACGGATGCGACGATAGTAGCATTTTGCTATATATGCCTAAAACAAACTCGTGTGACACGATAACAGAAAAGAAAGAAAGAAAGGCAGGCTTCTGAACAAGGAACTATCATGGCGGTCGCTGCAGAGGAACAACCTTTTCAAATGCCCCCCCTCGTTATAGACGACTACAACTGGAAAACCTCCAAGACAGACGCTTCCGTTCGTGAACGTCGCGTCAATGGCGCTGAAGCTATTGTTGGAGATAAACAGCTTAATGCTGCGGGCTCCCTCGATCTCTACCTGATCTCGAGTGTCCGGTTTGCCAACGCTTCATTGACGCTGTCCCAATTGAAAGCCAAGCTTGAGCGCGTGCTCGTCAAGCTGCGGTTTGAGCATCCGGAAATTGGACAGACAGTCCTGTGGGAAGAAGATCATGTTCTTCCTTTGATCCAATACAAGCCACTCAAGAGCAGTGAAGATGCCCTTGCCTGGGCTCGGAAGCTTGTCCGTGTCCGGGCCAGTACACAGACTGGCTTTGACATCCGCACTGAAACTGAGGTTAAACGACACCAGGAGGGTGGAATCAACCCTGCCTTGCCCATAGATATTGATATTGTCGCCCCTGTCTCTGGACTGGATGCAGCTTTGGGATTGGTAGATGTGGAATTTGTCTTTCACTCAAATCATCTTTATGTCGATGGCATCAGCAAACGCATGCTGGTGAACGACATCTTCAGTTATCTAGGGGATGAAATCTCTGCTTCTTCGACTGGAGAACTACCTGTGTTTAAATGGGGAGAAGAGGTCCAGAATCTGGGTGCCCCTGTGTTGACTCTGTTGAAAGCTGGTATCCAATTATGTGGACCCAGCTTCGACGAAGCTACGAGGAAGCATCTTGAAAATGCCATCAAAGGAATGGTAAATTATCTCACTACATGCATATCTTCATTCATCAAACTAACATTGCAAAGCAAAATTATGGCCCCAACGCAAAGGAAGGCCACGGGCTTCCACGAACCATCTTCCACACTTTCACCAAAGAAGAAAGCGACGCTATTTACAAGGCCGTTAAGACCAAAGTCGGCCCCTCAGCCTCACCAGCTCACCTGGGCCATGCAGCCGTCTTTTTGTCTCTGCTCAAGAGTAGTCCGCCTTCTGATGACACCCCAGACACCCAAGTGTACGTGTCACAGTCTCCTGTGAACGGACGACGGTTTTTAGAAAACCCTCAAAAGCATGCAAAGACATATTATCCAGTGACTCAGAGCACCTGCCCTGTTCTGTACGGCAATATCAAACAGTACGAAATCGCCAATGCGTCCAAGGAAATGTGGGATGAGTACTTGCTCACAGCAACCAAAATCGCCAAAGAAACATATGATCAACGTCTTGCAAATCCTGCGGCGTTGCCTATATCAATTAATTTCCATAATCTGATTGGATTTTTGCAGGCTTCGTGAGTTGTGCCAGACTATTGAGTTTCGTCTACTGCTTGTACTAACATTTCATAAAAAAAAAAAAAAAAAAAAAAAAGGGGGACTCTGCCTCAAAGCTCTATGACTGCTCCAGTACGATCCCTCTTTTGATCTTTATGTTCTGCAAAACAGCTGCTAACGCGATATGATAGATGTTCACAAGTGATGGTGTCAATGAAACTTATATCCAGCGCGAAATCAACGATAAGGCAGGGAATATTGTGATTACAGTCAACACAGTGCGCTTCTTTTTGAGCCAGCATATGACATTCATGTAACCGTTTCTCTTTTCCGTTCTACTTTATATAGTCGACTTACCAATTCATTGCAGGTCTATCCGACTAGATAGCTGGAGAGGTCGTTCGGCGCTTTCGCTCAGCTACAATGATGGAACATATACTGACGAGGAGGCATCTGAGTTCCTGAAGGATACAGTCTCATTTATGCTACAGTTTACGCAGTGAAATGGGCTATATGTACATATAGGAGTAGCTTTTTTTTGGTAATTCATGTATAAATAGAGTAGTGCAATCATTTAAGACTGCGTAAGCTTCTTTGAACCTATCTTTTTAGACAGTCTTTCTTTTCCAAGGTTATATGCAAACACAGGTCAGAGAAGAAGATTAATTCACTTAGAAAGACGGCCGTTCCAGCTCCACGATCTCCGTGGTACGACCATACCTGATTCCACCCAACCGACTAATCGGACGCAACACCTCCAAATCAATAAGACTCTTGTCATCATTAATCGCATCTTCGCGTACCCAGAACCGCGTCCCTTCGACAATAGCCAGAACACCCGTCTTCTTGCCTGGCTCAACCGAGCTCTCAAACTCCTTCGCTTCAACTAGTCGACCCTCAATCGAGAAAATAGATTCCTGTACGCGCGGCGCTTTCACCGTCGTACTCGGCGCCTGATGCAAGCCGGCAATCTCAAATTCCGAAGTGCCATACGGTGCATTCACAGAGGTTGCATTGGCGGCTTCGACGAAATGTTCGGATATGAGGTTAATGACACACTCGTTTGTGTCAAGCAGGTTCCTCAACGTATCCTTTGCCTTGTCGATTGAACCGACAAAGCTTACAACGAACATTGGTGGGTCATGATTCACTAGCTGGAAATAACTAAACGGAGCAAGATTGACCGATGTGCCATCCTTGGACCTGGTGCTGACGAACGCAATCGGGCGAGGGACAATGCCGGATATGAGCAGCTTATAATTGCTGCTTGCAGACCTGCCAGGCTCATAGGGATCGATTGCAATGTGCTTTCTTTGTGTGTCTGGAGACGCGCCGCCGTTATTGGCGCCGTCGCCTAGTTTCCAGTTCGTGTTGGGCGGTTGAGAGTATTTTAGGGGCACATTGCGGTCGAATTGTGGCCGCGACGCTTGCTCTTCATTGAAATTTGCTTTGGAGGGGAAGTGGTGGCTAGTAGTAGTGGTTGTGCTGCGTTGTCTGAGACAATGCGAGGGTCTCCTCCTGCATGCGCATGGTTAGCTTAAGTTTGCCCCAGCCTCCCAGGGAGGTTGTGGTACTAACGATATTCCATTAAATGTGCCTCTAGGAAGTGTGGAAGAATTCCTTAACAAGAGGGCCATACTGACCTATACGCACACTATGGATTGATGTTCAGTGAGTTGAAATTCGAGGTTGAAGACGGCTTTATTGCCACTCACTTCTATGCGGGCATTAGTTAGCGCATTCATTATGGGTGGGGAACAAACAAATTCGTATACGCCGAGATCAATTCCGAATCCACTGTTTACCTAGGTACTGGTATGCAGATGCATATCGACTATCGACTTGAACTTTGGTAAGGAAGTGAGTTCCAAGGCCTTTGAAATTATGAGTCAGGGCGTCGTTACAAGTGTGGGACGGTAAACCCCAATGACTTGACCTTCCACGTTTCGATATAAAACAGAGGAGCCGGAGCAAGCCCATACAACTGACCATTTCCGAATTCATTCAAGCTTGATATCTTTGTAAGGTTATGTAAGTCGAACCAATCTGGGCTTTGTGATGGCATCTGATTCGACAATACGGCGCGGAAAGTCCTTATATTGAAATATAAGTTGTTGGAGCAGCGGTCTTTGGACCAGATCCAGACGCCGACTGAGAATTAAATTCGAAAAAAAGACCTGTGGCTTGACGAGCATTTATACCTCACGACTATCCAAGAAAGACGATGTGCGTGGACATAAAGAAGTTTGGGGGTTGACAGTTCCACGGAACACCACCGAACGGCCGAGATCCATTGGTCGATTTTCATGCAATCGATGCGTTCTTTCACTTGTCCATGTTACTTCCATGCGTTACTTAATTAGTTTAGTGACAGGTTAACTGTTTAGGTATGCGCTTGGTGTCATATTGATGTCATACACTGTGTCCGGGTATATATGATTCGGTATGCAGCCAGTTTCTCTCCAGACTACACACCTCAACAAGGACATCATCAAAACAAAAAGCAAGAAATAAGCCTATGACAATGCCATTCTCGTCGAGCTCCTACACCTCCTACAGCGCCACAACCTCAGCATCCCGAACGCAGAACGGCGAGACGCAAAGCTGGGGCCATCGCAGCGCCAACCAAGTTTTCCGCGATGAAGACAACTCGAGGCACGAACGTTCACTCTCGCAGAACTTAGGCGAAGATCCTGTGTATGAAGAGAGGCATTATGATTCCCAGGGCCGCCCGTTACTCGATGGTGGGAGCAGTCAGCAGCGACAAGATCGTATTGAGGATGTTACTGATCGGCAGTAAACCCTTCATTTTGTTACTGTGACGGACCTGATCAGTTGTGGAAATTATCATTCTTTTTATTTGTTTTATCGTTCATCACGCTTGTGTGAATGCTATGGTTATAAGAGACCTTGACTTGGAGGAAGTTGTACGATACCAGCTGCTTTGATGGGATTTTCCAGTTCTAACGGATTGAACGTCATCCATCATATTCGCCTCTCACTTGAACTGTATCCCTTGTCTTTGTAAAACTAGGGTCTATGCATCTTCTAACCCTGGTCTCGACAAGAGACGTGGTACAAATCAGAGATGACATGACGTCACGCTCCACTCCTTGACAATATCATCGTTCGCTGTTAGCGATTGCAAATTTAATCGTAGGTAAATATATTATTGATGATAATGTTTTTAAGAAGTAATACAAAACAATACGACGGGAAGGAAGAGAGACTAACTGACCTTCTCTATACACTCTAGTTCCCTTTCTTTTTGCCGTCGCATTTAAGGCTGTAACTTCTGAAACTTACATAGATTATGATAGCTCTTTCAAAAACTTTCCGAGGGATGACAAGATGTCTGAAGGCTTGGCCTGTCAGTAACAAATATCAACAGACTACCTAGATATAAAGAGTCTCTTGGTAATAGTTGTAGCATGAAATTGAGTTGCGGTGCATGATCTGTCGCCTCTTTGGTCATTCCACAGCGAGCATGTGATAGCTCTGACTATTTACTTTAGCCCTTTCTTTCGTTTCCTGTTTCTCCCTTGTCTCTGATATTCTTATGGAGTCATCTAGATGGTTAGCGGATGGCTTTTTGTCTCTTGATACGATAATAAACCAGTGTTGAGTTGTATTCAGAGTAGTTTACAGACCTTGAACAAAATGTGGATTAATTAATTGCATTTCGCTAATAAAGGAGAGAATAATGTAGTACTAAAGAACGGCTGAGAAGAAGTCACTGAATAGCTTGTAGAGACTTGTGTGTCTACAACAGAGACACTACGCTCAGGGCTAGTCAAATAGTTAGGTAACAAACACCAAAGCTAGATACCATATTCATTTCTTCTCAAGGCAAATTCATGATATATGTATGCGCCAGAACCAGGGCTAAATAACCTTAGTTTCGTTAGCGTCATGTCACCGTTTGATCTGTTCGGCTGGGTTATACTGTCCAGTTGACTTACTTGTCAACTGATTCTGTCAATTGCCCCTCTTAAGCCGTAATCTATTGGCTGTGAACCGTGAATTCTTGTGACACAAACTTAGCTATGGCACCATGTATACCGATGCCTTAGTAGGTTGATAAAGGATCCATATCCTTGAAAGTTTCCTTCAATTAAGGTATTATTGCCTTGCATATATTCCACGAAGTGGCCACGCTGCAATTTATATAATGCGGCATTTTTGCTATTGGTTCTCTCTTTATGGAAGAATCAAAGCAGAACAGTAGACTCAAGATCATCTCTTTATCCTGAGACTTATATAGTCCCGTCCGAACTGTGGAGCTTGTTCCCTAATACGGTATAGCTCCCGTATCTAGAAAGAAATAGGAAAGCGGTTAAAGATTTGACGACGACAGAGAAAGTCGAATAACTTCACAGAATGTCAACAAACTCTTTGCCTTTTTCTTTTGAAGCCCATACAGTGCCTGGACAAAAACCTCTTGATTACTATTTAGTTCAGACACAAGAACTATCATAACTTTGCTTAGCCGTATATTTAAGTATTCTGCCCACAGAAAACACGGGCGGTGTAGTTAGCGCGGAAGGGGCGTCCGCAGAGTCTAGACAGTGTGCCAAGCCACTACTGGATGTAACACATTATACTAAATAACAACTAGAAAGCGTCCGTTTTCAATTGTTCGTTATACCAGCTCCGGTGTAAAAGCTTAGCTGCCTTAGCAAGCTGAATCCAGAGTATATTCCCCGTACGTACTGGCGTATTCTGAGATCTTTGACACTAGCCATGTTGGGTTAAGGGTGTGCAAGCCCCACAGCGGGTAGGCATGGGGCATCTCGGGACTCAAATCTGTACCTACAAAAAATTACGGACACAGGGGCGAGTCAAGTCCTTTATAAGGCCATGAATGATAGCAAATAACTACCTAATTTCGGTCTTGTCGGCATGCTACTCTGTACAGCGCATGGGACTATGCGACGTGTACTAGGCAAAGGATCAAACCTTGTCAAGAAAATAAATATTTACTAAAAGCTTAGAGCTGTTTAGTGCTAGATAAGACTTTTTGCTACCGAGTTTATAGGCTCCCATGGCATTAATCTAAGGATCTAAGAAGATCTTTGGCCCCCAGTGCGCCTTAGAGTATGATATACTGAATAACTAGCATGCTTCTGTACGGTAATATCAAGCACGGCTCGTCAAACCGTAACAAAACGGCCAATCCTTCACATTAAGACATTTTTACTAAGCCCTGACATTACTTATTACTACACAAGACAAATTCTGTATCTACTTTAAGTTGCTGCCATTAATCCAAGGATGTACTGATCTAGTTATGTTTAGCCCCCATGCCCTTCGGCCCCTTCCTAGCGTTTGCCCTAGTATCAGGTAGCAGGGCTTTGTTATTTGCATATGCCAAGTCGACGCGAAACAGTCTGTATAGGGCGGGGTAAGCGAGATAAGAATGTTACGTGTCCGACAATGTAATTATAGATCATGAGGAATAGTGATCCTATTGAAGGTAGGCTCTTTTTGGTAAAGGTACCTAGGTAGTCGAAATAGACCGACATAATTCCCTGACGGGGGTGTTTGTCTTGGTTTGCACTGAATGAGTATAGGTATATAATATACTACTAGTTTAGATGGATGTTCCAACTTCTTAGCCCCGGATTTTCCTTCTTAAGAAATTGCCTCGGCTCGCTTTGTTAATTCTCAGGCAACAATGCACGCAAGCACATCCCGCAGGACACAAGGTGTATGGCTATCCAACGCCTGCGATCAATGCTACCGCCGCAAGCAAGCATGCACCAAAAGCAAACCTACGTGTGGACGCTGCCATATAGATGGCAGGCATTGCACTTACAGCCAAGGCCGAGGCTCAGGGCGTCCAAGGAAGTTATCCAGAAGTACCACCACTGAATCCACTCCAAGCGCACAGACAGAGAGTATGAACCCTTGCAACGAGTGTAAGTAACTGTATGACTTTTAAGAGGGGCCTCGAGAAGACTGAACGTATTTCGTATTAGCAATTGAACCGGATGTTAATGTCCCGAATGTCACAAGCTATCCATCGAGTCTTTCAAGTGCGCAAACCTACGATCAACGGTCCTCGCTGGCCAGACACGAACCGCTTCTCCCAGGATATCAGTCATTTTGGCCGGACTTAGATTTTTTAAAAATTCCAGGCTTGGGCGGAAAATCGACAACCACTTCGAACACAGAGGACGTTGATCAAGAAGCCCATGTGAGCCTCATGGATGGGACAGATGATGCAATTCGGAGTTTTAGCACTGTCTCAGCAATGGTCTCTCCATCTGTGCCTTTATACCTAGGGGAGGCTGAAACACGATCTGACAAACAACATCAATGTCGGTGCGTTGGGGAACTTCTGCACGTGATGCCTCGAGCATGGGCACTGTTCTTGCAACCACCCCCTAGAGTCGATCAGAGCGTAGCTTCCACCTCCCCTAAAAGTGGTTCGGAACAGATGCACTTGGTTGTCAATGCCTGTGAGCGCTTGATTATGTGCGATGAACCTCACAGTTCTTCAATCTATGCACTGCTTTTGCTCCTATCTTCCTTCCAGGGAATCGACGACTACCTCAACACGCTCACTTCGTCGGAGGCGGCAGAGCAGCTGGCTATTCATCGCAAGGGCATTCTACGTGCCATCATGGTGCTTTCAGCGCTGGACATTCCTGGGCAGTTTAACTCATGGGGCATAGCGGGAGCGCCTGAACAGATGGAATATTTACAGGGCTTTACAAAGCAGTTGTTACAAAGATTAAGAAATAGGTTAATGTTCTTTTCTTGATGTATAGCGTACGTAATCTAGGCATACCCATAGATAATAAAATCGTTCTATGCGTGTAACTCTTCCGCTCCCTCATTCTGCCAGCGATAATCACATTCAGGGAACTTGAGATGGAGCACGCTGTTATAATTCCACGGATCGATGTCCCATCTCAAGAAGTTGTCTGCGCAGTGGCTCGTGTGGTGGTAGCTGTACGTCCAATTGTCCATCGGCCGATTCATCATGACTGATCTCTGATACTTCCGCATAATGAATGCACAGTGTGCGACGTGCTGCCTCCAAGGTACTATTGCGTACTCCAGATCCCCACTCACTCCCTCCTCCCTAGTATATAAATCCGGTGGTGAGATCTCTGGCTGGGCAGTCATGCTCCGCGAAAAAGCCCAGCTAGGATCTGCATCCCACTCAGCTGCTAGCTGGTCATCGAAGCAGTCTGGCGGTACCCAGGCAAAGTTATGCACTTCAAACTTGCAACCGAGTGCGCGTGCCTCTGCTGGAGTGTTGCCGCAATGAATGATCCGGGGTCGATTTTGTGCTTGTATTTTGAATTTGATAGATGTAGCCCAGATGGAAATAATGCTGAGCGAAACAAGGGCGATTATGAGCAAGTAGATGGTTCGCGGTCTAGTAATCCAGTTTCGCCGTGAAGTTCGCAAGTCCTTCTCAATCAAAATCGGCGACGAGTCTCCATCTTGGAGGATTTCAATTGACGTGTTTGTGTCCGCGTGCAGCCGTTTGTACTGGACACTTGACTTGAAATAGGAGAGCATCGTCCAATTATCGGGAAGTAGAATAAAAGGACAGAACGTAATGAACAACCTTATACTATTATCAATTTGAAATATGAATTCCAACTTACGAAGACCAGAGTCTTCATCGATAACGGGAAGCAACAATACTGCGGCCATAACTGAAAGCACTTTTCCACTTTCCATGCACGTCATACAAGTCTAGATCCGCGGAGGCAGACTAGAAGACTAATGCCTCTCCGACGCCCGGCCCTTGACCAGAAACCTCCGCGGGAATTTCCTCGCAGCACTAAATGAATATCGATCCGTAATTAGGTAGATGGTACGACGTAATGCACTAGTCTGAATTGGTCTCATCAGTGACACAGTTTTCAACGGTTATTGTCAATTCATCAAAATGGTAATACCGCAAGCCCTAATATTTCCATATCGGGAATGGGCCGTTAACAGAACACCCCTATGTGAGTCTAGATATTACGATCCTCTCTTTACTCAGGACTTGCCTATGTCCTGCTGCCCATAGCGTTGGCTTCAACCACTGCAACGGGACAAGTGATGGTACATTTAAAGACATTGATTTCTATAGTTTAAGGGCCAAACCAGTACCATCAGCAACTACAGAACACACATTTAACTACCTAATTCCCTATTGTGTTGTGTCCAGTCATACGTAAATATTTGTTAAATTCCTCACCGGGGAAAGCACGATTTGTTGCCCACTTATGGATGTTGTCAAAGTTCCGGCACATCCTGGTGGCTCCGAATTTGGAGACCGGAACATCTCCTTCCTCGTCCCATTCCCATGAAACGGTGCTGAGGTCACCATAACACATGATGACTTGACGAAGTTGGTCAACACAGTGCTCTGAGTGATTACAAGGTATTAGCAAAATGCTCAACGGTGGTAGTCATATCAAATCTTTTGGAAAATAGAAGATATATACGAACCCAGGTGATTCCATATCATTTCTGCATTCTCCATAGACATTCCTTCTGTGCCGCCATATCTTTCTGGGTACATACTTTTGCGCATCATATTCTAAAGAAAATAGTAAGCAAATAGTATTGACATTGACATTCAGAGACAGATACGAACCAGACAATGTAGTTGATGAAAGACTCCAAGGCCAAGGACATACTGTCCATCTAACCCTGGGACCTCTATGGTCTCGTCCGGCAGCTTCGCAGCCAATGACTTGTTGACAGTCACAATTCCAATATCTATTCAGACAGTAGGTCAGCCACAGTATAAGGCATCTATATGGCGCGAAAATTTATTACTCTGGTAAAGATCATCCCAGGCCTTGTCAACAGTGTCGCTTGGAGGACCCTGCCATGGTGTACGGTCTTCATGAAAATTGCTTTTAAATACTTGTGGCTGCCACTCAAGTATCTCTGGGGCCTCATCTGCCGGAGCTACTATTCAATCAGTCACTTTCAAGTTGAAATTTTCTATCGAAGTCCACTACGAACAGGGAAAGTAGGGAACTGTTTTTATAACAAGACTTGCGTCTTCTTTCGCTGAATTTCGGAGTTAGTAACTCTAGAGTTTATGCTTCGAGGGCAGGTAATACTACTGACATTGTAAGGGACGAATAGTTGCAACCGGTAAGCCTTCACGAACTGAGCTTAGAAAAAGAAAACAAACACCGAATAGTAGGGTTGTAGATGCTAGTGAAGCAATCTTCCATCGTTGCAGAGACCTTCGAGCTGCTAACAGCCCAGAGATATCTTGCATCTGGGAGGAAGTAGTGCTACTGCTATCTCCGTCGAGATATTTATCAGACGGCGTCAATAGATGATAACTCATAGCTTCAATCATGGCTGAAGAAGCGATTCCATGAACTCTATGAGCATTACAACTGTGAACGGAGGTTGTATTACATTAATGAGCTCCTTGGGGTTTGAATGAATTATTAAGTGGGCACCCCTCTGTGTGTGTTTTCTGAGAGCATTGATCAATCTGTAAAAACTTCCGAATGCCGCGGAGGTTTCCCATCTGGGAATACCGGCACCAACTTAGGGCTAGTAACCTATAACCCTAAGTTCGGTTCAGTGATGGATTTTAGACAACAGCAGCCACGCTCTTGTAGCGAGAATCTAAGGAGCATTTGTGTAGTTAATATATTCAAAACTTTGCTTGAGCTGCTGGTTACAGTATCTGTGAGGGAAATGAATCATAAATCATTTTGGCAATCGACACTTCATGTTCCATGCGCGCCTGGCCTCACTCCCCCATTTCCAATGCGACTTTCTGTCTCATGTAATAGAAGCTGGGTGTCCGCTTGACGAAGCGACTCGGCCCAGGCTCTCCCTCGTTCATAACTTCGACAAGTATGGCTGACGAACCAACCGCTTGTTCCATGTGCATTGTCCACGGTGGCCCCTTCCAATGTCGAGTCCATATTGCAGAGTATTATCTGCCTGAGGTATTCAAAACAATGGTTTATATGTATAGAGCCGTGTCCTGTTTCAGGTTCCCGTTCTGTTCCATCTGGTCCAAATTGCACAAGGGCGTCAAAGTTGTCCATTACGGTATACTATAATTATGTTAAAATTTTATCGATCCGTTGAAAATATGGGACTTACATACCAAGCAATGTAACTGGTGTACCCAAGAAAGCAGATATACATCCTTGGCAGAGCTTGTAGTGAAGGAATGAAGTAAATATGGATGCTCCTCGGGTTTCTCGACATGTATCCAACCACTTCCCTCTAGACAAGGTGTACGGTTAACTTATTTGCACTATACAAGACCCAATGAGCACTTACTCGGAAGAAGGTTTCTCCATTTCTCACGTATTTCAAGCGATGCAGCTTCAGATGTAAAATTGACCGTATAGTCTGAGATATGATCAAGAAACACTTTTGCCTCGTACGGATCTATGACTAATCAGCTTTTCGAATCGATACCAAAGGAACAGCAACATACATTCGGGGACAAGGCCATCCAACTCTCCGCCAGGAACCATCTTGGGGACTTTGTTGGTAGCTAAAAGAGAGCCTAATAGCAAGACTATCACTACAGACTGAGTACCGGATAAGATGAGCCATCTCCAGCGAACAAATCCCCCACGAACGCGATTCCAGAAACTCTGCCTTTCATATTGACGGTCAAAGTTTGTCTTCTCATAAGGTCCAGGGAGGAGTTGGGCAGATTGGCTGTCTGTATCAGACAAGCCCTCCATGTCCAATTGTTGGCTCGACGGATCATGCATGGAAGAGGACGCCAAATTGTATGAGATAGATCTGATGCAGCTGTGTGCTCAACAGCATAACAAAAAAATTTTCTTACCTTTTGGACAAGGACATGATAGTCTGCAAGTGGCAGGAATCCCGGACAATGATTTTCACCGGCCGAATCACAGAAACATCCGATAATAGATTTGTCCGCGGCAACGACACAGGACATTGATACGGTCCGTGAGTTACAGAGCCATATCGGGCGGTTAAATAGACTAGTAATTCTGGTACTAGACTTGACTTCCAAGGTTGGGATGTGAGGACTAAATCTCTATATCTTCAGCCATTTCTGGACATTTTCAGATTCTATTGATAGCAGACCACTTGCAACGCTTGGCTTTCGTACAAGGAACTATCTCAAAATTCTTGTGAGAACGCACCTACCAGGCATCATGGTTTTCAGCAGAAACATCGCCAAGGCTCTTTTCATTGCCACCCTAGCCTACCAGGCTATTGCATCGCCAGGTAGGTATATTAAGACTTGCCGGGCGTGGTGGACATTTCCAACTATTTGAACCAAAATTACAAATTCTGACGTTTCATTTGTAGTACCGGTTTCCAGGCGCGGTGGTGACGCTGCCTTGTGCAGTGACTCGTCAAACTCTGCTTTGTGCGACTCATTCGACTACAAGCGTGAGGAGGACATTATTTCCAAGCGCGGTGGTGACGCTGCTCTCTGCAGTGACTCGTCCAACTCTGCCTTGTGCGATTCATTCGACTACAAGCGCGAGGAGGCCACTGTCGCTAAGCGTGGTGGTGACGCCGCCTTGTGCAGTGACTCGTCCAACTCTGCTTTGTGCGACTCCTTTGACTACAAGCGTAGTGAGGAGGTGTCTATGGCCAAGCGTGGTGAGGACTCTGCTCTGTGCACTGACTCTTCCAATTCCGCTTTGTGTGACTCGTTCGACTACTAAGTGTAGTAATCGACGATGCTTTTGGAAGAGGAGAATCGGGACAGTGCTGCTTTGGCAATATATCTAGACGTCTGTCCCTTAGCGAAGGGCATCTTTTTGAAAAGAAATCCTGTTATCCTGAACTTACTGGTAGATAATCTACGAACTGGAATGAATGAATTTCTATGATTTATAACCTTGGGCCTCATCCATGAGTATCGGTGTGCTTTCTATGTATATCAATCATAGTTGAGCTGCATAAACGTTGAACTACGAGCTTTTTCTGCCAGACGACAAGGAAAGTTGCACTTTATATTCTCATTTCCTACTATTACACAAATAGGTTCTCAATTTGTCTTCCCCGTACATAAAAACACCATGCTGTGCAGTATAGTATGGGCATAGCCTGTACGGCAGATAATACAACACTTAAAGTGTAATATTGTCGATAAATAATTACTTCTTAGGGTCTATCTAGGCTTATTTTTCAAAACTTCATTGGATTCGAAGATTATATGCTATTCTAAGAGAAGAAAGTATCCTGTATTTCCAAATCAGAGCAACAATAATCCTTCTTCTCTCCAGCGAAACCAGTTCAAACGTGTCGTGCTGGTCAAATCCTAGTTATTCAAGTGGATACAGCTCACAAATTTCATCGTCGATACTATCGGTTTGACATTGATTTTCCCCAACATGTAATCTGTACAGTGCATTGTATGCGCTTCCGTACCACTTTGATAATCAACGAGGCCGTGGGAGTGTGCAGCCTCAGACAACTTCCTCCATGTATAGAGGCAGTGGCGATCGTGGTGGGTTTCTGCTGGAAAAACTGCCGTTATGTTTCCAAGTCTCAACACGTCCATAGGAATTTCCTGGGTATGCTCCTGGTCGTAGTACCATCTACTGTTCGGTAGAGAAAGAAACTCTTCTGTGAGTCTCGCAGAATAGCACTCTGGAGGTGTCCAACCATTCGCCATCACATCGAAAATACAATTTCGAGCCCGCGCTTCCTCAACGCTGCTGCCGCAGTGTGGAAGCTCCTCCTCTTGGACGATGCTTGGTTGTGCTATTATTGGGCGACATTCAAAGCTCTGGAAGAAAAGTTCGGTGGCAACGACGCTGATGGAGACTAGGAGAATGGCTAGACAGGAAATAATGATGCCTCGAAATCTTGGGCTCGATCTGCTCGGTTCTTGGCCTGCAGGGCTCGATTCAAGCTCGGATTCTTCGTCTGGGACGTTGGTATAACCCAGCCACTGCAGCTTTTGTCGAAGTATGGTAGTCATGCCAAACACCATTGGATATTTGGTTTGCACAAGAGTTCGAGGTATCTCCGTAGGGTGGTTTGAACCGGTATACTGTGCCAGTGTTGATTTGATTTGATGTGACTATCTACTAACTACGTCTAGTTCAAAAACCAATAAAATTTATTGCTAGAGTTATTCGGACATTTCTCGTGTCCAAGGAAATTCTTTAATATTGTGGAGATTTCTATGCCCGCGGGCATATTTTGTAATCCTCCGAAAAGGGAAAATCGGTAACGGCAGCTTACAGCTACATGTGCAAAATCCACACCAGAATCCTAGTTAACACATGATGTAACAATTGTAAGCGGACTTTTCTTCAAGTACTCGTCCCCGCCAACCAGGCCCGCGAAGATTCAACTGCTTGAGACAACCAGTTGAGTCCGCGGATATTCTCAGGTTGCTCCCGCCATACATTAACGGTCCAAAATAGCATCTGCTGTAAATGCAAACGATTTCCCAAGTCTCATTTCAGCCAAATAGCAGCGCTAATCCACGTACACCTGACCATACAAATATGACGACGAGCGAAAGCGATACGAATTCCGATCTGTCTGAGACCAATCGCCCGCTGTTGGACGAATTCCCGGAAAAGGGAGGCGATGGTATTAACCCACGCCGTCCTTACAGCAGACAGACCCTCTGGACCAGAATAGGAGCTATCGTGAAGTGGCCGCTATTGATAAGCTGCTACACTGTTTTAATCCTTGTGCTCCAACATGTTTTCTATCTCAGGCCCACAAGTGTCCCTATAACAACCGGCAGGGATGTTAATGGCATCGTGCCTGAATGTTAAATGCCTCGAAACCCCTTGAGTTCTGTTACGCAGGCTAACCCTCCCACTACTAGATACTGAAATGAGAACGTTTCGACACGAAGAAGCCGACTTGTACAACGTGAATCATACGTCTGAGGCCGCATCGATAGAGGTCCGTGAAAGATGGAGACTACTTTTTCCAGGTACTGGGTTCTTACCTGAGATTGTTGTGAATAACTATATCCTAACTCGTATTCAGTCGGAAATGGACAGGTTACTGTTGAACATCCGGAAGACGGTCCATATTTACTTAATCCATTGATCTCGAAGTCGGGAAAAGCCGGTTACTTTCTCAGTTGGGTACATCAACTACACTGTCTCGTAAGTGATCTGCTATATTCTCCACAGCAAAATTGTCGATAAGTAACTGATGGAACCTCTAGTATATCATTATGGACGCATATGACGAGGTAGTTCAGTTTGGCACTGATGGAAATGAGGCTTATGAGCACCAAGCGCATTGCTTCGAATACCTTCGACAAACAATTCTCTGCAATATGGACTCTACACTAGAGGGAACCGTAGAAGAAGGTGGGAGTGGCAAGCAATTTTTTGGAATGGGTGACACACGCGTGTGCCGAAGTTATCAACATGGCAAAGCGTGGGCTGAAAAGTGGCGCCAAAATGATGACTTGACGCTCGGCTTTGATGAGAGAGACCATCGCATTGGCAATGGAGGAGCTCGACCTGGTATTCAGTGAGGGCAGTGGGTTAGAACGCCGAAGTACTGGCTATCTACATATAATCCTGATAATCACCTAACAACGGGTTGAAACGCTGTATCAGCTGATACATGTATTAGAAGTACTAGTTATATATATGATCTGCATATCTGACTAAAGAGAATGTTCAAGGGGCCATTTAAGGCCATATCTATGCTTCTCCAAGGAGTCAACTAGGCGCGCGTCTGATATTGATAGCGCCTTCAAATGGTTTGAAGCTTACTGTTTGCGGCAACATAAATGTCGTCTTCACCCGTGGAATTGCCGTAAATCCATCCAAAAACTCTCCCGGCCATGAAACATGTTCATGTGTGTGCTGCATTGGGGAGTTGAAATGAACCTAAAAGTTGGCGGGGCTATTTATGTCATGGCGACACTATACCAAAGTAGTACTAGGCTCTATTACCCGCCCCGCTAGAGCCGCACTAAACACTCATAGTTGGTGGGTGGGTCTGAGATAATTCAAACCCAACCCTAACTGGAGCCAACGACGGACTCGGAACGCTGTATAGGCTAGTATTAGAAATACTATATAATCTGCATATCTAACTAAAAGAATGTTCAAGGGGCCAACTAGGTCACGTATTCTGAGGCATTTATTACACCAATTAGCTGAGATTCTGAGCCAGCGGTGGATTGCGGGCTGTCATCACCGCTAGCCGGCCATGCAAATTTGGAGGTGACGGAAGAGTTTCGCGAGGACGAAACGAGTACGTGGCCATAGCATACTAAAAACGAAGCATCCTAGCTTTTTTGGAAATGGTAGCATTCAGCTGTGTTTCTACGTTTCCATCTTTCATTACTAGTCACCTAAACTCCCAGAGACCGATTCATGCCAAGCTTAGGATGATATCAATTATGGCTTCTAAAAATGAAATAAGTTGACAATTTAGAATCTCGAAATATCACTCCCAAACATCCGATTAACGATCCACCGAAACAAAATCCTGCACCGATTGCGCCAGCTAATACTCATGCTCAAATACGCCACCTTCCAAACCAACCAAGCCGTTCGCCCCGTCAATCCCTCCGGCAAATACGGATTCCGGCGTCTATCACCATTGCCCCCATGCTCCTTCTTCTTCTCATGCGGGATTTGCATGAGCGCATTCGAACTACCAATATAGGCGAGCGTGCCCATGTTCCGGAAAGAGAAACTGGGGACTTGGTCGATATCGCCACGATTGAAACGATCAGCAAGCCATTTCGCTTCTTGTGATGTTGCCTGTGCTGTAGCCGGAGGAGCCCCTGTTTCTGGCATGGCGTTATCACCAATCGCAAACACGTCTTGTAAAACTGCCACTCGCCCGTTTTCATGCTCCAATTGGACGCGGAAATGACCGTCAACTAGGAGGGCGCCGACTTTGGATGCTTTTTTGATATGCCATCCTTTGCTATCAGGCCCTTCTCTGCCTTTTACCTTCGATTGTCCGCCGTTTATCAGTTTTGCAGACCCCTCGGGGAATTCGTCAATCTCGTTTAGAGAGTATTTGACAAACTTGTTCATTGTGTTTCCAGTCGCCCACACACAGATCCCCACGCCAACGTCGCCTTGCTCCTTTGTGTTCAGCGTGAGACAGCCCTTGGGATCCATCTCATGCGGGCCTTCGGTATTAGGTAGACCCCATCTTAATCCCTGGATATGATGTGACGTCCGAATATCAATGCCTTCCTTGGACATTGTCTCAATAGCATATTGTGACAACGACTTATCAAACATACTCAACACCGTGGGTGCGACATCGTACAACGTAATTTTCGCCTTGTCCTTCAAGGCCGGGTACAGCTGCAGCATATTACTATTCACAAAATCACGAAGAGTAGCTGCCAGTTCTGTGCCCGTGGGACCGGCTCCCACAATCGCAAAATGCAGGAGATGGCGCTGCATTTCTTCCGTGGTAGTCGGCAGAGCCGCCAATTCAAAGCACTCCCTAACCCGCCGCTTGACTCGTCGCGAATCACCAATATCTTTGAAAAACATGGCATTCTCTCGCACGCCCGGTGTTGCAAAAGTCTGACTCACGCACCCAACGGCAATCACCAATTTGTCGTATGGGATTTCGAAAAGCTGCCCTTGTTCCCAGCTGCGTAGATGCTCCTTGCCGCGCATCGCGCCTGTTTCGGGCCCTTCTTCGTGCGTGCGTTCGGTCTCTTCGACACGGGGAGACTCGGTGACGCCGGATTTCACAATGCTGGCTTCACACAAGACGGTCTTTTTCTTGAAATTGACGCTCCTTGCAGCGGCTTGGATGAAATCCACTCTACTCTTGATGTCGCGCATGGGCTCGACGATAGATGAGAAATCCAAGTTCCCTGCCGCCGTGTCCGTCAGCAATGGCGTGAACACGAAATATGACCGGGGCGATATCACTGTGCAGTCGTGTTGCTTGGGTGAGATTTTGCGTGAGAAGATGTATCCGCCCCAGCCGGACCCGAGGACGAGGACGGTTTCCTTCTTCGAAGAATCTTTTCCGGGGTAGAGGTGAGCCTGAGAGAACGATGATACTGTGGGTGTGATACTATTGCTACTAGCAGTGGTTGTAGTACTAGGCGTAGTTGCTTGATTGGAGTTAGGGTTATTGGTGGTTGAGAATGGACGAATCGCCCTATGCCTGCCAACAACAACATCATTGCCGCGTCCAGCTCTGTACGTGGAGCATTTCCTCGACGATTGAGTAGTAATAATTACATTACCAAAAAACGCAGACGGCGAGAATGAAGCGCACTCTCTCCTGCTGTATCGGAGGGGCGACACACGGATGATCGTGGCCTTCATTTAGCAATGTAAAAGTATTCAAGTTATTTTTCTATGAAGAACGATTCATACAGGTATCATCCAAAAAAATAAAATCTTCTACCTGGGTGGAGGAGATTTTATACAACTATACCCACCTCACAATGATATCATTCACATGTACCACTTTCGGTTGTGTACACCACCCACCCATGGATTTAACCAATGAATCCGGCAAGGTCAATTTTCCACCCTCTTTTAAGTAAACATAGATACAGAAATCGCATACAGAAAGAACAATTTACTATCATGTGAACGAATATGAGTGTAGGTACGTATCCGATATGATCCACCGTGTCCGGTATACTCCGTTGGGAATAGATACTCCGATTCTATCCGAAGCTGCCTGGAGCTTTTCGGATGACTCAAGTCTGGAGAATGAAAAGGGAAAAAAAAATTATTATCAGGTCTGGTGTTCCGGGTCTCATCTCATTTCACATGCACGATAATCATAAATCATGAATCCTTTATAGCAGGTACCTAAACTCCGATTCAACCTGACTGCCGTAAGGGTACCTAGCAGGTAGGCACCGGACTGTGGAAGTATACAACTCATAACCAACCGATTACGCATTGCAAATAGTTTGCAGAAAGAGAAATAATAGTACTCCGTACTGATAATAATATCGTACCCGTCTAGGCCCATCCATCAATCAAGATGGATCGCCGGTGAAGGCCGCCTTATAGCGTACACACTAACAGCAGTAATGGTTAACATGATGCCGGTGGCCACAAAAGGCAAACCCAGTAGCAAACCGCCGACTCGCATGCCCAATTCGAAACTTCCGGCTAGAAGCGGCTCGTTGGCTAGCTTGCCAATTGCCTCGCCGATTGTCATGGCTGTATAGAGCAGTCCAATATGACCCGGTTCGATGTAGGGGGTTGCTAGACTGAGTACGGCTGGAACAAAGCCGTGGCCAAGCGCAAAGATAGTGAGGCCTGATAAATATTCGCTTTAGTAAAAGACCTTTTGCTGTAGATAAGGAACGGGTACGTACCGGTGACCATGATGGGCAAAACAGGGGCTAATCCAATAACGAAGGCTCCAACGGCTAGACATAAGATACTCGCGCGAGAAATCCAAATGTCTTTTCGACCCGCATTAAAGCCGTGACGTAGAAGCACAGTGCTTACACCGGGGAGTATCGTGCTCAAGAGGACCAGGTTAACAACATTGCGGTATGTCAGCCAAAAGCTCGCCTAGAGTGCGATATCATGTTAGCTCTGCACTTATTTTCTCCCGCAGAGACAATAAATCTTACTTGGGAAAGTCGCCATCCGTAGCGCCTTGAAACATAATTTATAAAGAAATCTGCAGACTGATCATATAACTGACCAACAGAAAGAAGGGGTACTAGAAGAAGCACCTGACGCGAGGCAATGAGAAACCTGAGCGTGCGAAGACTCGACATGACTTTTCTCACGTGCCACCAGTAGGTATTCTTCTGGGCGTCAGCATATATTACCGGATCATCTTCTTCCTCTGGTTCTTCCTCCAGCTGCGTGCGTTGGCCCTGGGTAGATGGCGGCAATGTCGGCTTCACAAGGGTTTCAGGAAGGACAAGCAAAGTTGTAAGCACAGACATGACGAATGCAATCAATCCAAAGCGGGCCGGCCACCAAGGCTGAATGCTAGCTAATGCTCCACTAGCTGGTGATAATACCATATCTATAAGGAGGGCAACTCCATAGAGACGGAAGAATTTTGAGGCCCTGTCTAGTGTTAGCTACCTGGGCTTTCGTGTCTAAAAGCTGCCACTAAGTAAACTCACCTTTTCTCCTCTGGTGTTATATCAGCTACCACAACGAAAATTATGGCGCGAGCGACGAGGGTGCCGCCTCCAAATAGTAAAAAAACAACGGAAATCCAAGTTAAGCGGGTTGAGAAGACCGTTGGCCAAAACACTGCGAATATCATGAGCATATCCCCTGTAGCACGCTGTGGCCGAAGAAGTGGTGATATTAAACATACAAACTACTTGACTCCAAATGGCAGCCAATGTGATGCCAATAAGCGAAAGTAAAAGCACAGGACGACGGCCGAACCGGTCTGCAGCCATGCCATAAAACGCGCCGAAGAGGATACCTAAGCCACAGCATGTATCAATCACGGTGAAAACCGGCTATGAGGATGACGCATGGTTTCTCACCTGGCGCGGTATCAAGCAGCTGTTGCCATTTCATGAGAGTCGTCAACTCGTCTTGCACAGAGTCCACCCTGCAATCCCGCCCTAGCGACCATCCCGGGCCGTAATACGACATGCAGCTAGACAGCTCTTTCAGTTGCAGCAGGGGCGGCTGCAGGACTACATTGCCAGCATGAAGAAGAGCGAATATAGTGAAGCATAGTCTCCAGATATGTGTGACCCGGGCTTGCGCAGCCTTTTCGGCCAGCTTGGCAGCGTTATGGTCGTCGGGACGGTCATCGCCGGGATCGTTCGAGGGGAGCGGCGTCTGCTGGCCCGAGACAGGCGTGGCGGCGGGCGACCTAACCTTTGGTGTAGACGGGGAGTCTCTCGGCGAGACCGATGCTGAAGAGCCTGCCATGTCGAAGAGCTAGCTGGCCATGCGTTAGACAGGAAGCTGAAGTGCGTAGTTATTGATCGTAGTTATCGATAAGAACGACGAGGATCATGGATGGAGGCGGAACTGCTAGTCCGCATCCGGACTAGGCGTAGCGCCTCCCCGGTCGTTCGTAGCAAGAAGAAATACGCAGCAAATATTCACATAGCCACCGACCCTTGTCTGAAGCAAAACTGCTCCGTAGTTCTCCGGCATTGCTCAGTGGAATGATTATAGAGAACGACATCGCGTAGTAGGCTTGTTTGTTGCACCGCCACATTCGCTCGGCTTTCGGCCCTAACGCGCCACAGACTAACCGCATACAGTACCAAAGTCCATGTCTGCCTGCGTAAAGCCGACGGACGCGCGTCTACAGCCTTTTATTTGGACGGTCAGTGTGCCTGATTCTATGCTCTAGAAGTGTCGAAAGCCTTCTCTTCCAATCGCGTAAGCAGTTGCTCTTGAGTGGCGGTTTTGCCACTGTAAACAGTCAGCCGTCGCTGCTGCCTGATAGTCCAACTCGGCATTAGCACTATAAGAATAAGCAATTTTCCAACTAGACATACGTCTTCTCTTGTTTTAAAGACACGGTTATTCCTTTGACTATACATTCAATATCAACATATTAACAGCAAACATGTCAGTGTATATCATGACTGGCCATCCACCTGGACCACCTCCCCATGAGGTGATGGCCCACATGCTGAATCACCCCGAGCAGCCTCCTGCCTCTACACCAGGCTCAGAGGACGAGCCAAGCGATGATAGTGACGACAACAGAGAGGTGCCCCAATTTGGCTATCGACGTGGTGGTCCTCATCCTCATCACCGCGGCGGCCGGGGTCACCGAGGCTTTGGTGCTGGTCCCCATGGTTATCATGGTCCTCATGGCCCTCACGGCTTTGAACGTGGCCCTAGGTTCCATCATCCATTCGAACATTTCGGTCATCATGGGGGACGTGGAGGCATGTTTGGGCCCCGAGAAGGCCCACACAGTCCACATAGTCATCCTCACCATGGTTTTCATGGTCACCACCGCGGTGGACGTGGAATGCATCATCGCCCACCATTCTGGCCAACCGGTCCCCTCGGTTTTGACTTTCTGCAACGATTCGCTTCTGAGATGGGCAATGGCTTTGAAGACCTCTTCACAACAGATCGTGATGCTCGCGACGTGAATGACAGCCAGATTGACTTTGTCCCTCGTGCTGACGTTTTCGATACGGCTACCGATTATGTCGTTCATGTATCTCTTCCCGGCGCTCAGAAGTCCGATGTCAGCATCGACTACAATGCACAAGAATCCACTCTTCGCCTCGCAGGCGTGATTCATCGACCAGAATTCAACGAAGAACTGCACGAGGCCATGATCCTCGACGAACGCCGTCGTGAAGTGGGGGTGTTTGAACGCAGTATCAAGCTAGACACCCGTGACCGCCAGTCAGTGAACGTTGACCAGGAGAATATTTCAGCCAAACTAGCTAACGGGGTGCTTATTGTGCGTTTGCCTAAGGGTCAGCCACAGGCCCAGGGAGGCAACAAAAAGATTATTATCAATGAGGATGCTGACGCAGCTCCTCTCGAAGAGAAAAGGGACGTGGAAAGCACGACACAAAATGAAAAACATGCATCGGTGGCTGAGGTCGAGGACGAATTGGATTCGATGCATGTCGACAGTGAGACCGAGGCAGGCGACTTGCTCCAGGAAGTAGACGAGAAAATCTACACCCCGTCTCACGCATCGGAAGAAGAAGATGAGGATGAGGATGCAGGAGAATACGTCAAGGTTGATGCCAAGTGATGGACATGGCTGGATACACGAATATATGGGACTGGTAATTCGAAGGTTTGTTAATGGAGTTTTTGGAGTGGATTCGTCTCGATTCATGATGATTGCTTTTGGAAACGCAGAACAGTCAAACAATTTAGGGTAGTAAGGTAGCGTTAATACAATACTGTTGCTACTGGATCTTCGAAACAGCCTTCAAGTAAGATATGTAACCCTTTATCTAGCATAGGACTGGTCACTGTGAATGTGTCTGGTTAGGGCTCCAAGATCCCATGACACTGGTCACATGATGTGGAATATCACAGCATATGCTGCTAGACGTCATGCTTGGAAGTAGCTTTAGAGGGACCCCTGGAAGTTGCCTTTGTAAGATTACTTTCTTTTCTTGGTACAGCTTTGTCTGATTACCTCACTGCCAATCACATGCTTCTGCCGCTGGTCAAAGAAAGAAAATGGGCACCTGAGGCTCTCCTCCCGCAGGCTGCCTCCTGCTTCACTGGGCGCATTGGATGTTTTTCTTTCAACACTGGTGAAGTGCCATCCAAAACCACAGCGCTGGGGCTTGTGGCTCTTTTTATTCCCTGCAAAGTCGTCAGTCCTTGCAGCATCCTGCACATTCAATCATATTGGGACATGCACGCATCCAAAATGGTGAGTGCAGACGAGGAGCCCGCAAGGGTCTCTGGCACTGTGCAAGAATCCCTCACTGTTCAAGAGCCTGTTGCTTTGCCTGCCATTGTTCAGCAGACAGCAGCTCCTAAAGAAGCCTTTAACATTTCGACATCTGACTGCCATGACTGCACGTTCCTGAAAGGATGGAGACTATACATCACTACTCTTGGGTATGCCAGCATCTTGATGTCTATCAGCTGCAAATAACAATGGGTTGACTTACCTGCTTAGATTGATGGTTTGCCTCTACCTGGTCAACGTCGAAACAACTGTAGTCAGCACATCCCTGATCACAATCGCCAATGGCTTTCACAGCTTCAATCGCACCAGTTGGATTGTCACAGGATATTTGATCACCTACACTGGTATGAGCTATGCTTCTTTAATTTTGTCATCACTATCTAACTAATATGTGGAACAGGGTTCAACATCCTTTGGAGCAAGCTTAGTGATATTATCGGTCGGAAAGCAAGCATCATTGCAACCATGGCGGTCTTCATGGGCTTTTCGTTAGGATGTGGAATGGCCAAATCCATGTCTCAATTGTTAGTCTGTGCTCAGTCTTGGACAAAACAAATGTTAGACACTGACATTTCATCGCTCATAGGATCATCTTTCGCGCCTTCCAGGGAGTGGGGGCAGCAGGGGCGTACTCGATATCTATCCTAATTTGCTACGAGATGGTACCAAAATCAGATCTGCCAACTCTGGGAGCTCTGGCGTCCTTGTCTACCGCTCTAGGCTTTTCCACTGGCCCATTGATTGGAGGAGTTTTGGGCGATCACTCGATTTGGCGATGGATTTTCTACATGAAGTCAGTGCAATATCCGTCCAACAACAGCTACAGAATGAGAAGCTAATTGCAGGCTTCAATCGCAGTCTTCCGATTGGGGGTGTGGCAGTCCTTTTGTTAATGATAGCCCTTCCATCAAACTTCGGTGGTAGTGGTCGTCGCAAAACTGGTCGCATTTCATGGGGCAATCTTCGCCGAATTGATGTTGTCGGTGCCCTTATATTACTGACGGCCACTCTTCCACTCATCACAGCTTTGAATGAGGTTTATGTTCAGTTCCGCTGGTCAGATGGTAGAACGGTTATTCTTCTGGCCATCTCTGGTATCTCATGGTATGCATTTCTTGCATGGGAGCATGCCATGACGAGAGAAGGGCCTGGGCCGGAGCCGATCTTTCCATCACGCTTCTTGAATCACGCAAATTGGATGGGCATGCTTTTGTAAGCCCTTATTTACCCTATTTCATATGATTTGAGAGATGCTGGACAAGATTCACTGACTCATCTTTGTATCTTCTTAGAACTAGCTTCCTAGTCGGCATGCCTTCGAATATGGTGGTTGTGATGCTACCTCAGCGTTTTCAAATAGTAAATGGAACCTCGGCTCTGAGTTCTGGTGTCCGCCTACTGGCGTACTCTGCGACGAGTGCTATTTCTGCCGGTCTTTCTGGTATTATTTCAAAGAAGGCTCGCGTCCCTTTTGTATACTCTCTCGCCTTTGGAGCCATCCTTCATACCGCCGGCGTTGCCCTAGTGTCGACCCTACCAGAAACAAAGGATTTCCCCTGGGGTGGATACGTCTATGAAGGAATTGCAGGAGCAGGCGTGGGCACCACATTTGGCATTCTTGTTCTAGCAACGCCGTTTGTGGTAGAGCCTAGGGATATTGGTAAGTTCTTTTCGCCATTCACGATCTATCCCTCTTTTCTTCAAAGCAGCAAGTGAAAGCAAAACTAACACCCATTTAGCTGTGGCGACAGGAGCCGTTATCCAATTTCGTTTTCTCGGAGGTGCCATCGGACTCGCAATCGCATCGAACGTTCTCAACGGCATGCTTGAGAGCGACCTCACAAATGTCCTTTCACCAACCGAATTGCAGAATCTTTTACACAACACAGCTTCTATCGAGACACTAAGCGAAGTCCAACGTGAGGCTGTTGTGGGGGTGTTTGCGCATAGCTACACTACCCAATTTAGAACTATGGTTGGAATTGCAGCTGTACAGTTCGTTTCGGCATTATTTGTGTGGAAGCGAGGGGGGCGACAAATAACTGCCCTTGACTGAGGCTGCAAAGCGGGCAGTTTTCTTTCATCTTACACTGCCTCGATAGACATACGAACAAGTTTGTGGCTATTATAGGCGCTGTGTTATCTTTCATAATGTTTGACATTTCAGTCAGCAAGGAGATCATTGAAATCGGAATATTTTTTCTCTTCTTTTTCCATCTTTTCAAGTTCCTTGCACGAAGTTGCTTGAGGTTCTGTTTATGGCAGTGAGATCAATGCAATAGATCAGCATATCAGAAACACACTGTTACACCTTCTAAATAGTTACTTAGAACCAATATGAGTGGGCAATGAGGGCTAGTCACACCACGTGATACATTTCCTTTCTATCACAAGCACTGTACAAAAAGGACTATTCTGAAGAATATATAGTTAACCAAATCTTCCAAGACACGGTGTTATGATGGCTGTCATAGTCCTCAGTCCACACATTGAGCTTATGAATCATATAAAGAAAGATGATGTAAGCTTATTTCAAGTCCTAAGCTTGAAAGCGAATCGAAGTATACGATCGGAGAAGAAAGAAACTTACTTTTTCCCTATTTTAATCATAGTCTAGATTTTTTAATCACTGAACAATAGCCTAGGATGAAGCATCCAAGTTAGAATTGATGCTCAGGCAAGGAAGGGCTTCGTTGCTTTCATTCAGTCTCTCTTTATCCAAAGAAATAATCACCGCGAAAGAGTGCACCGAATCAAAGTTGCAAAAGTGCCAAGTGCTTCTTTGTATGTTTCAGAACTTCGGGGCATAATATTGACAGTCGAAGATGGGGTACCTACCTAGGTAGATGAGTTGGTTGATCGGGTTATGTCCATTCTCATCAACTTATATAGCCATGTATCTTATTCTGTCGGCCTTCTACTCTCACATGAGTCACCATTGACTGTTTACTCACTCATTGCTCATTTAACATCAGTCACTCATTCAGATATTCACAGTATTCACTTGTCTGTCCACAAGCCCCCTACACAGGCACACGTTGGCCTCGCAATAGCAAAGATAATCCATCAGTAAGAAACATTGGCAGGAAAAACAAAAAGAGAAGCGCAAGGATGCAATTGAAGAAATTCTCACTCGCAGCTGGTCTGCTACTCTCCATGTCCTCTCAAGCCCAACAGACTACTATCTACAGCGGCACAGGCTTTGGCACATATTACTACGACATGAAACAGGTCGATGTGTGCGGTACATCATTCGCTTCCCAAAACACAGGCCCAGTTAGATGTCAAACGTCAGATCTGTCGCTAGACGCGCTCAATTCAAACTACGTCGTGGCCATGAACAACACCCAACTCGGGGAGCAGCTGGCCCTGTACTGCGGCAAGAAAGTGGCCATTACCTCTGTGAATGGGCAGTCAGTCTCGATGGATCTGCCCTTGTTTATCGGTGATGGCTGTCTTCGTTGCTCGGAGGGATCGGCTGCTGATTATCAAACGTGGGATTCGAATGGTGCTCCGGGACTGGATTTTAGTTATTCGATTCTTGACCAGTTGAGTGGTGGGAATGCGTGTCAGCATGGGCATTTTTCGATTACGTGGGAGATAGTGGATGAGCAGTTGTATGATTTTGATACAAATACTGGAACTACTACAACTCCGGCTTCAGCTTCAGCTCCAGCTCCAACTTCAGTGCCAACTCCGCCGCCAGCTCCAGCAGCTCCAAAAGCTGGAGGAGGGGAAGGAGAAGGAGGAGCAGCACAAGTTAGGCCAGTAACAGCCCCGGTTCAATACCAAAACTTCGACAAAGTCGCCGCTGCACCTACAACGCTGATAACCACGCAACCACCGGCTACGACAACCACGACAAACCCCGGCACATGTTCATCAGGAGCGTGGCAGTGCAGTCCCAACGGTTCCGTTCTCGAGCAGTGTATCAGCGGCACTTGGGCTCCTCGGGCTACCTGTGCTGCTGGGGAAGTGTGTCGAGGTGGTGGTGTGCCTTACTGCGCTGCGCCTGGAGTTGGTCAGGCTGCGTCTTAGACTTTGTTTTTCTTCTTCTCCAAGGCGGGCTTTTGCTTTGATGTCAATTGTATCCATTGATACCAAGTTTTGCTACTGATTTTACTATTGTGCTTCTTTTTTTCCTTTGTCTATTATCTCATTTATGCGTAAATACCGCCTGTCCTTGTGTTATATAAAAGTTAATAAGTCATTTTATACAAAAGGTCATAATTCATCTCTCGTTTAATCATCACATCCCATATCTGCAAGATATCAAGCATCGCTTTTCAAAATAAATCATCTCTCGATGTTCCTATTCCCCATCGATCGATAGGTATGCGTCGACGATCTAGGCACAGCACTATGTATTGTATTCTTCGTCGCAACAGGGAGCAGCCCCGTGCCAAAATAGTCATCTGTATCAATGCTTCGTCTGGACTTTGCAGCACTGAGAATGCGCTCGATTTCGATTGTCTGACTGGCCAACATGTTGCTCTGTCTCTTATCGCTGGTCTTATGGCTCCTTTTCTTGTTACTGTGTCCAAGATGCCATTGGCGGATGCGTCGCCATGCTTCCCGGCTTCCGTACCGGATATCGTCGACTGAAAGCGCGAGGAGAATCAGGGGAATTGAAATGGAGAATCCAATGCCGAAGATATACTTTGACACGTAGGAGAGCGGGAGGTTGGTGTTGCCATCTGAATGTGGGAATTCTGCTACGTTGATGGCGAAAAACGATGCAATAAATGACAATGGCAGGAAGAAGATGGTCACAATCGTGAACATCATGATTGTTTTCCCCTGACGAGCAGTCCCCGCCGCTTGGTCGCGAGCGAAGCGGGCTTCAAATGCGTTGGCATGTTTTTGCTTCAGGTCGAGCAGATCTGTGATGGAGTCGTAGATTCGCTCCGTTTGTTTGTCCATGCGATCCACGTCTTTCACGTGCATTTCGATGATTCTCTGCTGCTCTCGGAACTTCTTTTTGATGTCGCTTTGGGATTTGTTCTCTTCAAAGTAGATCTCGCATATCGCATCCTGAAGGTCGACGAGTACTTGCTTTTGGTATTCGAGCACCGTGCGAATCATGTTCAGCTCGTCACGTACATCTTTCGCTTCGGCTAGGAGATCTGTTTCCTGGCCGATATCCAACAGTTTGTCGACAAACAGGGGCTGGCCATCCTCTTCTTCCTTGTGTCGGTTTTCGTCACCCTCCTCTCTCTCGATTCCGTCCGGCTGTTTGCTTTGAGACAGCCCGTCCATAATAAATGATGGCTTCGATGTTCGGCGGTGTTTGAGCCACATGGAAGCCTGCGCAGATGCAATGTTGAACTCACGGAATAGAACAGTCTCGCAGTCTGTCGCCGTACCAATACACGATTCAAACATGTCCAGGAATTGATAATCCTCGTCGCCTATACGGTGCCGATCAAAGATTCCAGAGCAGCGGGCGCTGATGACCGTAGCCAGCTCGTAAACTGACCGCACTGGCTCCCGCGTCTTGGAATTGATGTCCTCGATTATACCGTCTAGCACGTTGAGAGGATCATTTTTTGGTTGTTCCCATCGCTGGGGGAAGCTGGTCACAATCAGGTTTTGACCGAGTATCCACATCCACAGTTGATCTACCATGAAGATTTTGGGATCCTTTGCTTTGTGGTCCGACCATCTTTTCTGATAGCGATAAACCACCTGGTCACTGTCTCGTGTCTCGGTGTCGATGTTAGGATAAAAGAACTGGTCTAAGGTTCGGCGGACATGCAGAGATGCCGTTGACGAATTAATATGCGCGCGAATCAACATCTCGTCTCTGGTTGGTGTTCTTGATAATCCTGGGCGAGACACTAACGCTTCTGCCTGGCGGATTGTCTCCTGCATTTTCCGTTGGCTTTGAGTGGTTTCGAAATGCAGATATGGCATGAAGACGCAGATGTTACTTTTGGCAGCAAAAGCCGAGTCCTTGGCCAGATTCAGCGCAGACGCCTTCGTGTGTTTACCGGAGTTATTGTTGCTCGGTCTGTTTCTCTCGCTCTTGCTTGTATCTTTGCCACTTTTGTTGCGTTTGGCTTTTGGTTTCCGTCCTGAAGCGTTATCGTCATCTTGAGACTGAGAGGACTTGCTCAAGCCCGTTTCGCGCTTCTTCAAGGTAGTTGGCGAGCTCTCAGGTTGTTTTGGAACCATGGGGCCGTTTATCACCAGTCGAGGTAAGGCATTCTCTGTCCTCTCTTCTTCTTCTTCTTGTTCTTGTTGTTGTTGTTCTTCGTCCTTTTCGGGCTCATCCTCCCTGTTTCTTACTGAACGAGGAGTACTCTGACACAATGGTCTCATGAAATGTGAGTGAGGCCGTTGTCCACGATGCTGATGAGTAAATGACTTCTCCAAGCCTTTGAATCCTTCAATATCGCTTGCACCTTCTTCGATAAACGCCTTCGTCATCAGAGCTTCGACCCAAGCCATGTTGTTGGCAGGCAGATGTATCCATCGGAATTCGCTGGCTTTGACGTTCATAGGCTGCGTGGGAATTGCCTGTTTGTCGGGCTTCTTCGGATCTCGTCCATAAAGCAACTCGTATACCGATACCTTTTTGACTCGGTTCTCGTTGTGGAAATTGCCAAAGTCTACAATAGTCGCTTCAAACCCCTTGCAAGCCCCAACAGCATCCTCGGAAAGGGCTTCAACATGGTTGAAAGGAGCTAGCAGCTGGACGATATCCTTTCGCTTGAACTGAGCTGCGCGTAGAAATGGTGTGCTGCCGAATGTGTCCCGCGTACGTCTACGTAGATTCGGCTGTTCTAACAAGCAATTAACTACGTCTGTATGGCCAGCCTGCGCAGCCAAGTGCAAGGGGGTCATTCCGTTCAGTAGCTGGCTGTTAAGCTCCGCGCCGGCTTCCAGTAATATACGGACAATCTTTTCGCAGCCTTTGTCACAGGCATTGTGCAGAGCCGTCCAGCCTCCATCACTGCGCGCATTCACATCCGCTCCGTATTTCAGAAGCAGCTCAATGACATCTTCCCGGTCATGGGCAGTTGCGAGATGGAGGGCCGTCTTATTCCGAAGCTCTGTGTCATCAATATAACCTGGAGGGCAGCCTTGCGGTCGCGAAAGCAGTAACTTGGCGAAATGCGTCTTCCCAGTGGTGCAAGCCCAGTGCAAGGGAGTCCGGCCGAGTTTGTCTCGCGCATCCAATTCACAGTTTGTCCGCAATAGCAAGTTGACAACATCGTCGCCCCAGACGCATTCCTTGTCTGCGCCCAAATTATGCAGGATATTCCGATTCTCGTTGTCCTTCACATTCACGTCGGCACCTCGCGAGATGAGGAGCTGCAGGACATGCCATTGGTTCTTCCAGGCTGCCGTCATTAACGCCGTACGACCGTTTTTATCTCGGAAATCCAGTGTAGCGCCTGCGTCGAGTAACAGCTTAACAATCTGGACATGGTTGTGGTCCACGGCACGATAGACAGGAGGCGTAGTCCAGCTGGCCGCTGGTTCAACGCTCGCGCCTTCTTTCAGCAGATATTGCGTGGCTTCTAAACAGCCCCGTTCGCAAGCTTTCATCAATCCAAGGCACAGAAAAGCCGGGTTCAGCTGCCCCTTTTCATCAGCGAGCCGCGAAATATTTTTGATAGCTTGGATGTCGTTATTCCCAGCGGCGCGGATTAATTGCGGCTCGAGGCGATCTCGCTGGTCGCTGCCAGCGCTGGACCTCGATCGTGAGCGCGACATGGTTTGCGTCTTTTCCCGGCTCGAGGAAGCTTTTAATCGGAGGCGTTTCCTGCAGACAATTCCATGGCTCCAGATCGCTGTAATGGTAGTTATGAAATCAGAGTGGGAAATAAGAAAATTAAAATCGAACTTGACGACCGAAGATCAGTTCCCCTTGTGGCTCTCGTCCTCATCGTGATTGATCAAGCATCAATCATCAATGCGAGCATCAAGCAAAGCAAGCAGTGAGTTTAGTGACTGATACCGCAACTTACGGTGAGTAAAACAGCGCACGGAGTAATTATCCCGTAATTACAATACGGCGTTATGACCCACCCGCCAAGTCTAAAGAGGGTCGAGGCTGCACTTTCTGGTTGGCTGGTTTGATCATGCACACGCTGGTCCTTCCCGCGTTTTCTTGGCAGCACTAGCCTTTTTCTGGAACCGCAACCCTACCCATTGGTAACACTAGTGTTAGGGTTGTTATCTTGAAATCACCATGATTTTCAGTTCCTGCAGTCCAAGACATCGTTTCCGAATTGTCAGCCTTGACGGAATGCTGGCAGACCGCATGTATGATTAGACAGATTGACGGGCAGATGCGGATGTAGCATACCCTTATTGATCAGCTTTGTTACTATAAAATGAGTCCAATATCTGCCGTAAAGCCCTCGACGACATATTGGAGGGGTACAGTGTACTCTTTCGAGGTGGTAGCACGTAAGGTCGTGCTACTCAACATCTATATATATAAGTGATGAAATATGGGGCCAAACATTGCGAAACTTCGTCTCACTCAAAATGGCCTATAAACGATACCTAAACCCAACCGTCTTCCAGTCCGTCACATCATCATAATCCTCCGCCTGGAGCGGCGTAGCCTCTACAACAATCGCATCCTTGGCGGCAGTTGTAGATGCGCTACCAGGCACGAACCCTTCCTCCCGGTCTCGCTTGCGGTTCACAAACTGAATATAGAATCTCAACGAAACCGCCAGCATTGCCGACAGAATATAGCAAACCAGTATCGCCTTGAAGGCCGTCTGGTAAACCGGTGCCTCGCTGGTTCTAAAGAACTGGGGGCCGGCAATATTACCCGCGCAATACGCTATAAACATCATTGCCGTCATAGTCATTTTCTTCGTTACGCCCTTATAGTTCGCCTGCACGAGAGACATGACAAGAGGCAGAACAGCCGGACCAGTTTCAAGAAGGAAATATCCGAATAAAGGAGCCCCCTTGGGCACATGGCTTCGTGCGTAGATTATCGCACTGCCAATGATCGCCAGTATAACTATAGCCACTATCAAAATGCAGTTGGCCTGCCGAAAACGCCCTGCCAGGTACCCCGTCAGCGCAATTGAGATTGCACTGACCACGCTCGCAGGGATATTGATCAGCGTTGATTCCAGAGACGTGAACCCGAACGACTCAATGACCAAATTCGCAAAGTTCTGCGTTCCTCCATTCGGGATTTGCGTCAATATCGCCAGGCTGAAGATGTGCCATGTTTTTGGGTCTAGGAGGCATTCGATGGTTTGGTCCCATCTCCACAAGGCCTGTTCGGTGCGTCCGGTGCCCTCGACAATAGCGCGTTTGGTCATGATTTCCCGCTCTTCGAGAGTCAAGAATTGCGCATTTGAGATGCTATCTGGTAAGAAGAATAGAAGCACAAAGCCCCATAGAAAAGTCGCGACGCCGAGGATGATGAACATCCACATCCAGGGCCGGAGAGGGTGTTCGATATGCCCGACTCCGTAGGCTAGCAGGCTTGCTACAAGGCCGCCGATGGAGTTGCCGGAGAACCAGATGCCAGTCCGAATGGGGATCTCGTCCCGCGTGTACCAGGTCGAGGTGATGAACATGAAGGCCGGGGTGATGGTTGCTTCGGCGACACCCAGTAGGAAGCGCACTGTCAGGAGTCCGCCGTAGTTGACGCATGCTGCAGTCAGCGCGACAAAGGCGCCCCAGAAGAAGGTGGTGATGGCCAGGTATTTGGCGACTGGGAGCCGTGCGATGAGGATGTTGGTGGGGTACTCCCAGAAGAAATAGCCAAAATAAAAGATACTCGACACCCAGCTGTATTGCTGGCCGACTAGATGCTGTGTTTTGATATATATTAATTAAAGCCCTTTCGCCCGGGTGGGAAAAAGATCTCACCGTATCGTCTATCAGCCCAAACACGGATGCACTCGACAGAATGATCTTGTCCATGAAATTAAGCATATACGTGAAGAACAAGATCGGAATCAGCCGCCTATCAACTTTGCGTAAGATGTGACGAATGCTGGCTGCATTTTCAGAGGAAATGCCTCCTTCTGCCTGCGGTGGTGCTGCCATGTCGCTTGACTCGCCGCGGGTTGGATTGCCATGGAGGAGTAACGGAGTATGCTCTGCAGGGTCGATCGAGGGGCCATGCCTGCACATTATACTAATAGTATGGTTACAGTCATATAGCCAAGGAAGAGCGATAGGGATTTGCGTAGGAAAAGGCGATTGGGCGTTGAGATGCCCGGGGGGGTCGTTGTTATCAGACTACAGTTACTAGCTTATCTTGCTTATCGTGATCTGGCACGTGAAGATCTTGTATATCAGAGATTGTTTTCTTTTCATTCCCACCGAATACCTAACCAATGCTCGACAATCACAAACCCGTCATTCGCTAAAGCAGAATAGTTATTAAGACTAATGTGGGATAGATATATCCCGCATGATATGATATGATTGATATGGTATGGTGACGTGCACGATGCACGATGCATGATGTGTGGATGGGTAAAAATGTATGCAACTCATTAAAGCATTTCTCGCCAATATTGGGGGCCGAAATGCTCAACTTTTTTTTTCTCGCTCTTTCAACAGAGTGTGCCGGTAAACAGAACAAAAAAGAAGAAGAGAAAAAAAAAAAAAAACGGGGCAGAATGTATATAAGATGTATAGAGAGATATATACCCTCTGCTGTTAGGATTTTCCTATCGACTGCTTCATTTTTTCTTGCCATTTTGAGGCATGTCCTTCAAGATATCGTCGAAACTCATGGTTGGATTCATTCGTGCAAACGGCTTCGCCGGTGGTTCCACTGGCATCACACCCGCGGGCAGCGGTAATGCTTCCAGTGTGTTGTAGATTGATGCGCGATGGTTGTGAGACGGTATTCTGGGCGAGCTTGTGCGGGTTGCATTGTGCGTGGACACGCCGCTGCCGGGACTCATCGCATCGGAAATCGACCCAACGGAGGATTGCGGCGCATGTGCCGCAGAGAACAGCGAGGCCGAGTCTTCGGTTGTTGTCGTGATCGGGGAGTTGAAGTTTCTCTCGGCCCATTGATTGGCAACTTGCCAGCAATGACTGCGACGGTATACGGCGTCGGTTGCGTTATTGACCACGTCTGATGGCAAGCTGACCACCCCCTGTCCACCAGCAACCCCAAACCAACTGCGCCCACTCTTGTTGTCGTTTTGTACCCATGGCGCGCCTCCACGAGGTGCAACGCACAAGAAATATTCCACTCCCTCGGTAAAGCGCACGTTGAGCACGTCAATGACCAGCAACGGGAGCGACTGGAGAACTGCGTAGATAAAGATCCATTGGCCAATCCGGTTATCCATCAGCTCGTCCAAGCTCTTGCCATGGGCACTCCGGCGCTCAAACTGCATGAAGCTTTCAACAAACGGCGTGGGTTTCAGGCTCTCCCTGGTGTACGATCGCATCAGGGCTTCGTTGATTTCAGAATCGTGGAGCTTCTTCTGTCGCTCCTTGGCTTCTGTTTTGGGGTCCACGGGTTTCCGTCGGATGGAATTCAGACTGGGAAGTTGAGGTATATCAAATGGAATGGGCGGCTGTACAGGTGGCGTACTACGATCGTACTCACTCAGCATCCGCCGCAAAGCTCGCGTTATTGCCTCTGCAGGATCCGGTACATCTAGGTCTTCGGTTGCCATATCCGTCGTGCGTGTGGTCAAAGATGTGCGATCCACCATCATGTCGTAAAGATCGGTGAAGTCTTCGTAGACCTCCTTTAAAAGCAACCGGTTGAGACCGCTCCCTTCGAAGTCGTTCTTTTTCGATCTGGCGTTGGGGGGCCACGATCCGTATTTATTTCGGTAATAGCCCATAACGTGCTTTCGCAATGCTAGATGGGCTAGTTTCCACGATTTGAAACGGACGATTTTACTCTCTGCTGCCGAGTGCGAGTTGGCAATTCCAGACCACAAGGCCGGGAAGTCGAAATCATCCAGCTTAATTCGCATGACCGTGAGGCGATTTTCGAGGTCAATCGCGCCACGTTCCAAACGTTTTTGCGTCACCGGATTGATCAAATCATACTTGGGGCTGCGTAAACTTCTAATATCGTCCATCTTCCCCACGCCATGAACGAAGCCCTCGAGATAGAGGGGGTAATGACGCAAGTTCTCCCCAAGGACAATCGCCTCGATCGTCTTCTCGCGACTCTTCCGAACATCAGCTAAATGAAGCTCGTCACAGTAGTTGGCAAAACTCGACGAAGCGACCTCTCCAAAGTTCGATCCATCAAAGTTGGAGAATTCGAAGCGACGCAGTAAATTAGACACTTCCATCAGTATGGAAAACAGGCTGGGGTATTTTGGTGTGGCTATGAGAGCCTGGCCTAGCAGAAAGGCAAAGAGATTGCGGAAGAGCATCAACGTGTCTGAATCTTCCTGTGCCAGGGGGATATCCGCACTCGAGACATCCCCATGAAGAGGGACAGGGAGGTAGAGATGAAGCTCTTGAACATCTTCCGGTTGATCGTCGACCAGCGTCATTCGGTTGCTGCCGCTGCTGGCGGCATCGTTGACCCATTGGTCCTCGTGGGCGGTAGTGCTTCCATCTGGATCGGTGACGGTTAGGGTGCGGGCCGATTGCCGCAATGCTTCAATCTTTGGGTCGGTACCACGGGCCAGAAAAGTAAGAGAGGGCGAGTCGGAAAACAGAGTTGAGTCAACCTTGAACGAAGCTGGCCGATGGGTGTTTTGCGGGAAGAGATAAACAAACGTATCGCCTTGTTCGTTCCACAGCTCGGGTATCTGGAGCATAAAGGAAAGGGTCAATCCAGCTCTAGACAAATCGTTATGTGGTAACAGCTTACCTGTTCGCCTCGCACGAGCGACGCTATGTCGTATGGGATTTTCTGGTCCAAGCCGGCAACCCAAGCATCAAACAAAGGCTGGTCGCCCGCATCGGGCCCGTCCAACAGAACCGAATTCGATTTTCCCGGCATCCAGCTCCTCCGTCGATGACTTGCCAGGGTGTCTGGCGTTCTTGAACGTGCGGCGGGGGTTGCACTTGTGCTTCTGCTGCCCTGTCGGCTGTGTGAGGGCTGTGAGGATGACGGGCCCGGCTCAATCAAATCCTGATTAATATCCAGCAACGACGGCGGCGGTGGAAGGGGCGCATCCAAGTCCAAGCTATCGGGCTCGAGTGCACCGCCGTGGCTGGTGGTGGGACGAGAGGCTGTGGAATGGGGTTGAGGCGAGGAAGCATGTCGCACCGCTGGGCGGGAATGGCTGCGGGCGCGCGTGTGGTCGGCGGATAGATGCGTACTGCCACTGGTGTTATTAGTGGGCATCTGCTTGGGCGAGCCGGACGACGTGGACGACGACGTCGAGTCCCTGTTTGTCTTCATGTTGAAGAGGGACGATATCCGGCGAGCGGACTTTGCTGGTGCGGACAGCATCTTGACAGAGCTTTCCCTCCCTCTCGTGCACACGCTCTCCCTCTCTTTCCCTGTCTCTCTGTGTCGACGCTTGGAGATATGACGAGAGGAAAGATTATCCCGCGAGACTCGGCTGGGATTGTTTTGGGTGGTTTGGTTGTACGTGCCAAGGGAATGGATCGACGACGTCGGTTGACAGCAAGAATGGACAGGATTGTACCGCGGCCAACACAGGCTCCATTCGAAACAGTACGCGATTGATTATAAGACGGCAGAAAGAAGCAGCGTGGAGATGCAATGGTATGGAATATTTTGGAATATGGAAAATGGGCGGCGAGAAAAAGCTGGCTCTGTCAATAAACTCGAGTGCGGGTACTAGCCGTAAAGAATTAATTGCAGAGAAAGGAGAAGGAGAAGGAGAGAGGGACTGACTCCGTCGTGCTCCGAGAAAGGAGAAGCACATGTGAGCAACAAATTACAGAAGAACAGGTAGTTAAAACTGCTGCTATTATTAATAATACAACAATACGCACAACAACAGCCACTGCCCAGCAGTCAGAACCAAAAGTCAATCCGGTATGCACGCGCAATATTCGGCGGTGGCTGCGTACACCCATGGACTCGATGCATATTTACGAATCAGGTGGAGAGGACGGTGCCCACGCTGGGCCCAAGACGAGTGAATCGGGGAATCACTGAACAGTCAACATATGTAGTGAGTTACGTTGTCGTTGAGTCGTTGACGCATTAGGGTTTCGTCGCCATGTCACTAAAGCCATGCTAGTGAGCAAGCTGACGAAGTCTAACACCAGCAGCTGCCTAAAAATAGGAACCATCTGCACCTATGGTATTTTGTATGCATGATGTATAATAGATTAAATATCAGATCAATAGCCTGAAGATCCATGCAATGCTCTAGCTACAGTAAGTAGATATAGATAACTGTAACTAGATCGAGAGATCGATCCATCGAAACCGGAGGGGGGTCTACCCCGCGGGTGCCTGAGTGCCTGGGTGCCTGAGCCTGATGGGGTAGCTGCAGAAGCCAACCACATCCACAGCAACAACACCAACAACATCCGAACATCATGACCCAAGACCCAATTCCCATCGACCTCTTTCGCGGCTGGCCCAATCCTACGCTGCTGCCAGTCGATTCGCTCGCACAAAGCGCCGCCACCGTCCTGTCCACGCCCGCCCTCTACCAGCCCGGCCTGCAGTATGGGCCCGACGAAGGCTATGCGCCGCTGCGCCAGCACGTCGCGACATGGCTGAGCTCATTCTATCCCCCAACAGCAGCCAAACGAACCGGCCCCATCTCGTCCGCCCGCCTTTGCATCACGGGCGGCGCGAGCCAGAACCTCGCTTGCGTCTTGCAGGTCTACACGGATGCCGCCTACACACGGAATATCTGGCTGGTCGCGCCGACTTACTACCTTGCTTGTCGCATCTTTGACGATGCCGGATTCATGAATCGCCTCCGGGGCGTGCCCGAGGATGCAGAAGGTATTGATCTGGAGTTCTTGGAGCAGAGATTGCACGAGGCTGAACAGGATGTTAGAATTACCAAGCCGGTATGCTGAATCCTGTTAGTTCAAAGACTTCTACCACTTTCTGGGACTTACACAATCCCAATGCTTCCATATCTAAAGTGCCTGCCTTTCTAGCTGCATACCTTACCACGACCATGGAGCAAAATCTACAAACACGTCATCTATCTCACGCCGACCTTTGCGAACCCGTCGACCAAAGTGGTCTCTCTCCGCCGTCGCGAAGAGCTAGTCCGACTCGCCCGACGTTTCGATGCGCTCATCATCGCCGACGATGTCTACGACTTTCTACAGTGGCCTTCAGATCCCAGTGTGCCCGAGCAGGAGTATGATAGCGAAACCGCCTTGCTGCCGAGGATAGTCGATATTGACGGGTATCTCGACGGTGGCCCTATAGACGAGTGGGGGAACGCGATGAGCAACGGCAGCTTTAGCAAGTTGATTGGGCCTGGCATGCGCGTGGGCTGGGTGGAGGGGACGGAGAAGTTTTCGTACGGGATATCGCAGACGTATGTTGATATTGTCTGCATAATGGCAAAATCTTACTTATCACTGACAAGATGGCTCATTTAGGGGATCAACGCGGTCGGGCGGCGCCCCTTCGCAACTAGCATCTACATTCGTGGATCAAATTCTACACTCGGGATCACTACAACGACATATCAAATCAGAATTGATCCCCTCGTATCGCGCCCGCTATAATCGGATGATGGGCGCGATAAACGAACACTTACTACCATTAGGATTTAAAGTGCCTGCAAACACCCAACCGACAGCCGGCGGATTCTTCGTCTGGCTTGACCTACCCGAGTCATTGACGGGGGATCTTCTAGCGGAGCGAGCGCTGGCAGAGGGAAACCTCCGGATTGGCAGTGGCTCGCTGTTTCAAATCGAGGGTGATGGCACGGAGTACCGCCGGACATTTGGTCGAAGTATTCGACTGTGTTTTGCGTGGGAGCGTGTTGAAGTTCTCGACGAGGGCGTGCGACGTTTGGCGGATATAGTGTGTGGCATGGTAGATACGTAGGCCTGCGGTTACGTACAGTATATATGATGTTTTTTATATGATGATGTACATCAAGTGCCTATGAGACGATTAGAAATGTAAAGTCCTAATACCCAGGTAGCTTCACTGTGGATATATATACATGTCAAGTACCTAAGTAAATTCTTCAACCTCAAGACTACAACGTTGTGAACCCATGTCCATACGACCGGCTAAATAAACATGTGCCTGGCTAACAACCGTGGTAGCTACATGGTGACTCAACTTATAGATGCACCAATCAGAGTGCGGTGACTGGCAAGGGCGCATCCTCCGCGATATGCAAGTGTTTCACTTGTTAACGCCAGGAACAATTCTCGTAAACAGTTTAATTAATGAGAGATTGCGGCCTTGATTCCTAGATACTAATGGTCTCGTGGAATGATAGTCCTGGAATGTCACGGTTACCTAGGTTAGAGGCAACCGGCCCATGATCTGCTGCAAAAATGTGCGTCATCTGGACATGAATAATGTCGATAAGGGGGGATCAATCATATAGAGCCGTATAAATAAAGTTAAGATACGCATTCCAGAATTCGCAATGACCAAATTTCCGGCCGATAAACATGGCAACAGGGCAACGAAGGATACCGAGTAGTATATGTATATAGAGAGCATGGTCTGTCCTGGGAAGAAAAAGACAGAAAATCAGAAATTATCTTGTTTCATATTGTATTGATGATCCTACCCAAATAAAGTCGACTAATTCTATTCCCTCTGCTCTGCAAAGTGCGTAATTAGCGACGAAACCGCCTGGCGTTTCAGCTTTCGACCGACTCGTTTTACCTTAGGGCTACGGAGCACCAATCAACCGCGGACCCCTGCAGAGGAGGAAACGCAGCAGCGAGATTCGCGGAGAATCCCTTCAGTTTCTTTGGGCTTGTTCGCCCAGCGGGGTGGAGCCTCAAAGGGCTGTCTGATCATCAAGCTATTGTGAATTGTTTGAACTCTGCTGAGACACGCGCTGATTGGCAGAGATCCAGCAAAGCGTAAGTGCTGAGGATACAACAACAACAATAAACGGAGCGCTGTTGATTCTAGCTTATTATTGCCTAATTCCTGAGGCTCCGGTTTGTAGCAGATCGGGCAAGTGCGCTCCTCTCCCCCTCTTTAGGTATATTACTTCGTCCTCTCTCTCTCTCTCTCCCTCTCTCTCTCGCCCTCTTCCCCTCCGCATCTCCTCGTCTGTTCTGCGCCCTCATTTTTATCCCATCTATTTTTCGACGCTCATTTCTGTTGTGGCTGGCCTCCGCAGTCGTTCTCTCGCGTTACACCACATTCTCTGTCCTGGTGGCAGCTTGATCCCCTCCTGTCTTGCACGTGGAAAGGTGTGTGATCATGATCATTTGAGGAAGATCGTTTTTGTACTACAACGAACCTTTCACGCTGACCGTTTCCAGCCCTTCTAGGCACATAACTGGTGGGTGACAACGGTCAGCAGCACAGTGGTCAGGTCTGATCGTCAAAAAAGAAACAGGATTTTTTTCTCTTTCCCCGGCATTGGTTTACGCTTATTTATAGTGCCATCTACCGCTCGTTCAAATTATTGTCTGCTGGTCAGATATATCGAATTCTTTCTTTCTTCGACATATCCAACAGCATGCTTTTCATACGTCTTTTACTCTTTTTCGGCTTGTCGGCCCTGCTGGAGGCTGCCCCTACGCCTCAGGCTAGAACGGCTGCTGCATCGTCTGGCTTTTGGATGGCCAATATTGAGCGACAGGGCACCGTGGCTTTTGGCAACTCGTCTAGTTATCAGGTCTTTCGAAATGTCAAGGACTTTGGCGCCAAAGGTATGGTCAAACCGGCCTGCCACGCTTATCGACGATACTGACATCTTGCAGGTGATGGATCAACGGATGACACAGCTGCGATCAACAGTGCTATCTCTTCAGACAATCGATGCGGCCTGGGCTGCGACTCATCAACTACCACCCCTGCCATTGTCTACTTCCCGCCTGGGACCTATGTAGTCTCGAAGCCGATTGTTCAGTACTATTACACTCAGCTCATCGGCGATGCTACTGATATGCCCGTGTTGAAGGCTGCGAGCGGCTTTAGTGGCATGGCTGTGATCGATTCCGACCCCTACACAGACACAGGTGCTAACTGGTACACAAACCAGAACAACTTTTTCCGCCAGGTGCGAAACTTTGTCATTGATCTTACTGCCATGCCGCAAAGCTCTGGTGCTGGTATTCATTGGCAAGTAGGACAAGCTACAAGTCTTCAGAATATTCGTTTTGAGATGGTCAAAGGAGGCGGTGATGCCAACAAACAAGAGGGTATCTTCATGGATAACGGCTCTGGTGGCTTCATGAGCGACTTGACCTTCAATGGTGGCAACTATGGCATGTTCTTAGGCAACCAGCAGTTCACTACTCGCAATCTAACCTTCAACGGATGCAACACGGCCATTTTCATGAACTGGAACTGGGCCTGGACTTTCAAGTCCGTGACCGTCAATGATTGTGCCGTTGCCTTGAACATGTCCAACAGTCCTTCAAATCAGACCGTTGGCTCCGTTCTCATGTTGGATAGCACGCTTTCAACGACCAGCCAAGCCATCGTAACTGCCTGGACCGAATCCAGTATTCCCATTGGTGGCGGTGACTTGATTTTGGATAACGTGGATTTCACTGGCTCTAGTATTGCTGTTGCTGGCATCGACGGTAATACCATCTTGGCTGGCGGCTCTGTCGTCGAGTCGTGGGTACAGGGGAACACCTACACGAGCGGTTCAACCACAACCAAGCGCGATCTCGAGTCTGCAGTTCGTGATGAAGAGGACGACATTTGCCCGACGGCCGAGATCGTGACCGTCACCGTTTACGAAACTGCCTCTGCTCATACCCAGCCAAACACGCTGGCGACTGCCGCTGCTTCGAGTACCTCTGTCGCTGCTCGTGTCAATTCCGTCGGATCAGGCTCTTCGTCTTCGGGATCACCCACCTCAGTTGCAGGATCTTCTGCTTCCAGCGTTAAGCCCTCACAAGTCTCCACAAGTTCATCGGTATCATCTTCATCCTCTGGCAGAGTTTCTCAGTCTGCAGTAGCTTCCGCGTCGGGGAGCACTTGTGCGGCATCGTCTGTTACAAAAAGCCGTGCTCAAGGTACCAGGGCTGCGTCTAGTAAGCCTTCAGTCCTTGTAGAAAGCTCTGGCAAGGTCTTTGAGCGTTCTAAGCCGCAATATGAGTCGGTTCCTGCGTCATCCTTCGTTAGCGTCAAGTCTGCTGGTGCTAAAGGTGACGGTAGCACTGATGACACCGCAGCACTTCAAAAAGTGTTGGACGGCGCTACTGCTGACCAAATTATCTATTTCGACCATGGTGCTTATATCATCACCTCGACTCTCAAGGTTCCCAAGAATATCAAGATTGTGGGCGAGATATGGCCGCTTCTGATGGCGTCCGGTGACGCTTTCTCAGACCAGAACAACCCAATTCCCATGCTTCAGATCGGAGAAGCAGGTGACACTGGAGATGTTGAAATTCAAGATCTGATTCTTGAGACAAAGGGACCTGCCCCAGGTGCTATTCTCATGGAATGGAATGTCGCTGGCTCATCTCAAGGCTCCGCCGCAATGTGGGATGTACACTTCCGTGTTGGAGGTTCTGCTGGTACAGACCTTCAGAGTAACACGTGCTCCAAGAATCCTACTGCCACACATGGGGCTAACAATGCCTGCGAGGGCGCATTCATGCTCTTCCACGCGACACAGAGTGCCAGCGCATACGTTGAGAACTGCTGGTTCTGGGTTGCCGATCATGAACTTGATCTTGCTGACCATAACCAGATTGACATCTACAACGGGCGTGGAGTGCTCATCGAGAGCCAGAACGCTGTCTGGATGTATGGCACCGCATCTGAACACAGTCAACTGTATGAATACCAAGTCAGCAACGCTAAGAACGTCTTTATGGCTCTCATCCAGACTGAAACACCGTAAGTTTTCGCATCTTTTATCAGGAGAAAAAGAAGCACGCTGACACTATCACACCACAGTTATTGGCAATCCAACCCTACTGCTCTTACTCCTTTCACACCTCAAACCAGCTTCGCCGATCCAGACTTTTCGAAATGCACAACCGACAGCTGTCGCAAAGCCTGGGGTCTGCGTGTGCTCTCGTCTTCGGACGTTCTGGTGTATGGAGCCGGTCTATACAGTTTCTTCGAGAACTATGAGCAAACCTGTCTCACAACGGAATCCTGCCAGCAAAACATTGTTCAACTCGACTGCTCAAGCGTATCTCTGTATGGTCTCAGCACAAAGGCGAGCACGAACATGGTGACGTCGACGGATGGCACGGCTCTTGCGTTGCAGGAAGACAACACCAGTTCGTATGCTTCGACAATCGCGCTTTTCGAGCAATAGTATTCCCTCCGTGGCCGGCTGTGCTGCGTGCATGCCTAGGAGGTAAATCTTGATTGTTTATTTTTCATATACATATTTGGGCCGTATTGAACTGATGGGAGGGAATTTTTTACACTTGCAAAGTTGGAAAGCTGGGAAGCAAACAAAATAGATACGTATCACTCAGTAGTTAGTGCTTAACAAAATGATACCACATTCTTATCCTTATTTCTTTTTACTCCAGTATAAATTTCGACCCTAATTAAAGTAAACAGGTGGATAGTGCAGAAGTTAGTGAGGTTAGTGAAACAGGGCTACCCCAGATCGGACGATGTCGGGACAATCTTGCATGTTGCTTGCATGTTAGGTAGCCGGAGTGAGCCAGCCATGATTTTAGGCATTCAAACTTCTTTCTAAAACTCGTTACATATATATATATATATATTACAAAATATTAGTCCAAGCCAAACAAATATAGGTATACACGCCAATAACGCCACGGGCGAGCCTGACAATACCAATATCAACGCAAAAAGAAAAAAAGAAAAATCATCATGCAATCTACACATAAATGGCACTGTCTAAGAGGAATCACAGCTCCTTCTTCAAAAAGTGCTCTGGTTTATGTGTCGTCTCATAGTCGACGTGCACATAGGCACGCTCGACATCCGGCAGAGACTCGAGCTTCATTTGCAGTTCCTCGGCGACGTCGTGCGTGGCCATTAGCGTTGCGTCGCGGTCCATGACGACGTCGACTTCAACGAGGAGGCGGGGTCCGGAGGTATATGCTCGCACAGTGTCGATGGCTGTGATTGCGGGGGAGTGTGTCATTGCTAGGGAAATTTACCAGTCAGTCCGAAGAAGAAAGACGGGGGACGAAGGCGAGAAGCAAGGCTTACAGATATATGTGATTAGTTGTTGCATTTGCGTGTCCGCAGTCACGCCAATGAGTAGCTGGAACTCGGAGTAGGAGGTGCGCAGCCACAGAAACGCAACCAGACACGACAGCATCACCGCGCCCATGGGATCAATCCACCAGCGCAGCTTACTTCCGCCGACCGAGGTCAGGATACCGATTCCGTTGATGATGATATCGTTACGATGATCCTCCCACAGAATGCGGACTTGCGAGAACTGGTTGCGCAAGGCGAAGCAATACAGGAAGAGAACCAGTTTGGTCATAAAGGCTATGGCAACGGCAATTATGGAGGTTAGATAGAACGGTTCGGTCTTCTCGGCGCTCCCGTCGGCGAGCTCCTTGATGGAGAACGCGATGATGATGAAGGAGACTGATGTCATGAGGAAGCAGAAACAGATGTTGCCCACGGTTTCGATGCGGGCTTTGCCCGCGGGGAATTTGCGAGGGTCGACGCGCGATACGGCCTTGTTGGATAGCAGGAGAGTCACGTTGGACAGGGGATCGAAAATGGCGTCGGCCATGGTGGTGAAGAGGGACAGGGAGCCGGAAGACACGGCGCCATAGATCTGGACCACGGACAGGACGACATTGGCGGCAAAACTGCCCCAGACGGCAATCTTGAACTTCAACTGGTTCGAGTTGTTGAGCTCCTTGGCGGCGCGCACATGCTCGTCGACGGGGGTCAGGAGGCGCTCGATATTCTCGTTTTGCACCTGGTAGAACTCCTGCAGTTTGCCTGAAGTGGTCAGCGCGAATCTGTCGCCAATGAAGGACGGCGTGACTCGGTCTCGTTTGCGCGAAGTGTTGGCTCGGATCTGTTTGATTTCTGCCTCTGTTTTGATCTTCGAGGCCAGCTGGAGAGGGTCGTTCACGGGCGTGTAGCGCGGAGGCGAGTTCCGTTCTTCATCGGAAGCCGCGCCGCCGTCGGTAGCCGCAATGTTCTCGACTACTTGGACTGCTGCTGCTGCTGTTTCATTGTTGCTGCTTGGGAGAGTGGCTGCTCGAGACAGGGAAGACGCCGACTGACGGGCTTCGTGGGAGTCGCGGGCGTGGCTGTGGAAAGGGTGCGGATGGAGCGAGATTGAATGGCGGAACTGAGGGTGGTTTTCCATTTTGTGCCTGTGATAGTTGTTCTAATTGAATCGGGCCATCTGCTGCGAGACTGGAGAGGACTTTTCTGTGTAGCAATAAAGTATCGTGATATAGCGCGGGGACCCACGGACAGCGGCGGAAAGATTGATAAAGGAGTTATGTTAATGCCTGAGGCTGGGCCCGCCTGCCAAGCGGCTCCGTGCCAATCAGCACGGCGCGTTTCCTTGCAGTTCCTCCCAGCGATGATTCGAAAGACTACGACTAGTTTAAAAATGACTCGAGCGAGATGGCTTTGAGGCTGTGCAGAGCGCCCCACTGAACTGTCAACGACTGAGTTGCTTGTGGAAAGAGGCAAAGGAGCCACAGTTTGCCGAACCTCTTTTCATTCAGTCCGTCAATATCTACTTCGCCAGGAACAGGCCCTCGAATTGCCTCCTTCTTATTGAATTCCCAATCCCCGCGACCATGAAGCGCATGCTTTCCGGCCTGCAAAGGCGTGTTAGTATGTCTTCCCAAATTCCTTCTGAATTCCGTCTAGTATGATGGCAATGCGGAGAAAGTGGCTGCCGTACCACAACAAACAGTCAGCCAGCTAACAAACAAACACGCAAACAGCATCCCCCTTGCAGACGCAGACGCAGACGCAGGAGAGTGCCTCGCCCTCCCCCGCTGGATATGACACCCCTGAAGCCGTCGTTGCTCGAGAAATCGTGCGTTCGTTCTTGACACCTACATGCTTGCGCGGAAGACAAACCCCGAAGATGATGCTGATCCGTGCCCCAAGAAAGCTTTCTGTGAATCCGGCTCTGAGCCTGGCGCTACTAATACTGTACGATGAAGCTATCCATCGCATCGCATTCTGCTAACGTGTCACAGTCCAGCGAATATGTCCATCTCCCCGCCATAGTCGAGGCCGCCGAGTCGAGCGCCGCCGCTGCCAAAGAGGCCTCCGTGCGGATACGCAAGTACCTGTCAAGCCCGGCAAAGGCGACCGGCACTGTGCAATACAACGCCATTATGCTTATTCGCATTCTGTCCGAGAACCCCGGCCATAGCTTTACGCGCAACTTCGATGCCAAGTTTGTCAGCACGGTCAAGGAACTCCTGCGGCAGGGCCGAGACTTGTCCACCCAGCAAATGCTGCGCGAGACGTTGGAAACGTTTGAGACGCAAAAGTCATGGGACGAGGATCTTGCAGCTTTGCTGGCTATGTGGAAGAAGGAGAAGAGTAAAATGGTGAGATCGCCCTGTTGGATTAAAGGAGAAGAACTGAGACTAAAGACTCAATAGCCTCCACCCCCGCAAGTGGCCTCACAATATCAACAACCACATTTCCCTCGTCCTGTGCCTACTCACGGGCAATTGCCTCCGCCAGAGGAACTCGCGTCGCGCATATCCGAGGCGAAAACATCCGCGAATCTGCTCATTCAACTCTCGCAGAGCACACCAGCCGCCGAAGTCCAGTCACACGAGTTGATGCGCGAGTTCTCCCAGCGCTGTCAAGCCGCTTCCAGATCTATTCAGAGCTACATGGCTGTGGAGAATCCTCCGCCAGACGAAAATACCCTGCTTACGTTGATCGAGACGAATGATCAATTATCCGTGGCTCTATCGAAATACCAACGCACACTCCTGAATGCTCGGAGAGCAATGGGCTCTGCGACTCCTGGCGCTACATCACCACCACCACCTGCTACTAATAGTAGCGGCAATAGCAGTGGGAGTAGCCCAGTTAATGGGATTTCAAATGGAGAAACGACACAGTCAAGGGGTGCAAATGCATCCCCCCCATTTGACAGCGGGTCTGCTGCCGTTTTACCTACTTCTCCGCCACCTATGCATTCGTCACTTAACGAGCCATTTTCGACATCCGCGCTACCTAGATTTGAGGCTCCAGCTTCATCACCACCTCCAGCCTCCGTTCCAGCTTCCAGTCAACCCGCACCAAGACGCTATGAGTATAATGCCGACGAGTTCAACGTTGAGAATCCATTTGCGGATAACACGACCGAAGAACATTCTCGATCATAACGACCACCTTGTTGTCCCTGCATTGATGAGAGCCCGAGTTATGTTTTCTTCTTTTCTTTATACCATGTTTCATCGAACATAAAAAGACATTCGTTTACGTGATTATGTGTGCTTTTCGAGATCGATGCCCCATATATATACCCCCCAACTTTGAATGATGTGTATAGCCGTGTTGGTCAGTCAGTATATTCTTTCAGTTCTTTCTGTGTTTAGCATGCATTTCTCTGCATAGCATCGTGAACTCTCCGCATGGAAGTGAATCCATCTTTATCATCCACCTAGTCGATTTACTTCAGTAGGTAAATTGGAAAAGGTAAAAAAATTGTTATTGTTCCCTCCTTTGTAAATAAAACAAAGTTGACGCCGTGACTATGAAAATCTCATCGTGGCATTTAAAAATAAAAAAAAGCTTCAGGATAGGAAGAAGAGGTTAGGTGGTAATAGAGTAGGTAGGTATATGGTAATGTTCCCCTTTTTTGTTCCCACGCCTCGTCCTTTGACCCCCATCCTTTTTTGATTATTTCTTTTTTTTTTTCTTGTCGTCATTCTAATCACCATGGTCTCGCTCTCCGCCCCTTAATTCTTCCGAATTTAAGCCTCTGTAAGGGCGCGGCGGATCTGAGCACCACGCTGGCGAGAGTTGAGACGGGATTCTTTGGCGACAACGTGAGGAGCCTTCTGGACAACTTCTTCACCCTCGGTGAGGATGAGCTCGATGTGGCAAGGGTTGGTCATGTAGGGGTTGATCTAGTCACGTCAGTATTGACAATATATGACCTAGTACGGTTAGCTGGATGAATTGAACATACACGACCGTGGGCACGGTAGGTGCGTCTGCGACCCTTGGGGGCTTGGTTGACCTGGATGTGCTTAACGACGAGGTTGCTGGTGTCGAGACCCTTGGTGTCGGCATTGGCCTCAGCGTTCTTCAAGAGACCGAGGAGCTGCTCGGCGGACTTGACGGGCCAGCGGGCCTTGGAGACGCCGAATTCCTTGCCTGTGATGATGTTTTATTAGACCAATTCTTGAATCGTTCGCATCAAAGGCAGTCCTTCGAATCTCCTTTTTTTTTTTTCTTTTCTTCTCCACGGCCATTCTCCCTTCCTCGTCCAACGCTGACTATTCCAGGGCATTGATTCGATGTTTCACTCACCCTGGGCAGTGCGACCGGTGCTTCCGGCATATCGGCGCATGGGAACGGCCTCCTTGTGATTGATGACGTTCTCGAGGTAGACAAGAGCACGCTGCAGCTTCCATCCGTTGATGGCCTGGGCGGTTTCCCGAGTGTTCTTGAAGCTAACACGCAGGTAAGAGCCCCGGGCGCGGGCGCTCTTTGCGTTGGGAATCGACGCGGCGTAACGGACCTATGTATTTGGGATTGCAACATGTCAGTCTTCTGACATTTTTCTTACTTTTCGTTCTCGATTCAAGTCGCAGTAGAAAAAATGATTCTTGCTGATATCGTCCGGGCGAGAGGATAGCATCAAAGAGCCCGAATAGAAATAATAACGACATCCGAATTCCTCAACTACCATCCTGCGACTTCAACCATATCCAGAATCTTCCGCCACGCCGACCGACTCGAGCAAGAATAATGAATCGTAAAGAGAATGCACTCACCATCTTGAAAGATTGCCGGAAAAGAGATGGTCCTCGGTATCGGGTGTCGAAGGGGGGATGTAGTCGTAAAAAGGCGTCGTCGGCGAAACTGTCGAGATCCTCGCGGGTGGTGTGCTTTTTTTCTGGCTTGGCGCCCGATCGCGGTTAAGCCCTAAGCGAGCCCTCGCACTAGGCTGTTTCGGGCTGTTGTCACATGATGCGGGGCTCCTATTGGAACAGGTGCCTAAGCTAGTTAGTTGACAGGACGCGAATCTAGTTATCAGGTCAGTGCAGGAATCGGAATGTATTAAGCCTACTGATTCCAGTAAGGAGCCTACTAAACTATTCTATGCCAGTCTATATGATAATATATCCATAAACTCTTCGTGCTCATACACAATTCAAAGTCTATTTTCTTAACTAGCATATTAAGCAATTATAGTAAGATTAATAATAAGACCTCAATCTAATCAGAGAATGTTATTCTTATAAATGATTGACAACTAGACCCTATTCCTTGATCAGGATTGGCATTTGATTCAACACTTCTCTTTTAAATGTTGTGGTAGAGGTAAAATACTACATATCAGATCTCCCCGGGAGATCTCGCTGGCCTGAAGGATAAAAGGGGGCGCCCGCGGTTATATAAAATACACATTTCCTTCCATACAGTTCCAGGGTATACGTTGGCCGATCCGGAGGTGGTCATATAAGGGCAGGTTCAAGTGCATCCTTTGGGCTGTACAAAAGCGCAATCGATGTAGATAGAACCTAATAAAAATGACATTCCAAATGTGCATCCTTTGTGACACTGAAATAATTCTCGGCTTCTGTGTCAAGAACCCCGGTGAGGCCACAACCTTTTGCTCAGAACCCACCGGCATCTGGACCTCTTCATTATCATGTTTGGTATGTTGTTCATGACAGGAAAAGTGTACGATGGGATGTTAAAGGTCCGTGCCTAGGAGTCGTGCTACCTGGTTTCTATTTATCAGACACTGGACGATTTCCTGCAAACACGAGTGGAAAACGAGGAGGACCGAGGAAATCCGAGTAGTGAGGAAGCGTGATAGAGAGGTTTTGAGTGATTGATAATCATTTGGCCGGCCTGGAATACTTTTCTATGGCCACGTATTGTGTATCGCCTAGGGTTATATGGATTATATTGGAAAGATGCAGCGAGTCTCACGGTAGAACATGCTATCAGATAGCTTGAAAGCAAAAAACTTCAATCCCCTTGCAGCGACTTCGATCTAGACCTTCCATGTGCTACAAGATAGCAACGAACATTCTTCTTAATTTTCTCAGAATGATGGATCTGCTTTTCATTCCTGCATTGATTGCTATTATGTATATGAAAGGAACTTGCCATACAAATTGCACTGACCGATGGATCATATATTGGTCCCGAATACTTCTTCAAAGTGTACCCTATCGAACCTTTTCCCTTCACCCCTGATATTAGAAATCATTCTGTCTTGCTTACTCAACAGCTTTACATACTATAGTAATGAAGAAATTCTCTACAGATGCCCTATCCGGCATCTGCACGCAGGAGCAACTTAACCTCCTGGACTCGGTAGACGCTCTGCGTTTGCAAGGGATCAGCCACTATGTGTCGCTACCACAAATCATCGTCTGCGGCGATCAATCGTCTGGGAAGAGCTCCGTTTTGGAGACAATATCTGGGGTTGCATTCCCAGTGAAGAGTAATCTCTGTACAAGGTTTCCCACTGAACTAGTGCTACGCAAGAGTTCGCAGATCGGAGTAAGCGTATCTATTGTCCCTCACCCCTCACGAAGCGAATCAGAACAGCGCTCATTAAGCAGCTTTCGGGAAACCCTAGACAGTTTCGATAATTTACCCATTCTGATCGGAAATGCCAAAAGTATCATGGGGATCTCGACGCATAGCAAAGCCTTTTCAAATAACATACTTCAGATAGAGGTCGCAGGACCAGATCAGCCTCATTTGACCATTGTTAGTCTCCCCAGCCTTATACACTCAGAAACCAAACAACAGTCCGCAGCGGACGTGACGCTTGTACAAGAAGTCGTACAGAAGTATATGAGAGAACCAAGAAGTATTATCCTAGCGGTTGTCTCAGCTAAAAATAATTCTACAAATCAAATTGTGCTTCGTCTGGCTCACACTACGGACGAATCTGGGCACAGGACCATGGGGGTTATCACAAAGCCGGATGTACTGATCCCTGGCTCGGAAACCAAGAAAATGTTCATTTCGTTGGCCAAAAATCAAGAGGTCGACTTTCATTTGGGATGGCACGTTCTGAAGAACCTCCTAGATACTGAAAAGGCTCGAGGAACACTCTCTGACCATGACGCACAAGAGCGGGAGTTCTTCTCGCAAGGTGTCTGGGAGTTCATGCCCAAGAACTTACTTGGGATCAACAGATTAAGAGACCATCTGAGCACACTGCTGCTGTCTCAGATAGCGACCGAGTTGCCAAATTTGATTGACGAGATAAAAGTTCAAGTTGACAAGTCGAACGAGGAGCTAAAACGCCTTGGTAATGCCCGGGAAAGTTTACAGCAGCAGCAAGCTTACCTTTTTCATATCAGCCAGGCCTTCCAAACGACCGTGAAAGCTGCCGTTGATGGAACATACAATAGCGCCTTTTTTGATGACATACACGCTGACTCGGGCTATCGAAAGCGACTGCGTGCAGTGGTTCAGAATCTAAACGAAGCTTTCGCGGATAATATTAGCCGTCATGGTCATCGCAGAAAGATCGCTGCTTCAAGTGAACCCAAAATTCTTGACCAAGACAGCCAAATTATGCTGACACGGGCGGAATACATCCGACATATTGAAAAGATCCTCAAAAGAACTCGAGGCCGAGAGCTACCGGGAACCTTCAACCCAATGATTATCTCTGAATTGTTCATGGAGCAATGCATGTTATGGGAGAGCATTACCAGCAGCCATATTTCTCAAGTAGCAGATGCCGTGAAGCAGTTCATAGGCTCAACGATTGCACATATCGCTGATAATGCCACTTCGACAGTTCTAATGCGGGAAATTTTTGAGCCTAAATTAGACGATCTTCGACAAGCAGCACAAGAGAAAATCTTGGAATTACTCGTACCACATACCCACGGCCACCCGATCACCTACAATCATTATTTCACCGAGAATCTACAGAAAATTCGCAACGAGCGCCGTGAGAAGGAGATCATGCAATCGATCCGAGCCTTCTTCAACGCGTCAGACCTAGAAACAGTTGCTAGGGAAGTCGAATCTGTAGACCTGCGGGGTCTCTCTCGTCGAATCGTCCAGTCTACAGAGCCTGACATGGGTCAGTTTGCGTCTGCTGAGGCCTTGGATTGCATGCTTGCATATTACAAGGCGAGTGTTTCCTGCCATGCTATACGATCCATATTGACTGTATCATAGGTGGCTTTGAAGCGCTTCATTGATGATTTTGCTGTCGAGGCAATTGAAAATAAGCTCGTCGTACCGCTATCGAATCTTTTCTCCCCTATTGCGGTATTTGAAATGACACCAAAGATGGTCACCTGTATCGCGGGGGAAACCAAGGAATATCGGAGTCTCAGAGAACAGTTGAGTAAAAAGCTCGATATTCTTGTCAGAGGTCTAGAAACCTGTAAAAAGTTTGTTGGAATTCGTGGCATAGGTATGGGTTATAGTTGATTTGCAAAGACCCTATTTACTAACAACCTAAATCTGCTATCTAGTCATGGAAAGCAACATGAAACCGGCTTCAGCTACTGTTACCCATTCGCCTCAAAGAAAATGTCATCCTTCAGCATCCGAGCAGTCTGAAGACTTTTCATTGCCCGCCGAGGAAACTGATGCCCAAGTCACCCCGCCAGAGGACTCGCAGCTCTCTCCAACCATATTATCTGACCAGGCCGAAAGGATTGATTTGGTCCCTATCGAGAGTCTAAGTGACTGTACTCCTCTCGCCCCAGGCGAAGATCAGAATATTGCTAATCGTATCCCAGAGTGGATCCAAGATACAATACCTGATGCTTTAGAGCAGGAAAGACCTGCTGATGTCACAGTCGATATAGGACCACCTGGCCCAGCAGAAGAAGAATGGCCGTTATCGATGATTGGCAAGTCTAAAAAATCCAAGAAGAAGAATAAGAGGAAGAAACCGTCGGCTGAGAAGGAATTGGATGTGCCTATGGAGCAAAACGCAATAGAGTGACTCGAGATTTGTGGTTTCTGCAGAGCCAGCTAGAATTCGAATGTATCCAAGAATCAATAATCAATACTAAATGACCTCCCGCCGCTAGTTGGGCTAGCGGCTTGGCATGCCCCGTTATATAAAGAGGCAGCGATTACTTAGATCTTAGCTGTATAACTTAGTTGTACGTTTTCTATTCGAATCTAGTTAGTCCTAGGCCGAAGCCAATGCTAAGCTACGTTCTTGCAATCCCTGTCGCACGACAGTGTCACTGAGAAAGCATTTAGAAAGCACCTAGAAATCATTTATGATAAAACTATTGAGAATCATTCCGGAAAATATTACATTGACTGCGCACAGACCAAGTGCCGCACTTGGCATGGAAAATTAGAAAGTCCGGTTCCGGCACATCTATTTCATTCAGACATTCGGTTCTCTGTTCTAGTCATTATAGAGTATAGCTAGCTAGCTACTTCTTCTGCTCTGGTATTTGAGTCACTAACACGCCCTTTTCCACCGCCGACCGCAGATTCTCCAGCACCAGCAGCTCCATCTCCTTTTGCGTTTCGAACGTCATCGTTCCAATATGCGGGAGCAGGAATACCTTGGAGCTCTTCAGCAGCCCGTCGTCGACTTGCGGCTCGTTCTCATACACGTCGAGACCAGCGGACGCCACCTAGGAGTATGCAGTCAGCACCAGACACGGTTGTAAATAGCCTTCGTCTGGGAGAGGAACAGGGGACCAACCTTCCCAGACTCGATTGCGGCAACAAGAGCCTTCTCGTCTATCAACGCCCCACGCGCTGTGTTCACAATAACCACACCGTCCTTCATGTTCGACAACTCCTTCGCACCGATAATGTGTCGAGTCGACGGGTTTAGCGCCAGATTCAAACTGAACACATCGGAGCTGGCAAGCAGCTCGTCGAAGGAGACGTACTTGGCGCCATCTTCGAGTTCGGGAGATAGCCGGCTGCGATTATGGTACTGGATAGTCATTCCAAAGGCTTTTGCGCGGTGGGCCATTTCCTATGACAACTCAGTCTTTGTTTTTGGGGGGCTGAAATGGAAGGCAAGGAAGGGAAGTTCGTAGATATACCCTGCCGATGCCACCCATTCCGAGAATTCCAAGCACCTTGCCCTTGGGATCGTGGCCTAATGTAGACTTGCCTAGCCATTCGCCAGCCCGAATGGAAGATAGAGGAACATGCGCCTGACGCAGGGCACCAATCATTAAGAAAATGCCAACGTCGGCGGTGGCATTGTTCACGGCAACTGGAGTGCTAGAAACCGCAATTCCTAAAATCTCGGCTCTCAGCATCTTTATCAGGCTAGTCTTTATGTAGAGAGGTAAACCGACCAGCCTCCGTCACAGCAGGAACATCAATATTGTCGTATCCAGCCCCGTTGTGCACAATGTATTTAACCGACTTGGGCAGCGCTGAAACCAGCTCGCTATCAAACCGGCCCGTGTACTTGGTAGAGGTATTGCTGCGATATATCACGACGACATCGTCATATATTCCACTCTTGCAATGCTGCAGAAACTGCTCTCGTGTCCCGTTTGGGAATTCCTATAATAGGACGCCAAACGAGTCAGTCTCTTCTCTTCTGTCCGAACACAATGAAGAGACTCGCCTTGAGCGTTAATGTCGACGAGAGCTGCTCCCATTCTGGTCGCGCGTGGGTGATTTCGCCTATGAGCAGGGCTGCTTGCGACGGCATTGTTGCGAAGTGTCTGGCTACGCTGGAGAGGCGTTGATGCGGGTTTGGTTCTGGTGAGCTATGCATTAGGAAGAGTGAAGATGAATGAATGGGTATGGTCACTCACGCGCGAGGAGTTTCAGGGCGCCAGACGTGCGGAGATGCAAATTGGAGGAGAAACTTCTGTATCCAAGCATAACTCGATGGGATGTTTGGGTTTATATGAACCTACCTACTCTGCCATTACTTCTGATTTACTATTTGCGCTTCCAGTGAACAACCAACACGCACCGCATCAATTGCCGACCCCCACGGAGTCAATAGCCGGGGAAGCTGCCCCTCCGCGGCGGATCGGATTTCTCGCCGGTGTTTACATACTCGGCGTCTGAATATAACTATCCACGACTCATCAACTGACTTGGCTGTTCTTTGCCTTTCTGTCTCTTGCACAACTACACTCGACATCTGTCCGGGGTCTCTGTTCCAGTGATATAAGTAGCAGGAAGCCTAATTCAGTCTTGCTCGTCTCCAAGCTAAACGTATAAAAGTCATATTCATCAACCAAGCATACCGAGATACTCATACTCACGAATCAAACGAAACAATACTGCTATTGGACAGGCAAAAATGTCTGCATCAACACCATCTAAAGCCCTAATTCTTCACGGCGCCAAAGATCTGCGCTTAGTACGTCCAGGCATATTCCTTGACATCCCCCCGAAAGGCCTTCTCCATTCTCTTATAAAACTAACTGCTGCTCAGGAAACACGAGATATCCCAGCACCATCAGGCAACGAAGTGCAACTCGCCATCCGCGCCACTGGCCTTTGCGGCTCTGACCTACACTACTACACCCATGGACGCAACGGCGACTTTGTAGTCCGCTCACCCATGGCCCTCGGCCACGAGTCCAGCGGTCTCGTCACAGCCGTGGGACCGGACGTGAAAACCCTCAAACCGGGGGATCGAGTGGCCCTAGAAGTCGGCCTCCCCTGCCGGACATGTATCTACTGCGCCGCGGACCGCTACAACCTCTGTTCCAACATGCGCTTTAGATCAAGCGCAAAATCGTTTCCGCATCTGGACGGCACCCTGATGCAATTCACTAACCATCCGGAGGATATGTGCCACAGACTCCCGGACTCGGTGTCCTTTGCGGGCGGTGCGCTTGCAGAGCCGCTCGCAGTGTGTCTGCATGCTATTCGCCGGTCTCATCCGCCGACCAGCGAGGAAGCAGCGCTGGCAAAATCACTGAATGAAGAGAGTGCCGCGATGATCTTTGGCGCCGGCGCAATCGGGCTTTTGCTGGCGACTGCGCTAGCAACGTCGCAGCATTTCACGTCCATTGTCATTGCGGATATTGATGCTCGACGCCTCCAAGTCGCCGAGTCGTTGGGGCTGGGCTTGAAGACGTATCTGATTGAGCGCTCAGCGACGCCGTCGCCTCCCAAGGATGCGCCGCAAGAGGAGCAGACGGCCTATGCGATGAAGACGGCGCAAGAGACGGCGAATAAGATCAAGGAGGCGCATAAGATACCCAACGGGTTTGCCAGGGTGTATGAATGCACTGGTGTTCCACCGTGCGTGCAGGCTGGTATTTACATTGCTGCACCAGGCGGAGTGCTGGTGCAGGTTGGTATGGGCGCGCCGATTCTGACATTGCATCACGGCGCGGCGATGCTGAGGGAGGTTGATGTTATTGGCGTTTTCCGTTATGACAAGCATGCGTATCCAGCGGCTATAAAGCTGCTAGAAAACGAGACTTTTAAGAGAGTGGAGGACAAAATTGTCACGCATAGAGTGAAGTTGGCTGAGGAAGGGCAGGGGGAGAGGGCGTTTACGCTGGCTGGCAAGGGCGTCGATGAAGAGGGAGTTCCTGTAGTCAAGGTGATGATTGAGGGCTAGAGAATGTTATCTAATTGATCATATATACCTAGGATAAAAAATGAAAATAAAAGATAATATACTTGTATATATGGATAATCAGTTATTTCAACCCCCCAGCCAACAGCAGACTCTGTCCCGTCATATACCCCGTCGTAACCAGCATCGTCACAGTATTAGCCACTTCTTCCGGCAAACCCAATCTGCCAATTGGGATACCTTCCGCTATACCGGGGATTGCAGCAGCATTCGGGATCATCCCGGTATCCCCAATCATAGCAGGCGCAACGTCGTTGACACTGATATTATACTCGGCGAGTCGCGTAGCCAAATTTCGCATCATCCCTGTCATGCCTCCTTTCGAGGCTGCATAGTCTGTTTCATCATGAGTTCGTCCGAGCATTTAAGGAACCAAAAAAAAAAAAAGAGAGAGAGAGAGAGAGAGGCAAGTCTCACGGCATCCATTGATCCCACCACCCTGCGCAGCAATCGACGACATAAAGACAATCCGACCCCATTTCTGATCCCGCATATGATTCACAACGCCTTTGACAAGAATGAACGAGGCGCGGAGGTTGACACTAATAGTATAATCGAATTCCTCGAGCGTGATGTCCCACACCTGCGGCACACGCTTGCCATAGCCGGCATTCGAGACGAGAATGTCAGGTCGTTGGCCGTGTTTCTCGTCGATTTCCTTGAACATGTTCTCAATGTCATCAGCCTTGCCAACGTCGACTTTGTGGATAGATATGCGCAGGCTGTTGTCGAGTAGGGTGAGCTCGTCAACAAGGGCCGTGATGCCGGCCAGGCTCGACATGTAGGTTAATGCTAGATGCGTGCCTTTCGCGGCTAGTTGGCGGGCACATGCTGCTCCAATTCTGGTCTGGTCTTAGTATATTCTTCGATGAAGTATGGGTTGGAAGGGACGATGTATGTACCCGCCAGAAGCACCCGTGATGAGGGCCAAGCGGCCCTTGATATCGTTTAATTGAGACATGGCGACAGTCAGTAAGCATGAAGGTGACGTCTGGAGAATCTTCCTCCATATTTATTTACTGCCTAAAACATGAGGGCTGATGTCGGGCTATGAACCGCTTCGGATTTACTCCGAGTGGGGTACCGCTTATTGAAATGTTTTCAATGCCGGTATGAAAATCGTACAGTATAAAGAACGCAGACAGAGAAGTAGGTATAATACATCAAAAGAACAGGCTGGTATCGCCCGTCCATAGGGGCGTCTGCAATATCTGTTGCTGCTGCCCAACAGTGCCGTATATGTTACTACTGTCATGCAAGCCGCCTCCATCAAATCCCAGAATACTCGCTGCCATCTGATCACCAGACACATAATCGCCAACAGCACCCAAATCAAGCCAAGAGAAGTCATTTGCCGGGTCAAAGTGTGCCTGCTGTTGGCTACTACGTCCGTCTGGCAGTGTCGAGTTCGTGTTTGAGTTCGCGAGATTAGGAATGGAAATTTCATTACGACGTCGCGACTCGGATGATGCTACAGATCCTGAAGAACGCGACGGCTTCCATAGCAGCTCGAGAAGTCTTGCATAACGTGAGCCCATGTCATCAGGCCCAGCGCTGGCGCGGTAAAGTGTCTCGGTGGTTCGTGAGACCAGTTCCCGGACTTCGACTTCTTCATTTGGAGACATGACACCGAAAGAACGGGCCTAGAAAGAGAGTCAACCATGAACGATGGTTGTAAAGTCACACAAAGATTACCTTGTACAAGAACACCGCCGCATAAATGCTATACCTGAATTGGGAAGCGTCAGTTGAATTTTCGATGCTTGGCTGCGAATCTCCAACAACTCACAAATAATAACGCGACGGCATGAAACGCAAGTGCTGCTCGGGGCTAATCGAGCCAACGAGTATGTTTAGGTACGTCTTTGCCGCTTCGAGCGATTCATATATAAAGCGTGCATCGGGCATCGAGGCAATATTGCTGAACGTCCCCCTCAAATGTTCTCTTTGGTGGTGTTGATCAGCCATATCTGGCTTTCGCACAATCGCCTGAGAGATGGCTGCTTGAAACGCGAAGGCGTTGGTATAGAGCCTTAAGTACTCATAAGACATTTGGAGAGTGATCTTGATATGAGGCGAGCCTAAAGCGTGGCGGCAATGCGCAAACGTTAATTTTTGTTTTCTCATCTTTGTTTAACCGTCTTCGGAATTGCTCACAGTTTAGACATCCCCATGTCTGATTCCATCTAGATATTGCCGTCCGAAAATCATCGGCATATTTGATGTAGTCTCCCATAAGCATCATTTGGTTACTCGTCCGCATTCCCGAGTACAAAATTTCATGCACATTGTTGTATAACTGCGTCAATTCCAGAGTGGCCTGGATGATCTTGGCATAATCTTCGTCTCCTTCTGTGACGGGTTGCAAAGAAGGAAAATCATGGCTCACAAATCCAGTCATCGGACCCGGTCCTCGAGACCAGAAGGCTCTTCCAATTCTCACAGAAATTAGTCTATCCGAGATGTAGCAAGAAGTCCAGGCCAGGCGCTTGCGTGCATCGCAGTCGTCTCCGGAGGGGTCGCCTCTGAAAGAAGTGCGCTCCAATCCGAGAAAATAGCCCGAACGTAGCGCAAGACCTACATGCATCCACGCTGCGCGATCCTCTTCGCCCCTTCCGACACGTTCAATGTTCGGGCGGAGGCCCTGTGGTTCCCACTCTGCTATCAGAATCAAAGCCTCGACTGCTTCCACATCACAATCAACGCCAGCGGCAATGCTAGATATTAACTCGTGCATGTAGTTCGAACAGTATTCATGAATGTGAGGCAAATCAACTAAATCTTTGGAAGCTATAGTGAGCACGGCCGTGAGCAAGTGCTTCTCACTGGCTGCAAATGTGTCTAGTGCCTCGCGATGGAAGTATCGTCTTGGAACGAGCGGTTGGTAAGGATGGAAATGTGCTTGGTATCGCTTTATCAAGTTGAATACCAAGTCTGGATCTAGTGAGCCATTTTTCACTAGCTCATACCCTCGGATCCCTGTAGAAACAGGAGCCTTGGGTGAATTACCAGCCACTCCATCTCGGACATACAAATCATGAGGCCCATGGTGAGTGAGGCTTTGTGAAGTCGGGGTCACACCCTCAGTCTCGCCTCCTCGCTTCGCAATTCCAGTTAAGCATTGCCACGCATCGGAGGGATTCCGAGGCACCCCGGAATCAATGGCGCTGTCCGAACTGGATGCAGGGTCGTGATCATCATCGTCTGGGCTGACGAGATCGGATGGTTTGCCAGCATGGTTCACGTAGAGATCTGAAACTGGAAAGCGAGGTACTGGAAAAGATGATCCGTGCTCTGAGTACCGCGAGATTGCAGAATTTCTTCTATGTGTCTGTGAAACAGACATTTCATCGTTGGAAATGGCATTGCTCTTGCTTTTACGAATTCGCCGTCCTCCCCGGTTGGAAGACCCCAGAACGCATTCGCGGCCTTCGCGAATACATCGTTGACAAGGTGGAGTTCCTGGACTGCCGCTGCTATCTCTGCGTACATCTTATCTTAACATTACTTCCTCCGAAAAAAGAAATTTTGCTTGGCGTCGAATACGCAACTCATCAACACTTACAGGTCACATCGGGACTTGCGCTGGCGGCAGTGTAGGCATGCTCGCGATACACGCTGTCCCGGGCCAAGCTTTCTATGTTGCTTCGACACAGGATTTGTATTTGTAGGGCTCATTTCAGTGGCTATTTCAACCGGTGCAGTTTATCAAGGGATAGCGGTTGAATATGCTCATGTTAATTCGCCGGGAGTCGCAGCTTGGACCATTTTCCGATGACGATGTATTATAAAGGGCACTTCTCAAGCACAGATGCTGCAACCCGAACGCGAGTCTTTAGCCCGTGAGTATTTTTGGCATGATGATCCGTCTTGACTGAGCAATCTCAGAGCTAAAAGTAGCGGCTTTCCCCGGATTATGTAATATACGTAGACCATGTGAGGTTAGTCGGTTCGTTAAGTCAAAATCCCCAAACCACACCCATGTCCGAGTTAAAACTAATGCTTTTAGTTGGTATACAGCTAATCCAAGCGTCAAATTCCTGTCTGTAATAACTCTTACCTGAAATCATCGAAACGCGCAGAAGGCCGAGAAACGAGGGTGATTTTCAATAGCCGATGGTTCTCCGCATCGGCTAATGACGGCGGCTGCCCCTCACTATGATGCTGGAAGAGAGCATTCGATTTTCCAGTACGACTCTTTGAAGACTCAATTCGTCTCGAGTCACTATCTGAAAAGGAGATCCGCGAAGACAGTTACACAGACCGTTCCGTGTATTCTGTTGAGAGCTTTGCCGGTCAGATTCCGCTGCATATCGTTTGTAAACACGCTTCGAAAATTATCGCATCGACGGCACCGAGTTTCAAAATATACACACAATGGCATCCCTCTTCTCTTTACAGGGAAGGACAGCCCTGGTCACAGGAGGGACGCGGGGTATTGGTCAAGCAATGGCTATCGCGCTCGCAGAGGCTGGGGCAGATGTTGTTCTAGTACAGGTATTACCAATCGCATAACAAACGCCCCATTATATCATGTTAAGACTCAAGACTGACTCCCGGGTGTACCAGAGGGACGAGTCCAACACTGCAACGCGAGATGAGATCGTTAATAAAATTGGCCGGAAAGCCTTGATACATGTTGCTGAACTATCTGACCGTGAATCGGTCAAGAAAATAATCCCTGCGCTGGTTGAGCAGGGTGTTAAGCCGGACATCCTCCTCAACTGCGCCGGAATTCAGAGGAGACACCCGAGCGAGAAATTTCCAGATGAAGACTGGGATGAGGTGGGTTTTTTTGGCCTGAATAACTATAAAAAATGCGCTGACATCATGAGTCTGTTGATCTAGGTCATCAACATTAACCTTACTTCGGTCTTCACACTTTCGCGCGAATTTGGTGCCTATCTGCTGTCTCGGGACGCCTCAGAGTTCCCTACGGGTCGACGAGGCGCAGTCATCAATGTGGGCTCGCTACTCTCTTACCAGGGAGGCATCACAGTCCCGGCGTACGCAGCATCGAAGGGTGGAGTAGCGCAGTTGACAAAGGCCTTATCCAACGAGTGGGTCTCAAAGGGTATCAATGTGAATGCAATCGCGCCCGGTTACATTGCCACGGACATGAATGTCGCCTTGATCAACGATGCGAATCGCAATACCAGCATTATGGCCCGAATCCCTGCCGGCCGATGGGGTAGGCCCGAGGATTTCAAGGGGGTCGTCGTTTTCTTGGCCAGCGAGGCTAGCAGCTATGTCTCTGGAGAGATGATTACCGTTGACGGTGGCTGGATGGGCCGGTGAGCAAGCGTGGATAGGACCACCACGACAGTCGTGACGTGTCTATAGTAAGATAGTGGTGCTCTTGCATCCCTTTCTGAAAGCTAGGTTCTGTGGCATCTCATCAGCTTCAGGCTTTGGCCGGGTGCCAAATTGGGTGTTCAACCTGCATAATCACCAGCACCAAGCGGAGTAGAATAGCAGTGATCTATTGATTGTGCTCAGCCATAGATGTAAGCTCATTGTGCGCAGTTGGCCCAATTGTGTAAATCAACATCAATGCTGGTGGTGAATGCTTCCTTCCTCCAGGTCGGTAACATCGGTAAGGACGTTACTGCCAAGGCCTCTTTCCATTGGCCCAACCGCGGTCTGGTAAGTTACAGGCGTACGGCTGCTGCCGGCCAATCAAGAGCGCTCCGCCGGGTTGTTCCTGCGTCGTTTGAGACCCGGCAGGAACAACTCAAGAGATCTCCGCCAGTCCTTGCAGCAGCCATCCTCCAAGGCCAAACTGCCCAGCCAACTCATCTTGTCGCGATTGTGAAGGCTCCGTCCCTTGGTTCATCTCCCCTCAATTGAACTTGGCCCTGAAACAATAGTGCTACATGCTTGGCGTTATCTGATCCTTCCAATATGAGGACAGCCGCAGTATCAGATCGCTGGCTTGAATCGCCAGGGTGAGTGAGTCCGATGCGACTTACTCATAATGACAGCTAACCCAGCCTGCCACTCTCTATTGTTGTCTTTTTGTCCTACCCAGCACAATAGCTCTATGTGTCCGCTCAATATCATCATGTCTACTGCCTAGATGGCTAGATCACTCTTCATTCATTCATTCATCTAATCAATAACGTATCGAAGCTGGCTCGTCGACGCAACACTGTCTGTCCTTGACTACTTATTACCCTCGTCTGAACAAACGTGCTAGACTTTCTCCCTCCTTTACTACTTCTTGACATCACGTTTCTGAATGCGTCAGGGACGTATGTTACTTACTCCACTTGAGTAGCCACAACGCTCCTTTGGAAACCCTGGTTATTATCGACCACTTCGACTTCAACAGCACGTGTTCTTTCCTGTGCCTACTTGGGCCCTGCCCGCTCTTCGAGGCTACTGGATAAATAACTGACAGGCTGCGCAATTCTGGTGTCCTCGACCCTCTTGCGGGGTGGCATTTGAAAACAGGGAATGTTGGCATCATCGAATATATCATAGAAGCCCAGAACTATTTGCCTTTCAATCTGTTCACTGGCTTTTTCGCAAGATCTACTTGTCAATTGACCTTTTGTGGATCGGCTTATCCGCATTCCGAACGGTTACCAGAACCACCACGCATTCCCGCCGTGTTTGCATTCGGAAGGAGAAGGAGAAAAGGCCCTATCGATTGAAGAAAATTGGCCTTCAGATCTGTAAGCTCAAGACGTTGCAGAACCATCCTTTCGAATCAGCGTCATGCCGTCATCTACCTAATCACAAACTAACATGGTGACGTAGGCATGTCCGTTCTGAATACCACCTCACACTTTAATAAACAACCAATTTACTGTTTCTGAAACGCACAGAGATCGGGTGAAAGCGTGACAAGTTGCCCCGTGTTGATTTGTCTTCGGCGACGGGAGCCCCGATGAGTTCCTCATCCTCGGGCCCTCAGGCCCATGGCAACACCGTGAACTATACCTACATCTATGAATACTCGAGAGGATTAAGCGGTGTGGATGTTACTCGCGATGAACTCGTTACACGAATTATCTGCGGCACTTTAGGCCTTGTTGCAGTAACGGTGTTCTTGTGTCGAATGGCTGAATTCGGCAATGCATACATTCGCCAAATAAGCTGCCTCTCGGGCACGGCACGGCAGCAACGCTTTTGGAGTATGGAAACATCTAGACTGTGGTCACTTATCAGGAAACATGTGGTTTATTCTCCTTTGTTTAGGAAGCGACATCACCGGGAATTTCAGCTGTCGTCTGCCCTTAACATGGGTGTTTTACCATCTCGGTTCCATACAGTTCTTCTTGCAATCTACATTCTCAGTCAACTTGCTTATTGCGCCTTACTCGATTACGCCGCTAATGAGAAATCAGCACTGGTTGCAGAGCTCCGGGGGCGTTCAGGAACTTTGGCAGTGCTGAATATGATACCCCTGTTTTTGTTCGCGGGACGCAACAACATCCTTATCTGGCTTCTTGGAGTCAGCTTCGACACATATAATCTGTTCCACCGATGGCTTGGTCGGATTGTCGTGCTTGAAGCCATTGTACATACAACGGCATGGTTCGTGAATGCTTGCGACGAACGGGGCTTTTCCGACGCCATCAGTCGAATACGAGACACGCCCTTTTTTGGTTGGGGTGCTGTTGGCGTGGTTGCCTTGGCTTTTCTCATAACTCACTCTCCATCTCCTATACGACACGCATTTTATGAAACATTCCTGCATTTGCATCAATTTGCGGCTCTGCTAGCAGTGATTGGCATCTACCTTCATTTGAAAATAGATTCTTTACCTCAACGTTCGTGGATCTATCTTGTCATAGGCTTTTGGTTTTGTGAAAGGAGCATGAGATGGCTTCGTCGGTTCTCGCTCAATTTCAATTTTCGAGGCGGTGGCAGTAGCACAATGGTCGTTGTCAAGGCGCTTCCCGGAGAAGCCTGCCGCGTAACATTTCATCTTCCACATCGAGTGCAAGTCAAAGCCGGTAGCCACGTCTATGCATTTTTCCCAACCATAGCCTGGTGGATGTCACATCCTTTTTCTGTTGCATGGGTTGATCCTAGCACCTGCGTTACGCCGCCCAGTCATCCTCCAAATATGTGGATGGGCGAAGCATACGATTATTATGACAAGAAGGAACTGATTAATACGAACCTCAGCCCTTCAAGCTTGGAAAAGCAAGATTTCATGTTTGACGAAAAGAATTATCACCGCAGTTATGAAGCCGCCAGGAAACAGCGGACATCATTATCCCTCATCATCTCAGCAAGATCCGGCATGACACGCAAGCTATACAATAAAGCCATGGCATGTCCCAGCCAGACCCTAAGAACACGCGGTTTTATCGAAGGTCCATACAATTCCGGCACATGCTCAATGGGCAGCTACGGCACTGTGGTTTTATTCTCCGGCGGCGCCGGTATAACTCATCACATGCTCCACGTTCGTGATCTCCTAATGCGCGCCGACGAAGGATGCGTGGCTACACAGTGTATCTATTTGATATGGTCTATTCGGTCCGCAGAGGCACTTAACTGGGTTCGCGAATGGATGGACTCGATTCTACGACTCCCAAATCGCAGGCAGATTTTGACTATCAAGCTCTTCATCTCCAAACCCAAAACACAACATGAAATCAAAAGTCCCAGTGAAACCCTGCAAATGTTTCCCGGCCGCTGCCGACCAAGTGTCGTTCTTGAGGAGGCACTGCTTAGAAGAATAGGCGCAACAATTGTCTCCGTGTGTGGCCCTGGAGCATTTGCAGATGAAGTGCGAGTCGCGACGAGGGAAAACATAGGGCGTGGAATGAGTCTGGATTTTGTGGAAGAGTCCTTTACTTGGTGAATTCTTTTCTTTCTAACAAAGAACTCCTTTCTTTCTCTTGTTCCTTGATTGAACAAATGACTAGACGACAGTTTCCTTCTTGAGGCATTCAATATACCTGGGCATCACGATTCGTCTCTTTTTCAGTTCAATTTCAAATGCACACGTTTATGGTCTTTTTTGCATGTTTTACCTAAATAGTTCTTAACGACGTCCTCGAGCAATACCACAAGCAAAATTTAATGGAATGATAGTAGGCAAAAATAATCATTACCTATTTTCCCGAATCGTTACAGTCTGTCGTAAGCCCAACAAGCAAACAACAATTACCATCACTAAGTTTATTATACATTTGAGAACTAATATAAAAAGTTTCTTTCGGGGCAAATAAATAAATGGTTATTTTTTTTGGGTCTATTCTTCGTTATCATCCACTTCATCTTCCTCTTCATCCTCTTCAATCATCTCCACTAGCAGATTACCACCTCGACCAATGCGCTCGCGCACTGAGCCACCAGCTTCAACCTCATATACAGTACGCGGCATGGGGGAGACCAGACGAAAGCCATATTTATGCTCGAATCCGACTGGTTCTGACACGGTGGCTGTTCCTTCTTGAGGACTTTGAGCCTGCAGGATTTCATAGCATTCAACAAATGCATATATCTCTTCCAAGTCTGCATCCGCTCGGAATTTGCGAATCACTCGCTCGCCAGATGGGAGGCGAATGCTGACGCGAATTGCGTCGGTGGCATCAGCACTAGGCTCGACAGCAAGTGATTGGGCACGCCATTGTTTCCATTGCTGCAGGTCGCTTGCACGCTTCTCTGCGGCGGCAATGCGAGCTGCTTCTTCTGCTTCGGCGCGTTGTCGTTCGGCTTCCGCCTCGCGTCTTTGCCGTGCTCGTTCGCGGTCTTGAGCGAGTGATCGTTCATACGCTGAATCCTGTTCTTGGCGGAGAGTTCGAGATGCCTGCTGCTCCGTACGGCGGGCCCGGACGCGGTCTAGAGGTTCTTTGTTTTGGGAGATTGCAGTGCGCAGTTTCATCAGAAACTCGGTTGGGCTTGTGTTTCCCGGTATCCTGCCGATGTTGGACATTGCATTCGAACCGGCGTTGGGGGTGTGCACAATCACAGAGGCAAACGGGAATTTGGTGCAGCGTAGTGAGTTCGCTACCTGATATGCTTCTGAGTCCTGGACGTTCCCTCCCCATACTAGTATTTGATTGCTGGGATCATTGATATACTCGACCACTTGTCTAGATAAGAGGGTCTCCTTGACCCAGCTATTTGTATCATCGTGCTCCGGCGACAAGAGGACGATAACAAGAAATTTTAATTCTTGATGGGCTCTTTCCAGCGCCATATTATAACCGTTTTCGAGAAACGGCAGGGAATGACTGCCATATTCTTCTTCGAACTCTCGAATAAATCGGGCTGCCGTATCTTTCGGCCCTAGAGCTCTTCGTCCACTAGTGTTCAAAGTTCGCTGTAAGGACGAACTTGCGGTAGCGTTAAGCCAGCGTGGCAGGAAAGGAAATAGCGTCCCAAATAGGCGAAATGAGCTGTATAGAAGACGATATAGGAGATTGAGGGGAGAGAATAAAACGCTGAGTATGAAAGGTGGTCGGAAAGCTGGCTGGTCTTCAGGCTGGGTGTCGATACGAGGAGCTGGCTGGAAATTGTTGCCTGTCCGGGACGACGTAGACGGCGGACGACGCGGAGGCAAATCGTCATCGTCAAACATCAGGTTCTGTGTGCGCCGGATGTCCTGCGGTGCGTCCAAGGCTGCGCGGGCTTCCTCGAGCGGATCAGGCCCTTCCCCATCGAAGAATTTCGAGATCGCAATCTTGTTGGGCCGGCGCAACTATGGTCAGCACGCACTTCAACGACAAGACAGATATCTACTGAAGGCGGCTCACCTGAACATTCCACTGCGATCGTTGTAGCAATGGAATAGCAGCGTCTGGTTCCTGACCAGTGACGGTCATATAAGTCTGGAGAGACTCTTGCTGGCTCGTAGACAGCTGTCCATTGTCCGTGGCTCCATTCTGGGAGGACATTATGGGCACGTCGGAGTTGGCTGCCTCGCGCAATTGTCCATATGCCAAGCGGTTGAGTCTGTCCAAGTTCGTTTCGCGGCAGGCGATGAAGAGAATAAATGCACGGCTTAGCGGATTTCTGTAATCATTTAGGCGACAAAAGCGTTGCAACTTGGGGGAAGCAAGCAGCAGAGAGAGGACCGCTTGGTGGCTTTTGCTTTGGCTGTCGGCGGTCTGGTCCGTGCGCTATGACGATGCGGATGCCTTCAAGTTCAGGCTACCTACCACTCTATCACTGCCGAATATATTTCGATGTGCTTGCTTGGGTGAGTACACTGTGCTCTTTGAAGTAGCATTGATGGTATGATATATTAGGTTTCAGTCATATATATGCAGACGGCAATACTCACCCAGTACCTGTCATACATAGGGATATATATATTGATGAACGTCCGGCAAAGCCTCTTGAAGAAAGCCAAGTCAATATTCGTCCTCGCCTTTCCCAATGGCTGTAGACTCACAAACCCATAAGAGCCAGAGACATAAACGATTGAATTGTTGCGGTGAGCTTAGAGTTAGCCGTGGTTTCACAGCAGTTTATTATGTATGTATGCTATTGTCGAGCGAAAGTGGCCCACTCCGCGCCCGCTGGGTTGATTATTAGTACGTCCCCCACCGCATGCCATTCCTTCTTCATCTATCTATGCCCGCTTCATCAAGGCCAGCTACAGCTGTCTTGCTGGGCGTTCGTCGTCGTCCCGGAAAGCTTATACTTAACCTGGTATAGTTGCCTGCGCTTTATATCGTTGAATAGGCTCCAACCCGTTCTCCCTTCCTAGACAGCGCCTACGCCGACGTTCGAACTCGATCGATCTTTTCGCACGCTCGAGACAAGGAGGAATGTGGTTTCCTCTGGACTCTAACCGTTTTTCAATTCGCTTCTTCGCCGGTTCAATGGGGATCGCCAGGCGCTGATTGCTGGCGCCCTTAAACTGTCAACCCAGCCATGGCTTCCTCGGCGAAATCGGGAGTCGATGATTCCCGCCGCAGCATGGGATCGCCAAAATTAAGGGGACGAGGTCGGTTTAACCCTGAACTGCAATAAACCACTTTTTTTCTTTGAGATTTGTTCGTGTGGGTACTGTTTTGCTCAAGGTTGGCTGATACTTGTGCTCGAACAGAGAACGCGAAAGATACCTTGTGCCGAAACGTTACTATATATGGAAAATGTCGATATGAAGATAAGGGTACGCACACAACATATTCCTGGATCCGAGTCGGAATGGCAATTGATCGAAAGACCCCTGTTCCTAGGCTGTGCTTTCAACCACGACCCTCACAAGCTTCAGAATTCAAATCAGAATGACAGGTTGGGTGCCTAAGAGTCAAAACACAATCGCAGCAGCAGCAGCTGATATCGAGGTCTCAATGACCAAACAGGAAGGGGTTAAACGTCGACTCACCTAGTTTTACGCCGTCTCTATTAGCTGCGAATGGATCAACCCCGAAGAAGGCAGCCTCGATATCTCCGAAAGCCGCAAGCGCCGCTCCATTTCTTCCCAAAGGTTGGTGGCCGCACCTTGTCGCGAGCGTGGTATTTCTGCCGTTGCTGATTGTGTCCCGAACATTTAGGCGCCAGCGCACCACTTTCTCGCTCAGATACTGCGAGTTCAGAATGGTCTGTTGCTGAAATCCCGGACTTTGTTCCTCAAGGCTTTGATGCAAGCGGCGTGGTGAGTTTTGCTTCTTAGTTCCCTTCCGTGAGTGAACTGGGCAGGCGGGCACCTTCCCGCATCGGCAGCTCCTTCACCTTCATTTCCTTCCTTTGCGTAAACCCTCCCTTCATACGTTATCCCACAACATCCCCTTTGATTCGTTCAGCATGGATTTGGAAGCAGGCGAGTCGCCTACCAACTTGGACGCTCGCGCCAATCCATTCGAGCCTCGAGCTGTTCAACGCTCCATCTCGCTGCCCTTTGCGTTTTCTCCTGGCTTGTTTTTTGCTGTCGGTTCTCCGCGTCGCATGGTATCCTCAGATGATACCTCCCATGTCTACCCTCGCCATGTTCCTCACTCCATTGAATCCTGCCATGCGTGCCTGTCTGGTTCTACCCCTGAGCATGATGTCGGACACCAAGCTGTTCGTATCTCTTCAGTCTCCGAGCAGTGTTCCAAATACATTCCGCTCACAGCCCGTGTCCCTGTTCAATTCATATGTGTTGTGCATCCGATAAACTGTTTCTTTTTACTAACTCAGTCACATTGCAGGTGTCTCTGCAAGGGAATGGAAACGGCATCATCAGCCCCCCTCCCACATTTGACCCTTTTGTTACCCCTCAAAGCTCTATAGCCGGAGGATCTACTGTCACCCCCCACCCTGTGCAAGGTAACCCATTTTCACATGAGGCAGTCGCAGCAGTTGCTGCTTCGATGGGAGGAGCTGCCTTCTTTTCAGGACAAACAGGATTCCAACAACCCGTTCAGTACCATCTTTACGCGCCCGTTGGGCCTCATAGCCAGAATATTTTGGGATACCAGCGAAACGTTCACGACCTTTTCTTACCAAACGATCTAAGAGAAGAGCTACAAAAGAGATCGGCCGCCACTTTACAAACTTTACCAAGTAAGCCTAGTGATTAAGTGGTTTGATATCAGGGACTAATTAGATTTTCTCCCCAGATTCATCATTACCAGCACATGTGGACCATTTCCACTCCTTGGTCCCTCTTGATTTGACTCATCAAAAAAATGCCGCCATGTTTGGTTTCCCGAGTTGGGTCTACAAGGCGCAGTCGAACAAAGATGGAAACTTCTACGTGCTCCGTAGACTTGAAGGATACCGTTTAACGAATGAAAAGGCCATAAGATCTGTTCAGGCCTGGAAAAGAATATTGAACGGCAGTGTAGTGACTGTCCACGATGCCTTCACCACCCGCGTGTTCCAAGACAGCTCGCTCATTTTCGTCATGGATTATCATCCCTTGTCCAAGACACTTGCGGAGCAACATTTGGGCGCAGGCAATCGCTATGCAGCACGCAGTAACGGACACATCCAGGAACAGGTTATGTGGAGCTATGTCACACAGATTGCTTCGGCATTGAAAGCAATTCATAGCAGCGGCCTTGCGGCCCGGATCATCGATGCCAGCAAGATCCTTCTGACGGGCAAGAATCGAATCCGACTAAATGCGTGTGCAATCATGGATGTAGTACAGCATGACACACAACGATCTGTACAAGATTTGCAGCTGCAGGATCTAGTCAACTTCGGTCAACTGATGCTCAATCTTGGAGCTAGTGCAGCAGGCGCCGTGGGAAGCCCGGCGAAGTCAATGGAGCATTTCGCTCGTGCTTACAGCCCGCAGCTAAAAAACTCTGTATTTTGGCTGTTGAATGGACTGCAAAAGGATCAAGAGCACAGCATTGATATATTCATCAGTGGCATATCAGCCCAATTAATTTCCACGTTCGACTCGGCACTGCACATGGATGACCAACTTACTTCGGATCTGAACCGGGAACTAGAGAATGGACGGCTTGTCCGACTGATCACCAAATTAAACTTCGTCAACGAAAGACCGGAATATGAACACGATCGTCAGTGGTCGGAGAATGGGGAACGATATTTTCTTAAGCTTTTCCGAGATTACGTGTTTCATCAAGTGGATGCTCAAAATAACCCGGTGGTAGATCTTGGACATGTGTTGGTTAGTCTGAACAAGCTCGACGCGGGCACCGAAGAAAAGGTGACTTTGATCAGTCGAGACGAGCAGAGCTGTTTCGTAGTCAGCTACAAGGAGCTCAAGAAGGCTCTTGAATCATCATTCCAGGCGCTGTTGAAACCAGCGAGACGGATCCACTAATTTGATTACCCGTCATACTATGTTATTCTATGAGAGAAGAACCTTGTCAAACCTCTATTTGGAAATTTTTATCGGGGATAGAGAAAATCAAGAAAAATGAGTTTTGGTGGGAAGGCTTTGACTGGGTTTGTTAGCATGTTGAGTATCTATTGGAAGTTTGCTATTATTTTGGAGGGCACGTGTGGGGGTGTCATTGTTGGAGAAAGAAGATTATCTATTGCTAACATTTGAAGATTACAGAAGTATATTGTATGTAGAATCCTGATATGTTGACAAGTTGTCTCTACAAATGCCAAAGATTATTCCAATACATTGTTCGTCATTTCATCAAGTCGCGGCATTCCGTCTTTTCTTCCTTTCTTAATTCATATCAGATACATAAAAGCATGGCATCACGACATGACGATCTTTTTATCATTTATAAAAAAAGGCGGCTAACAAAGAACACCAATCATTCCTCTTGTTGCACAAAAGGATTAGCAATCTCCTCACTCCCATCTGCTGGAGATATCAGGACGAGGAGTGTACCACGGGCAACTATCAAGCCGAGGGAACGAGTAGCCTCTTTGCCGGATTCATCTGTTTTGTGATGGGCAGTTTCGTTAGTATTTCAATCCAATTAGTTAATGACGTTATGAATAGCATACCTCGCATTTTCTCTTTCACGTCGTCCAAAACAAGGTTCATCAGTTGGTCGTATCCTTTTAAGATGCCGCTGACTGTTGGGGAAGGAGTCAGCAAAGATACACAGAGGAGATAAGGGGAAAAAAAAAAGGAATACCTTCTCGTCCCCCATTGAATTTAACATTGACCTCCTTATCCATATACTTGGTTAAATCCAGGATGTTCTCCTTCTTGGGCTTTTCTTGCTGTTGTTGAGCACCGCCACCGTCTCGTGCACCGCCACCTCGATTCTGCTGGGTGGAGTGGGCGCCGCGGCGGTCACCGCCTCCGCCGCGACCTCCCCGACCACCTCGGAACGAGCCTCGCTCCGACATTTTTTTTTGGCTTGGCTAGATTCTGATAGAAGAGAAAAACTGGGAAGAAAACCAGCTGTTTGAGGAAATGGAAATAGAGAATGAAAGAAAAAAGGATGAAGAGCGGTCCGGTTGAGAAAGGTATATATCAAGAAATTTTTTTTCTCTCTCCTTTCGTTCTTTTTTTTTTTTTTTTTCCTTTTCCTGATTCTGCAGACCTTCTCGTGGCCTAGTGAATAAACATAAAACAACAGGCTGAGGTAGAAGACGGTCTGGTCTGGCTTGTTTGCCTTGTCAAAATCTGGCTGGCTGGCGACTTTAGCGTTTCGTGACTGTCCTTCAGGCTTCTTTGCTTTTTTTTTTTTAGCGATAGGCTGTTAGAGGCGTGATCACACTAGTAAATTAACCACCCCCCTCTCGATGACGAGTTGGGCGTTGCGGATAGTCAAAAACAGGACAAGTCGCGGGTTGATAAGAAGGACTGGCTAGGGCGAATTACAGCGCCTTGCAAATCAATCGGAGGGGCGGCTCATGCGCGGTATTTTTTGGGGGAGGGGAGGGGTTGGAAGATCAAGCAAGAGTCAAGCTGCCTGGCTACGCAGGAGGGTTGGAATTGTGACACGTACGGTAATCTTACGAGCCCCCTGGCCAGGGTTCGGCGGCGCCAGCCAATCGCTGTGCGGGAGACACGTAATCAATCGAGCGACGACGTAACGGGCGATACACGCGGGTGCAGAACGTAGCAGAACGGAGCGCAGCCAATCAACGCCGCCGATTCGCTTCTTCCGGCCCAGCGGAATCTCCCGGCGGAAGGCCCACGCTCCGCTCTCTCTTGTCTTCGCTCTTCGCTCTCCCGGCTATTATTGGATTTGACCTGGGTGCGTTCATTCGTTTGTGTTGTCCATACGTGTCACAGTGCAGTTGAGAGGGGCGTCCAATCCAGCTGTGTCATTTGCCCGCGTTGTGCTTGTTGAGCCGGAGAGACAGAGATAGAGAAAATGGCGCATGTGTAGTCCCCCCCGTATCCACCCTTGATTTCCGGTCCGCTCGCTCACTGCGTAGTGTGACATGGCGCTCTTACAATTTATTTTCCACCGGTCCTGTTGGCTCCCGTCGATGCAAGCTGAGTCTCGGCTCGAAAGGCAGAGATAGAAGCCTGATTGATGCCCGCCCTCGCCCTCCCGGAACGCTTCTCGGCTCCGTCTCTGCCTCAAATACGTTGAACCTCTGTGGTTGTTTGCGCTCGGAATGCTGGCAGTCTACTACTGCTAGCACGCTCGCTGGGCCTGCCGAGAATTTCCTGTGCCCATCCGCCTGCCAAGTCCCTGCTCAGGCTGACGGCGTCGCCTAGTATCGGCATCTCCAACTCGCTCCGAAACTCCACCCCCCTCCAAACTTTCCACGCCGCAGTCCTGCGCGCTTTTTTCTTTTTCCTGCGTCTTTGCTTTTTTCCCCTATCGCATGCCAGCAACAGGCGCTGTACCAGTCTTCTGTGTCGATAGCTTCGAAGACACCTGTGCAAGGCCACATTATCAACAACTAACTCTCTGTGGGCCCGGCCGCTTGCTCCCTTGCCATTTCGCCGCCGAGTTAAGCACGTTCCCGAGGTGTATACGTCGTCGAATATCTTCTCATCTTGTTCGTATGTATTAATTACGACTGCATCCGCTCGCCGAAAGGGATCCTTGTTTTTTCTTTTCGACTCTGTGGTTTCCATCCCTCCTCTGATGGAGTCGCGCACTGTGACGGCGGAAGTGCCGTCCCACAAGCGGCAACGGTCTCCCTCTGGGGATTTCACATCTACCCTCTCAAAGATGCCAAAAACTCAATCGATCCAATTGCACATAAACTATCTTGCACGCCAATACCCCGAAAACCTGCCTCTTGTGTCGACCGAGGACAGTCTCCCAAACATCCTGCGCTTGATTGGAGAATATGACGGCGTGCTTCAACGGCATGAAAGCATCGCCGGCAACCTCGGCGCATGCCCTCTGGGGCCCATTCTCATGAAGCGGTTTGAGCGTTTGTTCGAGGGGCCACCGCGGGTGCTCAAATCTAACGGCAAGGAAGGGACCAATGTCACGTGGCTGGATGTGGTTGAGTTCGCAAAGAACAAGCCGGAGCAATTCAACCTGGAGAAGACTCGCAATGGGGTTCGTGTGTGTCAGTTCTATACGAAACAATGCAGGGTGGAAATATCGGAGGAGGACTATGTTCTGATTGCTTCTGGGATGCCCCAGAAGCTGATTCCGCCTCAACCCATCGACGAGGATGAGGAGAAAGAGGTTGGGGCGTTGGAGATTTTAGAGAAAAATCTCCAACAAATCACTGCCATGGCAGACTCTGGTGAGCATATCACATCAAACCTGCCTTTCCAATGCGGAGTAAAGATCTAACTAATTCTGTTACTTTTGGTCTAGCCGCTGCGCGTGCAAGACAGTTGAGCTATCGGTTGAAGAGCCGTCGCAATGCCATCATCACTCGTCGCGAGAATGATCGAGCCAAATACTCACAGAGCCCTCCGCTGCATGAACATGGCAATAATTCGGATACTGTCGTCAATGGGACTGGCATCTCACATACTCAATCTCCGCCAGCAGGATTTGTTGCCGTCAATGCGGGCAAAGCGGCAGAGACTGTCGATGAACATCCCAGCCTCTCTTCGCAATTCATGCTTAATCACCCAAACACGGATAAGATCACTATCATCAATGGGACCAATATCAAGGGTGCATCGCCAACGACTCGAGCAGAGTTGTTGAAGAAATTCCTCACAACAGCAGATCGCGCAGGTCGCAATGCCCCTATGGAGAGCGAAAGCTCATCATCTTCAAACAATGAACAATCTACACGGGCCCGGCCACGTGTGTCAGATACATCCGAGATGCCTTCTGCTGTTGTCTACAACAACTCCACAGGCACCTTCTCGGGTACGGTAGCAATCCCAAATACTCCGCCGTCTCTACTTCCCCAGCCAAGATCAGTCCACCACCATGAACGGGATGATGGCGGACCCTTCAAGATGGAAATGGTCGCGCGCATGGAAGATCTTCGCAGAGGAGAACGAATATTTCCGCCATGTGACCGTTGCCGGCGCTTGCATATGGATTGCTTGAAAAACCTCACGGCATGTATGGGTTGTACCAAGAAACACGCCAAGTGCTCGTGGAAAGACGTCAAAGAAGAAGAACTGCGAGACCTCCAGTCTCGAAGCCAAGCCCGAACTGAGCAGCGGCCTGTCGATAACAACACCCCCCAAGACGAGAACAACACAGATCCATCCCATCCACCGCCGAACGCAATATACTCCCATGACCACCACTCAGAGTTCAACTCCAATTCTAATAATGTCTCAGCACAACCAGAACCGCCATCTTCTCACTCTTATCACCACCATCACCACCATCATCATCACCACCAAGCATTACACGAGCATACGACCACTCCCCGACGTACAAACAACGAAATCCAGACCATGCTAAATCCCCAACAAGAACCTGAACACCACCACCACCACCACCCCCCTCATCACGAGCCTGACCGCCGAGGTTCCTTCCTTCATCGCAACGTACACCTTAACAACGTCAGCGTTGATAATGATAATAATAGTAGTAATAACCACCGTCATCGCAACGAAGCCGATAACGACCCGGACGCGAATTCGCGACTCATGCAAGCTATCAAGGATACAGTTGATCACCATACTACGAGAGTCCAGGCCAGAGAAGAAAGATAAAAGCAAGAAAGTTTTTTTTTTTTTTTTTTTTTTTCTTCCCTTTCTTTCTATATATACATATGTTTGTGGCATATTCGACGGGTTGATGTCTAATTCCTCGCATATACAAGATGAGCGCATATTATTATACAAGAATAAAGAAAGCATTCTGGCTCTCTTTTTAGTCATCATTAATTCTACCGTCATATGACCGACTAGCTAGGCCCAAAACGGAGGCTCTTTGCTGAACGGGGAAGTCGGGCACGTGGGGTCGGACTCCTTTGTTGGCAAGCATGAGTCAACCTTCTGCCCTGAAACATCACAGTATACCACAATGGCAGAGACAGAAGGATTCTCTCTCCCGGCGCTGCATACGTCGCCTAGTGGTGATCGAGACGCCCTCGACGTCGAACAAACCGTCGTGGACGCAGAGCAGACCGACTCGAGGCAGGTAGAGTCAAAAAAGACAAAACTCCATGTCCTCGTAGGCTCTGGCATAATCCAGCTGCCAATATGGGGTATGTTTGGCCGACGTGTCTGGTTTGCAATTCTACTTTGCTTATGTGCTATGCAGGCTTTGCTATGAGCTATGGTATATTCCAGGAATATTACTTCGATAACTGGACATTCCAAGGAGACTGCAGCATTACTGGTGTAATCGGCACGACGGCTAATGGTGTCATGTACCTGTCTATGCCCTTCCTCTTCGCCTTATTCAGCAGACGATGGGCTCATAGACGCCAACTTGCCGCTCTTTGTGGCACGGTAATTGCATGCGTCAGTTTCTTCTTGTCCTCTTACAGTACCACTACCTGGCAATTGATCGCGACTCAGGGCATCACGTCCGCATTGGGGTGTGCGCTCATCTATAGTCCAACTACGCTATCTCTCGGCGAGTGGTATAGCAGCAGCAACCGTGCTTTGGCATACGGAATTGTTCTCTCTTGCAAGAACATTGTCGGAACCAGCTGTCCATTCATGCTACGAGCATTGATTGATACCTACGGCTATCAGACCACTTTGAGAGCCTGGACAGCAATTGTCGGTGGAACAAGCATCTGCGCCATCTTCCTAATCCCAACACACCCTTCGAAGGTCTCGATCCACCAAACTCGAGCACGCAAAATCCCCTGGCATTTCCTCAAACACCGATCTATCTACTTTTACAGTATCGCCATCATCTTCCAAAGCTCTGGTTACGGTATTCCGCAAACGTATCTGAGCACTTACGCACGAGACGTCCTCATGTTGTCTCAGGCTTCGGGCACTCTCATGCTAGCTGTTTTCAACGCGCCCGGCATTATTGCTTCTTCCTTCTTTGGGTGGTTGAGCGATAATAAGCGAATTACTCTTTCGGCTCAGACTGTTTCTGCAATTCCACCCATCTGCTGTGTATTTGCTACCTTCCTGTTCTGGGGCTTGACCACGCAGGGCGGTATTGGCCTCCTCATAATCTTCTCCATGACGTTTGGGTTCTTCTCCGGTGGCTATAGCGCTACCTGGGGAGGGATGCTTAAACAGATGGAACGCGAGTCCGCCGAGAGGAACGAAGCCGTTGACCCTGGAATTCTCTACGGTCTGCTAAATGGCGTCAGGGGGATCGGGTACGTCAGCGGAGGACTTGCTGGTGTCGAACTGCTAAGCGCTGGTACTATATCGGCCAGCCAGCGCTTTGGTTATGGGACCTCCTATGGGCCCCTTATCATCTTTACGGGGCTTTCTTCGCTTCTTGGAGGCTGGGTCATTCTTTGGCGTTGGAGTCCAAAAAGACTTTTGCCATTGGTCTCGAGAGGGCTAAGGTGTGCTAATGCAGCTGCGTTCGGTACCTTTCGAAACCAGAACGACTCTATAACTCATGAGGACCGTAGAGGACATGACATATTGTAGTAAAATAGGTGGCCATTCTTCATTTGAAGAAATATATATATCTGTTTCGACGAGAATCTAGTAGCACTTCGGGTTGGGCGTGGTGATGCACATGGAAGAAATGGCTAAGTTGGGTGTATTCTATATGACCATGCGTAAAATCAATCTACTAAGGCTTTAGCACGTGCTCGTATTGGTTTGGCCACTTAGATTCTCTTCGTTGCTTCTTTCGTGTACCTAGCTAAAGCCAGTGTGGGGTTCTACACCGGAGACTTGGAATAGTAACTAAACCATCAAACGCTTCAAGATTAAGAATGACCAACCTCTGGAATCAACTCAAGTAGAATCTACCTCGTCTTTCAATCACCTGGCAAGATGACAAAACTGGACAATGCGGAGTATACGCTCTATTCGTCCCCCTTCTCCCTCTACTCCATGATGGCCCGCCACACCATCCAACTCGGCCCTACGACGCATGGTGCAAAACCGCCGCAAAGAATCACGCTGCACTTCGTCAATCGTGATGAGAACGAGAACTTGAGTGAGGATTACCTCCTCAAGGTAAATCCAAAAGGCCAGGTTCCCGCCATGACCGGCAACGTCCTCGAGCAGCCACTTACCGACAGCCACTCCATCTCTCTCTACCTGGCCGAGAAGCACTACCCAGCCATGCTGCCGGCACAACACGCCGCCGTCATCAGGGACCTCCTGCAGAGGCTTCATGCTGTTCCTGGCCCGTCATTCGGCAACAGGAACCCGACACCAGCGATGAGGCAGCATAACCCCTCACCTGCGGAGGATATTCTCAAGAGGACTGATCTCAGCCCGGAATACCGCGTGGCTCTCGAGACCAAGCTCGAATTGTACGCACCTAGGATTTCCCCCAGACTTTGTCCCTGTGCCATCCGCCTTTCCCTGTCGTCAGTCACACACACACACACACACACACACACATACTCTCTTCTCTAACTCTCTCTTTCTTTGTCACCTAGCCACAACAACAACTATGGCATTGCCTTCCAGCCAGCCATCGTAGCCAAAGCCCGCGCAGACCTAGAGACCATTTTCACAGAAATCACAGACCACCGCAGGGAAAGCGGTGCATCCGACACTGAGGCAGGATGGACCTTTGGCAACAAGGTTGGCCCCACCGTGCTTGACAGCCATCTCCTTCCATTCGTGCTGCGCTGCATCGATGCTGGCAGCGCCGAGCTCGTTCCCCAGGAGCTGCAGCGCTGGGCTGGGCTTATGGCGAAAAGTCCCGGGTGGGAAAAGGTCATGCATGGCAGACCGACACAGTATAACCGTTCCACCATGGGCCCCGTTGAGGATATGCAGGAGATGATGTCGCTGTGAGATTTGTTTGGCGTGTAATTTGAGGCGTATTGAATACATACTTCACAGGTCTAAGTATGAGGTCAGTTAGCTATCTGAATATACATACGGATATAGTTGTATTCCAGCCAATCAGAACCCGCTACTATAGCCAGGCCGGAAGGGTGGGGCTGGGAAAGCGTACGTGGAGAAATGCGGAGTGTAACAAAACCATAAAACAAAACACCTTATTCTAGACCGCGGCCAATAGATAGCTTGCATATGATATAATACGGTAAATATGATACCGGCTATGAGCTTAGCCTAGAGCTGGAAAGTATAGATATATCCATTTTGCTCTTTGCTTTCTCTGCATTTACTTCGCTGATTATTATACATACACGGATTGCTGAATACTACTACAATCTGACAATTTCCTCATTTCCGTTCCACAGCCTACTCCTACCTATCGATCTTCATAACTCGCAATACAGCTTGGTAAATAGAGTCTATATCTCCAAAATGGACCCCTCCCTCGTCAAAATCCCGCCCATCAAAGACCTCACAATCGAGAACATAACCCAGAACGTCATCCTCATCAACTCTCTCTGCGAAGATGCGCGCATGAAATACGTGCTCGAACGCCTGGTCACCCATCTACACGACTTTGCGCGCGAAACTCGCCTGAGCTCCGATGAATGGATGGCTGGTATCAAGTTTCTGACCGAGACGGGGAAGATTTGCAGTGATGTTCGACAGGTGTGTGCCTAATCTCAGATATAGTTGAAGACCACTTGCCATATATATATATATATATATATACATATATTCCTGCAAGTATCTGACAGAAAGGGAATAAACAGGAATTCATCCTCCTGTCTGATATCCTCGGATTATCACTTCTAGTCGACTCAATCGACCACCCAAAACCCGCCAACTCAACTGAAGGAACTGTTCTCGGGCCCTTCCACACACACGAAGCACCCAGCATGGCGCACGGGGATAACATGTCGCAGGACCCCAACGGCGAACCGCTCCTAGTTATATGCAACATCAAGGATCGCGCAGACAAGCCCATCAGCGGCGTGAAGATCGATATCTGGGAGACCGACTCTGCGGGTTATTACGACGTGCAACATGCCGATCGTTCGGGTCCGGATGGTCGTTGTGTGATGACTTCGGATGAGAAGGGGCAGTTTTGGTTTAGGGCTATTAAGCCCGTTCCGTATCCCATTCCGCATGATGGGCCGGTGGGGATGCTGTTGAGGAGACTGCGGAGACATTCGTATAGGCCGAGTCATATGCATTTTATGTTTGAGAAGGAGGGTTACGATCGTTTGATTACGTATTGTTCCTTTTCCCTTCAAAGTTGTTGTCATCATAACTAACGTGCTCTTATAAAGAGCACTCTACCTCCGCAACGATCCATACGAAACATCGGATGCCGTCTTCGGCGTCAAGAATACTCTCGTAGTTGATCTCGGCGTCGTCGATGCCACCCTAGCAGCCAAGTACGGCATTGCTGAGGGCTCGTGGTTAATGACCTATGACTTTGTGCTTGTCACGGATGCGGAGACAAGTGCTCTGCGTGAGCACAATTCGCAGGTTGCTCTGGATAAGTTGGGGAGAAAAGTCAAGATTGTTAATGGGCTGCCAATCCCTGATTTGGATTGAGCTGAGGTACGATATGTATCAGAGCTAGCTCTGATACGAGAAGCCGTGCTTCTTGGTACTTCTAGCTTGAAGAAATGGACCCGTAGACGTCGCTTGGTAGGACTTCATGTTGGAAATATCTTTATGTACAAAAAACATAAGAAATGTCTTTAGATATAAATGAATATGAACAGCGAGCATGAAATGCGACGGTTGTAAACGACCTCAATCAAATCTGCCTATTTTGCAGCATCGATCATCTCCCCAAATTCTTCTTCGCTACCTCCGTCAGCTTCCACAGTGATAGCTTCGCTTGGAGCCGTCGATTTAAGATTTCTCAATCCTTGATCATCTTCAATCCAGCCTCCTCGCTTTTCTACGTCTTCCGAGTATTCTAAGCCTACCTGAAGGTTAAGACTAGCACTCAAGGCCTTTTGTACCCGTGCCTCTCTACCCTGGGAGACGAGATCCCGGAATACATGCACCAGAAAACCGCTGAGAATATCGACACTCCAGTCGTCTGGGATTGTGGCCAGTACTTCCTTAACATCGAACCAGCGCGAAAAACGAGCAAGTACATCGCTAGTCCTCTCAATTCGATCTGACACGTCATCGATCTGGAGGAATTCCAAGAGTAGATATTTGAACAACTCTGCTGATTGTGTATATGTGATGTCTTCAGTTGTGGGTGGTAGCGTGATAGTAGCGGCAGGTTGAGATATCGAAATTCCACCAAAGATACAATATCGTATTGCTGAGTCGTAGTCACCAAGCCCATGTGTTAAAAGACGTAATGCCTCCTTGTGTCGGCCCTGGCGACCATCTAGAATAATACTTTCTGACACTAGTTCGTCTTGGAAGGGCTCTATGCGAGCAAGGACGGCTGAAACGGAGTATGACAGGTTGCTCGCTCCGGAAGCAGAGGTAAAGACAGTGCTGGGGCCACCCAATAGCTGTAGAAGTCGAAGGCGTGATTGCCACCAGCTCTCTTGTGGAGTGTTTTCGTTGATGAAAGAAAGATAGGTGGGTTTAGGAGGACGTAAGGCACGGTATGTAGAATAGGATTCTCTGAGCGATGCCCGCGCTTCAGGAGATGACTGTAGGACATTGATGACCGTATCGAGATAGTATGCAATGAGGTCATCCGCGTATTGAGTTTGCTATTGAATTGATTTTGGTCAGCATCTTGTCTTGTCTGGTAGAGACGAATTGGAAAGTAGACAAAGTGGGCAGTACTCACATTTTTAGAAAAAACAAGATGCTCCAAATAATCTTGAACAGCATTGGGCGCTCGTCTTTTTAGTAGGTTTACAACTTCATCGGGGTTCAACTTGACCCGAGCACTGTCGTCTGAGAAGACTTGTATACCCAAGCTAGGATTGCGTGATGCCAGCCATGAACCATATTCTTCGACAAGTTGTGGATCGCGCACTTTGCAAAGATACCTTCGAACATGCACCTCTACCCCATGAACCGTGACCTCTGGGTCATCGTCTTTCTCTCCATCGACAATCCTTTGCCACGTCCTCAGAACCTTCCCTGATATTTTACGGCTCTGGTAAAGTCGACTGAGGACAAAAAGCCGTCGGTACCTCTCTAATAACGATACTGCACGGTCAAAGTTCCCTTTCCAAAAATCAACCAATGCGTTCAATTCATTGCGAGCGGCTGCTGTTACTGGTCGAGATGCCATCCTTGCCCGAGCTTCTTGCTCCAAAATCAAATGCAGAAGAGCTGCATCAACACTATCGAATACGTTTGTTTCATCTGTCACACTCCCATACCCCCTTTTCCTCTGCCATGCCATAAGATAGCGTTTGACCATGTTGAGCAAGGCATCGTCAGGAACTATAGACATCGCGTTTGATTCCGATAAATGGCCGAGGTAGAATTCTGCTACCCGTGCTAAACCACGATGCACCCAGATTCCCTGTTTTGCCTGGAGAACCTCGTTTGCTAGGAAGGGAATAAGGAAGAGAATAAGGCGTGGGTCTAAATTACTGCCCACGAGAACTTCTTCGGTAGCCTGCATTATTGTCTCGCTTCTCTTATCAGGATCCATGGAAAGTAGATCTGCAAAGAGAATTAAACCTGCTTTTTGTTCAACGTATCCCAAACCGAGGAATTCTGCTTCAGTTGTAGGGTCAATAGATTTCATCGAATCTAACAGATCGATAACCGCTTCCCTGTCGACTGATTTGAATTTGCCATCTTCCCAAGTTTGCGTATCCTGGAGTAGGCCGTCAAGTTGCAAAGGCATCGGGTTTTTGGTAACTCTCCATATCCGATTCCCGGACCATAAAACCAAATGGCTCTGAATGTTTCCGAGACCATGAGCGAAGATAGACTCCTCTTTGGTTCTCTCTTGTTCCCACGTCTGAGGAGAGCCCTGCTTTTTGCCAGACTCCGAATCCGTCAGTTCTTGAGACTCAAAAAGTTCCTTTTCTTGGCGGAGCTGTTCAATGGTTTCGTCTGTTCGCGGGTCGGCTTCTTGAGGAGGACTATAAGTGCCTCCCGTATCGGGTGTTTTCAATTTAACCATCCGAAGAGTCTCCCCGAGCTCAAAGAAATTAAGTTTGCTTGAACCGGCCGTGTGTCGAATACCGACATGACCGGTCTTCGCATCGCCTACGGCGGTAGGTATCTCCACCAAGGCTTTCTTACGTCCGTACTCTCCTGGCTCGACGTCCCAGCGCTGTATCTCCAAATACTTATTTGTAGTTTCATTGGCTTTCAAATCAAGGATGGCAAGAATAAAGCCCTCATGGAAACCTGTGTTTCCTGCAGTGGGATTCGTGTCTGTTGAGGTGTCTAGTACGATAGATTCGGGATATTGTTGAAATTCCATTGTGCCCCTAACAACGTCGCCGTCTGTGTTGACAAATATGCCAACTCCAGGTTCGGTTTCTTTGGTCCCAGTAACCAGGAGAAATTCAGATGGCGTCGGAGAGACTATATGCGGTTTTAAACGAGCAACTTCCACTTTTGGAGCTGGAGGTAGCGGCTTCTGTTTGTCTTCTATCGAATCTGAAGCCGGAGGGGCCGGCAAGTCCTTTGATGCATCCATATCGCGCCGGTCTCTTGACGTAGACCTTCGAGGCGAGTCGCTCCCCGATGGGCCGGGTGTGGAAGTATTAGACCGATCGTCTTGATTGGATAGAAGGCCTTCTTTGTTACCAATGAAAGCTTCTGTGAATGTATTCAGACTGGTACTTCTGGTATGCTCACTACTCTTATCAGCTTTCGAGTCAGTGCGTGTTGCAGAAGATGAGCGTTTGAGAGCAGACGATGACTGCGGGATATCTTCAACATGTCCAGATTCGAAAGCCTCATTGACCGAAGAAATAGGAAAAAGGGGGATCTTTTGCTGATGCTCGACTTCTAAAAGTGAGTACGCATTTCCATCTGCGACACAAGCAATGGTATCACGTCGTGCTCCAGCTAAGCACCTTGGGAATTCGATGTTTCTGATTCTCTGCGCAATATCTCCAATGCGTACCAGCATTATCCGGTTCGAGACGGCAATCATAATAACCGGCTTGTCAGTCGCATTGCGATTCAAGTCAAGACCTCCGATCCATTGGCAGTTCACTTTAGTATTTTCGAAAGCTGGACTCAACTCGGGTAATGTATAGAAGGTGACGACGCCGTTGCACAAGACACAAGCCTTGCTAACGGTGGGAAGTAATACGATCTGCTGGATGCCATGTTTCTTAGTTGGTTTCCCGGTGATTTGCAGTCGCGATGCTAGAATGAAGGTGGGCTCGTTGGCTTGATCGGAGGGTTCGGACGGTAACGAGACGAAATGAAGGATCTCAGCGGCAGAGGTGCCTATATACAAGTTGTCGTCTGATTGGGTTCTACTGTTAGCTTCGATAGTTCCACATAGAGCTAGCTCATCACACTCACTCCAGTACTCTACGCATGTAATGTGCACGTCCGACTCTCCGCTCTCCGGTTCAATAGGGACCTCGTCGAGCAATTGGCGCAGGACATAGGGTGCCCCGTCGGAGGCGGATAACTTCCTCCTCTTGCGGGGTCCTGCGCTTTCATCCATTAACGCGAGGGGATATGGAGAATGATTAATGTGCCAGTATATCTCGTAGGCCGTCAGACACGGCGGAGACACAGGAAGAGCGTCCTATGTGCGCGGTCATTTGATTCCGATAGTTCTTGATTGGGAAACAAGCTGCCGGCGGCTTATCGTGGCTTAGTCATTTTGCGCAACGTGTTTCAAGGGACGGTCATAGCATAGCATGGCATGTGCGTAGTAGTTCGTACGTGTTCACGCCTTGGTCATCACTGCAGAATAAGGCTTTGACACCCTCCTCACGTTTTGACTGCGAGCTGCAGTGATTATGAGGATTGTCTAATTGATCCCACCCGCCCCGTTCCTTCCATTGATTGTCCCAGGCACCTCAAAGCGGAGCAACATCGGCCCGCTACGCGCATCGTTCGCATCAAGATAGATCATTCAACAGGCGACCTGGTGAGCTCTTGCGAAAGAGCGAACGGCTACGAGACGTCGAATTCAGCGGGAATGTCATAAGGAATTCAATATTCGCCACCCATATCCTTCAAACATGGACGCCTTTGCGGTCAGCGAGGACATGATCCCGAGGCAGGAGCAGCCAGATGGCAACAGCAACCAAGGCACGAAATCGGAGGAATCAAACAAATTCCAGCGTGCCATCTCTGCATGGCGAGGTACTAACGTGGACTCTGTTGTACTTATCACGCGGCCACTAATACGTCTGGAATTCTTCTTACAGGCATCGATCTAACCAATACCATTCCGAAACTTGACGCTACTGCATCAGAAATCGTCGCAAACCAGCGTGATGCTCTGGTGCAAAGGAAGGACCTTGCACAAAAGACAAAGGATTTCCGAAAGCTTGACGATGCTTCAAAACTGACTGAATACAAGGGACTGTTGAAAGGTGGGCACAAACATCACATAAAGCTTTACTTCGACGTCTGACGAAACAATTTACAGCCTACCAAACCTTCATTGACCTTCTAACTAATCACGGCAAGACTTCATCGTCGGCGTTCTTGCAGCTATATTCCTCACTTTCCGAAGCCCCAGACCCGTACCCCCTCCTTGAAGCATCGGTCGATTCGCTTGTGGCATCCGAAGACACCGTTCCAAAACTCACATCGGAAAAGGAGCACTTACAAAAGTCAGTAGACCAACTGACGGGCCAACTGGAAAAGACCGAGAAACGGCTAGAAGAGGAAAGCGATGCTCGAAAGAAATTGGAAGATACACAGGAATCAAAGATCAAAGAGATCGAGTCATCTTGGGAGGCGGTGCTTTCAGAGAAGAGTGACAATTGGGAAGCTAAGGAAAAAAGTTTGGAAGAAAAGATCGAAAACCAGGATCGACTAGTCAAAGAACTCAAGGCTTCTCTGGAAGTGTCGCAGAGACTCGACAGGGAAGAAGAGGTTGATTCAGCTCGTAATACCGCTACAGCCGCCGAACTCGAGATTGTCGTCTCGGATCTTGAAAAGACTAGTTTAAGGTTGGCCGAGGTCGAGGCACGCAATGAACAGATGCGGCTAGAGCTGGCTCAAGCCGTATCGCATTCCCAGACTGAGCAGAAGCCTATCGAAGATGACCCTGCCTATCTCAGACTGCAATCAGAAAACTCGTCGTTGATCAGGAAGCTGGATTCCGTAAAATTTGATCGGGATACCGAAAGACACGATTGGGAAAGCAAAGTCCGTCAGTTTGAACGAACAAACGCCAAACTTACAGCAGAGAAGGATGAGTTCCGTTCAAAACTCGACAAGTTTGCCGACTATGAAGAGATCAAAAGAGAACTTGAGGTTATTAAGGTGAGGGAACACACAAAGGAAGCATGCAACCTTGTCCTGTATGACTAACGATGTGTATAGTCCATCGAGTTTTCTACGGGTGATGACGACGACTCCGGTGATATCCCCGAGGAACTTACAAGCAGCACAAATGGCGCGGTTAAGTCCAAAGAAAATACGTTGGAGCAATTGTTGATGGCTCGTAACAAGAAGCTCACCAATGAACTCACGGTTCTAAGGGTATCTCATCGTGACCTTCAAAGCCAGATTGAGACGCTACAAGAGGAATCGAAAATCACAAGAACTGAACTGGAGAAGTCTCAGGCGCTCTGCACAACATTAGAAAACGATCTTTTGCGGATGCAAAAAAGCACGAATGCTCTGCCCTCAGCTGCAATGTCCGTTGCAGGCACATACACATCTAGGTATCATTCATCCCGACGAGGAGGCGCCACATCTCCTACGTCTTCGATTATCTCAGGCTTTGATCAGGCCGCTGCTTCTTCTAATACCATGGAGGCCATCCGTGCCGGTGAAGCAGTGGGCGGTGGCTCTGGTATTTTGCCAATGATCCAAGCGCAGCGCGATAGGTTCAAGCAAAAGAATGCCCAATTAGAAGAGGAATTAGCCAAAACATATTCCACGGTCAAGACACTCCGGCAAGAAGTGGCATCTCTACAAAAAGACAACCTCAATCTATACGAAAAGACGCGATACGTGTCAACGTACAGCCGGGGTCAAGGCTCCGCATCAACGTCGGCATCTGCTTATGCCAACCGACCTAGTGCTGCTTCAGCATATGCTTCCGACGACTCGCCGTCACCCGGCCTCTCACTTGACAAATATCAATCCGCATACGAAGCACAAATATCACCTTTTGCAGCATTCAGGGGCCGTGAGGCAACAAGAGCGTATAAACGCATGAGTCTTCCTGAACGACTAGTTTTCTCCATCACACGAGTTGTCCTCGCAAACCGCACAAGTCGAAACATATTTGCTATTTACTGCTTTGCGTTACACGTACTGCTGTTTATCATGTTGTACTCGATGAGCGCTGTCGAGATTGAGAAGCATCATATTGATAACCTCGCCAATGGCGCTGTCGGTGGTGGTGCCGCTGGTGCTGACACTGGTGCTGCTGGAAAATTGCATGGGGACGATTGGCAACAAGAAGGGTTTAATTAATAAAGTATATTATTTTTTTGGTTTTGTATATATATATATTTCTCTTTCACGGCACCTGTTTCCGGGACTTTTCTTAAGGCGTCTTGGTTCCAAAACAGCATTATCTATTCATATTGCTTCCATCTGCGTATCTATGATTATGTTTTTTGGTCCTATACCTAACTCACTTCTATCTAACTAGTTGTTGACTTGATGTTTATAATTATTCTTCATCTACTCGAATAGAGAGGCTTCATGAGCGAAACTTTTTTCGTATTTGTACTGTAGCACTAGATTCGTTAATTGCCTGAATAGTCTTGGATACATACCTAAATAGCTCAATATTCAAAACAAACCCCGAAGACTTCATTCAGCCTGGTAGTCTTTAAGGATAGATTGAGGATAGGCCAGTGATCTGGTGTTGGGTAGGTGCTTAGAAAGTTACAAGTGACACTACCTAAACGAAAAGATGGATGTAGGACAGTATTGAAAAAAAGAAAAGACAGTTTGATTTACTGTACAGATAGATATAGATAACAAAGGGAAAAAAATCAAAAGTATGCGCTATAACACTACTACTACTGTCACAGAGCCCATATTCGTCTATTGATCAATGAATAACAAGGTGAAATGGCAAGCTCTAGATGAGAGTTTTTTACGTTTTTCGAGGACAAGTGTCCGTGTAGAGAGAGAATTCTAAGCCAAGTTACGGCTCATGTCGTTGGTGATACGCTGGTAGTCGAGCAGACCCTCGATAGAACCGTAAGCACTGATAGCGAGCTCCTTGTCCCAGAGTTTCAAGTTGGCAAATTCCATAACATCCTTGGCAGTGATTTGTCCGATTGTCCTCTCGACATCTTCGGCACTCAGACGGCGGCCGGTTGTGATGATCTGGCGACCAATGTCTTCGGCAACAGCAGTAGTGCCGTCAAGAGACAAAAGAATGGATGCCTTCAATTGAGCCTTGGCGCGTTCGACCTCGGCCTCAGTGACGCTGAAAGACAGACGAGACCACTCGCGGAGAGTGAAGTGGACGAGGTCGTCGAGCTGAGTAAGGTTCTCGCTGACGAGGTAAATACCCCAGAGACTAAATTATAATGTAAGCAGCGAAGAACAAGAGGGCGGAGAACAACTTAGGAAAACTCACCCAGTGTCACTGTAGCTGGTGGAAAAGCTCATGAAGCTATTGGCAAGGTTGTGGTGGGAAACAAGGCTGCTAAGCTTGCTGCCGAGGAAACCAGCGTTACCCATGGTACGATCCCAGTTACCCTACAACTGTTAGTAGATGTGCATGGACACTAGCGACGAAAAAGAACAATACATACAACAATAGCCTGAGCAAGAAGAGCGGTGAAGTAGTTGTCATCGTTCCAACTGACACCCTCAACTGCAAGAGCAATGTGTGCAGTTGGGATAGTGTCGTCACGGAGACGAACCTCAGAGCCGATAAACTCTGGCTTGCGCTTCTGTTCGGCAGCAACAGCAGCGGCAGCAGAAGATGGTGGAGCAGATGGCAAGCTGCCAAAGTTTTGTTCAGCGAGTTTGACAAGTGTGTCATGCTCAATACCACCGGCGCCAACAAGAACGGTCTTTTCGGCCAGGTAGTTGGTCTTGATATAGTTGACAAGGTCGTCACGCTGAATGCTCTGGATGTTTTCCTTGGGTCCGAGAATGGTACGGCCAAGAGGCTGGCCCTGGAAGGCCGTCGCATGGAGGTGGTCAAAGACAACCTCCTCACTACAATGAAAATCAGTATTGTCCATCTACATCAAACTGACAAATTTTCATACTCACCTGATTTTCTCAACTTCCTCGGCTTCCCGCAAAATGACATCACGCTCGCGTTCGATAGCAGAAGCCTCAAGCTTCGAGTTTTGCAGAATATCAGCGAGGATATCGACAGCCTTAGGCACATCGGCGTTGAATGACTTGGCATAGTAGACAGTGTTCTCCCTCTAGACGAGCAATGAGCGATTAGCACAACGGAACAGGACAGCACCGGGATCACCGTACCGATGTGTAAGCATTCAAGTGACCACCCATGTTTTCAATTTCAAGCTCAAGCTGGCCCTGGGTTCTCTTGTTGGTGCCCTTGAAAGCCAAATGCTCAAGGAAGTGGGCAGTTCCATTGGTCTTATCGGTCTCTGCACGGGAACCGGCGTCAACGTATACGCCAACTGTGCTGGTGGAAGCATAGGGGTTGTGCTCGGTGGCAATGGTTAGACCGTTCGACAGCTATTCAATACAACGGTCAGCTTCAATTCCAATGGGGGAAGACCGATGGATCGACGACATACCGTTGTCGACTGCGTTCGAGATGGCAGACCAACGGGCGAAGCAAAGCCGCGCTTCGCGGGCTGGACGGCGTTCAAGGCAGCGCGGGTGCGCAGAGCCTGGTTGAATTGATAAGCGAGCCGTCGAGAAGCCATTTGTGCGTGTGGCTGATTATGAATGTCGGGGAAGAAGAGACAATTGAGGTGGGAGGACGACGGGCAAGGATGGTCGTTGAGGTTGAGGTCGACTTGGAGTCGGGAAGTCAAATTGTTCGCCAGCTCGGCCAGCCAATCACATGACCCGATTTGTAACAAAGTGCGTCCCGGTGCTCCGGCCTTTCCCTACGAGACGTTACTACGTTGTGTAGAGTATCACAGAATCGAGTATTATTCTATCACTTTTCTTCCCCGTTCTGTTCTTTTATTTCTCAGTGCTGGGAGAACGGTCTTCGAATGCCCAACATCTAATTGCATTGGCTTCCTTCGCCTCACTAGCAAAATTGCGAAGCTGCATTTCTCTAATCCTTGTTTTATTCTGGTATGTAACTAAATAAATTTGGCTAATTATGTACATACATACTGATCACTAGGCCAAGGAGCCCGCAAACCTCTTGATATTCTCAATCAACGGAATATCGTCCGCAAATCCCAGCTCCCTCGCACGCGCACTGTCAAACAGCGGCGACCAACTCTGCACGATTCTATCAACGTCAGCGTCGTATTTTTCTTCCACTAGAGCCCTTTTCTCTGGACCGCCGATTTGCTCTAGTGCGTCAAGCATCTCCTGCACCGTGATGAGCAGGCCCGGCAAGTTAACAGAGCGCGAGTCACCAAACGCCTCTTTGGGTACATCACGGGCATGCAATATGTTTTTCACAATGGTATATGGCGAGCAGATCCAGACTGGCGTATCCTTTGCGACTGGCAAAATTGCCTTCTTTCCATGAAATGGCTCTCGGATAATGTCGCTCACAAAGCTGCTGGCAGCCTGCGTCGGCTTGCCAGCGCGAACAGTGACGGTTGGCAAGCGCACGGCGCGACCATCCAGGAATCCCCTTCGAGAGTAATCATTCAACAGGATCTCGATGATGAGTTTCTGTGAACCGTATGACGACAGAGGGACAGGCGGTAGATTAGATTCACTAATGACGAAACCGGGCTTCGTAGGACCGTAGACGGCCAGGGAAGAAGTAAACACGACTTTGACACCGGGCATGGTCGCCTTGAGACGATCGAGGATGTACCTCGTCGAGTCAAGATTGACTTTGATTCCGAGATCGAAGTTTGCCTCCGAGCCGCTGGACATGATGCCATGGAGCAAGAAAACGGTCTCGTATGGGGCGGATTCGTTGATGAGCTCATCGACAGCCTGGGGAGATGTCAAGTCTGCTGCCACAGTCTTCAATCGAGATGCTGCATCCCCAGATGCTACCGACGGTGGTACTGGCGGCGCCTGTACATCGGTGATAGTCACTGTGGTGTCTGGTGATGATGTACGCAGCAGTTCGGCAGCCAGCTCTTGACCGACGTAGCCGCCAGCGCCTGTGATAAGTATAGAAGACATTCTCCAACAAATATATACGGAAGTTAACAAAAGTAAGATCTCGCTATATGTGCCTGGCTTTGTAGGAGTCAGATATATTATCCAGGCTTGGTGTTTAATGCTCGTGGGGGGCCATGCCTTATGTACTTCATTTCGTGGGGAATGGGCGCATCGGCGACTCTCCGAAGACCAAGAGTATCACCCCATTCACACGTAGACTGGCAAGATCAGACCCTCGAATCGACAGTAATATGCCTCAATTTTGTGAGTGGTGGAGAATATTCCGGGACACGTTGAACACGGCGTGAAGACCGACCTCCAAACTCCCAGAATCTTGGAAGTTGTTGGTGCACTCGGAGAAAGCCCGAGATTGGCACTTCATGGCCAACTTCAGCAATTGTATCTATTTGTATATAAAGGTTTTACAGAAGGCTTCTCAAGGAATATTCGCCTTTGATTATGTTGTTTGTTGTAGTTAAATCGCTAACTTTTAGGTAACTATGCAGGATCATATAATGTATTTAACTAGTATGTACAAAAGTGTTCTTGATGCATGAGTCTTGACATGCCTCCATGACTGTCATAAAAAACATTCCTTTCATCAACGTGAATTTGAAATCTTTCAAGGATAAATAGACAATGATCATCAGAGGTGGCCGTTGGCCCCGTTAACCTTGCCATTAACAGGGATATCCTCTGGCGCAAGACTGTTGAAAATCTCATCAAAGTGAATTTCAGTTTCCTTGGTGGGATCAAACGAGTAGAGAATCTTCTGCACATCTGCATCAGCCCACTTATCAGGAACTTTGCCAGTACCCGCCTTTAAGGCAGCAAACTGCTTGTTCCGCTCTTCCTGTGCAGCACCTTCACCTAAATGCAGGGTGCGGCCAGAAGCAGCAGCAGTCTCAACTAGAGCGTAAGCACGGTCTTTGCGGATCGCCTCGTACACGCGAAGACCCTTGTTGATAGATTCAGGGGTTGTGTCTGGTAGGCGGATAAGTGAAGCAGCGATAGCGGCAGCATCCTCAATAGCCTGGGCAGCACCCTGAGCTAAGTGCGGCAGTGTTGGGTGGCAGGCGTCTCCAACCAAGGCTACACTCTTATGCACCCAGGTAGGCAGTGGTGCGTGGACGCGGAGTTTCCACTCGCAAACCTCGCCTTCGGGAACATAATTCAGCATACGCTGGACCTTGGGGCAGAAATCTCCAAATACACCAAGCATAGTCTCCTTTGACCCTTTGGTGGTATATGTAGCATCTAGGGCGGCGGCAAAGTGGGTGTCTGGTTGGGTGGTGGAAAGGTTGTAGATGTTCTTGTTGTCAACGGGGTAGGCGATAATGTGTCTCTTGGGACCGATCCAACGGGTGACAGTGTCGCCGTCGAGGAGAGCAAGGAGTTCGGGGTCATCTTTAATCTGATCACGGTGGATCATGATACGGTAGGCAGCCTGGTTGGTGTCGATGACCTTGGCATCGACGTTGAGAAGCTTAAGCATCTCCACGCGGATGTTGCTCTTGATTCCATCGCACGCCAACAGAATATCGGGTTCCACCCTGAGTGGCTCGGAGCCATCGCGAGGAGCAGCAAAAACGACGGGTTTGGGGCCGAAAGACTCAATGGACTTGATCGGGGTGTTGAAGTGGAATTTGATGGCGCTTTCCTTCTTGCAGCCCTCGTACAGGTAGTTGGCGAGGGAGAAGCGGTGCCCCACCATGTGCGGATAATCGTATTGCTCTTTCACGTACCCCAGATCCACGTGAGCCAATTCCTCGTCAGTCGAGCCCTCTGCATATTGTGTCAGCCACATTTGATATGCTTTTACCTCGCTGCTGAGAAAAGCCCCAACTTACGTCGGATGCTGGTGTCTTTAATGTTTGTGGCCTCCCTGGCAATTGGCTCCCACACACCGAGCCTGTCGAGGACGCGGGCCATGTTAGGGGCCAGCTGGATGCCAGCGCCGACGAATCCCAAGTCAGCGGCATATTCATAGACGTCAATGCTCTTAAATCCCTCTTTGGCGAGGGCCAAAGCGGATGACAGGCCGCCCATGCCTGGATTTGCGCTGTCAGTATGAAGCAGATCCAAAAGCATACATTCACCAGAGAAGACATACCGGCGCCGACAATGGTGATCTTCAGATCCTTGACTGCTGCTGCCATTTTGAACTATGGGCCGTGTGAGCGCATACACACAAAAGCTGCAGAATTGAAATTATTAACACAGGGAGTGCGAATATCCAAGGCGGCGATGCCCGGTTCGATGATGTGAGGGAACAGGAAGAAAGACGGAGCAGAGGGGCAATAGGTCGTTTAAGAATTATACATGAACTTGGAGTGAGACGCAAATCTGCCTATAACAAGAATATCACGAAGGTAATGTTTAATACGTACTCTGTATAGAAACCCGGATAAGCATTCATCAGGCTGCACTGACTAAACTGTGCCGTGATAAATATTTATCCGGCGGTTTCTCCCTACACTCTCGCCTTGCTGGTGTCTGCACGTGACCATCCTCGTCTCCGGATAGCCGGGGGACGGCACAAGCCTTATCCGTCACCGTAGTAATTACCAAGGCAATGAGTCTTTGCCGACGTATATTCCTTGGAATTGGAGACTGGAAACTGAAACTGAAAGCAATCGTGATATTCCCTATCCCCCAAACATGTACACTAACGAGCCCTCTATCTATCTCCATGCAAGGAAGAGGGATTGCAGTGTTCCAGTCTCGAGGGAAACAGAAACACTGCCCAAAAGGAAAAGAGACCCATCAAAGGAAATAGGAATACTCAGAGAAGAAAAAACATTTTGCAGCCAGGAAAAAAAAGAAAAAACATCACATATTACATACACACAACGCCGGGAAAATGTCACTGGTCCTCAAAATTATCAAGAAAAGATTTGCGTCGTTTGTTGTAAATCAACCATCCCATATACTTTTTTTCACTGCGTGCGTGTGTAAAGACCAGCCACGATACAGTGGTCACGTTCGAAGGGTTCTGCGAGTTGGTTAGTAAAAAGCTGCTTCTCAAAGCGGAATGACAGCGCGGATTTGCTCGCAGCTTACCAAGTGTGAGTTCTGTTGAAAGGAACAAAAGTTAGCACAGTTACTTTGTACAATGGATCCATCTACTTCTTATTTCTGGAATGGTAGAGACTCACGTTCTTTGGGTTTGATCTTCTCGGCTCGTAGACGCTCAACTTCATGGGCAAAGACAACCTCCGGCTTGGCCGTACTGTCGATACAACTGGCCTTAATACTGATCAGGACACCACCCTCGTTCTTGAGGAACATGTGCGCATTCAATCCCACAATACGAGCTTGGTCAGGCTGGGCAACGTCGGCGAAGATAACGTCAACCATGGGGACAAGCAATCTGTATTTCATCGGGTGCTAACCGAATGTCAACATTCATTCATCCCCGCATGCGCTGTGAGAAAGAAGACTTACACGAGCATCCTCAACAATGGGGATGACGTTTGTGCGTTTTCTATCATAAAAAATCAGTTGCCTGCGCTCTAAAAGTCTCACGGAAACGCGACACCTACGTGGCCATGCCAATCAAGTCACGACCGGAGCGGTGAGAGAATTCAACGGCGTAAACAGTTCCCGTAGGGCCAACCAAATCTGCCACATGGGAGACACTAGTACCGGAGGCTAGGGGTATATCAGTAAACTATACTATAGAATGGCGAAATGAGTGCGAATATCCATACCAGCACCCAAGTAAAGAACCTTCGATCCCGGCTTCATGTAGATCTTATCAAGACCACCGAGGACACCAGCGGCAAGCTTACTCCTGCATAGAGAGAAGCGATCGTATTAGACATAGTCCATGCAGGAGAGGAGCAACGAGGAAAGACAGTTCCAGATCCGTATGCGCAGATGTACTAACCTGAAAGGATTCCAGACACGGTATTCGGTTTTCACAGCAGGGCCATCATCCTCAGCAGGGGCCTCGACGGCAATGCGCTTCTCGCCGTAAACAGAGTCTCCAGGGGTCAAGTTCTTGGTGACAAGCAAATCCTCCTTGGCTCCACGAGCGACGAAGATACCGGCATGACGGTGAGGCTCGACAACAACCTTCTGACCGCCCTTGGCACCACCTCGGGCACCTCCACGTCCACCGCCACGAGCACCACGTCCACCTTTTATTTTCAATTCAGATATTAGTTCCTAAGCACCAAAATAAAGAAACCCATTCTCATCAAAGGCTTGCACACCTCTAGGACCGCCGCGCCCACGCGCAGGACCTCCTCTACCTCTGGGAGCACCGCCGCCTATGAGAAAAGAAAGGGACTAACGTTAGTCCAGCGAAGCTTTATGAATAATCGACAATGTCATTTTGGAGCATACCACGACCTCCAAAACCACCACGGCCGCCACGGCCGCCTGGAGCGCCACCGCGTCCACCTCTAGGAGGACCTCCTCTGCCACGGGGTGCGAATGCCATCGAAATGTTTTAGGTGATAAATTGGTGGGATATTAGTTGGAGATAAAAACGATCATAAAGCACCTGCGCAAAGCGATCGAAGCAATGAAACCGGCTCTAAAAATATAAGTAGTATTAATATTTGAATTAAAATGTAACATGATCAGCGAAATTGGAAAGCTTACCGTATTGCGCGCTGTGTTGTTGACAAACAGGTGCGAGTGAATGCAAGATGTTATCGACTTTTGAGTGAAGCTTTTTTTTTTTCTCGAATTGCGGACCTTGCAAGCTAGTCTATTGTGAGATTAGCGCAGATTATCAAATTTTGTGAATGCTTATCATCACATGACACGTTATCGATAGCGAGATCACGTGACTCTATCTAGCCCTATTTTGACGTTGGTGCGACGCATATCTGCTCTCTTCGATATTTCAAATATTTTGCTCACATCCTACGGTTTTCATTGCACAACTTTGATAGTGAAAAAAGTATCTATATAATAGACTACAGCTCAAAAAAACGTAAAAAATTTCAGTCCTCAACCTGAAATCGTAAAACCACCACCCTGTCTTTTCAATCGAAAAAGAAGATGTAAAGAAAAAGAAAATCATTTAGACATAGAAATAATATTGTGCGGAGTACTGAATTTCAATCGTTGAAGCTTGGCCCGAGCAGTTGGTTGGCGCATTGCCACCAGCAGTGTTGACCCTGTACACTTCCTTGTAGTCACCCACTGTACCGGCGATGGTGGTGAGGTACAACCAAGTAGTAGCACCGTATCCCTCATTGTTCTGACCGACGATTGAGCCATAAGGAGCATCTATTGCATCTTTTTTGGATGCCATAGCAATTCCGTACTGCTTCTCGGGTGTAGTGTTGAGGTTGAAGGTAGGTGTAGTTGAGTTCGAGAAATAGTGGTGGCCCAACAGGTCAATATTTGCGGGAGCCAACGGAGTCTGCACGCTTGAATTAGGAAGTGCGAAGTCGATAACAATTTCGGTAAGGAGATCTAGCAGATCCGAGAAGTTGGCGGCAATGCAGGACGCATCGTACAGATTTGCAACTGCTCCAATTTGCACCGGCACGGTATCTTCTGTGGAGTCGGCGCAAGTGTAGTTCTAGGAATAATGTAAGTTACAAGAAGAGACCAAAATATAGAGGATAGATTCCTTACTTGAGTACCACGACCAATTGCAACGTATTTCAGCGTGCCGGTGGGTGAAGGTAGCACGCTTGCTGCTGCAGGCAATGCCACATTGGACATATCACAAGTAGCAGAAGCAACATCGCCCGCAAATTGCTCGATATAGCTGCTGACCTTGCAGTAGAACTCCTCCAGATTCGAGTTGTAATCGTAAACATTGTTGAAGACGTTGTTGGTGGGAGCTGCAGCGGCAATTGTCGCCACGGAGGCGAGAACAAGTGCACCGAAACGCATCGTGAAAATATAGAGAGAGAGAGAGAGAGAGACCCGGCTTGTTTCTAATATTGATAGAGGAAGCTGCGAGTATCAAGTGTGGGAAAATAAGGATTTTCCTTGCTTTCAAGTTCTTTGTCTTGCAAAGATAAGATGGTCAAGAGGTCGAAGATGGGTCAGAGCACCAGGCCCAGTACAAAGAAAGTCAAATTGAGATAAAGAAGGAAAGACAGAACGCAAACACAAAGAAGTACGAATGGAGAATAAAGGATATACCCGAAGAAATCAATGTATAAGAACGGAAACAACACTAAGAGAAAGAAATTGGTAGTGAGGAATTCGGGAAGAATAGAACAGTGTGAACAAGGTATGACTATGATATGAAAAAAGGAAAAACAGGAAGAATATCGGTCGACATCGCATGCATTTTATGTGCTCTCGTCTGGAACCAGCATGCATGCAGAAGCAAATACGAGAAACAATGGCGAACAACTATTAGCGTTGATAGTGGCTGCTTGGTGGTTACAAAAATAACCTCGTGAGGAGCCCGGCCTGCTGATTGGCTGCGGAGCGTGCGCCAGACCCCTGGCAGCAGTGACCAGTCAGATCGCACAGCGAAGCTGCCCGCACTGGCATCCCTGGCTTGTGATTTGCCGAGCCCAATCAGCGAAACAAGCTGCTGCATGTTCAATATTTTAGTACGCCGTACGGAGTATTCCATTCAATACTAGAGCTGCGTCTGATCCGTTCTAAATATACATGTACGATTAGTTTCTTCAGGTTAAATCGGATGCCACGTTATGTGCTAAAGGTGGCCGCTTGGGAGGTCCAAGAGTCTGTACATACTACGGATTCGTTCATTCTTCAACCTGTAGTTCGAAGTCGGCGGGGGTCCCCAAAATAGGATATGAGTATGAAAAGGGCGATATTTACACACTTATTTCTCACCGTTGAGGACTGCAGTCGCACTGTCGAGGAGCGGAACTTGACCGTTGAAATGAGACGAGTGATATCGCGCATTGACGATCTCACTCTGCAGCATCTCCACAGAAGTAAGTAGTACTAATGCGTCTTACATCGTTTTGATTTAATCAGACGACGTAGCACTATATTCCAGCAGTACATATCCCATACGGAGTAGGCATATCAATATCGGCCGCAATTAAGGTTCCAGGATTTTTAGTGCCGGAGAAATCTGCAACATCGACGCCTGACAGCCAATCGGCTTGCGCATATCCAGTGTGATCTGAGGATATAAATAGCACCACGAGGATCCGATTGGATTGTCCAAAAATAACCTTCTTGGTCTGAGCCGTCTGGATAGCTATATTATATATACAACTATATTCTCTCTGGAAAGGACTGTTCACGTAATAGGCTTGTTAGGACACAAATGCTACGTACTCCTAGATCTGACTGACCAACAGACCCGCTTAAATTACCTATGGCAGTCAGATTTCAAGATTATTAGAGGAGCATCACGACCCACGGAGTATAGTAGCAGTTACTAATGATCGAATTGGAGCTAAAACAAGTTTATCTAGGTATACGAATAGTGCCCGTCATCCCACGAGTTATGCTTCTATCTCTAGTTGAAAAGTGAGCAGATGTGGCATTTACGAACTGCGATTGGATTTCTCCACCAGCTACGCAGACAGTCTAATTTAAGCGATAGAGCCAGGATTCAGCATCGATCACTCAATTTTTGCTCGTATTCTTCGAGTAGCACTGTGTAAGCAGGCCCCATCCTGGGTTAGCATCTTCAAATCTTGTGACTGACGGGAACGGAGTCTTCGAGAAGAAAAGCCGACGATGCGTGCACCTTCCTCAGGAAGCTAGTCAACATCTGCATGCTATGTCACAACAATGGGGTATCTGGTAAGCTATGATGAGAATCTGCTTAAAATAGTCTGTCTGCTATCTTTGAGGTTCGGGCATGAGCGGATGCCATGGCTACCCAGGTTGTATCGAGCAGGATTGATCAACCGTCTGGTGAGAATTTTGACGTAGCATTTGTGATTTGTCTTGTGATCTTAGTTGATGGCCAAATCAGGAAGGAAGGTGGTGAGGGAATTATGAATCCTAGGTGAGCGGAAAAGATACTCTTTGCGCGATTTAATGTTTTGGAGCACATGAATTACCGTGTGGCTTGAGGAGCATTCATGGTTGATGACTCTCGCCTGTTCTATGCCAGAAAGTTTGCCATACTCCCTAGATCTGACGCTGATGGCATGAAATGGTAACTGACTGTGCTTCATGAAACCTTGTCGAGAATATCAATTGCACCGGCAATTGGTAAACACCTTTTCATGATTTTGAATCAAGTCGAACTGCAAGGGGATATCGCGCCAAGTCGAAGCCATTACCGATCGAGGGACAACAGCTAATCACAAAATGGTAACTATTCCAGGTTTCTTCTCACCAAACGAGCTGATAATATGATAGATTCGAGATGAAGCATTGGGGTCTAGTATCTGCCATTCCAGTACGACGAAACGAAACACTATCCCTTACTATCAGAATTGGAAAGTAAAATATCGCTGCAACCTTCGACCTGTCGACGACTCTCCCCATTTGAGAGCCTGAAAGGCTTCCTATCTGTCTAGACTCTGCTGTGAGGAGCCTTGCACCTCTGCATCTCCGTCACATAGCGCGCCCGGCAGTCCTCAGCGAAGGCATTTGAGTTGTCGAGGTACGTGAAGCTAGCAAAGTACATGGTTGGTATGATTGTATATTACGAAAACGCAATCTTTCCATGCCGCCAAGAATAGGATACGTCGTCTTCTTCGATGGAGGCACGCAACTATGTGCTTAGGCTTCAAAGAACTCGCTCACGCTGAACATTATCTGATTCTCTTAGCTGTGTTTAGACAATTCGATTTTTGCCCTTCTGCTGTTTCGAGAGACTGAGACGTTGTTCCATCCTTGAGCTCAACAAGGCACTATTCTTCGATAGATAAAAAAAATGGGAAGGTTGTTGATTCACCGCTTGCGGTGCTCTAGAACAACCTTGGGAGAGGCGGCCTTGCGCAACCAAGGTACGAGTATCCACCAAGCAACCTGTGCCCAGTGCACATACATTATGACGGGATAATAATGATATCATTTTCCGAAGGACTACTCGGCAGTTGGTTTAATAATGGTTATATAATTTTGTCGTCGGGAGCGAAAAAAGCGAGGCCAGAGAAGGCGGAGGCTAAGCCGTTTTTGGGTTTCAGAGCTTGACTTTATTAAGCCTCAAAACGCCTGGCGGAAGTGGTTATAATGTGTTAAAGATCTACCAGCTTGATAATTGGTGGACTAGTCCTACGTAGTGGATGTACTCCGTATAATTTTATCACTCTCTCTTTTCCTTCGTTCTCTTTGTCTCTTTCTGACGGGGTGGGGCGGACTCTGGATTGATATGCCTAAAGCATTATAGTACTAGTCTCCAACTTCTTATCCAAATTCTCAGGTTTAGGTTCATTTTGCCTTCCTTCACGAATCGGGTTTATTGAATCTTCTTGTGTGTGGCGCGCCTGGGCTCTGTAGTAGCTACCGTGGTCCAATCATGTAACTTGCCTCTGGAATAGCATGACCATTGACTATGCCATTCCATAGTGGCGTTAGAATATCGACAAAGAGTGCCATGGCATTTTCATTTTGCCCCACGCCTTGTCACTTTCTCTTTGTCATATAAGTAGTGATGCTTGGGACAATGAGCTCAGCTCGACACCTTCTACCACTCCCCAAGGCATATTCATTTTTGGCCACCGTCAATCCAACTTCATGAGCATGATGGAGAACAGGGCTGTCATCTTCAAGACCGTACCCTCGGGGCTGCCTAGTAAAGGAGAACACCTCACTATCGAGGCCGTGCCATACCCTGATCGTACTCCCGAGGACGGCATCATCGTTCAAAACTTGTACGGCAGTTTGGATCCTTATCTGCGAGGCCGCATGAGGTGTAAGCATAATACCTAGTCATCTTCAGACACACACGCACACACGCACACAAAGGGCATACACTAACTAACCTTGCAGCACCAGAGATAGAGAGTTATGCACCTCCATTCGAGCTCGGGAAGCCCATCAACAACAAACACATTGCCAAGGTTCTAGAGTCAAACAACGCAAAGTTCAAAAAAGGCGACATCGTAGTCGCACATTTGCCATTCCAAGAATTCGTCGCTGTGGATGGCAATCAACTGGCAGCCTTCGAACACCTTAAGAATCCACTCGGCCTCGCAGATACTCGCGCGTTCCTAGGTGCTCTGGGAATGCCCGGCCTCACGGCCTATTCTTCGCTGTACGAGATCGGCAAGCCTCAGAAGGGAAACACCATATTTGTATCAGCTGCCAGTGGCGCGGTGGGACAGCTAGTCGGCCAGCTTGCAAAGCATGAGGGGCTGAAGGTCATTGGCAGTGTGGGATCCGACGAAAAGCTAGATTTCATCATTAATGAATTGGGCTTTGACGGAGGCTTCAATTACAAAAAAGAAAGCCCCGCACAAGCACTGAAGCGGCTGGCGCCTGAAGGGTTAGACATCTACTATGAGAATGTCGGCGGAGAGCATCTTGAGGCATCTCTCGACATGATGAAAACGTACGGTCGCATTGTGGTGTGCGGGTTGATTTCGGGTTACAACGTCAGTGCGGCAGAAGAGTATCCCCTTAGGAATTACAGGCAGATTCTCATCAAGCGCCTGACAATGCGAGGCTTCCTTGTCGGGGACAAGGGCATGGGTGACAAATATGCCGATGAGCACCGAGAACGCGTGTCAAAATGGATACATGAAGGCACCTTCAAGGCTGTTAACTGGGAGATTGAAGGCATTGAGAATGCTGCTGACGGCCTGATAGGTCTCTTCCTCGGCCATAACTTTGGCAAGGCTGTGCTGAAGTACTAGTGCACTGTATGCAGTTACACCAGCAGATTAAAAAAGGATCACATATTTAGATATTCTTGAGTTGAGTTATATCGATTGAATTTGACTCGAGTACTCTCTCTGGTCAAGGCGTTGTTGATTGTAGATGAAGCTGCCGGATAACTAAAACACCAGCTTGCGAAGGACTACTCGCTTTGTTGAGAATCACTTCCTCTTTAGTTGGATTAGCAGTACTTGTAATAAGTGAACGTGTTCATGTTTCTCTCGTAGAATGATGAGTAGAGTCGGAAGTGGACGAGCTTCGGCTGTATGCTCGACACGGCCGGGCCAATTCGGCTACCGCCAGCCAATCACAGCGCGGGCAATTGAATGACCGCATTCTTTCCCGAGGACCAGCGACGACGAGACTTGCTGTGCTTTCGACCCGAACCATCACGACGGACGACATCAACAACGCCGGTCGAAAAGTCTCAGGACTCAACGCTTTGTGGAGGTCGCTCGTCCTCGCTACACTTCGACTTTATCGGAAATAAATCATCGCTGCAAAGCACCTCGCCATGGCAGCCTTTATCCGCCCCTCCTCCAGTGCGATCCTGGGACAGATGATGCGAGTTCCAGCGACTCAATCGATGCTCTACCCGGCAAAGTCGGCGCCTCTTGCTGTTACCATCGCTCGTCAGGCGCAATTGAAGGGCCCCATGGTCCAGAATACACTTTTCCACAGCTCGGCCAGGAGGGATCTTCTGAAGGCTTTGCCACGTGAGTGTGCCTGTTTGCAAGATGGGGAAAAGTAATTTTTATTTGTTCCCGAATGCTAACAATTGTTTACGTATAGAGGTTGTCCATGGAACAAGTATGTTGAATACTTTTTTCTTTCAATTTCTCAATACATTCGGTTTCGACGTATCTATCTACCAAACGGACACAATTGCCGGGATTAATGCTTCACATGTTTTTGTCCATGCACATGCTAACCAGGCCGAATTATTCTAGTGAACGACGCTGCACCTATCCCACACCACTCTCCTAGCCATGGCAGCTACCACTGGTCCTTCGAGCGGTACGTGCAGATCGGGAGTAACATATTGGGGGGATATATATAAACTAATGAACCACGCAGATTGATCTCGCTTGCTCTGGTCCCTCTTACCATCGCTCCTTTCACAGCTGGCTCTCTAAACCCAGTCATGGACTCGATCCTTGCTGCTACTATCGTCGTGCACTCCCATATCGGATTCCAGTATGTTCCACTTCGACTTATTCCTAGACGCGACGATATCCACTGACAATGACTAATTAGGGCTCTTATCATCGACTACCTCCCCGAAAAGCGCGTTCCCAAGACTCTTTCTCTGTTCACCTGGGGACTGCGTGCTGCTACTCTCACCGTGGCTGTGGGCTTGTACGAATTTGAGACAAACGACGTTGGCATCACCGAAGCTTTGAAGAGGATTTGGACGGCATAAAATGTGAAAATAGATATCTTTGACTGACAGTTATTCAACTTTTTTCTTTGTCGTTTCTGAAAGCTACTGTACATGATTTTCTTTTTCTTTTTTTTTGGTAAAGAGTATCCAGCTCTGTCCGCCCAGGTTTAGAGGCGTGTTTGCAACTTTTGTTCTCCATCTAAGATATATATGCAGAAATTTTGAGAAAACAAATACGACTGTGAGAAGCCTCTGAATAGGTCCCAAGTATACAGAGGAAATAGCGAGCCGGCGCATTTACCTGTACACCACCCATTCCCCGAAACTCCAGCCTGACCATAGCACAGAAAAAAAGAAAACGACATTAGAACATTTAGATCATCAAGATCCTGGGCATGGAAGTTATAAAGGATGTAAATCCAAAATCTAATCCTCCTGATCTTCATCTGATCCTTCCTCAGGCAAATAATCGTCATCATCGGCCTTCACCACCACCTTTTGTATCAGCTGAAGAGTTGCCTTCAAGGGCAAGCCAATGACATTATCATAGCTGCCGTTAATTTTGTTCACCAATATAGACCCTAGCCCTTGCAGACCATAGCCACCTGCCTTATCGGCGCCCTCTCTCGTCTTCACATACGCTAAAATCAACTCATCTGTAACGTCCGGATCGAATTGCACAGTCGTCTCTTCGACATGCGATTCAATCGCATAACCGGGCATACGGGCACTCGCCAATGGAACCATGGCCACAATAGCGGTATAAACTATATGACTCCCCGCGGTGCGCAGGTCTTTCAGCATGGCGACATGATGGGCCTCTGATCTTGGCTTTTCGAGAATAGCGCCATTTATGGGGTCGACAACAATGGTGTCAGCGGCGAGTATCAGACCTGGCTCGCCCTTGGCCTCGTTGTCAACCTCCTGCCTATAGATCGTCTGTGCCTTTTTCGTCGCTGTCGCAAGCACATATTCGAATGGGCCCAGTGACTTGGGGAGATCTTCAGGTTCGGTGCTGGGGATGATTTCCAGGTCTGGAAGACCGAGGTAGGACATTATTTGTTTCCGGCGCGGCGATTGCGATGCCAATATCACCCGTTTTGACCGGAGTTGTTGGAGGATTGGAAGAGAGAGGGGGAATGGAGGCCGAGGTTGAGAAGGGGCTGGTCGCACGGCTGTAGCTACTTCGTATGTTGGAGGATCTGGAGGCACGCTCCCTGGGAGAAGGCTTTTCTCCGACATGGTGGTTGGCGATTTTGTACTTATGAACGGGCTTGTCTGGTAGAACGTGGAACTGTGACGATGGTATCCGTGTCGATATCCCTGTTTATATCCCGCGGCGTATGTTTTCGAGAGCAAGCAATGGATGAAGTGGTTTCTACTTGCTCTCTGAGATCCTTGAACTGCACCCCCTCCTTCGTTGCTCGCTGATGCTGAGCCACACGCATGCCGCAATGCCCACTTCTCACGTGATGATAGTCGGTGTCCCGACTGCACGAAACGGCGCGCTATGTTTTGCTCACATCAGTGCTTTTATATAACTACATGGTGCAGAGAAAGAACGCTCATATAAAACTCCGTCACCTATCACCATCTACTCTACAGTTTGCTCGAGATTCCATGACTCATATTTTTCGCACCAATCGACACTCTAACCAGTGACCATATCATCGGCTTTTCTCTTTCCATTCCCACCAGGGGTGAGTACTCCTGTCGGCTTCCTACCCGTGTCACTGCTACTATGCCACTCACTAATCTCCCATTCAAAAGCCGTTGATTGATCTTCGCTGACGCCGATGCCTCGCCGACTACTCATGATTCGACCTAGTCTACTGCCTTGAATCATTTCCTCGAACCATGGCACGCCTGCGAGGGTCCCATGTCGGTAACAAGCCGTGGCTGCTGGGTTAGATGCAGTCACGGCAGATGAGGACGATATCCATTCCGGGGCATTTTCCGTCACTGCCTCAGAGCTTGTTTGGTCGCCGAAACTTTCATCTGTCGCGTCTTCCGGCAATAGATCTAGGTCCTCTAGCAATCTCAGATCATCGCCAAACAGACTGCCCAAGGAGACGGACATAAAGTCAGCCTCCTCTTGTGGGGACTCGGTCCAGAAGGTCATTGGCGTGCCACAATATCCACAGAAATTGCGTTGCGTGTGAGGCGCATGTAACGGAGAGAATGTGCGTCGAATTGTAGCATGTGTCTCATCTGGATAGTAGGCATATGTTTGGGATTGAAACCATGTGAGCGGAACTCGTAGCCATGCTGTCAGTGGAACTCCCTGGGCACGTCCTACAGGTTGAGTTAGTTGTCGATTGAACTGGAAAATGTGATCACGACAACGACAACGGAAGGCACAACTGACGATGGTCTTGATGGCCCGAGAATATTACCTCGGCTTGATTGATAGCATGGCTAGGGAGGGCAATGGCATACCGGTTTCGGCCGCAGGAGCACCCTCCCCGCAAGCATGGTTGGTTGGCCTCCATGTGAAGCTACAAGGAGTAATAAAGAGCCCCAGATTCGTAGCTTCTGTCTGTAGAAGAGCGTCTGTTGCATGTGTTAATGGGAAGCCATTGGTTAGGCGGGAGAGAGAGCATGGCATGGTGAATTGCGTCTCATGACGTCGAGACACGGCTGGATGCCCTCTCCCTCAGGCAGCAAGGCTCCCACATCCTCGGCGGGATGTCTCGCCGCTTTTCCTCGCTGAGTAGAACTGAGCACGCCCCTGAGCAGATATCTATATTAGAAATATACTTCTATCTCAATAAAGTAGGGAGTTATATATATATATAACCGTTATAGATAGATATATTAGATTTTGAAGTAAATGCATGGAGCTATTCTCTACATACCTCAAAATACGCTAGAAATATTGGTATTTTCGAATACAAAGAGGTTCTGCTTATTTCTAAAGCATCATACTCATATGTAATAGTAGTTAGTACCAGCTGTTTAACATATTGAATTTATAGATATGGTTTATATATAAATCGTGGAGTTCGCAGGGAGGGTAGAAAAGGCTGTTTGCAGTGTTTAGTATAAGTGCGCAGTTTATCTGGGACGTACTATTTCACTATTACACAAGACCCTGTAAATGACAGCTGACAAGGCGTCATGACTGACCCATCAGTAGTAGTGGAAGGCCTATCTTAAAAATCGTCAAATTATATGAGCTGCGTATGTCTGCATAAACCCTGCATATTCTTATCTATATACTCAGTATCAACTAGCGCTTGGGATCCGTAGTCATCTTCTGATTCTCCTGTAGAATCAAATAACCACCGTCCTCTGCGCGGTGCTCTCTCTCACACTCGTGCAGGTTCCGGTGAAGACGAAGAGCAGCTAGTTGCATCGAAACACCAATTTACTAATTCTCTTCAAGGCTTTATTGCAGAGATATCAGGAGAGAGCCATAACCGTACAACAATGGCCTCGCAAGGTGCCTACGACTACATTATACTTGGTGGTGGGACAGCCGGGTGTGTCATTGCGAATCGGCTCTCTGAAGACTCCGATAAAACCGTGCTTGTGATTGAAGCTGGTAGCCACCGACCTGACGATCCTAAGATCAATACGCCGGGTTTGATGGCTGCTCTGTATGACCAACCCGAATATGATTGGAGTTTTCTTTCTGAGCCTCAAGTAGGTTATTCGCTTCTGCTTTTTCGCGCCCCCCTCCCTTTCTCTAAAGATTTTTTTTCTTCTTCTACCTGTAGAATCATTCATTTTAACCCAAACAGGAGCATCTGAATGGGCGAATCGTCGGTCATCCACGTGGAAAGGTCGTTGGCGGATCATCGGCCATCCAGTATGGCATGGTCGTGTATCCATCCAAGGCTGGCATTGATGCGTGGGAGAAATTGGGCAACAAAGGCTGGGGATGGAACGGGATGAGCCATTATTACCGGAAATTCCATACGTTGGGGGAGCCCTCCGACAAGACCATTCGAGACATGTCCCTGGCTTATCTTGACAAGAACCTTCAGGGCAGCACGGGTCCGGTGCAAGTCTCTTTCGCCGAAGACGATTTTTATTCCCCCTTGCAAAAGGCTTGGCCCGAGACTTTTCGCAACCTTGGTCTCGCGGCGACAGGCGATCCGGCGTCCGGGGATATGACAGGTGCTTATATTAACCCATGCTCCGTGCATCCCAAGACGAAGGCTCGAAGCCATGCAGGAACTGCCTACTATAGTGCCGACGTGGCCAAGCGTCCGAACCTCAAGCTCGTGACAAACGCCCTCGCCGAGAAGATCCTGTTCGACGGAGACACTGCCACGGGCGTGCAGTTCAAGAAGGCGGATAGAAATCAGGTGACGGTGCGTGCCAAAAAAGAAGTCATTGTCTGCGCGGGTGCTATCCAGTCGCCCCAACTCCTAGAGCTGTCTGGCATTGGGGATGCGAAACGACTCGAGGCTCTCGGCATCGCACCTGTGGTCGACAATCCATTCGTAGGAGAGAACATGCAAGACCACGCTATTGCCAGCATCAGCTACGAAGTTGTTGATGGCATTCCAACCATAGAGAACATCAAAGAGCCGGGAGTACTGGACCGTTTGATGCAACTCTACCGGGACACCAAATCCGGTCCGCTCACATCCAGTTGTATCTCGTCAGCTTATGTCCCTCTCGGCGGCGAATTCGCCGCGGAGGGTGAGCGGCCGGAATTAGACCGCCTACTTAATGAAAACCTACACATCAAAGAAGGCTCTCACCCGGGTTTGAAGAAGCAGTACGAGCTTCTCCGCTCGATTGTGGAAGGGAGAAAAGACTCCACGATTCAATACTTCTCACCGGCCGTGCAGCTCTGTCCACACGCGGGGCCGAAGCCCACAGACTGGTTTGGCATGAAAGAAGACGGCCATTACACTGCTCTTGCCGCATCGCTTTCTCACCCGTTCTCTCGCGGTTCGGTCCATATCACATCTGCCGATGCATCAGAAAAGCCGAAGATTGATCCCAACTATCTTTCCAACGCACTCGATTTGGAGATCCTGGCGCGCCACTTGCTCTTTGTCGAAACGATTGCCAAGACCGAGCCCCTCGCATCCCTTCTCAAAAAGAATGGCCGCCGTGTACCGCCCAATGTGCACCTCCATAACTTGGACGAGGCCAAGAATCTCGTGCGTGATACCCTGGTCTCGACCTATCACCCGGCCAGCACGTGCTCCATGCTGCCCCGAGAACTCGGGGGCGTTGTCGACGACCAGTTGCAGGTGTATGGAACCAAGAATGTCCGGGTTTGCGATGCGAGTATCTTCCCACTGATACCGCGTGGAAATATCCAAACAAGCGTGTACGCCACGGCCGAGAAGGGCGCGGACCTGATCAAAGGCGCCGTTGCATAAGCGCCGTTGCAATGAAGTGTCGGGTATGTAGAGCACACCGAGGAATGAATACCGTACACGATAATAGCATCGGTGGTGGACAAAAGGAGTTCGTCTACCTATGACACCTTGCGCCTTTCCAGAGAACTTTGCGATCGGCAAGTCATGGCGATGAAAATCGTGAATATACTAGTTAGTTAATGTAACTAGAACATGTAAGCGAGTTTGGAACAATATTCCCTCAAATAAATTAATGCATGGCAGGGTTCAACACGAAGCGTTACTCAATAATAATCTGGGGGTATGCTATGTCTATAAATACATATAGGCTTAGTTAGTGAGCGTAAATCACCCTCGGTCGCGGATATATCGATATTCCGTGCTTGGCTCGTTGCATGCTACCTGCTGCGCCGTGTGATTTCAAGTTCATCGCACGCGCATCGGCCTTTTTATTTGTCGGTTCTTTTCAACACCTGACTTTTTAGTTGCATAGCTTAGGATCTATCTGCATTTCTGTTACCCGAATCTTCATTGCTATATCTACCACCATGTTGTCCGATTCAAGCGCCCACCACCGCGATTCGGTGAGCTCGAACAACGAGACACCAGCCCATGCAAGCATGGGCGCAGATGCACAAGATAAGCCTCGCCTGACCGATCAGGAGAAGAAAAACAATCATATCGCGTCCGAACAGAAACGTCGTGCGGCGATTCGAGAGGGCTTCGACCGCCTCACCGAGCTGGTGCCTGGCCTGGAGGGACAAGGTCGCAGTGAGAGCGTGGTTCTAAAGAAAACGGTGGACTTTCTGCGCTCGCAGCTCGAAGAAAGGCGCAAACTCGTGGCTGAAATTGAACGGGTTGGAGGACAGGTTGATGATTCATTTCGCCCGCGATGATGATGATGATGATGATGATGATGATGATGATGATGAGTACGGGCAAAGTCACATGTCAATTTCCTGCGGCGGGGTAGATCGAAATGCCACAACTTTGTCCTGCCTGTTGTACCTGCTGGAATGCGCGAAAGCCAAAGAACTGGCAATGGCCTTTACATGAGTTATGCCGCCTTATCTCATAAGCTGTGGTGGCCTTCAGAAAGACTGTATCCTGGCATTGAGGTCTTCCTTGGTCAAATTGTCCGTTCAGTTCTCACCAAATACTCAAGTTCTTCATACTGCGAGACATGTCAAATCCGTCGCCATTTATCCTAAGCTCAGCCAGCCGTTTAAGGTAAGCTTAAATTTGACAAGATATCTTGACTATCCGACTGTGGTCATACTACTACTACCAGCAATGCAAAGAATAGTTAGGTTGACATGGTCCAACATGGCCCTTCACCTAGTTCAGATTATCGAGGAGTGAAACGCGAAACACTCAGAACTTTCGATTCATCACGGAGGATAGTGGATAATATCTAGGAAGCACTACTTCCTGGGCGAGGATCAAAGAAGATTCTAAGGCTGCTTCTATGGGGAACGTGCTATGGCTTGTTTCTTTCGCATAACTAATATTTCTACTAGCGCCTGTACAGGGCGAGATAGCATGGAATGCGTGTGTCCTAAGGATGTTTGACACTACTTATGACTACACGCTTGTTTCAGAAGCCCAACGCAACCTGAGAACCAAGGCTATATAGATTTTGCAATCCTCAACGTTTTCGCCCTAGATGATTTATTTCTAGCCTCAAATGTAATCTGCTTAAACCAAGCGGGCTCTCACGCCGCATCAGTTTTCGCGTATGAATCTGTACCGCAGACATGACTGCCTAGTACTGAGTGAGGTTTTTGTAGCCCTACAAAAGTTGCTGGTTCTTTTCCTGAACTTGAATTTCCTCGACAGGGACATCGATGGGACGACCGGCTGCATCATGCGTCGCATCCCATTCCGCGAGCTCAGCATTAGGAACTTTCTTGAGTCGCTTGCTCTGAGCCCCGTCCTCCAAACTAATGACCTCTTGTCGCAGTGTGTATCCGCTCCACTTCGGGATGAGCCACGCCCAGAGGACGTAGTATATGCCGCACATCGCGAGGCTAGAAGCAGATACATCAGATCACTAGCAGCAGCAGGATGTATGTAGGTAGTTGACTTACATGCCAATGCCTGTTACGGCGTATGTGGCGTACCAGAAACTAACATCACCGGCATCCCGGCCACCAGCGGGAGGATACCACGGCATTACAAGGAGGTAGAGCTGAACTAGCATATTAAAGATAACCACGACGTTCCAAGCCTTGAATTCAGGCTCGGGGAGATTGGCCTTCTTTCGGCGCCAGCGAATAACATAGACACCCACAGCCATTGAAAGGTTGAAGGCGGCACTAGGGATGGTGCTCAGATCATTGACTGCCTCAGGAATCAGGACCGTAGGCTCGTTCATACATAGTTGGGTGGAAAACTCACCGAAAGTAAACGCGTCTCCAGCAGGAACAGCGAGGATCATTAGAATGGTCAGAAACCAAATGACAGCGTACGGTCCCAAGGGAGTCCCAAATGGTTTAGTCGACACCCAGAACTTGGTCCAAGGCAGGACTCCCTGTCGTCCGCATTCCCTGATGCGACGAGACAGGCCAACGATCACGGCTATCATGTTTCCGAATGAAGCCAAGGCAATCAGGAAGTTGAGGCCACGGACTGCAGCGCTATCGCCAAAAACTTTTGAGAAGAATAGGCTTGCTGTAGTGAGGTCGGAATTTTCCAGTTCGTGCTTGGGAACTAAGAAAGAAGGAAAAGATTTAATACAATATGAGCGCAAATATTCTCTCGAAAATGACGGGAGCCCAGCGAACTAACCAGCAGCAAAGAACGCGACGTTTGCGAACATATATAAGACATACACCGCAGTCAGAGCAGCTGTAGCATAAATTTTAAGTGACCTGACGGGATTCTGTCAAGCGAAGTTATCAGTCAGTCGGACATTTCTGCCTGTGTGCGTGAGCGCCACACGGATGGGTTTATCATACCTTGATCTCGTTAGCACAATTGAAGGCATTATAGTAACCCCCATATGAGAAGATGATACGGTACAAGGCAGTAGTCAAGCCGTACGCAGTAGCTGTAGAGCTCCCCGACCACGCATCGTGAAAGTTGGCTGTAGGGTTCTCGACTTTGGTATGGCCGCCCAAAACAACAAATCCCGTGATAATAACAAAAATAATGGTACAGATCTTGACAATGCCCACGGCATTTGAAAACCAGAATGCGTATTTCGTGTTGAACACTAGGACTGTAGCCTCGTCAGTGTCTGCGATTGGGTACATATCGACCAGCTCAACCGAACTTACCCAGGGTAGCCAGACTGTAGCAGGCCAGAGCCGTTCCTTTGATTTGCCAGTTGGTACCGGCATGACCAGAGATGTTGATGAGATATTTGGCCATGACTAGAGTTTTTGGTCGTTAATACCTTGCCTCTATTGAAAGGCCTCGCTCCGGCTCACCTGTAGCATTGGCACTTCCAAACGAAAGAATAACACTCTGGACCGCAAAGGTGGTTGGAAAAAGCCACATTGGATGAGGGTATGTTTGTTCAAGGAACACAACTTCTGAACCGGATCGACTGGGAAAGTATGCTGTGTATTCGAGATAGACAGATCCAGAGGCGAGACACATCTAAGATGATTAGTTGGTGCTGTTCTTCCTGTCAGAGGCCAGACATACTAGATAGCCAATGGTCCAATAAACAAAACTGACACCAACTGAGCCAGTGCCGGATAGAATCGACGATGCTGATCATGCAAGGATATTAGTTGGCATATCCCGGTACGAGCTCAGTGTATGAACAACTCACGCGTAGAGTAGATACCAGCGCCAATCATCATGGTGATGTTCAGCAAGGTGATTGTGGCAGGACCGACGGAATATCCCAAGGGAGACTTGTGCTCGATTGGAGCACCAGAGGCGTCTTGGTATGTAGGCGGAGCATCGTTGCCTCCTGTTTCGCCGATATACCTCACATCCCCATGATCTACCTGTGCTTCAACCACAGTGCCAGCGCGCTCGCTGAATGGCTTTCTCCACGACATTGTGATTAGTTGTTGTCAAGAAACAAGCAAGATGCCGTTGGCCAAGTCCTTTGAAAAAGAGTCGCACGAGCCATCTTTATACCACACTGGTTCTTCTCTTTTTCTACCCACGCTACGTTGCTCTCGTCCAGAACGCTTGGAGTCGCCGTGGAGGCTAGCTAGCGATTTCAACATCGGAGGGGCGAATGGTACAACAACCGCAGTCCCCAGTCATGATTCGCGTGCCTAGAAGCGGCGTGTGTAAAGTATTCTATTTAGCGACTCCACAGTCTGAATTTAACTGCCGTCAAGCCCATAGTACGTATCGTAGTAGCCTGATTTGGGAGATCGGGTACTAGGGAAAAAGGCCTAACAAGAGAAGACGATGAGCAAAAGAAAATGCGTGACGCTGAATGGCATGAGAGCAGGGATGCGATTGCGCGAGTCTCGTCCTCAAAAAGCAGCATGGGGGCGCCGTCACGCAATCGTCTGAACAGTCACAAAAGTGTAATTCCTGCTATCGACAACAATAAAGCTGCTCTTATTTCCAAAAGCAAAGTATCGAAATCTCTCGACAAAGCTATTTAGACGAAGATTGTAGCATGTACAACGCCGTTCCCCAGACCCGTACGGAGTAGTCCACAGTTGTGAATCCTATAAAAGTAGCGTGTTATAGAGTTCTTTCGTGCTGGGCCGATCTAATTAAGCGATTCTTAGTTTTCCAAGCTTGAGCTTTCCTTTCATAGGCAGACTAGTTTTATAGCCATAAGATCTGCATGGGTCACATGCACGCATAGCCCTAACCTTCGTTTACAGGCTGTCAGCTAGACGGGTTGTCCATTCGCAAAGTTGGGAATTCTTTTGAATTGTTGATCATTATGTAAGATTTATATGAGGGTATAACAGAGTTTGTTTCAAGAATCATTTTAGTCCAGTGCAGCAACAGCAACAGCAACACCCAAGCCCCAGCCAATTATGATATCGCTCAAAAGCACAAATAGGCACACAGAGAGAGGAAGAAGAAGAAGAAGAAGAAGAACAAGAGGAAATGACTAGGCGAGAGATGAATGAAATAATGGCATGATAATCAACAAGTTTATCGCGCACGACGCTCATTGATCTCGTGAATGATCCACGTAATCAATCTCTGGATGGGACCGCCCTTGTACGGATATTTCTCGTACTGAGTAGAAGGCGGCGCATAATTGCCATTTTGCAGTCGTTGGCCCTGAGCGCTCTCAAGTTCGATGTCAGCAGCTCCGAAACTCTCCTTGGGCTGGTCGGGTATAGGCTGTGCTCTGATATCCAGAGTCAACCCAGTCAACACCATGACGTAGACGATAACGATCTCTTCCAGAATGTCCATGACTAGGAAAACGGTGGTGTTGCCGGTGAACATGTTGAACGTCGCGGTATGTTTGAATATGGCGAGAGCCGAGTAGACTAGGCGAACGGTAAGGAATGGCATGCTGAACGTCGCGGCCAACACCAGACGGTGTTCTCCCTTCTCAATGCTTCTGTACTGGGCCCAGATTAAGAAGGTTACAGCCACTACAATGGCCCATCCGACTAGGTATAGGATCATGCCGGCTTTGGTCAGTTTGCTGGTGAGGCCGGCTTCCAGGGATGATGATGTGGTCATGCCGACGATGGATAGAATCATGCCGATAAAAGAGGGCAGTCCGGCGATGCGAAATATTGCTGACCAGTATCCGGAACCAGCGTTGCGTTGGATTGAATCGTTTCTGTGGGATCGTGTTAGCTTGTCTATTCCCCGTTCCCAGATAAAGATAGACATTGAAAGGCAGTAGCACGTACACTCTCGATAGGGCAGCCAAGACGCCTAGAGTCAGAGGTGCCAATCCAACGGAGTTGCATACACCGTAGGCAATGTAAAGATTCTCGTTGTCCGGGTCATTGATTGTGCCCAGATAACAGCCATTGCCCACCAGTCTGGCCAGCGAGAACAAGATGTAAAAGTACCATCCAGCACGGCGGTTGAAGCCATGACGCCAGGCCACGACCAGAGACATGACCAAGGTGGGTATGTAGACGATCAGCTCCAGGATGGAGAGACCCTGCCGGTATGTTACAGCCATGGTGGTTGCAAGTGTATAGAGTGCTAACGAAGTGCGAACTGCGAACTGAGGACGACGAGTTGTCTAAGAATGCTGTTCTGGACAGATGATTCAATTATCTTCCTCATTTCTGCTCGGGGATGCAGGCCAGGTATTTATGCCTCGAGGTTATGCTCTCCCCATGATTCTTGAGTGAAGCCGCAACCATTCCCAAAAGGGAGCGGATCGCGAGCAGATCGATTTTATGCTGGTACTGATAAGCTCATAGTCAGAACCTTACTTCACAAAAAAAAAACCCTTCACAGAGCCAGGTCCAAGGCAGCCAGGATCTGCGTGCGCTCATTGGCCAATACATATCGCGCTCGCAGTGAGCACCGTATTGGGCTTAGCCTCAGGCTCCCGAATTAAGCTCAGGCTCAACATCAGCCATTTTTCCTGGCAGTCCGAGACTCTGGTCTGACTTCGATATTACAACCGCTTCGGTCATAGCATAGGCCTAGGCATATATGCTAACATAGGCATAGGGCGTTCTCGGCCAGATATTTGATTCGATTCCATGTGCTACCACGCCCGAGAATGAGATACAGCCTCGCTCAGCCCCAACCGAACGCCTCTCTGATTCTTTGATCTTCAACTAGGCGCCACCATTCTGAACAGATCGATTGTACTGTACTGTATATAGGACATCGAAGACGCCTTTTCTTTGAGCCAGCTCACAGCATCTCATCCTGCTCCATGGTCTACTGTTGCAAGCCAAGCAGAGGCTGCGGTGCGTGCCGTGCCCGCAAAGTCAAGGTGAGACTCTGGTTTATTTATTTATTTGACTGCGTCTATTGCGTAAGAAATCGTCGATTACACCAAGATTTATTTAACCAAACAGTCGACGCTCGTGTTGTGAACTTCTGACTTCGCAGCTCGCAATACTAACCCGTTTTGGGCAACAGTGCGACCAAGCCACGCCGGCCTGCAAGCGCTGCCTTAAGTCCAACCGCATCTGCCCTGGCTATCGCGACCAATTGTCGCTGCTGTTCCGCGACGAGAGTAGTGCTGTCGCCCAGAAAGCGAAATCTGCTGCTGCTCATCGCGACAAGAAGAATAGCAATCATTATGTTCCACATTCCCCGGGCCCATCGTCGTCAGCCAGCACCAGGTCAGACGCAGGCACCGAATTTGACCTGAATACACAGACGGCAAGTCTACATTCAATCTCGCCCTCCGACGATGCACATTATGGATTCGGCGACGACGGTGATGATGATGATGATGATGATGATGATGATGCGCAATACGCTTCTCTCAATCTCGTGCCATTGGTGTCATTGTCTGTAGATCGCAGACAACAGGCCATCTGCTTTTGTCTCAGCAACTTTGCATGGCTGAATAGTAGCATACATGGGTTCAATATCGACGCCGATGTCTCTCCCACGGCTTCTATGGCTGAAAAGGCCATGATGAAGGGAATCGTGTCGGTGGGCATGGCCAATATCTCTAGACGGGGGCCTTCCTCTCAGTCCTTGAAACTGCGAGCGCAACGCGAGTACTCCAACGCATTGAAGTTGACGAATGCGGCTATTTCTCATCCAGAGCAGGCAACCGATGATGCCACACTTACTGCGGTTCTGTGCATGTCACTGTTCGAGGTGTGTATCTTGTCGCCGGTCGTCTTTGCTAGCCCTATTCTGACAGTCGAGTCATGTTCTAGATTGTGACGAGCAGAAAGCCAGAGAGAATAGATGCTTTTGTCGAACATACAAAGGGGGCAGTTGCCCTACTCCAGCTTCGCGGCGAGGCGCAGCTTGTTCGGAGCCAAGGTTTAGAGATGTTTCAATTTTTGCGAAATGAGATAGTAGGTAACACCCCCATCTTGTTTCTCAGTACCGTATTTACAATGTAAAAGCAATTGCTCACGCGTACCAAAAGATTGTCAGCTGCCTCATGAATTATCATCGGATTCCCCCAGCGTTACTTCTTCTGTCCGAGAAAGCCACCATGTTACCCAACGCGCCGTATATGGCTAAAATATCACATCTATTGTGCGTTATCATGGCCCGGATAAGCGAAATCCGCATCGAAGATCTCCGATCGCAGCGCCCAAGTCTTGATACCAGCATCTTAACCCGTGCGTTTGCTGTGGACTCGCAAATCGAAACAATGATGGAATTATCGCCATCGCAAATCCTGCCTCAGATATACACTAGCGCCCCCGGACAATTCTTTGGAAACGCAGAATATATTGCCCCCTTTGAAGGGGTGTATCATACGTACGAATCATTCTCTAGCGCGATGGCAGCGAACCATTTCCGCTATTCCCGGCTTTTGATTCTCGAGGTGATCTTCAACCGCTATCAACGAATGGCTAGCCACCGCGATTTTATCCCGTCGCCGGAATTCAAGGACCATTGCTATTGGCTTCGTGATCTAGCGCGAGCGCTGGCTCGGGATATATGCGCTACAGTGCCGTTTTTCTGTGGGTTTATCGATGCATCCAACCCCAACCTCAACGGGCAGAAGCTTGTCAGCACCGCGGGCGGAATGGCTCTTCTCTTCCCCTTGTATGTCGCAGCGAGTGTTGATGGTTACGGTTCTGCCCGTAGTCATTGGATCGCGCGTTGCTTTAATCTGATTGGCAGAGAGATGGGGATCGATCAAGCCCTGGCTCTGATGGAGATCCTCCCTGTAGAACACGGCATGACCGGGTTTATTGATTCTTTGTAGACTGGGATGGAAGTAATTTTTTTTTTTTTTATAATCGCACATATTACAAATACCATTAATGATTGGGGGTACATCAATTCAAAGCCGCATTCGATCTAAGCCTCGAAACTGCCTCCGGTACAGCCATGAGCCTCTTGCATTGTGGAGGTATGTATAAGAATACATAGGCCAGGCCACAGTCCTACCAAACTCGTAGTTGTTTTCGGAGTGCATAGCCGAGCACGTGCGGCCATGAGGCCGCACAAGGCTGACTAGCACTGCCTGAGGCACCTTCCGGCAAGAAGCAATTTGTCTTTACTAACAGTCCACAATTAATGGCAAACTCCGCCATATTACTGTATTAGGTTATGCATCGCCCCAAGTAAATTACCTTCGGAGCCATTCGAGGACTAGGGAAGAATCAATAAATTAATCCAGCCTCTGAAGATGAGGCTCGTATCACAAAGGCAAATTTGGACCTTGCAACATTGCGGCGATGTGATCCAAATAGGAATGCCCTCAACCACTTTTGCAACGGCAATCAATGCCCCTAAGGCGGAATCAGTTGTTTTCACCAGTGTTTGAGTGTGGAGCGTCCTTGTCCATCGGGGTATATAAGAGAGGAGGAGTCGAGACAACATGTAGACAATTACCTCAAACGGGGTGTGAATCAGGTTGTTTGACAAAGAGCCAATACATATTTCTGTGCACCAAACAACAAACACCAAAGCACGCAAAGAAAGACTCCTTCCGTCTCGCTCATATTCCTATCCATCATGCCTCTCCTCGGCAGCACCAGATTGTCGTCCGCAAATTCCTTCCTCTTCAGGTCGTCCTCCAAGCGAGACTCCAGCATGGGCTCAGCACAGAGTTCGAACAAGCACGGTAGAAGGAGTTTCTACCTCAACTCACCAAGCACGGGCAACTTCGACACCAGCCGCAGCCGCAGCCGCAATTACGCCGGGTTGAAGTCTAACGACCCTTGGGGGCCCCCTCCGTATACCCCAGAACCAGACCCAGTCCAGCCGTTCAGCCCCGAAGATATCCAGGCTTCTTCTTCCTCTTCTTCTTATTCTTCTCCATTTGTGCAAACCAACGCTGAAGACTCTGAATATGCTTTCCTGGCGAACTTCGACACCATTTTCTTGGTAGACGATAGCGGCAGCATGGCCGACAGATACTGGAGAGAAGCAGAAGAGGCCATTGCCATGATCACTCCAATCTGTACACAGCACGACCCGGATGGCATCGACCTCTACTTCCTGAACAACTCGAACAATGCCCAGCGAGGCGGTGGGTACACCAATATCATCTCCCCCAGCGCCGTTCAGGATATCTTTCGACGCGTTCGACCGTACGGCATGACCCCCGTGGGCCAGCGTCTGAGTCAGATTCTGTTCCCGTATCTGCGCCGAGTAGAGAAAATGGCAGCCAACACGGATGATTACGGGCAGTTGAAGAACGCAGCGTATGCAGTGCGTCCCATCAATATCATTGTCATCACGGACGGGGTGTTTAGCGATGATGCAGAGAGCGTGATTCTCAATGCGGCGCGCACTCTAGACCGATGCCAGACGATCCCCTGGCAAGTGGGCATCCAGTTCTTCCAGATTGGCTCGGATAAGGCAGCCCAACGGCATCTGGAGCAGTTGGACGATGAGCTGTGCAAGGCAGTGAAGAATGACCATGTGCGCGATATTGTCGATACGGTACCGTGGAAGGGCCAGTCGGGCCGGACGCTTTCCGGGGATGGGGTTCTAAAGGTTGTGCTGGGGGCGGTCAATAAGAAGCTGGACCGGCAGAAAGTTTAGTAGTCTGCCTTTTTTTTCTTTCTTTTTTCTTTTTTTTACAAGGCAGCGATTCTATTCATGCTTAGTCCTAATCTCTAGTTTTCACTACAAGATCAATTCAGCTCATTCTACTCTCCATACAAGTGCCTAGACAGTCATGATGAAAGCATTGCCATGGCCATCCTCGGAGACAATCACTGAAACACTCCTGCATGACGCAAGTCTCCCATGCAAGGGGCAGTCCAAAGTGGGCCGGCGGCTAATCCGGAAGATGGCAAGCATGATTGGCTGACGACAGTGGGGAACACTATGTTTAGACTTTAGCCTGCCAGATGGCGATGCGTACTATTTGTCTAGCGGGAGGAAGCGGACGTTTCTTCAATCCGACTGATCATATTGACATATTCATGAGTTTATGATAATGCAACAGACCAGACAGAGGCAAGCATGATGTACGGAGCGTTCTGTGAGGGGTGCAAGTGCGCCTTGCAGGCTTGCAGGCTTGCTGACAACCAATCAGACGGGACACTGGTATTTACTCTGGCGACCCCTGTGAATAGATTATAGCCGTCAAATTCCTGAATGAACTAGCTTGGCGGGCGCTGATTGGCTGCCGGACACGCATCAGATCGGACTAGAAAAGAAGGCCACCCCGTGCTCCAAGCGTTGGCCTGTCTCCATTTTATTTTTGTTTTTTTTCTACACGTCACGCACGTCCTCCGTACTCGCAGAAAGCACAATGCCCTTGTCTATTTGCGAGAGCATGGCAGTCTCACCTCTAGGCGGCACACTTGAGACTACTGCGTGATTGTGATTATCGTAGTAAGAATACGTGGTCATGACTGACTAGTAATGCCTAGAATAGACTGCTTCAGACAAGCGCCCACAAAGCCCAGCAACGCGCCGTGATTGGCCTGTTCCTACGTGGGCGGGGCCCTAAGCGCCCAGTCTACAACGAGTTTAGCGAAATTGCTTCATCGTTCATCGCGCGCTTCTGGCATCTGATTGGCCCTCGTGTTCCAACCTCGAAAAGCGCCTTCACCTCCCCTCGTCCTCGTCCTCCTCTCCTCCTGCTCTGTCCCCGGCAAGGGCATGCAGTCCCAGGATTACGCCTCTGTTTCATCGCCAACCCCCTCCTCTGCTCCGTCATCCGTTTCTGACTCTCCACTCAATGGATGATGCCCCGGTTCCGTCCAATTGACTGATCCATTGGATCGAGGGTCTTCACCAAGAATAGAAACGCTGAAACGCCAGCGACAATCCGAAACAGGCGCAACAGCTCAGCTATATATACAGGATACAAGCCTTGCTCTGCCTGCTCTCTGCCTTGACACATCCAAGCCACTGCTTCGTTTCTTCGTTTTCTGCCTTTGCGTTGCTTGTATTTCTAGCAGTCGTTCTTTCATTCCTTCCTTCTATTACCTTCAATATTTTTTTGGTCGTTCGCTCAAAAGCACATCATACATATCATCCTGCGCAGTGTATATATACGCCCATTGTACTGTACATTCTCTTCGGTCTTGTTTTCTTCCTGGATTTAGACGCAGAACATGTCGTCCACCACTTTAATCACATTCCTTGTGTGAGTATGCCTGTGACATCTCGATATGAAACGAGGAGACTGATCGCAACAGGCGTGCTCCGTCCAATGTCAGATCAGTTGACTTGGTGGGATCATGGGACAATTTTTCCCGCCCATATGCAATGGAACGGGACAGGCGTATGGGTGCTGGCCACTGGCGAGGTTGTCATACATTTACCGATATTGTGCGCGACGGAACATCTCCGAGTCAATCCCCCGGCCGGTCCGGAGGATTGAAAATGGGAGGCACTTATTGGTACTATGTAAGTGAACCCTGATCTTCATGATCTTCCCGCGGCAACGCTAATATCTAGTTCGCTTCGATCAGTACCGTTTGGATGGAGACGCTGAGTTTTATAATGAGGTCGAGCCCGTCACTTCTCTCTGTCCGCTCTTACCAGGCCAGCCCGTCAATGTCCTGAACGTCCCGATCATTCTGCCTGATACCGATCACTTGCATCGCCGTGACAATAGCATAAGCTCAGTCAAGTCGGATCAGCGGACAATGGATCCCAAGGACAAATTCATGAACCCACGAACTCCCCCCAAGCCGAGGCCCGGCCTTCCGCGCTTGAAAACGTCTCCCGAGTTTTACCAGCAAGCAGCACCGTCGTCATCGTCTTTCTTTAATCTTTCCAACTCAAATGACAATCGGTCACCTATGTCCCAGCCAGCTAGTTCAACTCACAGCCCCATGTTCCGCCTTGCGCCTAAAGTCAAGGTTGCCAGGTCTGTGTCCCCCCCTCGGTCGAGAGGGCTGCGGGCCGCATTCTTGAACATTGCTGGTACTCGATCGCCCGGTGTTGATCACAGTGATGATTACATCAACAATTATAATAATAACGCCTACCATGATCCTCAACCGGTTGTCAGGACGGAGCGATCCAATTCGCCCATGCGACCACCTGTTCCGATTTCGATTCCCAGCTCCAATAATAGCTCGAAAGTGGCATCACCAATGGGTAGTCCAATTGAGCTCGATGGGATGGAAACCAGAAAACTACCATTCCGCCACCCACAGGTCGATCATGAACAAACCCGTGGGCCACCCTCAATCCGGGTACGTCGCGCTTCAAAGTCCAGCCGGGATAACACGCCTCTCCCGGAGCTTTCACTGCTCGGTTCTTCTTCTTCTCCGTCCTCAACCAAGACGGAGCTGTCTGGCTTCTCACGCCCTCCCCGACTCGAAACTCTTGAAGAGGCACTGTCTCAGCGGACTACACCGATGGTACTGGATCCGCAAAAGCTTTCGACTACGCCAAGTCCAATATCCACACCGGTGCTTTTCCACTTGCGGGAGAAGCGACTTCCGACACTACCGAACTCTCCTTCTTCGGTAATGGACGCCGAACTACGCGCTATTGATGCGCAATACAGACCGATTGACATGGAGCTGCTGCGCAGCCACTTCTCAGACGACACCTCTGGGATTGCGTCGACTCTTTACAACTCTGAGTCGCAATCTCCACAGGAGAAGAGCCGCTTCTCAGAATGGAGCACCGACACTGAACTCGTTTCTCCGGCATCTATGACTTCCAGCTCCACCTTCAATGCCGATCATCTTTCTCACTCTTCGCCGTTACTCAACCACAGTCATCACACTGCCAACAACGATAATACCGGCAATGCCGAGTATGATCGTGCTCTCGAAGCTCCCCTCCCGTCTATCTCGGTCAGCGGCCCAACCACTCCAGTCCTCAGCAGCGAACCAGAAATCATTCTCTCTCCTATCGAGCTAACCTCGGATTCTCCTTTACTACCATCAACTGCTGCCGTTACTAGCCCCATAGACCTTGAATTTTCCTCCATCAATTTTGAAGAGTGCGATTACGACAATAGGACCGATTCGTTTCACGTATCAGATCCTAAACGTCAGGGAGCAATTCTGCCTTTTCTCCGAGTTGTTACTCCGCTGTCTGTATCTGCTCATCAGACGGAGCATCAGTTGAAGCGGTCCTCGGAGGATTACACTGTGCAGTCGGCAGCTATGAAAGAGTTGATGGAAGAGATTGGGTATTTGGGGGATATGATTTCGTCTGGATTATGATTCTCTCTTCACCCCCCCCCCCTTCTTTTTCCGAAGATGTACATTTCACATTTCATTCTTCCATCATTGCATTCAAGGCGTTTTTCTTTCTATTTTGCTGATATATATTCAGACCTGTTCCACAACATTATGCGACGTCACCAAGCTAAGCCCTAATTCATCGTTTGTTTTATGCGATAGACTACATGTATATCATGCCATATGTCGCGTCACTTATGCATTGTATCTAGATACTAGATAGGGCTATAGATACTGAAACTTTTGATATATAATTACTTCCAAAACACTACCCTCAAAACCGGACCCGATAGGCGTATGAAGCAGTGAACAACCGAATTATAATGTCCCCAAATTCAGTACATGACCAAACGCCTCATCAAGAATCGCAAGACCCTCTTCTATCTCCTCCGCCGAGACCGTAACAGGCGGCGCCAGACGGAAAACACCGCCCATGCCCGGCAAATTGACAACGTTGCAAGACAAACCGCACGCCATTGCCCTATCCGAAACAGCCTGGCCAAGATCAGGACCGGGGGCCTTCGTTTCCGGGTCTGAAATAATCTCAATCCCCTGTAAAAGACCCCTCCCTCTGACGTCGCCTATACACCAGTATTTCTCCTGCAGCGTGAGAAGACCCTCGCGCAACTGCGCGCCTCGCTCAGCGGCACGCTGGCACATCCCATCCCGTTCTATGATTTCGAGCACTTTATTGCCCACCGCTGCAGTCAGCGGGTCGTTGAGATGCGTGGTTAGCCATAGAAATCCGGCTTCCTGGCAACCGCGTTCAATTTCACTTGTGGTACTGACGGACGCCAGGGGTAGCCCGCATCCAAGTGTCTTGGACAAGGCCAGAATGTCGGGCACAACTCCATCCCTCTCAAATGCAAACATGTCGCCTGTCCGCCCAACCCCGGTCTGCGCTTCGTCCATGATAATGAGCATCCCTCTCTTCTTACACTCGATGCTCAGGCGCTGCAGATATCCATCCGGTAGATCGAGTATGCCGCCGGTTGACAGGATGGGCTCCAAGATGAAAGCCGCCAGCGAACCGACGCTTTGCCGGTCAATCATCGACCATGCGAAATCCATTTCTGTTTCCCAGTCGTACGATCCGTCGGGCTTGCGGAAGGGCGAGCGGTAGGCATACGGGGCTGGGAACGCCAGTTGGCCAGGCACGCACGGCCCGCCTTTCCTTCGGCCGGCGGAGTAGGTTGCTGAACCAGAGCCCTGGGTGAGACCATGGTAGCTGGCGGCAAAGGCGACAATCTCGAATTTGCCGGTGTAGCATTTGGCCATTTTGATAGCGGCTTCGGTGGACTCGGAGCCCGTGTTGAGGAAGAAAGATTTTTCCAGGGGCGCAGGCAGGAAGCGGGCTAGGCGTTCTGCTAGCTCGACCACAGGCTGGGTGATCATGTTGCTAAGGAGATGGTCTAGTTCAGCAACGTGCTTCTGCACGACCTCGACGATTTCCGGGTGCGAGTGGCCGAGCAGCGAGCTCATCTGGCCAGAGGTGAAGTCGAGGATTTGCCGCTGGTTGGCATCGTATAGCCTAGTGCCCTTGGCTTTGGTGATGACTACAGGCGAGAAAGGAACTCCGGTTTTCATCAGATATTTGTCCGCTTTGGAGAAGAAAACGGAGGTAGATTGCGTTGAAGCCATGGTGTTCTAACCCTAAACGCACGAATCAATCGATCAATCAATCAATGAACGGATCGATCTGTCGAGAAACGAGAAGGAGAGGAATATAAAACAGAGGCCCAGCTCTTAATAATGCGAGATCATCTTTGCGCGCCATTTTATCAGCCCACCACCGCCGCTGAGCAATATTCCTTTGAATCTGATTGTTTGGACGTGGTCGGCAGCATCCGCGGTGAACATCGCGAGAAATATCCCGCGGGCAAGATAACAAGCCAACCCTTATCTTATCGGGAAGAGAGGCTTTTTAATTGGCGGAGTTGGCCGCGGAAGAACGCCCATCATTATCAACAGGAGAGAACAGTGAACACCATCACTCGTGGTCCATGGACAGCGAGTTGAGTCTGCAATGCACGGATTCTGGAATAGCAGTGAGTCGCAGATGGAGCCGGGGTCTATCCAGCGTCCTGCCGGTATCGGGAGGCCCTACCGGTCTCACCTGCATCCGGCTTGTCTGCCCTGCAAAAGACGCAAGTCTCGTTGCAGGACACGAGACTCGTCAGCCTCATGTCTGATGTGTCAGGTGCATGGTACTAGCTGCGTGTTTCCTCAGCTTGATTACCGCTCTGCGCAGCGCGAGGTAATGCTCTCGTCGCCGCGGAGGCTGGCGGCCAAACCGAGAAATGCGACTACAACTGGCAGCCCCTCGCACAGCGCCCAGGTTCTATTGAGTCCAGACGTTAACCGCCAAATAAGAGCTCGTCATTCCAATTCTCATTCTCACAGCCCAGGGTCACCAGCCAGAGGCAACCCGCAGACATCTTATACTCAGATATTGGGTACTGGTACAGAAGAAACCCCTTCAAACCTGAGGAGCATTGTTGCCGAGACTGGAGAAAACAGTTCGCACATTATCAGTCCGGCCGTTGTCGCCGACAGTGAATTTCTGGAAAGCTATCTCTCTACCATTCCAGATGCTCGACGCACCAGCCTGATCCGCACAAATGTGGCCTCCAATCGACCCGTGAGGCCGGTGCTGTTCAACACAGTGTCAAGACGTCCGTTAGGGGTCTCGTCCAGTCAGTCTATTCCCGCTGCAAAATGTGAGCTCATCGAGAAATATTTAGAACCCTCCGTAGAACATGTTGTGAATTTGTTGGTCCCCAACCTAAAGTTAGCTGCATGAAGGGTGTCTGACGAGGTGGTTTGTTAGGTTTTTTGAATATGCCAATATATGCTTCCCGGTCTTTGATGAAGCTTCTTTTAAGGATGTTTACCATACACACAAGGACAAGATTTCTCCAGCTCTTCTGAGCAATTTATATGCAAACGCCCTTATCTATTGGAACAACTCGCCGGCGCTATCTGCCCTTCGCTCGCCGGATATTCGCTATATCTGGAATCAAGCGAATGAAGCACTCCATTCAGAGCTTTTCCTCTCTCCGGGCATATCCACTGTCATGGCTATTATTCTTAATGTTTGCGGCAGACCGAGCACTTCCATCTTCGGTAATGGAGGTATGGTCGGGACTGCAGTGGCGTTATCTAATGCCTTGGGACTGAATCGTGACCCGTCAAACTGGAATATATCGCCGTTAGAAAAGAAGTTTCGAATTCGGATCTGGTGGCTGGTTGTTTTGCACGATCGTTGGTAAGACTGTCACTTGGACCACCGGCGAGTATACACTGACAACAACATTTGCAGGTGCAGTTTGGCGTACGGCACGCCTCTTCAAATCCACCGTGCGCAGTATGATGTTGCCTTTCCAGTCATCGACGACCTCTGTACCCCAGACTCAACTCCAGCTCAGGTAGCGGCCGCTTCGGTGTTTGTTGCTTTGACGACTTTGACCGAAGTCCTAGCTCAATACTTGGAGCATGTATACAACGTGTCGAGCAGCGGAGAATTTCCCTTTTCGAAGATGTCCGCCATGGACCTTGAGAGAGCCTTGAGTGCGTGGGAAGAATCATTGAGCGACGGCATACGTAGAATAGTTGTACGTGGAACAAACCTCAACGCGCCTGGGGCTGCAAACTTCCGACTTGCCTACCTCGCAGTCAAGCTTTTACTTAGACGCCTACAACTCGACGCCGACAGACCCGCGGCAACAACAATTGAAAACTATGACGAGGACGGTACAGGCTCGCCCTTCTATATCCAGGCTCAGAGAGCAGCCGAAGAAATCGTGCATCTGATGCAAGAGCTAGACGAGTCACATTTTCGCGGTTTCTGGATTCCCGTCAACGCATTATGTCTTACATCCGCCACTACATTCTTACTGCGGACTGCTCTTCGAAAGAGGAGTTCTGCGACATCCGTGAATGCTCCGCTCAATATCTCTAGAGACATGATTCAGGTGCTTCGGTCTCACCGTCAGAGATTCGCTTGGGATCTAGCAGATGATTGTCTAGCGGCCTGCGGCGAGCTAGTAGATAAAATCACCTGTTATCCAGAGATGAGTACTGGTGGTGGCGGCGGCGGTGGTGATATTGCCTCAGACTCTATTCTTCCTTGTTTCCAGGAAAATGGCGATATCAGTCAATCGGTATTGGATGAACTATTTGTCGACTTTCCAGGACTTGCAGATACTATTGGTATCTAGTATTGTTTCCATTCACCTATATAATACTATAATAATGAATGCCTCTATAGGTTGGACTCGGGCAAAAAAGGGGCATGTTCTGGTTCGTCATAAACGATTCTTCGAGAGCTGCCTAGCTATTCCTCAGCCGGAGTTCTCCCTCATCGACAGGATAAGGTTATCAAAGAGAATCAACACGAAGCATGTTTGAAAATGGCCAGCCCATTCTCTCGCATTCCACTGGAAGTATTGATCATTATTCTTCGATATGCACATATCCAGGCGATTTGCCGAAATCTCACGGAGCTATGAATAGAGCAAATATTCGGCAGATCAGTCCATACAATGGACCGAGAAAAAAAGTATAGGCCATGATGATCGCCATCATTGTCTAATTCTCTCTTCTCTTTTTTTCATCGTCATCACCATCAATATCTTCACTATTAATACACGGAACGCCTAACTAGGTCAGATAAACAACGCCCCGCCCCCCACGCCATCAACGAAGACGATGATAGTATTACTATTTGAAGTTCATATTGTGTCTTTGATTAACTCATTATATAGCTATCACCAATGTACACTATCCTGCTGAAAAGACAACCCTAATATATTAGCTCTAGTACACATATTTGAAGTACTTGTTCTGCAAGTCCGTCTCATCCAACAGACCCTTCTCGTACGCCAGTATATGAAACTCAGCCGTCTGCATATCAGCATGCAGAGCACGACGCGAGCGATTACGGCACCAAAGGAGAACCCAGATTCCTGCAAGGCTCACTACCTGGATGCCAATACAGAAGAACATCATTGCCACCCCAAGCGGATACTCGGGAGCCTGGTATGATTTGAAGAAAAACGGCCCCACGAAATTCCCGAGACAATACCCGATGAGTAGCAGAGCGTTTGTGGTGATCTTCTTCGTGTGGCCTGCCGTGTTCGCTGTGGCTACTGACATGGACAGTGTCCATGTCGCAGTGTACGTGAATGAAATCCATAGGCATACCAAGCGTCCATACGGCTTGGATTCGTCGATTAGCCACAGACCAATTATCCCGACTAGAAACGGAACAAGACAAAGAAGCATGACTGTCAATCTGCTGTTCCTATAGCGAGAGGCAAAATAACTAGGCTGGTATTAGCGGGATGATACCGACAATGCTCACTCAGGCTTTGTTTCTTACCAGGCTAGTGGACAGACTATCAACTGGACAGCGCCGGAGGGCATTTGGATGAGTGTTGTTTGAAGCGTGGAGAAGCCCATTCCCTTAATTATCAGGCTTTGAAACTAGACACAGGCAAGGATGAGTATATAATTTTCATACAAATCGTGCTACAGTTACCGAAGAAACATACCGAGGTCAATCCTCCATTGGGCGAATTGCTAGTCACAGCGAAGAGGAAAAGAAGCCATGTCTTGAGGTCCATCATGGCCTCTCTAAACTGAGGCCATTTGAATGCTCTATTCTCAATCCCGGTGCCGTTTCCCTTGACTCGATTGACGACCAACGCCCGTTCATGCTCGGTCAGAAACTTTGTGGTGAGGGGGGATCCAGGGAGTAGGAACAGCAATGCTATGCCCCATGCAGCCGTGATGGAGCCCCATATGATGAAAAGAAGTCTCCAGCTGGAAATGGAGGATTTGATATGGCCAATACCGAAACTGGCAATGCCAGCGATCACGTATCCGAGACCCGCGGATCCGATCCAGATGCCCATGCGAAGAGGCTGCTCGCGGCGCTCGTAGTACATGGAAAAGAGCAACATTGTGCCTGGGTTGATGGATGCCTCGAATACACCCAGGAAAAAGCGAGTAGTTGCCTCGCCGGCAAAGTTCTTTGCTGCCCCATGGCAAATGAGCACAATGCCCCAGATAATTACCTAGCAGCAAGTTAGACTCGGGTCATTATATTATGAAAGACTCTGGAATCTGAGGTTTTTCTTACAGTCCCTGACATGAAGCGGCTTATAGGAAGCTTCTGCAGCAATAAATTGGTAGGGAACTCCCAGATCAGGTATCCCAGGTAGAATATGGCACCTAGCCAAGAGTATTCAGTGCCGACAAGATGCAAGTCCTCTTCCAGGCCAAACACAGCGGCATAGCCCAGGGTCGTCTTGTCGATAGATTGCAGAGCATAGGTCAAGCACAGCAGGGGGAGGAGAGTCAAATCAAGTTTCCAACGCAGCTTCTTGTTTGCTTCCTGGGAGTTGACATCTTCGACAACCTCGCCCTCGTGCAGAAGCTCCAGGGCCTTAGCCGGTTCCGAGTCAACAGCGGCCATGGCCTCCTTGCCTATTTTTGTTGGCTGTTCAAGATTCTCTGACATGTCGATATATACCATGTACATATATAACAACCTTGCACAGTGTGAAAAAAAAGCGCAATTGCTCTTTGCTGTGATCCAACGCCCACACAGTCTTCGTGCCTTTGGCGTCGTGGCTCCTCTTATGCTATTTGATTGCTCGGATTGCGCAGTAGTCTGTGATACTCAACGTCAGACGCAATCTGCCTCCAAAGCCAAAGTGGATATACTGGTTATCAGCCTATCTCAAGCAGAGTTGTCCGCGGGACTCTTATCGCAACCAGAATCTTTAGGGCTTCACGGAGTGGGGAATCTGGAGACAGCCAAAAGAAAGTCTCGGCGAGTCCGCGGCGACGCCCGAAGCTTTTCTCTTCTCTCAGTCATAGTATAATTGCGAGACCAAGAACGTGAAATGAATAAAATAAAAAGAATATACTCTCGCAATGGCATCGGTACATCCCTATCAAAAGCTGCAAATCGACGAGCGCGTCAAAAGAGTGCTGCTCAAGACGCCCCTAATCGACGGTCATAATGATCTGCCGCAGCAGCCAAGGGCCATCTTTCATGGCCAGATTCACAATAATCCGAAATTCGATTTGGAGAAGGGATTCCAGCGAGGAATGACCGATATTCCTCGCTTGCGTGAAGGTGGGCGGCTAGACATAAGAGTCCATGGACTGGGCTGACTTGACAATCACTGACAGGTGCTGTCGGCGGCCAATTCTGGTCTGTCTGTGTTCCCTGTCTAAGGTCTGCGGAGGATTTCTCAACGGCCGAGTACTCGGATATGGCCAGAGACGCGATTGAGCAGATTGACTTAACGCTGCGCTTGGTTGAGTCGTACCCCGATGTCTTTCAGCTTGTCAATGGGCCTCAGGATGTGAAGACTATATATGAATCAGGCAAAATCGCTTGCTCGATTGGTATTGAGGGGTGAGTTTCATTTAGTTAGGAGCATGAAACGGATTAGCTAACGCGTCCACCACCAGATTGCACATGGCTGGGAATAGTATTGGAATTATCCGTGCCTTCTATCGTCTGGGTGTGCGATATGTGAGTAGAAGTTTTACTGTACAAATCGAGTAGTGCTAACATAGGCTTATCCATAGTGTACTCTTACACATGTGTGCAACAATGCTTTTGCGGATAGCTCTACATCCAAGGTTGGCCCGGTGCATGGAGGATTATCGCGGCTTGGGAGATCAGCAGTGATTGAAATGAATAGATTGGGTATGTATAAGTTTGGATCTTATCTAAGCACGCTCCAGGACCTCACTCACATTGCCATACAGGCATGATCGTCGACTGCTCGCATGTCTCCGAAGACTGTGCCCGGCAGGTGCTACGCTTAACCAGAGCGCCTGTTATGTTCTCGCACTCCAATGTGAAGTCAGTATTTGACTGTGCACGAAACCTGCCTGATGATATATTAGACATGGTTCCATCCAACGGCGGCATTGTGATGGTAACATTCGTGCCGGAGCATGTAGCCACGAGGCGCGCAGACGCTACGATGGACATGGTGCTAGATCACTTGTTTTATATTGCTGAGCGAATCGGCTGGGACCACGTCGGCCTCGGGTCTGATTTTGACGGAATTGCCTCTGTGATTCACGGTCTAGAGGATGTTAGATGTTATCCTCGCCTGCTACAGGCTATTCTCGACCGGGGGGCCACTGAAGAGCAGCTGGCAAAGGTTGCCGGTGAGAATCTATTGCGTGTATGGAAAGGCGTCGAAGATGTACGAGACGAAATGAAGGCAGAAGGCGTGCTCCCCGTGGAAGACGTATGGGAAGACCGCACATGGTGGCGCTATGATGGATACTATCAGATGCCAGATCCTGACCCTGAGGATAAACTGGGGCTGGATTGGTATGGTGTGCCGCCCCCTGAGGAGGGGCTATACCTTGATTCATGATTATTTGAGATGTTTATAGTGCCTAAGTATGACTATGTATTGAGAAGTCCACGAGTACTTATGCGGTTGAATTATCAGTAGGAAGGTCAGAATTGCTAGACGACTTGGTGTAGAGGACCTTTGGAATTGAGGGTATCAGCAGGCTGCACTCGAAGAAACTTGGAATTGCGATAATTATGGGTCTCGGTCTAATCAGCTTGTTTCATTCTAATTTTTTAGCTAGTTATAAAATGAATCTATCATGATGTAGCCGGAAACGCGGGAGAGAGATGATATATGTATCTATATATATCGACTAACAATTTTAACTCGAATTTCAAAAGTTCGACATCTACCGCTTTTTATAAACTTCATGAAAACACTTTGTAAATAAAATCAACAGTAAACATAAGCAAACATCGACTGCTTATTCTCAAATCTGAGTGATCGTTTTGTATAAGATCATGGGATCTTGGCGTTCCGCTCCCGTGTGGACGACAGAAAAACAAACATCTGCATCCATCAGCAAAAATCATCGACAGAGGCCCTCTCCACGCGTTTGAAACAAGCCAAGATAATCAGCCATGCCTGACATCGCGTGCTAGTAAAGCCATGACGGAAAATAACAGCAATGACACGCTTCAGAGCCTCCCACAGCTTCTCGCGGTCGCCGAGAAAACGCTCCCGGCCAAATGCAAGGATGGACTCCTGGCCTACTGTCCGACCATGGACCTTGTCGCCCTGGCCTCTGAGAACGAGCAGGTTCACGTTTTCAGACTGAATGGGCAGCAAGTCCTGGAAGCTGACCTTGCGGGTGACCCCTACTTGGACGAGGTCAAAGGCGAGGTGAGAGGGATCAGGTGGAAGAACGACGGTAACCTAACTTTCTTGTTTCTTTGATCTGATTCAAGTGTTGATACTGACTGGTACATGCAGGTCGTCTATTGGCAGTCGCTGATGCTGAGAACAAACTTCGCATTATAAGCTCTTACACTGGCAAAACGGTACATCATTACTCGTGTCTGTCGCACGAGGAACAGCAGCAATATGGAGAGACAGATGACGCGAGCAAAAAAGAAAGAGACCTTCAAATTTCCTGCATTGGATGGGGAGTGAATTTCACAGATAGCAAAGCTGCGCAAACCCATCTGCGAGATGCAAATGGCCATATCACAGTCGAAGATCTTCTAGCACCAGACACCGATCCAGTAAAGGCGGCTCTCCAGCTCAAGGCAGATCTGCCCCTTGAACTGGCTCTACTCGATGTGGAAAGCTCATTGCCGAGGCTAAGCACTTTGCCAGGAAGTGGAAGCGAGTGAGTTTATTCCTGCTATACGGAGTATAATTCGTGGCGCGTTGTTAATTCTCCTTTCAGTGAAGATGTATTCAGCAGCCGCACTTCAATCGACGCTATCTTCCAGTCCTTCAACAAAATTTCGAGTGATGCTGTAGATGTCTTGTTCGTGGGCCTCAACAATGGCAGAGCACATCTTAGAATTTTTGATTGTTTCGAAATCGGAAATTTTTCAGTTACACCAAGCCAGACACAGCCGTCAAGTCACGTTGAAACATTGGCGCATACTTCACACCCGATGAGTTCGACACATGCAATCCTACTGTCGGAAAAAACGGACAGTTCTCCGGACCCAAGCATTAAAGTGGTATCGCTCGATCTGAGATTCATCACAAAATCTGGACGCTACCTGTCCTTGTTGGCCTTTAAGATCACTCAGCTGCAGAATCTGCTCAGATACATTAACCAGACACAACGACAGATTACACTTGAGTGGAAGAATGTCTACGAATTGCCGGCTCGATTCATGCGGAGTATTGCAGATGAGTTGCAGGAGAAGTGTCATTGTGATTTCGTTACTGCTTTGTACCATCTTCTAGTAACAGGGAATTGCTTTCCACCGATGAAGGATTTTCTTGTGGATATTGTGGGTGAAAGGGTAAGAATCTCTATCTTCTATGACAATCATCATCATTTCATTCTGACTATCGGAGCAGGGCCACAAACGATGGGAGAAGACAGTGGCCTCGGGTTATGAGAACGTGCGAAGATTGACACACGAATGTCTATTGCCTGCATTGGGACGATGTGAGGTTCTTCTCAGTCGGCTGATTGGTATATCGAAATTCCAGAAACTCAACCACATCCTCGGACTCGAAACGCCGGATCTGCAAGAAGTTGTCGGCACACTTGATTGCCTCCATCTCCTATCTCATTCAATCCTGACAAAGAGCAGTCGGGAGCTGTTTCAGTTCACAGAGTTTGCAAAATGGCTCCGCCACGAGATAGACATCCAGGGCGCCGAGCCCATGTCCCAGACCCTGGAGGAATTAGTTGAGAAGAGTGATTTTATCGACCATGCCACAACCCTTGATTACATAGAGGGTGCACTCACTAAGAGCTCTCTCCGTCGTTACATATCTTCAGGCCCCAAATCGACACCAGCATCCACAGAGTCGAAAAAGACTGCCTCCAGCGAAGGAAACCTCTCCTATTACCAAGCATTCAAGGATATGTTGGCTGCCGAGGAAAATGAACATTCGCGAGATTACAAGAACAAGACAGAAACTTCTCGACCTGACCTCCCAAAGCTAAATGACCTTATCGCACGTCTCGAGTTGCAATGTGGCAAAGTTTTTGGACAGATTGCTCTGACTCAAAAGCGAAGCATACTTCATCACTGTCTGCTCGCCTTACCCGCGGACTGTGATCCAGATGTAGTTGATACAACTATGCAGTATGAAGACCTTGATGATGCCGGAAATTCGTACGCGATTTATGTGACGACAAGGCTGAAATACTCGCCAGACACGCGTAAGATTGTCCTTCCACTCATGATATTGCTACGAAACCTGCATTACTAGAAAATCATACTGACCCTGGTGCAAGTTATTATATATCGGATCGATATTCAATGTATCAACGGCGTGAGTTCGTCCAAAGCTACTTCCGTAGCTTCGCTACGCCTGCCCAATGGCGAAATTAAACAGGTCCAATTTGTGGAAGATGGAACTGTGATGCTGCTGTATACAAACGAAGGTAAAATCCTCCATTCCGTCAATAATAATACTCGTGAATTCTTGGAACGAATGAATCCCAAGCTAATACATGATATACTAGACCGATCCTATCTACTCAATTTCCCCATCTCTCCCCCCTCGTCAAAGAACGATAGTGAACCCGAGTTCTATCCCAAATACGAAACCTACGACAATCTGACTGCCACTTTCACGCCCCCGATGCCCGATGCAATGGATCTAGATATTGCAAGCAAGCATGCGGATATTGTGTTGCATTGTTTTGCGGCCTCAGGTATCAAATCCAAGCCGATCAAACTGAGCGTTAATGGCCGCAAGGACAGGAGAGTTATTTGTGTCCTTTTTGCCGATATGATACACTACGAAGTTCTGCATATTGATCATCGATACGAGGACGAAGATGAAGAAGCCGAGGAATGAGGAATGGTCAGCAATAGCCCTAAGATCAGACATTGGAAGTAGAACAGTGAAGGTATCGAATAAGCCAAGGCGGGGTGGGAGGGGTAATTTTATGTATAGAGTTTTCAGAGCAGGGTATTATTCCGTGCAAACGAGGCCATAAAAAAAATCAAATCAAATCATCTATAGGGACTTGCACAAGGAGTACTTATAGGCTCTCCTTTTACCCTGGGTGCCCTGATAATTAGTAGTCGTCTGCTGCCAGGCTAAGGCTGCATTGCCGTTGCGTTTTAGGCCACACCGGGGCAGACTTGCTTGCCTTAGGCCACTAGATAGAGGCCACCTCGGGATCTTGCGACTACTTTCTGTTAAGCAATAATTTTCTGCCCTACACTCCTTCAGCCAACGACTGGAACGGGTTTTACTCTTGTATTAGTTGGTGCCAGTTGGTGATCGCCGTGGACGTATCAAATACGGTACCGTTACGGGCTGTATTGTGTTTTGGTGGTGGCTCCCGCCTTACGGATGGGCAATCCTTCGTCATCCACAAACGGTCCCCGTATTATCTTTTTTCCCACATCGACCTTCCCCCCCCCCATCAACATTCTCAGACAGGGAACGCCTCTTTGTTTTCCTGCTTTTCTCAACGTCGTATCTTTTCACTCCTCTCTCTCCATATCCTCTCAATTACCGGCGTGAGGGAGAAGAAGAACAATATACCTCAATATTTGCTTTGCTCCAAGTGTCGACTTCTTTCTGCGCATCCCCCCAAGCTTCGTTTTGTGAACTAGACATCTCGCATAAGGCAACATGAACGTCACCCAGGTGTTGGAGGGCACCCTGTCGCCTGGTATGTACTGCACAATCATCTTGTGCTTCTCTCTTCGTTTTGATCCTACTCGCTTGGACGAAGCTAACAGAGTCTCCCTTGGTCAGATGCGACAACGCGTCAAGGTGCTGAGCAACAGCTGCTTCACGCTGCCGAAGTTGACTTCGTATGTTCTCCTCCGCTTCGGCCAACCACGCAACTTACAAGTTTGAATGTCTTGCTAACTGTCCTCTGTATTTCTGCTTGTATAGCCAGCATACCTTACCACGCTCTCGGACGCCCTTGCAAACCAGGGAACCCCCAGTGCCATCCGTATTGCGGCTGGCCTCGCCCTCAAAAACTCCCTCACATTCCGAGATGTCACCAGGCTGCGAGAAGTGCAAGTCCGATGGGCTCAGCAAGTCCCGCAACAAACAAAGGCGCAAGTGAAGGCGCTCTCATTGCAAACATTAAACTCCGATGATGTTCGTGCCGGCCAGTCAGCCGCACAAGTTATCACATCCATCGCTACCATCGAACTCCCCCGAAACGAATGGCCGGAGTTGATGCAGACGTTGGTGCAGAATGTCGGAAGCGGATCAAATTCTCTGAAACAGTCGTCGTTGGCAACACTAGGCTTCATCTGCGAGGAGAGGGATGCTGATATGCGTACTGCCTTGGCTTCGCACTCCAACGCGATCTTGACAGCTGTCGTTCAGGGCGCCCGACGCGACGAACCAAATGCCGATGTTCGAAATGCCGCCCTGCAGGCTCTCGCTGACGCCACTGATTTTATTGGCAGCAACATGGGCAATGAAGGAGAGCGGAATTATATTATGCAGGTGGTCTGTGAAGCCACTCAAGCCGATGATACGCGAATCCAGGCAGGTGCCTTCGGCTGCCTGAACCGTATCATGGCTAGCTACTACGATAAAATGCGTTTCTACATGGAGAAGGCTCTCTTCGGTCTTACGATTATGGGTATGAGGCATGAAGAGGAAGAAGTCGCCAAGCTTGCAATTGAATTCTGGTGTACGGTGTGCGAGGAAGAAATTACTATCGAGGATGATAATGCTGCCGTAAGTTTTGATGTGATCCGATTTGGTTTTTCGCTGGTGTAAAAGGGTAAAACATGTACTAAATATTGCTACAGGCTACGGACTCCACGATGTTCCGACCATTTTTCAACTTTGCCAGAATTGCCTGCCGAGAAGTCGTCCCCGTTCTTCTTCAGATCATGACAAAACAGGACGAGGACGCCACTGACGAGGAATACAACGTTTCGCGTGCTGCTTATCAAGCTCTGCAACTTTACGCGCAGTGCGTACAGGGTGACATCATTCAGCCAGTTCTTACCTTCGTCGAGGACAATATTAAGAGCGATGACTGGCATAACCGGGATGCTGCTGTCGCTTCCTTTGGTGCTATCATGGATGGCCCTGAGATCGAAGTCCTGGAACCACTTGTGAAGCAGGCTCTCCCTGTGCTCCTCAGTATGATGGAAGATCAATCAGTGGTCGTTCGTGACTCAACGGCTTTTGCCCTTGGCAAAATCTGCGAGGCCTGCCCTTCTGGATTGGACCAGGATGTTCATCTTCAGCCTCTGATCTCCGCTTTATTCAATGGCTTGGCAAGCACCCCCAAGATTGCTGGCTCTTGCTGCTGGGCTCTCATTAATATTGCCGAAAACTTCTCACTCCAAGGCGATGGCCAGACCAACCCATTGTCGAAACATTTCCAAGACAGTGTCAAATCTTTACTGGCCCTCACTGAACGGTAATATATCTTGATTCTGATACATACAAAAATCTTCCTACTAACTATTCTTAGACATGATGCGGATAATCAGCTTCGAACTGCTGCGTACGAAGTTCTCAACTCATGGGTTACTAATTCAGCCAATGATAGCCTTCAAATGGTTGCCAGTCTCTCTGATATCGTCCTTCAACGTCTTGAGCAGACCGTGCCTCTCCAACAACAAGTCGTTAGCGTCGAAGACCGAATTGCTTTGGAAGAAATGCAGACCAGCTTGACTGCCGTCCTGCTAGTGAGTTTTCCTCTAAAGAATTCTCTATCAACTGTCTGTCCGTTAACTTTGCTAATCTTTTCAGGCCATTATCCAACGTCTAGAAGGCGAGATTAAACCCCAAGCGGACCGCATTATGCACGTCCTACTCCAGGTTCTGTCAACCCTACCTCCCAAGTCCAGTGTTCCTGACATTGTCTTTGCTACTGTCGGTGCTGTTTCAAGCGCTTTGGAGGAAGACTTCCTCAAATATATGGAGCCCTTCGCGCCATTCCTCTACAAGGCTCTTCAGAACCACGAAGAACCTGGTCTATGTGCAATTGGAGTCGGCCTGGTTGGTGACATTACTCGTGCGTTGAACGAGAAAGTCCAACCTTTCTGCGACACCTTCATGAATCAAATGCTTAGCATCTTGGTAAGCTTAGACGACCATGGAATCTGAACATCGTACTTGGTGACTAACTATGAGTGTAGACTAACAGTGGTCTCCGGGACACACTCAAACCCGCTGTCCTCGTTACCTTTGGGGATATTGCACAGGCTATTGGCACACACTTCCAGACTTATCTGTCCGTTGTCGCCCAAGTTCTTCAACAGGCTGCCAGCGTTACACTAGCCAACGACGTTGATGCTGACACCGTGCAATATGTCATCTCTCTCCGTGAAGGTATCATGGATGCCTGGGGTGGTATCCTACTGGCGTACAAGGGTACTCCTCAGATTGCTGCTCTTCAGCCTTACGTGGAGTCCATCTTCCAGCTCCTCCATATTGTCTCTCAAGAGCCACACCGGAGCGAAGGTCTTATGCGGTCTACCATGGGAGTTCTTGGGTGAGTTAACATCTACATCCCATAACATGATCAAGACATCATAGCTAAAGAAAATACTTTTAGTGACATTGCGGACTCTTTCCCCAACGGCGAGTTTGCCGCTTTCTTCCGCAACGATTGGGTTACATCCTTCGTTCGTGAAGTTCGCACAAGCCCGCATTACGCTACACGCACCCTTGACACCGCTCGATGGGCACGTGAGCAAGTCAAACGTCAGATTAACCTGGCAACTGCTGCTGCTATGTCTTGAGTATAGCTCTGTCATGACCGTTTTAGCCAGGGCCTGGGAGCAGGCACAAGCACGAGCGGACACTATTGTCTGCACGACACCCAACCCAACTCTGGCCAAGTCCAAAGAGCTATCCAGGCTAATGACTCCGAATCTGCACGTTTGACCAAAAGCATTTTCAACGGATGAGTACTTTCCATCCTTGTTTACGGTCAGCTGACACTGCTGCCTCGCCGTCTTATCTATTTCCCTCCCCGAACTCAACAAGGCGTTATTGAACCAACCCACTGAAGCCCCCGTCCCTTGCATCGTTTCCCCTCGACCCCAAAACCCCCAAATGACCATCGAAAATTCCCCTTTCTCCATGATTCCATGCCCATAATGCCCCCCTTCAATGCACACAGCACCAAGACATAATCATCTCCCCCCCTCTTTTTTTTCCTTAGAAAGTTCAGCAGCTCGATATATGGAGGCTCCTGAAAACAGCACTGATATGTGATCCCTCAGCATTATATTCCCAACTCCACTGTTTTAATTAGACTATTTTCTTTGTTAAATCATGTATGCACAAGAAGTCATGTATTTCCTTATGGTACAAGAGATTATGAACGTCTCTTATTGGGTTGCATTGCAATGTTTCGTTTTGATTTTTCTTTTTTCTTCTGCGGGGAAGAAAGGCAAATGTATGAAAGGAAAAAAGGTGTACGCAGGAGCTCTGAGACTAGGTCGATCTGCTTTTATGTTCCTCGCTCTCTGGTCCTTTATAGAGATGTGGTGCGATGAACTTGGCTGCCAAACAGACCAGATCTCTGAGCTGTTCTGCTGTGCCGTTTTACCAGATCCGATCACAATCTACGTCATATTCAAAATATACTTTAATACTTAACGAAGAGTATTCGTGGCGTGTAAATTAGTTGTAGACTGGAATAGTATCATAAGGTGGTTTCCTCGGGTATGATTGGCCGATTGTCCACTGGACAAAGAAAGTCACATGACCTACCAGGGCACAGTCGGCAAAAACCCTAAAACCCACACCGTCGAAAACGCTCGGTGGGCCCCTTCCCATCGCCGACAACTTCTGCTTGCTCGACCGTCAAAACATCCTCACGTTCGTCCAACTCCGCGTCTTCAATCGAGGTATGTGTTTCTTCTCGTCGCTATTCTCCCCGTCCAACTCTTCAGGTCCCTCAGCTGGCTAGCCCCGAGAGAGACAATCATCGTTTGAGGTTTTTTTTTTTTTTTCGCTTCAAAATGATGATACGTTTTTCTCTCTCTCAGCAACACGGCACGGGCTGAAGAACCCATTTTCTTGTTCTTGCAATGCAATGCAATGCAATGAGAAGAAAAGGGCACTCTTTGCGCTCGCATGGGCTTTTCAACTTGAGGCTAACCATACTTGGGTGATGTGTGATTGAACCTGGAAAAAAAAATATCTTCCTTCTTTCCGAAATGACGGAAGATATTTTTTTTCCAGGTTCTTTCTCTCTTACATCATCTGGAACAATATATAGATACCTCATTTCCACGCTTTATCGCACGATTTGAGAATCTCTCTACACACACAACAATACCGACAAGATGGTCCGCACTTCAGTCCTTAACGACGCTCTCAATGCGATCAACAACGCCGAGAAGGCTGGCAAGCGCCAAGTCTTGATCCGTCCTTCCTCCAAGGTCATTGTCAAGTTCTTGACTGTCATGCAGAAGCACGGTGCGTTTTATTCGTTGCCCTTGTTCTGGCTATTCCTTTCTCATTTGGCGGTCTGGAAAACGTGTGCAAAGAGGTGGAATACGAGAGGGGAGGGAAAAAAAAAACAAATTCGGGTTGATAACTAGGCAGCGATCTCGATCTTTACCCACACTACGACGTTTGCCCTTTAAGTACCCGAGATATCAAAAACAAGAGTCTAATGATTCTTTGCGGAGATCTTACACGTTTTCCGGACCTTTTTTCCTATGTGCTTGTTAACGTTTAAATTTCCGTGACATCTTTTCTGATAATTTTTTTTTTCTTTCTACAGGCTACATTGGAGAGTTCGAGGAGATCGATGACCACCGCTCCGGCAAGATTGTCGTTCAGCTCAACGGACGGTTCGTTTTTTCCCCAATACCCATTTGCTGCCAAACATACAATACTGACCGTACCAACAGCCTCAACAAGACCGGTGTCATCTCTCCCCGCTACAACGTCCAGCTCCGTGACCTCGAGAAGTGGGTTGTCAAGCTCCTTCCTTCTCGTCAATTCGGATACGTTGTCCTCACCACCAGTGCTGGTATCATGGACCACGAGGAGGCTCGTCGCAAGCACGTTGCCGGAAAGATCATTGGCTTCTTCTACTAGATGCACTTCTGTGTGATTTACATAGAAAATAAAAGTGATTTATTTCAAAAAAGAAAAAAAAAAAAATTGAAAAGATGAAAACGACATTTGAGCGCGGTTCGGCTACTTGTATGACGGCGTCTTTGGGCGATGTTGATAATGATACCTTGCATATGTTACAATGTTTTTGTGCTAGATAGCCTAAAAGCCAGAAGACCACTTCTTAATGTATTCATCTTGAGCAAGGTATTCTCTGCGTAGCTTGATAAGATCTATTTATCTGTCATCAGACCTGCCAAGCCGAGGTTCCCCATTCCCCACCGTAGTTCTTCCCCTCCAAACCACGATGATCATTGCTAGACGATACAATTCAACAGCTGGAAATCTCACTTGAGATATTCTTCTTCATACAGTACTTGAAGCACTTTAAAAGACGGCAACATGCCTCTGGATACTATCTACCTGACCCGCCATGGCGTAAGTTCCTACTCACCCACTTCCAACCGTTCAATTTCAATTCCCTTGGCTAAGGGTGATTCTCGCACGCATAGAATGATTTAATGATGGATTCATCTTGATTTATATATCTTTATACAACAGCATCGCATGCACTGGACAATCGACTATGCAACAGGCACCTACCACAGCACCTACCCAACGCCAACCGGTAATCCAGCCGATCCCACGCTGACGGCGCATGGTGTCCGACAATCGCACGAGCTAGCAGCTCACTTGTCGTCTGAGAAATTTCCTGGTCCGAAGCCGTGTAAAGTCTATTCAAGTCCGTTTTATCGGTGTCTGCAGACTATTCTGCCGAGTGTCGAGGCACTTGATGGTGATAGCAGCTTGTCGTCGGGAAGGGAGAAGGGTGTTCGGATTGAGAATGGGCTTGGGTAAGCAGTATTTCTGATTGACACAAATGCTGGGGAAGGGGTTTTGTGTAGACTGATATTAAATATCTGAAAAATCAGTGAATGGTTCGGCTCATCAACATATTTCGACCATCCATCACCCGCCTCCATATCTGAGCTACACCGGCATTTCCCTACTCTCATAGCCAACCCTTCATCCGACTACACATACAAGACGCATGTAATCCCCTCTGCGCGTGGGGAGACAATTCCACAATTACACAATCGTGTTGCCACGGCTCTTGCAGCTATTATCGCCGATGTTGATGCTGAGATACGAGCAGAAGAAGAAGAGGCGGACAAAGAAAATAGCAGCAGCAGCAACAGCAGTAAAGCAATTCTCATATGCGCCCATGCTGCCCCTTTGATTGCTATGGGCAGGGCCTTGACGGGGAATATGCCGGATGATGCTAATATAGATGATTTCCATGTTTATACGGCTGGCCTGAGCACTTTTGTGCGGAGACGAGGAGTGGGCAGTACTTCTGATGATTCTACAGAACGGAGAACGTTATCTTCATCAGTTCTTGCGGCCGGGACAAAGCTCATCCCCGAGTCGGAAGTACACGTACCTGACTGGAAAGATGGTAGGGGAGTTGGCGGGGGATGGGATTGCGTCAGGAATTGTGATTGCAGTTTCTTGAGTGGAGGTGAAGAGAGGGGTTGGTAAGTTGTTTTCTATTCGGTCTACGCGTGATTATTCTAGGTGTATAAATATTAAGCTTACACTATGCATAGGCATTTCAGCGGCGAGGAGTCGTTTGATACGGGGCCAATGGGTAGTGTTAATACGTCGGAGGAAGGGGCTAAACTATAGATACGAGGTGATGTTATGGTAGTCTCAAGAATATCCATATATCATACATAAAAAAAATAGAATAAACTGGAATATGCATTTATCAAGCTACAAAAGACAAATGTACAAGGAAACCCGCCTAGGAAAAATCAATCGCTACTGAAGAGATTGCCGTGAGAAAAATATTTACATCTGCATAGACATGCATATATGAAGGTCACAGTTTCTTTGGATCTCAAGGAAATCACAAGTCAAAGCACAGAGCGTTGAACTAGCCTTCATCTCTGTGGTTATGGCTGTTGCGTGTTAGCATTGCCGGAAGATTCTCCGCCTGCGGATGCTGCTGCTTCACTTTGATTGAGCACAGGATTTTCTTGCTCTGAAACATGATTCTGTGCATTCGCTGCTTCTATGCGGGCCTGTTCCTGCTGTCGTGCGTTGCGCGCTGCTTCTTCGGCTGCATTGCGTACTTCCACTTGGCGCTCACCTAGACCCGGGATTAAACTAGCGATAAACAAGGCCACGGCACGCTCAATGCGTCGTAGAGCTTGTTGTGCACCTCCCGTAGGTGCACGAGGCTGATTGGGTTGGTCGTTATCTTGCTGTGCTGGAGCTGGAGCTGCAGCTGCAGCTCCGCCATGAATAAGACCTTCGAGATGGCGTTGAATTGGCTGCAAAATAAAATTGAATAGCCGACCTGTGAGATTCGACTCGGAGAAGAAAGCAATGAATGCGGCCACTGCCACGAATAAGAACCGTTCCCAGGAACCTGAATCAGTGAAAAGGTAGCAGAAGAAAAACAGGCGCATAAAAAGCCAGAATCGGCGAATATTTTGCCCAAAGTTGCCGTTACGATTATTAGCTCGTATGGGTTGCTGGTTCAAGACTGCCTCTCGTACGACATTGTGCATTACGTTGTTTGGTACAAAACCGAATTCATTGATCCCATTCCCTCTGGCCGCTTGTGCTGGATCCGGGAAAACAGGTACGGTCTCCTGAGAGACTTCTTGTACTGTTGAAGGGGGTGGAGCAGTAAGCATCATCTGCTCTCCAGAGGCTGTCGTAATAAGATAGTATTCATGAGACGGGATCGTTTGGGGAGCAGTTCCGGCGCGAGTGGTATACCTTGAATATAAGCGGCGGACATATTCTGATTGACGGATCTGAAAAGCACGAGCATTTATATTTTGCAACCGCTGTATAAGCCCCTCGAAATCTCCTGTGGCGATGCTTGGTTGGCGATAGCGAGCGTCGGAAATAGCGTATAACTGATTGCGAACCGCCGCAATGGAGTCGATGGACGGAGCTACACCTCGATCCAGATCGAGCTCAAAGAGCATGATCTGGGCTGTGATACGGGCTACAAGCAAATTTTGCGACACTCCGTTGTTTAGAACATTATGTATGTTGAGTGTATTTGCCGAAGGTGCCTGCGCATTCGCCCCGTGTACCACCGTCGGGTTGTCGGCCAATGGTGGGCGCGGAAATTGGCCAATGTTCTCGGTTCTTGGTGCATTTAGTGTGTTGCCAGCTTGGCTCCGTATACGGGTAGTCTGGGAGTTGATTATAGTTCTCGCTCTGTCCACGAACATATTCAGCTCTTCTGCCCGGCGCCTATGTTGTTCTATAGCTTGTCGCATCAATTCTTCGCTAGACGGATGGCCCACTCCGGCTGGGATACGAGACTGAACTGAAGGAACATTTACCCCTGATGTAGGCGGTACAGTGGAATTCTGTCCTGGGCCTTGAGAATCAGTCTGCGTGGTGGTATGATCACGACTTGTTGATATCGCATTCGGGACACCTGGAGCTGTAAAGAGGGACGCACTGCGGTTGGGACTTGGGTTCGGTACGTTTCTGTAGCGCAAGGTGCTATCGGATGCTACATAGAGATTGTTTGAAATCTCAGGTCCTGGAGGAAGCACAAGGTGCAAAGTATGCACAGATTGCTAAGACTACGTTAGCCCGTCTGCGAATTATAACTCTAGTGTCCAGTCATCACCCACCAAAGGAGGTTCCAAGACATCCTGTAGTGCAGCACTGTTATCTAATAGAGGCCTTCCGCGATATATGAGTCTCTGTTGGTCAGGCGTGGGGTGATTGGGAGCCAGAGGCGTAATGAGATTCTTTACATCTGCGACGGTCGTGGAGGCCGGTAGATTATCGAACGACAAGCGTTGGCTCGATTCGAAGGACGGCGAAAGAATTCTCAAAGATATGGCTGGCGAAGAATCCTTGGGAGCCTCCCCTGAAGGTGGTGCGCCATTCATCTTGTCAAGCTAGGAAGACAGTTTTGCCCTAACAACGCATGCTCAGACAGGCGGCCGACGTGCTCATAGGAGTCTGTAAATAATTGAAACAGGTATGAGTCGACGGTAGACTAAGAGAGTAAGAGCTTAGAAGTCAGCCAAGCAGAGACTTGCCATGTAAACTACTTGCCAGCTACTTAGAAGCTCGGCGTTCTCCCGCCGTGGCATAACAATCTGTCCTCTTCGCGTGCTTAGTAACACGAGAACGAGACTCACTGCATCACAATCCCATTTGTTGGGGGAAGCAACAATTTATGCAGCAACAACAAAGCACAAAGGACACCGCGGACACCCTCTGTGCACGGCCGGTTGCGAAGGCCAAACATGACGAGGAGCGCCTGGAGACCCAGGCCGACGATTCTGCCAGGGCGGTGAGGCCGCCAGGTACTCTACTCGCTCGGCCAATGACTTCATTTTCCTACACCGTCACTAACTATACAGTGTAGCTTTACACATTCTTATGGTTGACATTCGCTCGCTACGGTAGCCGGTCATGCACGCCATGGCGACAGGGCTTGGAGGCCAAGCAATTGCTGTTTGCCGAGGCTTAGGGAGAACCCAAGGACATGGCTGTCGTCAGCGGTTATTGAGATCCCCGGCCACAGCGCGGCAGTTCAGTTCATGCACGAATTTTCGCGAAGCACACAAGTCTGGACCGGGGAAGGAACCCAAGGAGTCATTCAAATCACGTCTTGGGAGCGCATGGAGCAGAACCAGAATCCAGTGGCGTCCCATTCCCATCGGTCTTGGCATCGGATTCCTCGGATTACTGCAATTCTATCGAACAAGGAGAGATTCAGAGCGTTTGAGGGAGCTGGAGCTGGCTGAAGATGGCACTCCTCCTCCTCGAAGGAGGATTCGGCCGTCCGGGCCGTGGCAAGTGCAGATGATGTCGACTCTCCCCTTAAAAGCCCTGTCACGGCTATGGGGGCGCTTCAACGAACTAGACTTGCCAATGCCTCTGCGTATCCCCGGCTTCAAGTTATATTCTTGGATATTTGGCGTCAACCTAGATGAGGTTCGAGAACCGGATCTGCGCACGTATGCGAACCTTGCGTCTTTCTTCTATCGCGAATTGAAGCCTGGGGCTCGCCCAATTGACCCCGATCCGAGTGTTGTGATATCACCATCCGATGGGAAGGTGCTCTCATTTGGAATGATCGAACGCGGTGAAGTTGAACAAGTCAAAGGAATGACATATAGCTTGGAGGCGCTCCTTGGAGAGGCAAGTCCTTCCCGGGACGCCATTGCAAGCCATGGGGTCACCCCTGTGGATGCGGTGGACGATGACTCCAATAACATGGCCATGGATGAAGAATTTGCCAGAGTGAACGGGATATCCTATACCTTGCCTCATTTATTGTCAGGCTCAAAGAGAAAGCCAAAGAAGGAAACAGCCATGGACGCATCAACTACTTCGCAGTTGACATCAGAAGCTAAAGTCAAGGCGGATCTCGCGCTAGGAGATGGCCGTCCTTGGTATGCACCTAGGGCATCGAACAATGCACTGTACTACTGTGTTATATACCTGGCCCCTGGAGACTACCACCGCTTCCACTCTCCAATCTCCTGGGTCGTTGAGAGTCGTCGTCATTTCGCCGGAGAGCTCTACTCTGTGTCTCCCTACCTGCAGCGAACGCTGCCTGGACTGTTCGTGCTGAATGAACGAGTTGTCCTGCTGGGTCGGTGGCGCTGGGGCTTTTTCAGTTACATCCCTGTCGGAGCGACCAATGTTGGCTCTATCAAGTTGAACTTCGACGCTGAGCTGCGGACAAACAGTTTGACAACAGATACCGCCGCCGACAGAGCAGCGGCCGAGGCAGCCAAGCGTGGCGAGCCTTATTCTGGCTTTGCGGAAGCTACTTATTACAATGCCAGCAGGACTCTACGGGGCCACGCACTTCAGCGCGGCGAGGAAATGGGAGGATTCCAGCTGGGTAGCACCATTGTACTGGTCTTTGAAGCGCCCATGGGAATCCGCCAAAGCTTTGATGAGGGCTGGGGAAGTGGCAGAGAAGGCGGTTGGAAGTGGAATATCGAGCAAGGCCAGAAGATCAAAGTTGGTCAAAAGCTTGGTCATGTAGAGATATAAAAGAAAAAAGCAAAAACCAGGGTTTGGTCTTGAATTTTCCTGTGACGATAGTGTTTTATTCATGTACATTATTCAGACAGACAGCTTCAGAATCAACACCATGCATGTCGTCCAGTGAGGACTAAACAGTAAGTATGTAGTGAGGTTAAATAATGTGGAGAACATCCTCGGAGGTAAACATCAACGCCGCAAAAGTCCTGCCGCGCGAGCCAACCTGCCACGCTTTTGGCACGCAATTGCCGACAGAACAAGCTTGCTCATCGTGAGGTAAAGAAAGACCAAGATCGAATATGCCTCGACAAATGCCCCGGCGGACTCCCGCAGCTCCTCCTCCGCCCTCAACGCCTGCAACGACGGCTTTCCAGCAACAACCCCCGCCAGTGCCTGTGTTCGCGACGCCCCGGGGTTTCGCACAGAACGTCGATGAGTTCACTGGTGGCGATCCTGAACGGCGAGTAGGGCAGCAGCAACAACAACAGCATCGGTTAAATCAACTTGCACGAACAGGATTTGAGGTCGCCGCTGCTGCTGCAGCTATGCCGGACATTGGCGACGAGACCGATGTCGAGAACGACCGCTCTGACGATGAAATTAGAGTCATTGATTTCGACGCGTTAGGCGAAGCTCGGGATGGCGATGCAGAGGAGGATGACGTGGATGGGGATTTAGAAGATGATGAGTACGTGGAGGGCGACGACGAGAATGAAGAAATGCGGCGACAACGTATGTTTCTCTTGTGAAAAGCGCCTTTTTTTTAAAAAAAAAACCCCTTGCTAATCATATATTCGTATCCGTGCAGAAAAGTCCCCATCTCCCCTCCCACCAGACCTTCGCGAGATATCTTCTCTAGCATCATGGACCGTATCAACACATAAACCCGGCTGTGGAGTTGCAGCACTACGAAATCCATCGCCGCAGCAATTCTGGCAATCAGACGGTCCGCAACCTCACACGCTTACTTTGCATTTCTTTAAACTTGTCGCTATTGTCAAGATGCGCGTATACCTTGACTTCGACCTAGATGAGAGCTATACGCCTACTAAGATGCTCTTTTTCGCCGGCATGGGCGGCAATGATCTGGTTGAGTTTGCGGTCTGGGAAGGCGAGACCCCTTGTGGATGGGTCAATATACCGCTTGAAGGAGTCGGAGGCCATAATAGGAAGAGAGAACACGGCGTTCGAAACAATCGCCGTCAAACACAACGTGCGTGGCCGTCAAAGGGGGCTGCGTTGCCGAATGGATCGGGTATAGGAGACGATGACAACGACAACGACATGGACGATGACGATGACAATGACGATGATTATAACGACTTAGATGACCCTTATTCAGGAAACGTTTTGAAGGCAATGGTCGTCCAAGTGCGCATCTGCGAGAACCATCAAAACGGCAAAGATACGCATGTGCGAGGATTCCAGGTGTTTGCGCACGATGATGATCGACGTCGTGTAGCTGCTGCTGCTTCTGGTCAGCCAGAGCACAAGCGACAAAGCATACACAAGTCTCATAACGGAGTTGATCCTGTAGTTGAGGGGCTTGCAGACAAGATACATGGCCCTGATGAGCCAGATTGGATGGGTGAGCCAGTTATTCGATGAGACTTATCCTCATTCTTATAGCTATTCTTTTTCTTTTCTCTCTCTTTGTCTATGTTATATACCCTGACAAAAGTTCTACGGCATTGGGAAGTCAGGTTACGGTATGGCGTTTTCTCATCATTTTGTCACGCTCTCTCTTCCTCGTGGTCTTGTCAATTTGCAGGTTAAGATACCCTTTGTTCAATGCTATGATCATTTTATACCTAGCAACGCTCTATAATATATGACCGCCTTCAAGGCGACCAGCTTTTATTTTCATCAAAAGAACTTCATAAAGTAGCATGACCCGAAAATGGTAAAAGCAATCAAAAGAAAACCCAGGGTATTAAATTTACTGAAGCAGCTTCGCCAACTCAGCAGCAACAGCATCACCGACCTCAACAGTTGACGCTTTCCCACCAATATCACCGGTCCGGATGCCAGCCTCAATGACGTTGCTAACCGCCTGTTCGATTATGCGCGCCTCGGCTGGGCGGCCAAGAGAGTATTGAAGCAACATAGCCATAGACAGGATGGCAGCGACAGGGTTCACGATGCCCTTTCCAGCAATATCCGGGGCGGAACCGTGAATAGGCTCATAGATACCATTAACCTTGCTCTTTCCGTCAGGGATACCAGTCAAACTAGCACTTGGCAACAGACCCAGCGAACCGGGGATAACGCTGGCCTCGTCGGAGATAATATCGCCAAACAGATTGCTCGTGACGACGATGCCATTGAGCTTGCGAGGGTCCTTGACCATGAGCATAGCAGCGGAGTCGATCAGTTGGTGACCGAGCTTCAACTGCGGGAATTCGTTGGTGATAACCTCCGTCACGACCTTGCGCCACAGTCGGCTTGTGGCGAGGACATTGGCCTTGTCGAGACTCCAGACGGGCAGCGGAGGGTCATGCTGCAGGGCCAGGTGGGCAGCGAGGCGTGTGATACGCTCAATCTCGGCACGGGAGTAAGGTTCTGTGTCGAGAGCGAAGCCGTCGCCGTTGTCTTCTTTGCGGTCCCCAAAGTAGATACCACCGGTCAATTCGCGGATAATGTTGAAGTTGACATCCCGGCATACGTCGGCTTTGAGGGGGGATATATCGACAAGAGAGGGTGCGGCGAAGCTGCATGGCCGAAGGTTGCCAAAGGTGCCCATCTCCTTTCGGAGCTTGAGGATTCCCTGTTCAGGGCGGACGGTTCCATGACCCCATTTCTGGCATAATTGTCAGTTCTTTCCTCTTCCTTTTCTCCTCTTCATTTTGCTCCGACGGGGTATAACGTACAGGTCCTCCAATGGCTCCCAGGATGACCGCATCAGCGTTCTTGGCAGCTGTCAAAGCAGCATCGGTCAATGGCTCGCCATGTGCGTCTATAGAAGCCTATTACCAATGGACGATTGGGTTAGCATATATCCGCAATGATTCAAGGAAGGGAATGTCTTACACCGCCCAGAGGGTGCTCTTGAAAGTTAAACTGGATGTCACTGCGATATTTCTCGATAACGCGGAGAGTCTACACAATATTGACTTCTTAGTTTCATCCCTGCTAGAATCTTTGCAACGATGCGGTACCTTCAATGCCTCAGCAGTGACCTGTGATTGATCGACAAATTAGTTCCTGACACACATCACACATCCAGAAGGAAATAGTAGGCTCACCTCCGGACCGCAGTAGTCGCCAGCAAAGACAACGATATTATAAGGAGCCATGGTGAACCTAAAGAGCGAGCAAGCGTTTATACGTCTTCTTTTTGACGAGACAGAAAGAAATGGTTGTAATGCGTCGAGAGTGACAGAAGCACAAATAATTGTTGCGGGGCTGCTGAGCTGGTCCCCCACGCATCCGATGCCGGAGTCGGATGCCTCAGGCTACGGCAGCCTATTCGTACAATCTTGCCAAAATGAATTTTATATATAACTTATATTTTGTTATAAACTATAGTCTAAATTCTATAATACATAAAGGTTATGTGATAGCATAAATATGAATTAATTAAAATCTTTTATAATAATTGTACTAATAGTACAGAAATACTTTTATTAATAAATAGATAAACTTAAGGTCTTAATAAAGAAAAATAAAAAGGATTTTAAAATTCTTTTTTATTTCTTTGCTTTTTTTATATATAATATAAGAAATCCTTTTTTATTTCTTATATAAGAATATTATATTTGTTTAATTAAGGATAATTATTTAGAAGAAATTTTACTAAGATAATTTACTATTATAAATAATTAATAAGTTAATTAGTAGGGATTAATTAGTTAGATATTTAATTAATTATCTCTAATTAATTTAGTTCTTAACTAATAATAAATAAAGTATTATAGTAAAATAGATTATTTCCTCGCTTAATAGTTTATCTTATTAATAAAAGTTTAGTATATATTATTAAATATAAAGTTTTTATATATCTAACTTATTAATTTATTTTTTTATTTTATATTTATAATTATTTTAAATAATATTATAGACTGCTTTTTGTATTAAAAATCTAGGCTATAAGCATATAATATATATAAAATATCTAGCTTATAGTTTCTATAGCTAGGTAAATCTAACCTTTAAAGTAAATATACTATTATCTTTTATGATTAATCTTTTAGGAGACTCTTCTCTAAGAAGTGATTTGCCTAGACTTAGATTATATACTTTTTAAGTATTTTATTAATTATTATTAAAATATTAGCAAGCTATTTATTATAGCTATTAAAAGGCTATTTTTAGAATATAATAAAATATATCTATACTTAATACTAGTAGTTCTATATATAGTAATTGAGCTACTTCTATTTTAGCCTCTTATATATTTTCTATAATAATCTAGCTATATTAGGGAGTATTTAAAGAGGAGAAATAGATAATCTTTTATGACTAGGCTTATATAATATTTATTTTAGTTAATTTAAATATTAACACTTATTTTAAAATAAAAGATGAATTTGTTGAGATATTTATAAAGAACTTTAATGTATGATTTTATATCTATAAGATATTGGATATATAAGAAGTTATGGTAGCTAGGTAATTCTAAAAAAGTTAGGGACCTGTAAGGCGGAATCCTGGATGGAGTTGGGAATAGCTTTAAAGTATAGCAGGTATATGACCTTATCTAGCTTCTTGCTATTAATTAGACTAGCGGCTTGGTATATACTGTCTTATAATTATAGATAGTCTTAAGCCTTTATAAAGTAGTAATTAGCTACTAAGTATATATATATATATATTATATATTTAAATCTATCCCTAGACCAAAGCTGAATCCTAGCTATATTCTTATAATCTCTATTATAGTTTAATTGCTTACTTCATAAGAGCCTAGTAATTATTATCTAGAATGGCTCTAAAATATATTTTTTTATATATTTAGAGATAAGCCTCTGAGAAACTATTATTTTTAGTTAAATATCTTTTAAATATTAAAGAGATTCTAATAAAGGAAGAAGAAGTAAGAGTTATAAAGATAGAATTAAATAATAAAGAGAAAGATAAGGTTAATATATCTTTAGTAATAGCTAGTAAAATAAATATTAAGGCTATAGTTATAGAGCTAGCAATTATAAAAACTTAAGATGAGGCTCTAGTATTTATAATTCTATTAAAATTATTAATAGAATATTTAGAGAAAGATTTTATAATAATAATAATAAATAAACTTATTAAATTTAAAGCTAGAGTAGCTAAAGTTATAAAGATATAGTATTAAAGGATTACAGTCTAAATTATGCTTTAAAAGCTTAAGGAGCTAAAGTAATAGCTACTATATTTATTATTAATAAGCTTATTAATATAGGGTTTTAATGTATAGGAAGGTTTAAATTATTCTAATCTAGAGAAGAAAAAAAAAGAGTAAGGAGTAATTAATATTAAAATAATAACTAAGAAAAAGCTATTAAGTTAAAAAAGACTATAAATATTTATAAAAATTATTCTTCTAAAATAGCTAAAGCTAGTACTTAAAAAGAAGTATAATAATATTAATATAAAAAAACTAGAATCCTTTAAGCTCTAATTTAAATACTATTTTATAAAATATAATTATTATTATAACTTCAAAGATATTAATTAATAGAAAATACTAATTATAGTTAAAAGGCTAAGCTAAAAAGTATTTAATTAATAAGATATACTTATAAAGAATAAGATAAAAATTAATTATATAATATAAAAAGACTTTAAATTCTTTTTAATAAATATTATATATATCTTAAAACTATTATACCAGGATACAAATAAGCAATATTAATAAATATAGTAATAAAAAGGCTAAATTATATCTAAATTTAATATTTATATTTAGAAACTAGAACATCTCTTAGAATAAATATATATAAATAAGAATCAAAAATATTACCTTAAAGATTAAATTATAGAGTTTGTATATATTAAGGTTATATAATAAAGTAATAAATCTAAAAAATATAATAACTATATAGTACATCTTTAAAAGATAAAAAATTCTATATTAAAATAAAAAAAGAAACTTTAAGCCATTTAAAAGTAGGCTATAGAGCTAAATTTAGATTCAAAAAATAAAGCTTTAAATCAAAATTCAGACTAAAGTAATAAATTTAATTAAAAAGACAATTATTATAATAGTTATTATTCTTAAAAGAAGTCTAAAATTAAAGATTTCAAGGATAGATTAAAGGCTTAGAAGTTACTAATATACACCCACTACAGCAAAAAAGAGTATATAAAGGAGAATTGTTACTCTAAAGATCTTAATAAAAGACTTAAAAGGAATTCAAAATAATTCCTTAATAAGATCTAATATATTATTATAATATTAAAGCTACATACTATATAATTAAATCAAAGATTATATATTAATATATATATTTATATATAAATCTTAAAAGACTATATAAAAATACTTACCTTAATTAATAAAGCTGCTGAAAGTAATTTTATAAACTAAGAATAAATATAAAAGAATATATATCTTTTAATAAGTCTAATTATAATTATAAAAATAATTAATAGGTATTTAATACTAATATATAAAAAGACCTTGCTAAATATCATTGCTCCTAATTTAAAAGATAAACTAGAAAATTTCTAGTAGACTTATATTATTATTAATACAAAGAGATATAATATCATACTTAGATTATTATAGTATTTAACCATAAATCTTAATATCCACTATATCATAAGATAGTAATATTACTATTAGTTTATTAAATAAAAAGCTAAGCTTATACTCTATTATATAAGTTATAAGGCTATATAGCGGTAGGATTTTATAAAAAATAAAAGTAATATACCTATAGAGTATATACTAAAACTATATATAAAGTAGATTATAGCTTAAGAACTCTACCAAGTTATAAAGAATAGAGAGACTATTTATATTATAAATCTAAGAAAAATCATAATAAAAAAAGCTAATCTAGATAAAAAGAAGATCAAGGGTCTCTTATAATTAATAATTATCAATATTTCAGAACTACTGGTATACTTAGAATTATATTTTAATATCTTTTTAGAGAAATAGGTGGCAGTATTATCTAAATATATAGCCTATAATCATATTATTAATTTAGAGTCTAGTAAAGAGCTATTATACTATTTAATTTATTAGCTAAGTTTAAAAAAACAAGAAATGCTTTAAAAGTATTTAATAGAAAATCTAGCTAAAGACTAGATTTATAAATTAAAGAGTCCTACTAGAGCATCTATCTTATTTATATTTAAGAAAAACAGTAGCTTATAGCTATATATTAACTACTAAGAAGTAAATATTATTATAATTAAGAATCAATATCTCTTACTATCAATTAGAAAAACCTTGAGTCAGCTTTTTAGAGCATTAATATTTATATAGCTAGATCTCTAGAATATATACTATCATATCTAAATCAAGAAGGGAGATAAGTGGAAAACTACTTTTTATATCTAATATAGGTATTATGAATATATTATTATATCATTTAGATTAGCAAATGCCCTAATAATCTTTTAATTATATATAAATCAAGCACTAAGCAATCTTCTAGATATAAGCTATATAATATATCTAAATAATATTATTATATATTTAAAGGATAAAGCCATCCATAAAAAAGATATTTATAAGATATTAAACCACTTGCAGTAGTATAAGTTGTATATTAAGCTATTAAAATATACTTTTAAAGTCAATAAAGTATATTTCCTAAATTTTATAGTTAGAATAAAAAGCATTTAAATAAAATCTAAATATATTATCACCATTTAAGAATAACCCAAATCCAAGAATATACAAAATATAGCTCAATTCTTAAACTTTACTAACTTCTATTATAGATTTATTAAGAGATACTCCATAATTACTATATTATTATTAAATATGATTAAGAATCACAAATAAATATGAAAAAGATTAAAAATAGAATGAAAAGTTAATATAAAGTTTATTTTTATTAAAGAGGTATAAAATGCCTTTAAAATCCTTAAGAAGTATTTTACACAAGTATTTATACTTAAATATTTTAAACTAGAACTCCTACTTAGAGTAGAAATCAATATATTAAACTTTACTATAATAGCAATTCTAAGTTAGTTAAAAGCTAATAAATTATAATATCTAATAATATTCTACTCTCAAAAGATAATCCTAATTAAATTTAACTATAAAATATATAATAAAGAGTTATTAATCATTATTAAAGCCTTTAAACACTAAAAGTACTACCTAGAAGGTAATAATAGATCTATAATTATT